TAATAAATAAATTAAGAATTGTTAAATAAAAAAAATAAATAATATGAAATATATTAAAAACTTCTATATCAGATATAAATCTAATTGATGTTTTCCAAAATGAATTATAACCTAATGATCAACTTCTCAATTAATATATTATATTAAAATGCTCTGGATATGAATTAGAAGTATTTTTTGACGAAATAAATAAATTATAACAACAATTAATTTAGGGTTTTTGTAAATAATTTCATTCTAAAAATAGACATTACATTAAAGTATGCCATCCACTAAATATTATCAACCTTATATTATAAAAAAGGTGAATTAATTCATAATTAAATAATATTCAATAATCTTCAATAATTATAATGAGATAAAACAATATTATTAATATATTAGAGCAGGAATCATTTTTTTACCACAATATAGGGTTATATAATAATATAAAGACTTTTTAAATTTAAATTTAGTTGTGAAATTCAAATATTTGCTTGAGACCTAATTCGTTACATCACTAAATAATTTAACTTTATATTTGAGTGTTTAATGTACCATTTTAGATTACCGAATTAAAAAAATACAACAATGATTGAATTAGAAAACCTATAAAATTATGATTTAAGCCTTATATAAGCAAATGGTGTTATAGATAAATTTGAGTATATAAACGTTTTCAACCAATTTAAACTGCTCCAATTATCTTTTAATGCTATATAAATAAGATTTTTGTGGTGGGATATATTAATTAAATTAACATGATCTCTCTCAAACACTAATATGAAGACTCATTAGTACTGAATGATTGTGACTAATTATCAAATTCCTTTCTCTTTTTCAACCAAGTTACTTAAAGCTAAGAAACGAATGCCACTATCTCAAAAAGTAATCAGAAAAAAACTCATTAAAGAAGAAAATGCATTATTTATGGAGACAAAGACAGAAGCAGTGCACTTTACAAATACATAAAAGAGAAGCAAAGAAGTTATTTGGATTCAAATGGGAAAGCTTCAAACTCGATATTTTATCCAGAGGAAGATCGAATACTGTTGCTTCTTGTCAAAAAATTAGGACCCAAGTTTTCAAAGATCACAAAGTACTTCCCTGGAAAAACAATGAATATGCTGAAGAATCGATATTATAAAAATCTCAAAAACTCAGAAGCCTCAATAATCCCAAAAGAGATTGAGGAGGAGCTTGCGGTAAAAGACAAAAAAAAAAGAATTATGGGGAAAAAAATCATCAAAACCTGGCCTGAAGAATAAAGGATTTCAGCCTTAATTGATAATAGTGATCTTTTCCCAGAAGCTAAGGAAAAGATTTAACTATTATTATAAGGATTTACTTAAATATTTGCAAATTTAATGAAAAATATATGAGCTCTTTCTATATATTATTTTATTATAATTGACAGTTTTTGAATTATAAACGAATCATTTTTATTCAAATTACAACAATTAGTGTCTCATGTTTCATAATTAGAAAAAAAGCTCTTAATCATTAAAATAAGGTTTGATATCTTATAGGAAAATTAATAATATCATCATTTAATTATAAATTATATATGTAAAAATTTTAAATTAGAATAAAATAAAAGAGAATATTGGAGGATTGGATATTTTGCGTTTAGGTATTCGGAAAATCTATTAATTTTAAATGAAAAGGAGGATAATAATTAGTAATATGTATAATTCATTTAAATGAAAGCGAAATCATTCTTCAGAAAATGGTACATCAAAAATGAAATTATGGGCCATAATGAATGCAGCTTCTTTTTGATCAGCAGGTACCATGTGTCCAGCATTTCTAACACTCACAAATAATAGACCATCAATTTCCCAGAGATTACCAGCATTTTATTTGTTTGATTTGAACCATGGTCTCCATTATTAAATGGTTGGTAAATCTATTATTTAAATTATTAGAATTACTTAATTCTTTTTAGAGTTTTTCAATCCAATATATTGTTCCTGTTATTGGTACTACGCCGTCGACATCACCACTAAATTTGAGTATTTTGATTCCTTTAGCCATTATTTTTGGATACAAATGATAAGTAGCCCTGGGATCTTTTGTGTAATTGAGAGATTGACATTTGGCCCATTAATCACTTTAAGGATGAATATTTAAATACTAAAATTGAGATATCTATTACTTTTCTAAATTCATCATCACGTAGATAATGATATAATCCAACAGCATCTGAACATGGGGGAATGTGCCCTTATATTATATCAAAGGGATCGAATTTATTTTTAGCATATGGAATTCTTTCCCCTTGAGGTGTTTCCACTGGAGGTTAGAAACAAGTTCCATAAATATTATATGGATTGTATTCATAAGTTCCATCTAAATTGGTTTCTGTCAAAATGTCTTGATATAGATCTTAACAAAACTATTCTTTATTGAATTGACATTTTGCTTTATGAATTTCAATATATTCTTCGAGTTTTTGACTAATAAAATTGTGATTTGCAAGAAATTAAAATTTGTAATATGGAAAGTATTTTGCCTCTTTTGTGCATTCAGAAGCATCTGTACATCCATTTCCAATCATCATTCCTCTAATTCGGATATTCGATTGACTATTATCGATAATCTTATTCACTAATGTGGGAATGTAAGTTCCAGCATAAGATTCACCAGCGATATATAATTCATTATTTTTATATTCTGGGAATTTACGATAAAAGGCTAATAACATATAATAATTATTTTATGCTGTGACATCATCACTTGTAGTTGTATTTCCATCATTTTTATATGAAAACCCTACGCCAACAGGAGTCTCTACATAAAGCATATGAGCCTTTAATTGTTATTAAAATTGTATACAAATTTTCCCCAAGAATATTTATTTTCCTCAAAAATTGGGGTTCCTCCTATGAATACAAATGGACCATTTTCAATCATTGCTCCTGTAAGAGATGAACATCCTGGTCCACCATTTAACCATAATATTACTGGAAGATCACTTTTATCATTTGGGTAAAAAATGTAATGAAAATGATGATCAGGAATATCTTCAGGTTCCAAATATCCTGAATACATAGTTTTATTATAAGGAATCTTAAAGTACTCGTATTAAAAAGGATCTACAAGATCAGATGGTGGACCACAAAATATAGCACTCAGGCTGATCAATAAAAAAATATATTACATAATTTTAATTATTGAGAATAAATAACAAATAAAATAATTGTTAATAGTTTTGAATTAATTAATATATATCTTTTTAATAAGTTTTATATAAATACACCTGATGTGAACTAAAGATTAGACAACTTTGCATTAGAAAATTATTAATATGGAAGAATAATTTGATTGAAGAATTTAAAGTTAATTATACAGAATATTATATAATATATATTTGCGCATTTTTATTCACAAACTTTGGGAAATTGAAGGTGATTTATAATGTTGCATATAAATATTATTTACCAAAAATTTATTCATTAACAAATTTAAGTATCAAAATCTACAACATTTTCAAATAGTTTATCTCGCATACACAACAAGAGGAGTTTGATATTATTGGATGGATATCTATGCCGATATTGTCTTCCTATTCTACTCTGAATTATACAGCAAGACTTAGAATTGATAATTAATAATAGTTATAGTTTTAATAATGAATTTGGAAAATATATTGCCCTGATAGAAAAATGGAATCTTTGAATCTTTTTTTCAGAATAGATAATTTTAGTAAGAGATAAAAATGGGATTTATTAAACCATAATAAATCTATAATATGAATTATAAATGATCCTTATGGATAGTATTTTCAAAAATGAGAAATATTACATTATAAAAAAGTGATTAAAATGGATAGTATTATTTTGAAATAATTGTAGATTGATGTTCTAGAGTATGTTTTTGGTTAGATTGTTTCAAAATGAGATCAAATGAGATTTAAGATCATATGTGTAGCTCTTTTAATAATATTGTAATATATTATCATATTATTAGTTATTCAGCTAAGAAAATTTGAGATAATAGTAATAATAAATCATTTATCTAACAGGTATAAACATTGGTTGGTTGTTTTATCTCCCCTTAGCTATACAACCACCTATTACCTTTTACATTTAATCATAAAATTTAATAAATAAATTAATTAATTAATTGAATTCATAATTATTTGAGTTTTTTATTGGGGATATCATTTTTTTATCTTCTGGTCAATCGTTATTCCCATTTTTCATATTCTAATTTGATTTTCTTAGAAAGGTAGAAATTTTCTTTTTCATCTTCGGTCAATAGATTCAATTCTTCCAGTTTGGATTAAACTAATTTAAAAATCACCTAAATTGATCTTATATCAATGGATCATACCTCTTCTTTAATGCCTCGATAAGTGTTTCTCTCAATTTAACAGCCCCTCTAAATCGTTCTAATCTAACATCATTGGCAATCATATCCGCCATTTTGAATCCTAATTAATAAAAGTAAGGTGAATGATATTTTAGATTCACAATTTAAGGATCTGCATCTAAAGCCTTCTAAAATTCATCTTCAAAAATCTCCAAAATTTCCACTGAAACTAGTTAAATACCATCATATTCTTATTCAGACATAATTTTTGCCATCCATAAGGGCAATTTCATAACATGTCCTCTTTACAAATTTCCATCTTCTGTATGAGCTTCTTTGTCTAGGAATTATCCCTTATACAATTCAACTTCTAATCTACATTCTACTAGGTGATCTTCACACAAAATGTCTTCGATGTTATAATACATTAAAATATATAAATTAAATTTAATGTTAAGAAATTGTGTACGACATTATTTCTGTTTAGATAGAATGGTTAGCTCTAAATTACACCTTGTAAAGGAGAAGGATGCAAAGACAGATTACGTCTATTACGAATAAAAAACTGTTTTCTCCAAGGAAAAGGGAAATAAGAAATATAAATTATTGGATGTCAAAGTCCCTGATATGAATGCTAAAAAGACTTAATTCTACGTTTTTGATAAAAATACTGTTCCAGTCCCAAGGTAATTTTATTACTATTCTCTAGATAAGTGTATATAGCTCCATTAAGAAAATATGTTAAATAGAAGCTCTAAAGAGATGAATTTATCCGATACAAAAAGTCCTAGACTACAATTCAAGAATAATAAGAAGAATAAGTAGATGAATTATGGGGTGAAAATCCTCCTATCAGATACTTTGAGAGATTAGTGGCTAAGGATTTATTTTTTAATTACAGAAGCCCAAGATTTGCTGAATATAACAACAGAAAAAATGATTTCCTCTCAAATCCCTCTGTTCATAGTGAAGTCAAAAACATCATCTAAGAAATTAAGTAGGCCTCAACAATCTAATTATCAAGAGGTAATTCTGGTCTCTAATTTTAGTTTATCATCCAAATTATTTCATTGAAGATCACTATAAAAAATTGCCTGATCTTTTTAATAAGCTCAAAGAAGCAGTCAGCTAGGCAAACTTTAAGGAAATCCCAAAAATAGCTTGGATGTTACAAAATTAGTTGTTATATAAGGAAGATATCTATAAGATCTGGGAAGTCATTGAAAATATTGTTAAACCATAAATACATCACTACACTATTGATGAATTGATCTTATTGAAAAGAGGATTAGCAACAACATATCCAAAGGCTGGAAGTTATGAATTACACAACTTAATTTATAATTTAGTCTCTTAAGAAAAGTTGAGTGTCGATTAAACAATTGAAGCACTTTATGCATTTAGAACATTTAATCATGATAAATTTGCTAAAGTCTTAATAGAAAATTTGATCAAATTATTACCTGAATATAAAGATAACCATTCAAAATTGGCTTAAGCCTTTTATTCAATTGCTAATAATTTGCCAAAAAAACATTTGAGAGCATAGTCTTTTGATGTTACAGCAAATGATAGGTATAGATTGAGTGTTATGAATGCTTTTGTTGGTCCATTAAAGGAAGGAAAATATAATATGGATGACATAACAAGGATTCTGCTAGGTGTCTCTATCTTAAAAGTACCAAGTATTTTATTTCAATTTATAAAGATTTTAATGATCTAATATTTTTACTAGAAAATTAATTACAAGAACCTGATGAATATTAATTAGTTCATATTCTATATGCTCTCTCAAAAGGAAACAATGGAATATAATCGGGAACAAATGAAACTTATAAATATTTAGAATAATTTGTCTCAAAGTACTTTGACCAATATGAAAACTTAGAAAAATCGAGAGTAATAAAATATTTAATATTTCTAAGATTTACTATGCATACTCAGCCATGCATTCTGAATTTGCCCAAAACCCTATATTCTTAAATTGGATCAAAGAGAATATGTTAAAATTCTCATTTTCAGAATTGTAAAATGTTGTCTATGGACTCATGTTTAATTAAGTAAGTGATTAAGAAATTTGGTCTAATTTCTTAAAAAATGTGGCAACAAAAAGCGAATATGTTCCTTTAGCTAATTATTTCGCTCTCAAATAAGCTAAGTTTTATATAACACAATTCTTTCCCCATTGGAATTTAAAACCATTTGAAGAAGCCTGTTAAAATGCTGAAAATATGTTCTTGGCTAATAGGACTGAAAGATAACATTTAGACTAACAAATTATAGATTTTTAAATCGTAATTAACTATTTAATTTATTTAGGATCTCAACACTCAGTTATAATATGATTGGAAAACCTATTATAATTGGAATAACACCTACTTTTTCAATATCACACTTCCAGATCATAGGATAGCTATTGTTTTAAATACACCAAGAACAACAATTAATGGAAAACCAAGAGCTTAATTGCAATTACAATAATAAGTATTGGCTACACAAGATTGGAAATTGTTGATTTTTGATTAGACAGAACTTTTTTCAATGAAAACTAAGGAGAGAGCTGCATTCTACAAAAAAACAATTGATGAAGCCATTGAATCATAGAAAGATAAGATGAAAGCTTGGGAAGAAGAGAGAAGAGACTAAATCTATGAATAATTATTAATCCAAGCTGAAAATGGTATAACTCCAGGAAAAAGATTCGTCAAAAGAGAAGATCTTATAGGTCTTTCAAGATTCCCTGTTTGATAAATTGATGCTAATTTAAAATCAATATTAAATAAATAATATCTGTAGATAATTTAACTCATATCAATTCATCAATTAATTTTAATATCTACAATCTTAATTCATCAATTAATATTTTTCTGACTACTTTTACTATTATATCATTTTTCAAATTATTAAAATACGCTAAAATCTAATTAAAATCTTTATTTTGATACTTCACCTAATTAAGAAAATAATTTAATATCTTGAATTCATTACGTAACTCAGATTTTATAGTTTCTTTAATATCTTACATATCAATTTCGAACTTAAAATCTTTCATTATTGATTCTATATTTTTATTTATTAATTCATCAAAGTAATTATCATGAATTGTTAATTGTTGATCGATATCATATATATTGATATTTTTTACTGCTTCTTAATTTTCATAAAATTTTGCAGTTTTTAATTCTTTAGCAATTTTTGGGAATGTATAATATAAAATCTACTAAAATTGATAACATTATCCTTTTTTATAATGAGTTTGGATGATTTACTTGAGATTCTCAACAACATTCTCGACCCTCCATGCCCTTTTCGAATTAAATTTAGTTAATTCTTTATCAACTATGTCACTTAATCGTTAATTTGTATTCCTAAAAGTAGAAAAAATGTCATCAACATTACATAAGAAGTTCTCAAATGATATATATATTCCTTTATTTAACAATAATTCAAAAATTTATTTAAGCTTTATGTGTTTATCATCAGATTTATTTTTTTTGAGTTTTTTGTTCTTCAGTTAGACCAAGATATCTATTATGATAGTTTTTATGGTTAATTCATCATCTGTTTTAGAGTTTTATTAATTATCTTTTTCATAAAAAGGACAATCGAAACCTACAAAATGTATGGAATATTAGAGATTTTTTGGTAATATTGTAATTTAGTGATTATTTAGAATTTTTAACCAAATTCTTTCAGAACTTAAATAATTATGTTAAATATTTTATTATTTAAGTTATAAGTATTTCGAGTAGATATGTTAACACAATTAAATTTGTTATGCAATAGTAAATCTTATCAAGTTAATTTCCTATTCTATTATCAATTATACAATACTTATAGATACAGTAGTAAACTTAATTGAATTGCAATTGAATTATTGATTGAATATTCAATAATCTTTAAATCGTCATTTAATCTAAAGCAATCAAAACCATCTATTTCTAACGTTCTTTTCATCTATTCGAAAGACATACTATAAGTATAAGTTAATTTGCTTTCATAATTAAGCCCTTTCATTTATAACAAAAAATATTATTATAGAATTATTAAAATTTACCTTTATATATTATGATTAAAGATCAAAAATATTACGAGCATTTTATTTTTAAGATTTAAAACCTTAAGTATTTATAATAGAATTAATGACGGTTCTTTTTAAATCATTTTTGATAAGCTGTTATTATATGCTTAAAAAGGACTAGACTGAATGAAAGGTATTGATAATATTATTTGATGTGATTGGGGCCTTCAAAAAATTATAGAATTAAATATAGCTTGATTAGCATTTTAAAGAAATTCTTTTTCACCATTTGGCAGAAATTTTATATTCAGATTATTACAAAATTAAATATGAATATGTAATGATAATAAACAGTAAGCATAAAATTTAGGATGGTTTTTATTTAAGTTTATTTAAGAATGGAGATGGAATCATATATATAGTAATTTCGAATTGAATTATTAACTTTAATGATTCCCATTGGGATATATCCTCACTTTGTTTTTCCGGACCTTTAAAGGCTAAAATGTTCATAATATCGTTAATCATGTGATGGTTTAATAAAAATTAACAATCTTGAAGAAATAATCAAATATTAAAATGAATTATTTAAAAAAATTGAAAATCTAATTGAGAACACTTGTTTCATGAATTCATAGTTTCTTTATAATAAGGAGTGCTCCACATCTATTTTTATTTTCCTTATTGTTGATATTGGTTGAAATTCATCATTCAAATGCAATATCGGAATGTGATTATAAAGATCATCACTCGATGTTATTGTAATTAGATTTGAATTTTAAGCATTACGAACAAAAATTTACTTAATTTCTGCAAAATGATAAAGCATTTTACATTTTCAAATTTTTAGATAAATTTTTTACCTCGAAATTCAATAAAAATTAAATAGAGATTACACTTTTATTGAAAAAATTGCTATAAATTTTAATTGAAATTTTATGAATCGGAACAAATACAAGAAATATTGTATTTACTGAAATAAATCTAGAAGATTAAAGATATTTTCATGGGTTTAAAGAATGTAAGAAAGTGTCAGTAGAAAATAAATGCTTTTGAAGTAGAGATGTTTATGCTTTTCTTAGAAACTAACTCTAATCCTTCATACCAAATATGCTATCGGCTTTATGCTTGCTCATTTCCACATTTTTTTAATTAATTTTTATCACAATTCTCACGGAGTAATTAATATATGACATTAATTATAAAAATTAATTATTAATTTAATTGAAATTTTAATAACGATTTTAGAATATATAGATATTACATTTATTCTATCCTTCTTTATTAGAATCTTGCACATTCCTTATCAATTTTCTTCAGAGTTTTAAAGATTGCTTAGTAATTATTACTAGTTATTTTTGTTTTATGTTCACACCTTATTCTCCAGAGCCTGAAATACGAATGAGACTATACAAAAGGGTTTGATTTAGGGAAAAGTTATTTAATATAAATATTTACACCTAATTGATGTATAAGTTATTCAATAATCTTATTTTATAATCAAATGGATTCAATTAAACTTTTCTCATAAGTTTTTAATATGTGAAAAATTGTTTGGATTTTTTACTCCCTTATAAATCTGTGATCTATATCTCATATGCCAATTATGCTACACGATCTTAGAGTTAAAAATATAGTTTATTGCGTATTTCTTTATAAATATCCGACTAATATATATATATATAAGAATTTACCTGATTATTCTGAATGCCTTTCTGAACTCCTCCTCTTCAGGGTCATCAGAGTGTTGTAAAAGGCTACTGAAGATCCTTATGTTTAACAGTTATTTTTTGTAGACAGTAATCTTTTCCAAGAATTTTATCACCTTCAACTAGTCTTTAAGAATTTCCAAACAAAGATTTTGATTCTTACAGGCAAAAGTTATGATACTTTTGCAGTAATTCTTCGGTATGTTCTTAGTATCCTTCTAGTCTTGTAGGACGTTCACTTCCCGCTTCTTATGTATAGGAAGTTTAATTGTTGGAGTAGGTGAGTTGACTGGAGGAGGACAACAGTATTGGACAGGCCCGAAGTTGGGATAGTATGAAAGCTCATTTGACATTCTTAATTCTAGTTTATCGGTCCCCAAATGAACCTAAGAATATTAACTACTAAGTACCATAAATTCATTCATAGAGAGTTGTAATACAAAAGGGTACTTTGGTTAATTATGGTTTTTGTTTTAAGCTTATTATAACTTGTTTAAGGCTCTCATGAATTTATGAATAACAGCCCATTGTTTTTAAATTGATATCAAATTTTCGCTTGTCTAATCTAATAGAAGATACTTATAATTTGTACAGTAAGGAATTGGTCTTGGAATGCTGACTGGAGCTGGGTTTGTTCGTTCCTCTTGCTTAATACCATATATTTTCATTTCGATATAAAAAAAACAAATCTTAGATTATTATATGAACTAATCCAATAATCATAATATTTAATTGAAAGTCTCTTGTAGATTAGTGATCAATTGTCTAATCAACGATCATTTATTTTTAGATTTACTTGTTTCTAGTATCAATTTATGCTGTTTTATGTCGGCTTTCCCAACTTTGTAACAGAATATGAGTCAAATATTATAAGCATTGCATTATAAAATGCACATATTGAAATAATCTAGAATTTAAATTCTGATATTATGATACATAGAACTATTTAAAAATTGACATCAGGGCTTTTTCGTTATAATATATATTCTAGAACAAAATAAAACAATTGTTCATTTTTAGCAATAAATGATGTAGCTTAGTCAATTTGACCTATTCAACACCAGGAATTTCTTGCGCTATATTAAAAGTTGATTTCGCTAATATAAAATTTAAAAAAATAGATTTTATATTTAATTATCATTAGTATACTAACTAAAATTAATAATAAAATAATATTTAAGGTAAATTTATAAAAAATATATGCTAGTGAATAAACTAATAATATTTTTCCAACTATTCAAGTCTATTCGAAATCTATCATATCTCTTAAAATCAATATTGTTGCAATTCAACTGTTTTGCAAAATCGAATGGCTTAATTAATGATCAAATATTAGTTCACAAGTATCATAAAATAAATATAAACATTTTTTAAAGAATACTATTTAATTTAATATGTTGAATATTTTTTTAAGATTTCTTAAGTTCAAATATTCTTGTATAAGGGATCTAATATTCTGTAGAACATGTATATTATTCATACTAAAGGGTAATTATTATTCTTCCTTTTATCATTTAAAAGTTCTTGACTTAGACTAATAACAAAAGTCTTTCATAACTAATAAAATGTTTCTAATTTATAATAATATATTTATTGAATTTTGTTCTATAAATAAAATAGAAAGCAAGTTCAATTTTTTATTATTGCCAATTTTCTATCAACAAAAAATAGAAAATTTGTATATAAATCAGATATAAGTGAGGGAAAGTACAATTTACATATTAAAGGTAGTTGATTTCTTCGAAAAAAATTAAATATTTTAATAGAAATATTTAATTAATTTTAATAAGAAAGCAAAAATTAAATTGCTAATATTCAATTAGCAAGCTTATAAGAGAAAGATATTCCTTTTTAGAGTTTTCCTTATTGCTTAATCTTATATTAGTATATTGCGATAATTAATTTTATTATTATTAAATGCCATAAGTTTAATCTATCAATTTAGTAGAGATGGAGTACTCAAGTGATATACCGTTCAAAAATGATCCAAGTTTTTGACCATATATTTACAGGTTTGTCAAAACAGGTAAAAGATACAACATCAAATTTAAAAATTCATTAGGGGTGTAAGTCAAATGGTCCTAAGTGTATTAAAAGATTTGAGCATAATGTGAGCAATTTCGAATATTCTCAATTCATATTTATGAATTAGATTGCTTTTTCAGCAAGGAATTCAATAAAGGCATTGATACCTCTCTATCTACTGCTGACATTAAATTTTTATTGATGTAGCAGGATTAAAAGGTTAGTTAAATGAATAAGAGATACTGATTTTATATTTTATATGAATTTGAGATTATTCTTGGTTTAGATTTGGATTATGATCAAATAAAGTTTAAATAAAATAATATTATATAAGATCATAAAATAGCAAAAAATGTTAATGCTAATAATATAAAATTGAATTAGATTTAATTACTTGATCAAATAAAGGATAGCAGTCAAATATGAATATCATATGATCAACAATTGATTGCCTTTATTGCTATGTAATTATATCAGTGATGATAGCTTGAATTTCGACATCATTTTAGATTAAAATTTTTTTAATAAAAATTTATAATAATATATTAAAATGAATATTTGCCCTATCCGATATACTCCATATTTGAATAATTCTAAAAGAAGACAAAGGATGGTTGATCCCAATAGAGCAAAAAGCTCTCAAGGGATGAGATTAAATTCTTCAAGTCAAAACAGATGCTCTACATAATAAAGTCCTAACAGAACTCCTAGTTAAGGCGAATTGCAACAATTAGAAGTATGATGAGATTTGTTTTGAATGATAGATTTAACATCAGGCTGGACCAATTGCACAGGTAATAGTTAATTGAGTGTGTGTTTAGAATTAATAATAATTGTTTCTGTCAACCCAGATCAGGAGAAGTCCGTCATTTCGATTGAAGAATTATCATGCAGCCGAAATAACATCGAGTACACAATCAAATTCACACTAGAAAAGACAGAATTTTATTGTAAGCGGAAAGTATTGTATATATTAAATATAGTTAAAGCAAGGAAGAGAGAATAAATAGAATAAATTTCTTAGGTGATTTATTACAATAAATGGAGTAAAATGGATAATAAACAAAGCAATCTCTGTCTACTGAAATGACCACAGTACCTAAACCGAAATTTGAAATTCTGAATGCAAGAACATTAACTGAATATGAATAAAACATAGAAGAATTGCATTTCTACCTTGTAGATTCCTAATAAAGAACAAAATAGTATGCTCAAGTAATTGAAAAGCAAAAATAAATAAATGAATATAATTGAATAACTAATATATTATGCATGCTTAAAATCATTTAGGCATTCCAGGAGGAGGTGGAGGTGGGACAGGTAGCTATTAAGGGAACGGTTTGTAACCTTCTTGTAAGGGTTGGATTTAAATGGAGGGAGGAGGAGGTAAAGGAATTCTCAATTCGGTTGGCATATATCCAACAAAGCCTAGGAGTGCTTTTTGTGCCAAAGGTCTATTGGCAGCTAACAATCTTTCTGCCTAACTTCCATGTCTTTCTCCCTTAGCATCCTTTTTGAATGCATACTCAACACGAATGATTTTGGTTCCCAAAAATTGTCCATTCATGGCTGTCAAAGCACCATCACTAGATTCAAAATTATCATAACTAACAAAGCCATAGCCTTTGGATACTCCAGTCTCAGGATTCCTCATAATCTAGTATAATTAAGAATTCAATAACCTTAGTTGATAAGATATGCCCAAAAGCTGAGAATGTTTCATAGAGTGTTTTCTCATCTATTTCGGTGTCTAGATTGCCTATAAACAGATTGGCACCAACTTCTTAGGTCCTTTTATCTTGTGATGCTTTATTGACTTTGATGGGTTTTCCATATAATTTTATCATATGCATGATTTTGATGGCATAATCGGCATCTTCCTCGCTCTTAAATTCCACAAAACCATAACCTTAATGTTCTCCAGAAATTTTATCTTTTGGAATATGAACATTAACTACAGGTCCACATTGAATGAACAGTTCCCACACTATGTCATCTGTGACTTTCTGATCTAAATTACCAATGTATATCGTAGCCTCTTAATTTCTTTCATATAAAGGAGGTACTACTCCTGCCAACGCCAAGGACATCTTTTAAATGTATTTTAATTATATTATTCGAATATTTATATTGAAATTTTGTATTTATTAGAAGTTAGAAGTTTTTACTATTCATGGTTTCATTATATTCCTTGAATACAACAGCATTTTGTTTCATTAAAGTACTATAAACCCAATAAACAAATTTGATTGTTTGATAAATAAAATTTATTTGCAATCGAATGAGTGATTTCTAAACCAAACAATATGTAACACAATCTTCCCAAAGACAATATACTTCAGGCTTCAAGGATAATGTTAGAAGCATCACTTAGGATAGAGTGGAATAAGTAATCTCTAGGGAAACACCTAAAGTATAAGTAAAATTATCTGTTATTTCAAGACAACCACAGTGGAAGTAGAATAAAGAAGTGCCACAAAACTCCCTAGAATGCAATCACAACAAGTCTTGAGAACTCAAACCCAAGGTTTTGTTGGAGGATAAAGTTATATTTCAAATATGGCTGCCATTCCTTAAATTGGATATTAAGGCAACTATTCTGTACAATAAAATTGCGTTGCTGCTCAACCATTATGCATGAATGTTATCGTAGTTTCAAAAGAGGAAATCGAAGCTCCCTGGAGATTGGAATGCGAATATCTCTAATCAGTAATTGCTGAATTGGAAAAGAGAAAAGAGGTCTAAGTCGTTGAAAAAGTAGTTGAAAAAGAAAAGGTAGTCGTAGACAACTCTTAAGTACAATTCTTGGAATCACAATTACGTCAATTAAGATCAGAAAATGATTAGCTATAGCTGCAACTATAATCAATGAGAGGAGAAATTTAATTGAGAAGCTCTTAAACTGAAGATCTAGCTGCTAAAGAAAGAGAGTTTTACAATCTAAGAATTAAGTTTGAAAGCTAAATTTAAGACTTAGAAGGTTAAATCAGAAGATTATAGGAAGAAAATGGTAGATTAAGGAAAGAAAATAATGATTTACTTCTCAAATTAAGAGATTATGAGGTATCTACATATACGCTATAAAAAAAAGAATAAAATTGCTATGTTGTCATCAGAAATCGAAAGACTTGCTTATTCTATCAAAATTAAAGATGGAGATCTTGAAGATTTGAGATTCAGATATGAACAATTAGAATCATAAGGCCAAACTGTTATCCAAGAAAAAGTGACATACTTATCATCTGAAGTGGAAGTTTGGAAATAGAAGTTCATCAAGGTCAATCATGATTATAATGAATGCTAAGAAGAATTAACCATGTGTCAAGCTGAATTAGAAGCCCTTAGGAAAGGATAAAAGAAGGTAATTATTTTACTATTGATTTTAATAGGAAGTTGTTGTATCAACCTCAAAAGTAGTAACTCGTACAGGTGGAACTACTACAACATCTTCAATGGGATAAACAAGAGGAAGTAGAATTTATGAGTAATTTTAATCATGAAAAATAAATATACAGTTTATATTCAGAAAATTATCAATTATTAATTTATATTCGCATAAGTAAAATTTATATATTCAATATGATTATTATTCCAAGATCTCTATCAAACTAGATATTTATAATCATATATGATCTATAATAAATGATTCAATTTAAATTATCTAAAAATTTTAATGCAAAAATTAGAAATCGGTATTCCAAAATACGGTTTATGAATTAAAATAGTTGGCAAAGCAATTCATTTCTGATAAAGATGTGATTATTAATCAGAATGGTATTTTTATTAGTATGCACTGATTTTAACATTTAAATATATTAATAAAAATTATAATTTTTGTGTTTGAGCATTATGGATGACATTAGAAAAATGGTTATCGATGAAGAATAAGAAAGATATAATCAAAGAGAAAATTTATTAAGAGAATAATTTGGATATTCCTTAAATGATAATTTAAATTAAGAGCTTATTAATCAAATTCCACCTGACATTTACTTGTGGTACTATATTTGATATCCATTTTTAAAGGAAAATTCTATAAAAAATAGAATTCAGTTAGAAGCTTAAAAGACTCAATACAAAAAGATTAAAAAATGATTAATAATTTAGGAACATAAGAGTTAAAGAGTTCATACGTCGTTGTTTGATTGAAATAATATACTTACATTCATATATAGTTGAAGCAAAAATGAAATCGCAAATGATCACTCATTAGATTTAAACTTTAAAATAGTAAATCAAAATCTTACAAGAAAATTAATAATAAAATTGTGATTAAACAAATCGACTTACAATCAGCTACTCACATAACAAAAGCTAGAAGTCTAAAGTATTTCAAAATTATATAATTAAATGCAAAGTAGCACTCAATTAATAAGAATAATAATCAATTTATTCATATGGAGAGGATAAAATTTGCTCGTTTGTGGTTTAGCCAGAGATTGAAAATATTTTAAATTTTATAATTTTGGGCAAAAATATTGATAATGGAGATAAATTTGAGATTTTAGCAACAAAAAAATTGAATTTGGATGAAATACTAGCCAAATTTGATGTACTTTCATTTTCAAAGAAATATATAAAACATCAAATAATCAATTTGAATATAGAATTAAATAGAATATAAATTCCAAATTTAGAATTTAGATTTTAATTGTAATTGCCTTATCAATAGAGAATTGTACTAATTGAGGGAATGTTGGAGAGACAAAGACCACCTCTAGATTAATATAATGAAGAAATTGAATAGAATAGTAATTTTATTAAATAAATACTTGTACCATTTCATGATGTTGTTTATATTTAAGGACAAGGCATAAAACGTAGAAACAGGGAATCATGCTCTTCATGCATTGTATTTTGATATTATTTTATTGATAAATTTCTATTCTTATGAAATGGACAAATTAATTAAAGTAAAATTCAGTGTTTTTAATGCAGCAGAATATTTATGAATTGCTATTCTGTAATTTCTCCTTATGCACCACATTCTATTAAAATTTGTTACCAGATATCATCCTCTACTGTTCCAATCATCAATTCAAGTTCATTTTTTGATATTTTCCCATCCTCATTCGCATCAAATATTTTGAAAGCAGCTTTGACTTTTTCTAACGAAACTAGCTTCTCTTAGTTCATGGCAGCCATCAAAAATTCTGGAAATATTAAGATATAATAAATTACCAGAAAAATCTACTTGTCCACTTTGGTTTATATCTACAATTGATAGAATTTTATCAACTTCTTAAATAGCTTATTGTTTATTTCTAAAAACAGAAGTATAACCTTCTATCAATTCATCTCTTGATAGAATTCCATCTCCATTTTTATCTAAAAATTAAAATGATTTGGCTAATTCATCTTATTCCTATTAAGAAGTCATTTAACACGCTATATATGCAAGCACTGCTTAAGTAAAGACAGATTAAGCCTAAATTAACTTAGTATATACTTGAAACTTTTATAAATTTTGTAAAGCTGTTTTATTCACTTTAGTACTCTATTAGTTCTTTTTGATCCAGGGATCTGATAAAGCCTCCTAAGCAGAGTATCTCTTATTGGGATCTACTTGTAACATATTTCTTATGAGATCTTTAACTTCTGTGGATATCATTTCCCAATCCTCTTCTATTCTAATTTCGAAATTCAAATCTTACACTCAAAAATTAATTCTCCCTCACATACCTTTTGCATAATTTCTTCCTCTGTTTTACCAGTAAAAGGAGGATATCCACATAACAATATGTATAAAATTATCCCACAAGACCAGACATCGCATTTTTCATTATATTCCTACTTTAAAACTTCTGGTGCTATATAATATGCCTAAAATTATTAGTAATTTTAGATACTGTTCCTAATTTCTTGGTCATTTTTTAATTTTACTCATATTTTCTTGATGTTCCAAAATCGATAATTTTGATTGGAGACAATTAAGAATCATTAACAAAAAGCACATTTTCTGGTTTGAGATCTCTATGAACTATGCTTCTTTGATGACAATAGACAACTGCTGATAAGATTTGTCTCATTAATTCAGCTGCTTTTCTTTCACTAAAATAATTGAATTCTTTTATTCTATCAAACAATTCCCCTCCTTATAAATATTCTGTTATCAGATAATAGTTATGTTGATCTTAATATAATTCATACAGTTTCACTATATGAGGATGATCCAAATTTTTTAAAATATTCATTTCTGCAAATAACCTTTATTACTCCTCAATTATTATCGATTTCTTTTTCAGTTCTTTCATCGCTCTTATCATACCTAAATCAATCTATTAGAACAGTACCAGTATTTTTATGTGTCACCTTCCAAACCTTTCCGTAGGCTCCTTGTCCTAAGATTTCCCCTGTTTCATAATATTTGTGGATGCTACCAGATTTTAGATTGATAAACACTTCTGCTCCCAATTTTACAGAACCAACTGACGAGTTTGTTATCTTTCTCTGAAATTTACTTCTTGGAATTGCTATTTCGATAAATCTATAATACTGTCATACTTGATTCTATCTGGCTTTCTTGTTTCTGAAACAATTTATTCTAACAAGGTATTTTATCTTGCATCTAACTTAGATCTATGGATCCTGAACCAAGAACTTCAAAATCCTTGTAGTTTTCTTTTTGACAATTAATTATTTCTTCATCACTTTTTTAATCCCTCTTAATTACAGATCTTTTAGTTTGAGTATGAGCACTTCCTCTTAACTTTTGACTGTCTATATCTATTTCATAAACAGTTAATTTAGTTGGTAAAGTGCAGCATTAAGCTCCCATTTATTTTAATTATTTCATTCTTAAATTCAATTCATTGAAAAATAAATATCATTTTTTCATATTTTTTATAGATCCAATAGAAAAACACAGAATTAAATTTTATTCATGTTTTAAACTAATACATCAATTAGAGATAAAAAATGGGTTTAACAAAAAATGAAGTTAATTAAATTTACAAAAAAGCACTATTTACTTCAATCAAAATATTTGATTATTCATGATCATTTTATATAATAGATACGATGTTTAAACATAAATTATATAGGATTGATAAGTTTTCTATTAATAGCAAACAAACTCATAGGTTGCATTTATTGTTATTTAATAATTACACCAAATCGATTATATCAAATTTAAATGTAAGATAAAGATTAAAATCATAATTGTATCTACAATTATGATTTTAGACTTATAAGAATAGTGACCATAAAAATAATAATGATCATAAAATTGAGTATAATTTATCGGTTATTATACTCAAATATTATAAAATCACAAGAATCTTCTTCCTGGCGTTATCTATTTTTAAGATGGCGATAAACTTGAACATAACATAATTTCAACATTTTAGGTTTATTAAATATTTACAGTTGTCTAAACTCTTTTAAATACATGTATTTTGATTATTTTAAAGTACTTTTATACTCTTGCTTTTCTTTTGCTACTCAATTCAAACAATTTTGAATTTTGCAGATTTTATAAGTTTAAACATCTAACTATCTTAGTCTTTATATAATCAATTATTAATTCGTATTTTGAACTAAATACTTGAATGAACTTCAAAATTGATTTAACTATCAAGATTATGAATGACATTAGAATTAGGAGCTAACATATAATATTCAGCCATAAATTAAATTCTTAAATTTCGTATTGCAAAATGCACAAAAGGATTGACCATATACATATTTAAATTGCCTATGATTCAAATTAATTTAGCTTGCCAACATTATATGGTTTACTCAAACTAAATATAATTTGATAAGCAAAAAGTAGTCCAATCAACATTATACCCTTGATTACAATAAAATCCTATAATAACACTATGATAAGTATTAATAGCTATCTGTACATCAATTTTACTGATTCCCAATAATAATGAGTTTTAGAATACTCATTAAATAGATATCCATATTTTTATTTAATTTTGTAATTGCTTAGGTTATATTTATTTTAGGATAGCCTTAAAAATAAGAACAAAGGTATAATTAGTCCAAACATTATTAATAAAGGTAAAATGAGAGCAAAAATTACTTTCTAATGAGTGGTTGTCCAAAAACGATATGAAAGATTTGCTGATATCCATTCCACATTGCTTATCGTTTTTGGAGTTATTAATTCAGCTAACCTAATTTATAATATTCAATTTTACAATTTTATTAAATTAATTTGTCCTGATAAATATAAGTAAAAGAATGATGAATAGACAGTCTCCAAAGAAAAAAATCTTGGTCTTGATAATTTTATGAAGAATGATAATAAAAGATAAAGGACATACTACAAAAATTGAACCTATAAGATCCAAATCAAATTCAAATATATTATATCCAAATATTCAATCTTGGATATATAACAATCAAAATTATAAGTGGTTGAATATGTAGAATTACCTATAAATTAAAATAGACTATCTAAATTTGAGATAAATTCAACCTTAAATGTGTAGACTACCATAATAATCTAAAAATAATTACTGATAAGTTTAATCACTGAACTTGATTAATCTATATTTCATAAATATAATATACCTTAAGAAAGCCTTACTAAAATATCATAAAATTTTGTTTGAGATTTGCTCAAGAGAAACTTTTGATTTTATAATTAAGTGCCTTTAACAGCTAGGACTATTTACGAAAAAGCCCAGATAAACGCTAATAGGAATTCAACAATCAAGAAACCAGAATTTGTACATTAGGAACATTTATAATCTCTACTTTTTGAGAATTGGCCCTAACCCCTCACATTATAAATATCACATGCCTCGCATAAAGCTCCTATGTGACCTATAATGCATGTTATGTCTCCTGTTTCCCATCCTCCTAAACAATTTGATGGATCGTTAGAACAGTATTCAGCAATAGGAGTTAAAATATTCAATCTCCAAAATCCTTCATAAAGATTTAATAGATTTTCTGTATGATTTTGTATAGAATTCGGATTTGCCTTAATGCATTCTCCGTTTAATGGATTAACACTGTAATATCCTCGAGATGCGTTGCATTTTAAACATTAATCTTCATAGAAAAACTCTCCCATCTAGCATTTATAAGCTTTTGCAAATAATTCATATTAATTATTATTTTCAATGTTATCGCATGATATTTTGATCTTTAATAAGTCCCCCGAATAGGGATTCAATACAAATGTATTGTTTTCTAAATTTAATTCACTCCTATCTGTATTAAATTCTGCGCTGAACATAGTAATATTATCCTATAAAACATTGTACTCCTTATCAATTAAACTACTTGTAATATTGCATTTTATAGAATAATTATTTATGATTTATTTTTCTTGGAAGCTATTTAAAATTATAAATTTCAGTGAAAACTCTAAGCTTTAATATCTGAGAACTTTTGTGTTAAAAATTTAATATTGTTTTAGTGTCTACCCACTTGGCAAATAGACTAAATATTATTCTGAACTGCCCTAATCTTTAAATGCAGATATTTATGAATAATTTGCAATAACTTGATTCTACAAAACTGAATGACTCAGACTTAAAGAGTAAAATTCAATTCCAAAAGTATTAATTGCATATTTAGCTACATTATTCAAGAATAATGAACTAAAAGTCAAAACTTGTCTATCCTGTATAGATATATTTGAACAATAAATTGCGCCTACCAAGGGAGCACTATTATTGATAAAGTATGATGATTAAATTTTTAGAGGACTGTTTTGTAAATATATTGCACCTGCCATTTCCATAGCCCTATTATTCATAAAATACGATTATTTAATCAAATAGGTTAGATTACTCAGAGTTAGTTAACCATTCTTTGAATTATCATTATTTAACATGTATATCTGTTTTAAAATTACTTCAAGCATGCGATATTGATCATTTGATCTAATTCTTAAACAAGTTGATCGAGTGCATTTGTTGTTTAATAGATATAATAATTCAAATTTAGATTTCACCTAAGTTTAGTAATAAATATCAATTAAAGCCATTGAAAATGAATTCGTGTGAAAATTAAGGATAATGCCATTACAGAATCTAAAATTTCTAAAAGTATCTAATAATCTTATCTAAATTATGCTTTCGACATCTTAATACACTTTAGATAATTAATTTATCAGGCAATTATTTATTTTGAGAGCAATAGATTTTTCACTAAGACTTGGTAAATGGATAATTTCATATTTATAAGATGAATAACATGATTTTGCATAAAAGGCTTCAGGAATTGTAACTTTAACTTGTCTTGCTTTGAACGACTTGATAAATAAATCTTTGTCTTGAGAACCTTTATATATAGTTATTTTTTACTTTTAATCGATTCAAATTCTATAATTGTATTACTTGTCTATTCCCCTACCTCTAAATTGAAATTCATGATGTGCAGATTTTGCATATTTGATAGATAGAAAACAGGTTAGGTAATAATTTCGAATGATAGGTTGATGTTGATTAATTATATTTGGCTAAACTAAATATACAAATGTACCAGTAATTGAAATATAAATATCCATTTGTTATTTTTATATATTCGAGTTCATTGTCTTTTAATTCATCATAATTGCTTGTTATATACTCCATCTGGGCGTATTCTAATTGTATATCAATGTTCTTTAAAATCACAACATTTTAACTTGTCTACAATGAAAATTCAACACTCATAAAACCTCTAAACATTGAAAAAACACCAGTGGCTTTTATATTTTCTAGTGTCAAGAGATTTGAACGATCTGAAGGAATTAAAAATAAAAATCCACCATCATAAAGGGAAAAGGAATGGGAGATAGTTATATTGATCATTTTAAGTATTAAATTTGTGTCTTTTGCATTTATATAAAAGGATCCTCCTTTGCTTTCTTATGCCTAGATAGATTTGCTATTGTGTATATAAGTATTTTATATCAATAACCCACAATCTAATATCAATTCAATCTTACAAAACCCTCCCAGCAAAGCAACAGAATTTTAGTTAGCAATATTATTTAAAGTTAATTTCTGGCATAAGATATTGAAAACACTTCCTTCGGACTTAATTGGAAATAATTATTATAGGGATGAAATAGATATCTTTGTGTATTCTTAGTTTAAGTGAGTGTATATTTATTCAGTAAAGTAATTCGATTCAATATTGGTAAAATTTTGAAGTGAAATAGATTTTAATTCTAAATATATTAAAGCATTAGTGCTATTAGTAATTATGTTACTTTTTAAATAGCTGTTTAATAGTTCTAGAGTACTTTAAGCAGCAACAACAGAAATTATTGTTAATTGCTCAGATACTTTTCTTAATCTCTCATAGTTATTTCCAAATACATTAGTAATTGCAAATTATGTAAATGAGATCATTGATTATTTTGAAATTGAAATAGCAATCATAGTAGTTTGTGCAGTGCCTTATAATTACAAAAGTATAATATCATTAAATTTTAAATTATCTATGTTTAGAGTTATTTAATTTTAAACATCTTTTATATTAATAAAGTTGTTATTGCAAATCATGACATTTTAGATTTAAAAGTCTTATATCATTAATGAAGTGAAGTTATAAACATTTAAAAATTGCATTCGTAGTGGACAATCAGAAAACTCTGCTTCATGATTAATTCGGAAATCATTGTTGTCACCTTATATGAAAATGTTGTATAATTCTATTTTATTTGAATTTAGAATATCAATTTAAATTTGGTTAGAATTAAAATTATAGCTAAAGTAATTTTTAATAATTAGCATATCTGCTTGAACTAAAAACAAATTAGATGAATAATTTTGATCGTTTTTAAATTATGTTAAATCTCTTACTTCTATATTCAAAAACTAAACGAATCTTATGATGTTTTAGGATAATCTCAATAATGATGAATCCATTTCCAATTGTGATAATAGCAATTAATTGATTATTAGAAACTCTTTTTGATATGCAGTTGAAAGTTGTTATATAAAATATATAAATTGACTATTTCTAATAGTTGTATTTTGGATTTTAGTAGAATATATCTCAAATTTAAGATCTGCTACAAAAAAGTTTGAATTTTTAAATTAATTATTCATAATCGTTAATGAAGCTAATCTAGTTTATGTTGCTGTATAATTAGAAAAAAGAGAACTTGAAGTAAAATTGGCTGAGTCTAATAGTGAAATCTTTCAATTAACAAAGATTATAAGTAAAGGCACAACTAATTGTCCTAAAAATATGAAAAAAGTAAGAATTTTATAAAGCTACAGTTTTTAAATTCGACATGCATTATAGAAATTTTATTTCTAATCAAATATTATCTACCAATTAAGTATATTGGAAAAAATGCTGGAAGTTTATTAATTTCGCAATTTATAAGTTTAAGATTTATTAAGTTGATTTTAATACTAGTAGATGAATTAGAAATAGACAGTTTAAATAAATGGAAGTTTTATATATCAACATTGATAAGAGTCAAATTATTGATAGATAGACTAGTGATATTAAGAAGAAGGAATATGTATTTTTAGAAATTTACATAATGAGTTTAATTAAATATTAGATTATTGATGTAAATATCCACTCCATATTTTGAAGTGGTCTTAATTAATTCGTCTTTATTTAATTCTGAAATTGTAATGGTGAGGTTAGTTATATTAACGATCTGATAATCAATAAAATATAGAGATACAAGTTATTATTTTGATGAGTTATCTAAAACTGTTATTTATTGAATAGTATGATTTTCATAAGATTCTGAAATCTTCTATGATAGTCTTTTGTACTAATATACTCCATAGGGATTATTCAAAACATATAGGAAATTCATTCTTTAAAACACTTACTATTTGAAAACATCTGAATATTGATCTTTCCAAGATAGATCTTGAACAGTCAATTAGTTTGAATATCTAACTTAATTATCTCTTTTGATTTTCACTTTACCTGAAAGTTAATCAATATAATGAGTTGAAAAGTCGGTTAAGAAACACTTTAATTGTGTGCTATCTAATAAAGAAGGAAGACATATTTTGCATTAATAAGGACATAAATAACATATCCCAGAACTTAGAGTCGTGGTTTATGTATCATCTGAATTACATTTTATACAAACATTATCATAATATTTGCTGCAATAAGTAATAATCTTATCTTCTTTGCATTTTTTCGACCATTTGTCACTTTAATAACACATACCTATTTGAACTTCATAGACATAATAAGGTGGATAAAAGAGTACTTAGCCTTTAGAGATAGCTAAAAGCAAAGGTTATAATTATTGGATCGTTATATCATATTGATTCTAGTATGTCAATTTACATTCCCGGAAATTCTCATCGCAAGACTCGCAATATCCATAAGAATTCTAAAAGAAGCCCTTGAAACATGTAGTACAATACAGTTTATTGGTGTTTGTTTTAACACAATTTTAACAGGATTTCAAATATTTAAAACAATCTGAAATTTCAATTCCTTCATCAAAATTCTATGTTAATGTTGTCAAACAAACTGGTTAATTATTTTAATCAATTAGATAATTCTCACAAGATTGAGAAATTTGCAATTTCAATTAACAAACATTCAAAAAAAAATTGTAAATGTAATTGTCCTCACATAAAGCACATCCGATTAGATAATCCTCATTAGTAATGATTTCTTCATAATTGGTATATGTAAGAGTTGAAACAAATATCCCATCAGATTATTAAAAATATTGAAAGCAAAGTTTACAATTCTGAATAGAGCATTAAACACAATCTTTGTTATTTAAAAGTAAAACATCGTTATCATTAATGCACTCTTTACAACGATTAGTAGGACTACAACATTTACACTAGCCATTACAAGACTATCCTAAGCAACGTTCATTTTTTAAATCGAATTAAGGAAGTTTACAGGATTAGGTCTAACTATCATACCCAAATTTACATTCTACATAGGTGTCTTTACCTAAATGCTGTTCTTTAATAAAATTGCACATATAAGATACAGAAGTATGCAGACAAAATTAAATGCAAAAGTTGCACATTCTTAGTTCATGATCGATAAATAGATATAATGAGTTGATAGAAATATAATCAACATCATAGTTATATTCCTCCTTATCATAATCATATTATATTTTGCTGAGTACATACTCTGAACAAATAGAATTTTAAATCCAATTTTGCCAATTGTCCAGGCATTCAAGACAAATCAAATCTCCTTTTTGAGAAGCTGATGGACTCGTCTATATAATAAATAAATTTACCATTAATAACAATCACCTTCAAATAAGAAATATCCGTATGAACAAACAATATTAGGTTCAATTTAATCAAATTTGTCGTTATTAGAATCTTCAATGTATGATACTTCCATTTAATTAATATCAGAAATGGAGAAACATTTTGTAGAATTTTACTCTATAGTCCAAATTTAACAAGTGCAAGTATGATTATCAGGATCATAGTTCCTGTATGAGTTTTCTTGACAACTTAAACAACTGTTCTTCAAAGGTCCATTGCAAGTAGCACATGAAAAATGGCATTGATATGTGTCGATGAATTCTTCCTGGCAATTTTTAAATTTGAACTGATTCACTTGTCCAGCATATTATTTTTAATTCATGCTGTCTCCAAAAATCAAAGAAAATTAGGAATACGAAAATTGTCTTACAGTTTCATCTTTAAAATTAATTCTTCTCTGTTAGTCTGGATAGAATATTTGTATAAATAACTCATTAAATTAATATTGGATAATTGTATAATGCCATTAATAAATTAGATAAGAATCTATCTCTTCAATTTATTATACTTTGATTAATGATTCAATATAATCTGGATCGTAAAGTATATACGGATATTGATACGAATAATAATGAACAGTAACCAAAATCTAATTATTATGTTTCAATTCGTAATTAATCATTAGAGTATTGGTCCCTAACGAATATTAAGGATTAAGTTAAAATTAAGTGCTGATGTGGATTAGAGATACGATATCATTAGAATCTAAGGGTGTTGCAAATCTATGCCAGAAGTACATGGAATAATCCTTGTAGACAATAAATGGTAATGTAAATTGCCAAGTATTATCCTAATCATATTCCTTTGAATCAAATTCAGCTTTCTCTTCAGCATAAGAACAGGAATCAACACCAAACAAGTAATTCAAATAAAAATAAATATTTGCTTCAGTGTCTTCCCAAAATCCATATAACTACCCTTAAAAACTGCTTAATTCTAAATTTTAGTTACTGCCACCAAATACAAACTTAACATTGTTCTGTTCCAAATTAATTTTATTCAAATTCATATATTAGATATCATTTTTAGTTTAAATTATAAATTGAAGATTTTATTGCTCAGCATCATAGCAAAATGAGGTACAAATGAGTTAGCCTTCAAATAGCAAAGGGTCAAATGAAACTGAAAACTCTTGCTCTTATATGGCTTGTTATTAAACTAATATTAATGTATGAGTTATTTCATTGGCTTAGATATTGAGTTTGCAATATGCAACAATGGAGACATCGTTATTGAAATAGGCGGAAAATAGGAATGACCTATCTACTGATTGAGCTAAGCTATTAATAAAATTTGCTTATAATGACAATGGCACATAAAAGCTCACAATTCCATAATACGAGTTAGATAGGATATCAATATATTTTGTTATCATGGGGTTTTGATAGGTTAATTCTTCAATCTCGCAGCAACATAGCGAAAATAGTTTAATAAGAAAAAATAATCTGCTGATTTTCATTATATTTAAGAATCAATAAGTAGTGTTTATTTTTATCATATATAAAGTGAAATAAAATCCTTTTTTAGATGTCATCCAAAATTTTAAAATGTTGCATTTAAAGTCTTGATATCTATCACTTAACTTGGATTATACAGATAAGAGAGAGTTCAGTCAAGTATGCTCGTTGAATTGAACAAAATTAATAAAAATATATTATTTAATAAATTCGTTTTTATTTTAATTATATGAAAAAGTTCATCATAATAACACTTATTTTCATTTGCAATTCTATAAATGCAAATGCAACAAGTGAGTTAGAAATAGGAGTTATTTAATTTGAGGAGGCAAAAGGATCTCAAATTTATAATCAAGTATTTTCTTATTAAATCCTAGCTAGTTCGATTTGATACTCCATTCGCAAAACCTCCTTAAGTAGCCATAGCCTTAGTAGAACATACATCCACAACAGCTCTATTTGCAAAGGTGAAAAATGTTACCTAGCATGATTTCATTATCCAATTTTTTAGTGCTGTCTCTTTGAATGCAACTTACAGATATTTAGCAACTACAGACGACGATGTTTATATAAACTGTTCAAATTACAGAGCAACTCAACAAGCAATATTCAAATATCCATAATTTTAAACTAAGCCAAATGCTATAGCCTTCCTTGTAGGTTATCATCATAATGGATTTGTTAATATTTCAATAAATGAGAATAGTAATACATAAGCCAATTTATCAATCAATACAAATGATGTATAACAAACAGCTATAGGCATTTGTTTGATTGTTGGAAGCAATCTCTAATTTGATGCAAATGTTGATACTCCAAAATTTAGTGGAAGAGTCAGCAGTTAAGGTTAAACTAGGTCATTATCATTTACACCAAGTATTTATAAAATATTATTTATTGAGGTTTAATAAAGTAGTGGACAAGCAAAGTAGAAAATTGAAGAATCATTGACAGATTTGGTAACAATTATATTCATTTATAGAAAACATTTTTTGATCAAAATTCAAATACAAAAGAGGAAGAGACTGAGCAATCTATTTAAATTTCAGAAGAATTAGAACCATAAAATGTAGAAGATCTAGAAGAATGTTAATAAAAGCTTAATGACAATATTATAGAGGAATCAATTTCAGATGATTTAGGTGAGGAAGAAGAGGATGATGAATATTTCTGGAGTTCAAAAGACAAGAAATAATAATAATCTTCAGTTGATTTTGAATTATAATTAACTTTACTTCAAGATGCTTTAAAAAAGAAACCTTAAATTTAATAATAAACAATTAAAGAACTAATTAAAAAGAATTCAAGTAATTAAAAGGAATAAAAACAAAAGCAAGTTAAGAAAGATGAAATTTAGAAGAAAAATAAACCAGCATTAGATTAAGAAATTAAGTCGAATGATAATGTTAAGAATACAGAGACTCAAATTTTAAATAATGAAGAAATTGATATGCAATTACAATAAAAGGAATCTCATGTAAAATCTTTAAAAAAAGCATTAAAATTAGTAGACACTGCTAAAGAAAAAGTATTAGAAGTAATACTTCCACAAATTGAAAGCGAAAAGTAATTATCCTAAGAATTGAATGAAGTTAAGGCTGAGAATAATCAATAGGAAATTCTAGAGGTTACTAAACCTATTGGATACTAAAGTCCTTTAATAGATGAAATACCAAAAATTGAAGAAATCATTGAGGTGAAATAAAAGGAGAAGAAGTTCACATAAAAGCTTGATGGATATATGTAGAGTTTTTCAGAGGATACTTACACACAGAAGGTTTAGAAAAAGAAATAATAAGAATAAGTTAATAAAATTGAGTCTAATAACAAAGAAACTATGGAATAGATACAATTAATTCAACTTACGGGTCAATCTCATTCAACTAAAGTTGTTTATGAAGCTTCAGAAGATTCTCTAAGAAAATTTGAAGAAGATTTTGAAAGAAGAAAGCGTAATTTTGATATTTAATATTAGAGGAGAAGATGAAAGAAATTAAATAGCAATTGATTCCAGAGAATAAGCCAACTAAAGTTAAATTTTTATCCTTAGCTTAAGAGGACGAATAGCTAAGGTCATATAAAGATTTCTTTTACAATTGAATATTATTAATCAAACCTAATATAAAATATTTCTATATGCTTTTATTGATTTAAATGTATTAGATTATAATCTAAAGATAGTTGCAAAAAGTAATATGGTATAATATGAATATATCAAAATTTTACAAATATAAATCATTTGAATTATTTTTATGACGAAGGTCTTTTCTATCTAGGTGGAGTTGGTGGTCGTTTTCTCAATTAAGCTTCTTCATGAGATATAACTAGGTAATTGGCAAATCCTTTCTTTCTTGAGATTGGTTCCTCCAAATCCATCCATCTTTATTCTTAAACCGGAGCAGCAGGTAATATTACTTTAGGTATAATTTCACCTCTTTTCGAAATCGTCAAAATTGCTTTGCAGATATTAAAAATATCTTACATCCTTTACATTAAGGTTGATTGCCTCCATAATTGGGACATGAGAATATGGTGATTACATTATTATTCTAACTTTCAAATCCTTCCATAGTTGGTTCATGTGATCGTATGATCATATTTAGAGAATTCTCTTATAGAAATTTATTAATTCTATTTGTTCCAAATCTGGAAATCTATTTATTTTAAAATATATCCCTTTCTGGATTGGGTGTATTCTCTAATTCATCTTCTTATAAACATGGATCAGACCAGAGAAGTTCCAATGCTATTTTTTATTAATACTTAAATAGAGATGATAAAGTACAGTCTTAGGATCATGAACTATTTCCAACGGCTTTTATATCAATTCAATCTCATCGATAGTTCTCATAGTTTAGCCAATACCACCATGCACACAAAAGATTTTTTCTTCGATAACTGCAGCTAATGGTAGATATTAAAACACTCTATTTATTCTTTAGTAAATGCTATTTGGATCCGTGATATCTTCACCAAATTTTATAAAACATTCATCAGCAAAACCAAAAATTTTATTTATTTTAGGATCCTCGTGATGTCCTCGAAGTAAATGAATTTGATCAGAATATTTAATTTTTAATGTAAACAAAAGTAAAATGATTTCCAGAGATCTTGAACCTCTGTCTACATAATCCCCCAAAAATAAGTAGTCTTAAGAATCGATGTCTCCATTGTATAGATTATCATATGGAGCTTTGAAGTGATCAAAAAATCTCATTAGATCAAGATATTAACCATTCAAATTCCCATAAATTTTGATTGGTCTTCTCAACCTCAATAAGTTAGGCTCTTTTTCTAGAATTCTTTAAACTTCATCACATAATTTAATTATCATTTCCTTTTTAATACCTGTTAATAAATTAGAGTTTGGAGGGATCTATGAATAATCTTTGGGTATTAATAGATTCTACATAAATGGTTAATATAACTAATCTAAAATTTATGATTTATTTTAAGAATTTGGATCATGAAATCCTGGTCCTAATTTTTTATGTTCGTCTTATAATTTATCTATTGGTACTTTCTTGACTTGATTAGTTATATCTTCTTCTGGACCATAAGTCATAGCTACCAAAGCTTAATTAGCCAATCTAATGTTTTTATTAGCCGCACTTGAAACTCTCACTTGTTGATAAGGATTTTAATCTAAATATGAAGGAACTATTACTTTTTTATTGAGTTGAAGCTTATTAATTTGTTTTTTTAAATTAATCTTAGGTTTAAGCCAAAGGATGAGAAGGTTTAGGATTAAAAGATTAAGTGAATGATTAATCAGATTTTATGGTGTTCATTTGTTTTAGTAATTGAGGAGTTTAAGCGAATCTCTTATTTAAATCAATTCTTAGAATGCCCTCAGTTGGAATGTTTGGTTGATCGGAATCAAACCCTCCATGAAGATATAAAAATTGTTCCACCAACCATGAAGAGTGTCTGAATCTCTGAATTGGTTAAAATTTATACCAATCAGATGTTTCAGTATCATAGATTTCAAAAGGCAAAGTCTCTCCCACATTATTAGACCTGCCTCCAATCACTAACATTAATGTTCCTAAAAATAAAGTTGAGTGTTAATATCGTTAAGCCGGCTAATCTGTTTATGATCTATAAGGAGCTCTCACCCAATCCCACCTTCCATCACGATGTCTTCTTAAGCCCCAAGTATCATTTAAAGCACTTTGATCACTTGTGCGACCTCCAAATGCGACCATCATCCCATTGGCAGAACCTGTTGAACACAATCCAGCAGAATGATAAACTCTTACAACAGGTTATTCAGATGAGCACTCTAATTTTTGCCATGAATAAGGTGATTTCTCTAAATTAAAACTCCAAACATCATTAACAGGTTCTTGTCCTGTGTTTCCACCAAACACTATCAAATATGGCTTAATAAGCACCATAGTATGACCATATCTTCTTCCTGGTGTCGTTCCAATCACAGGAACTGTAACCCAAGTTCCAGTGTCTTCTCTTAATTCAAATACATATAAGTTATCATCTGCTAAACCACCACCTCCTACTGCTCCTCCGAATATAATCATTTGATTTAATTCAATAGCTGATGCTTAATGAGCTGCTCTATTAGTTGGTACATTTCCACTAGCTTCAACTCGCTTCCATTTTTTTTAAATTATATCTCCAATATACACATCTCCTGTTATTACATACCTTCCAGTATCACCAACAGCGCCTTTTAAATCTTTACTCAAAATATACCTCCAAATAATGCTATCTTATTAGGAGCTATGGCACAAATGGTGTGACCAAAGCGAGGCTGAGGATTATCTCCTGCAAAATTCACACTTTCCATTTTTATTTTAAATATTTTTTTAACGATTTATGAATTCAAGACTTGTCAGGCCCTCAACACCTAAGAAACCTTTTGATCCTAATTTAGTTAGATAATCTGCTAAAAAGCCTTTCTAATACAAAACATAGTAACCAAAAATACTGATCATAGAATACTACCATATAAATATTTGATATTTTATTTTGTATGTCATTTTTATTCTTATAATCACATCACTATGATTTTAATGGATTTAGGTCTAGTCTTTATTTAAATTACTTGAAATTCTATAGAGGATTCTTGGTTTTGTAGTTTTGAACTAATTTATTGCAATATTTCGACGCTATAAATTATAAAATCCTATTAAGCAATAAAATATTATTTTAAAATATGGATTCGGATTTCTATAAAGAAATTAAAGATATCATAGATTTGATTTATTAATAGATAGCTATATCACGGAATAAATCATTAATATCGAAATTAAATGAAAGAAAAGAATAAATTTATGCATCAATTCCTCAAGCATAGAGCAAAATTCTATTAAATTAATAAAATCGAGAGTTTATAACAAAATATTTAGATAAGTTTGCTTAATTTGTGAGTAATCAAGATAATTTGGTGGAATAAGGCTTTTTTAAGCTGATTAGACAATCGCAAAAATCAAAATTGTAAAATATATTTGCTAAAAAATTTACCCAATTACCATAATACTTCAAAAATCTAGAGAGTCAAGACATATCAGCCACTGGCTTTATCAATAGTCAAGATGTAGCTCATAGCAAAATTCCCGTTAATTTTACTGCAAGCTCATTCCTATTAGACAATGATATCGATTATGTTGCTTGCATTACATTAATATTCAAAGATATTTGCGATGAAGAAATATTCATTCATTCGTTAAGTACACAGAAATTGCTGAAGAAGATCCCAGAGTTAAATTAATTTGAATATTTAAAAATCTTGAAAAATTACTTAACAATCACTGTTGATCAACAACAAAATATAATAACTTTAGAACCTTTAGATCCAATTATTCAATATTCACCCTTATTTAAAATCAATTAAAACGAGAAACAATAAGAATTCTATTTATCAAAGGAGATGGAAATCATCTTGAGTCCTACTTATAAAATAAAAGTAGTAGACATTTTCAACAAAGAAAATAAAGCTTTAAATGATAATTTCATAACCAAAAACCTGATAAATTAGTATGATAATACCTTATTGATTAAAAATGCAGAAAATTATATCATTTTATAACCTTAGGAGTAGAATATTAAACATGAACCAATCATCATTTTTGATCTTAAGGGATCAATTTTACTTAATAAAGTTTTAAAGTTGTAAAAAGAAATATCTGTCAAACTTATTCATGATGGTGTTGGATTTCTATTTGAAGAATTGACTGAGAGATCCAACTTTTATACCAGTTTATCATACTAAAGTCCAGTTTATTCAAAGACCAAGAAAATTAATCTCTGTTTAGTCGTCAAAAATCAATTAAGAATTTAAATTGACTCAGAATGTGGGTAGTTATTTTTCGATACAAACGAATACAATAGAAACTTGTTTGATTGAGCAATTATTTTATCATGTAAAAATTATTAATAATTTCATTTTGGAGGAGGAGGTGGGGGAGGAGGAGCTGGTCTTGGAGGCTATGGTCTTTATTAAGGAGGTGGAGGTGGTGGTGGCTTTCTATGATCTTCCTCAAAAATGTCTGGTCTCTTCTTTTTTAGTTATGACAAATGTTCAGCAATCATATTACCTGGTTATAAGGTTGTTGTTTTGCTTCTCTCATTTATTTCCTTCTTTATCTCACTATAACGAGGGTCTTATAATTCTAATTGAATATGTTCATTGATTTAATTCTTTGGAAAATTCTTTCCGCAAATTTCACATTTTATTAGGACTAATTCATTTTAAGTAGTGGGTCTTTGATAATTTTAAATTATGGGGGCACTGCTATCCCCTTATTGACCTGCCTTTTATAAAGTTGAATTTAAAGTTATGATTTATTTTTCTTTTGGTTGTTATGGATTATTAATGATTCTAGATACAACTTGTCCTGTCTATACTAGGTTTTGCTATTACTCTAAAAATAGACAACCATATTACAAAATTATGCTTAATCAGCACCTTTGAAGTCCATTTTATCAAATCTTTAGATTCCCTTCTCATAAACCTTGTCTATTCTATCATCCTCTGCGAAGTCGATAGTTTCACAAATTGTAAAGTCATTCCAATCAATCATTGCCATTTATTCTAGCATATAATTATAAAAAGTATTACATTTCTCATCCTCATCCTGTTATTGCTTTCTATCTTTTTCTTCTTTCAAATAAATCTCGTACTCAAATTTTTCTTGACATCTTTAATATATTACCTGTCTATCCTACACATATGTCAACAATCTATCGATTTCTTCCTTTTTTGGTTGTAAGCATTTAGTATAAGCATCCACCAAATTTGAAAAGAATTGAAATAAATCATGAGTAGGCTTTAAAAAATCATACTAAGGATTCATTTTTTCTCTTTCTGTCAAGGCAACCAAAAATTTCTTACCATTCTTAGCAATGAAAATGGCTGTATGCTTAATAATATCTAAATCTAAAGCTGACAAATTCCTTGGTTATTCTACAGTATATTAATCATTAGGAGGAGCCTTTACGACTTTCTTAGGTTGTTCATTCTTTGGCACAGGCTTTGTTTTCTAATCTTCTTCTTCCTAAATTGGTGCTATAATAATTAGAATTGAAGTCTTACCCACCAATCCTCTAGCGAATTCTGTAATTTTATTTTCATAATATGGTCTGTAAGGGTCATCTCTTCTCAAGAAACAAAAATTGGGATTACTCAGCTCTTTTTACATTACAAGATCTTCAAATGTTGCTCCATTTTTTGCCACATATTCTGCAGTCTTATCAGCATATTCTAATAATAGATACATTCTTATACTTTTGATATTGGGAGGAGGAATGACAATATTCGATGATCTATTCTTAATTAATAATTGGGCTTCTAGCACCATTAAAAGAATAATTAATTATTAATTGATATATATTGATTATTTAAGCAGATGATTAGATGAATTTAATAGCTGATTGTTACTATTTGAAATCGAGAATATTAATAAATTCAATTAGTATATTAATCCAAGGATGAATTTTTCCATAATCATTTACTTCTCTAAGTTTTAAATAGCGTTTACCGAGTAATCGTTGCAATTATTTATTAAATTCTTCATTGATAAATGTTTAAAGGAGTTTTTCTAATCATAACTTGCTTATTTCAAATCGTCAATTGTACCGTTTAACTTTTATCATCCTAATATCCCTTTCATTAAAGCATTGTAGATATTGAGGATAATAATATGTATGGTGTATTTACATACTATACACCCTTAAACTAGATGATAAATCTAGCCTAAACCTTTGATATGGCATAATAATAAGTCCATCTATTTTCAGCCTTCTTTGAATAGTATACATTAATTGCATACTAAACCATAGATGCTGATGTAGATAAAATTTATCATGTGATAAAAATATTGTCGACATTTACTGGTACAATGACAGTATACGAATTTGAATAAGATTATTTATAATATGAAGGATTAGAAGTAGGAACAATATTTACTTATTCTGAAGAACTATTATAACTTAAACTAAAGGTTTACACTTTAGATAAAATGAATACAGTTTAGATTGACAATATTTTTTTATAAAAATCTAACGTCAAATTTATATTTGGTGGAAGAAAAAATGAATTAGATTTAATGGGATTTCAAGGAATAATGTTTTTGGTTCTCAATGAGACTTATTTAACAGGAATAGATTATCTATATTCAAGAAAGTGTTATGAATCACGGAAAGATTTATCAATACAATATTAGGATTATGTATCTACTAACTTGAATACCTTTAACATTCCTGTTGTGATATATAAGGAATATTAAATATAATTTTGGAATAAATTAGAAACTTAAATAAATCCTGACAACTTGATTTAAGTGTTAGTTATTGATACATAAAATGAAATTGACCAATAATTCTCTTTGGGAAGGAATACTATGTAGATATATTATCACTTTTAAAGTGATTCAGATCTCTTGATCTATTGTAAATATTATTCCTATAAAATTCCATATAACTATTATAATGTCGACTACATATAATCATTAATTTAATAAGCAGAAATAACTCACGTTGATCCAACTTTTATCTATAGTTGGCATTTTATTAGAATATAATATTAGAAGGAAATGCTTAGCTTAGAAATTTATTTTCCAGTTTTAAATAAGAACGTAATTATTGAAATACAAGAAGTCAGATAATTTTCATAAACTATGGGTTAAATAACTATAAATGCAAAATCAGATTCAAACTTAGAAATCAAAGGTTAAATTGCATCCTTAATTTTCAATTCTTGTTTGTAAGATTTTAACATTTTCAAACCTTGTCATTTCTCATGCTTTACATGCAATGGTCCATTTTACAATAATTGCCTTTCGTGTGATGAAAATTCAAATCGAGTATACGATGAAAATGAATTAACTTGTCTTTGTAAGCCTTGGACTTAGGAATAAAACTTAACTTAATGTTATGATTTGCTCTAGGATCCTTAGGTTTAGGTTATATATAAGTAAACTTCAGAAATCTAAGGTTACGATAGAATAGATCCATAAGTCATTTGTGCTTTCGGATACTTTTTGTATGACGGAGAATGCATTAGATGGTAACATTCTTTAATATTATTAGTCCATCTTAGTCGTAAAGTGGCTATATTATATGTATTGAATGCTTATTGAATTGGAAAACTTGGATATATAATAGTACATGCATTCAATATGAGATTATTAATAAGGAATGGGCAGATATTCAAATATAAGCAAATTTAGATATACTTGATTTAATCCAAAATAATTTATATACTTATGGTGATGGAGAATTACAAGTATGTTATTACTGTTCTGCCTTTTGTGATCCTCAAATAAATCTTGAAAATTGTCATAAACTTAACGTAAATCACTTAGGGTCATAAGCCTATGTGTATTGTCTATATGGGTATGATGAAGTAAATCAAATTTGTTAACCAAGAAAAGTGATTGAAATCTAATAGCAAAACAATTGTGGCTCTAAATGTTTACTCTGTGATGAAAATATCAAATTGTGTGTTTAATGTGTAAATAAGAAAGATATCTTATTATTAAATAGATAAAGTTGTTAAGAATGTACAATCCCTAATTGCAAGTACTGCTTCTAATATCTGAATGCAGATGAAATAATAATATCCTCTTTAGTTAGCCAAGCTTTCTATAGCAATTAAATTTCATCTCCTTTAGAAATCCTTAATGAAGATTTCTTAATAGGATGCGCTTTATGTGAGGAAAACTTCATCTTTAATTTTTAATCAATGAAATGCGAATTAAAACAAAGTACTTAAGATTAGTGTTCAGATTACTTTTTAAATGATAAAGGTAATAGAATTTGTTTAACAACATTAACTAAAGATTTCACTTAAGGGTATGAGTTAGCTGATTGCACAGATTATATTAAATCATGTATCAAATGCGTTTAATCAATTAGAAAAAAACTTTTTTGTACTTAGTGCTAAAAGGGATATTATATTAACAATTTTGGTTAATGTAACTAATGTAATGAGTAATTTACTGAATGCGTTCCTGATTATATAATTTCTAATGACAACTATATAACTAAAATTTAGCCATTTATTTAAGCCATATCTAAAAGGTTGGAATTGGCCTTTAATTACTTTTAATATTCAGAAATATATGGTATTTGCGAAGGTAGTATTGGGTTTACTAAATATTGTTCTATTGAAATCAAGATCCCTTATTGTAAGCAGTATTATATAGGTTAGTGCTCAGAGTGCTAATCATATGAAAACTCAAATACAATCGTTCTATATAATGGCAACTGTTACAAATGTCCTTATTAATGCTCATATTGTTACCCTCAATAATCATCTTCAAATGACTTGTTTTGTATCAAGACTAATTTGGAATAGGTTTCTATTGATTAATCTACTGGTAGGCCAACACCAAAATTATAAAACTATTTGAAATAAGATCAGCAACTTATTTACAATTTCATTAACTATTTAACCCTTGCAACAATCTAAAGCGACCTTATTTTCTCAAAAGTGACTATAAATTTTGATGTTTATGTGGAATATTTTGATAGTTTTCTTATTGAGATACCAATTAAAAATAGAATTTATAGTCAATCATATATTAGTTAAATGATAATTAATTCAAAATTAAAAGTAGAAATGGTTTGTCCTTACAAATTAGATATTTACTACTTTGATGAAATAATAATCTAAGATTTTTAGATATCAATCAATCAACAATTTTGTGAGAATATTATCTTAGTTAATTCAATTAATGGATGTTAACTAATAATTAAAAATATCACAATGACCTAATAGTTATAAGAGAATATAGTTAAATAGTTATTCATCTGGAAAGAAATTGATTATCTTGAATTTAACACTATAACATTGGATTCCATTTAAATATCACAATTCCCATTATTTTACATTAAATAGAATAAAACACAAAAAGGCATAAGTGTAAAGTTTGAAAATGTAGTATTTAAAAATTGTTACTTCTATAACACAAGCATAATATAAGTAGACCTTGTAAATCCAATTATCGACACTAATTATATTTAGTTTAATAATCTAACCATTATAAACTGTACATTGAAATTCTCTGATATGATTTAAATTGTAGGAGAATAGAATAAATTAATATTCTAATACATTGAATTATCTAAAATCTCAATATTAGGCTGCAACTTTGAGAACTTTTAATTGATTAAAAATTATCTAGCTAACGATTAGATTATTACAGATATAACAATTTTAGATACAAATTTCATCAAAACAAATATATTTCTGGTACACAGTCCTGCTCATTTCGAAAACATCGAAATATCCTAAACATAATTTATAAACTCTAGTTTAATCTCAACTTAAGCTAATACCAAATTGAATTCCTATTCCTTAATTTTTTACATTTCACAACTATAACTGAACTAAATAACATCCGATAGTAGTATAATTACAATTGAGCATGATTACTATTTTAATGTGCAATTATCAAATATAAGAATTGCTAAACTGAATTAGATTAGTGATTTGAATTAGAATAATTTTCTATTTATTATTTAAGGAAAGTTTGTATTATTTTAAGATTATGTTTGCTCATTAATTGCATAATCCAGTTTTCAGATAAATATAATCAACTCAAAGTACATCAAAGTTAGGAATGTTATTATTTTTGGGTAGGAATCTATTTCTAGGATTAGTCATGAAAAAGAGCTGGACATTGACCTTGAACCATCTTTGTAGAATTTAATATACATCCACAATTCAACTGCTATTTCATTACATAATTTTGATATCAGTAATTTGAAAATATAGAATACTAATTTGATTAAAATTTAGGATGATTCAAATTTTATGGAAATATAAATAACTGATTTTACTATCTAAAATATCATATTGGTTTAAGAATTAGGAATCTATGAAACATCTTTATTTAAAGTTTAATTGAACAAGGCTTCAAAAATACTGTTTAATAATTTTCATTTTTTATATATTTTTGGAAACAGCTATGAAAAAATTATCAAAACTTCTGAATAATTATCCCTCATCTCTTTTCTATCATTTTAGAGTGAAATTTAACTCTCAAATTTTCTATTCTAAAATAATATCATCACTAACACATCTACTGCCCTAATTTATTTAGAGTCAAAAATGATTTTAATTTTCAATTTTACAAGTTAGTTTACTAACATACATGCTGATTGGTTATACTAGTACATAAATATGATTTATTCAAGTTCTTCAATAAAAGTTTTAGAGTAATTGTTTCCTATTGAATCAGAAGGTAGCATTTTTAATATTTAATCTCAATACCTCACTCTTAATAACATTTCCTCATAGTCTTCGAAAGCTATTTAAGGAGGCTTTTGTAAGATAGAATTGGTTTTAGATAGTGAATTTAATATAACAAATGCATCTATATCAGATAGTATGGCTATAGGAGGAAAGGAGAGTAGGGGGGGATCATTTTATGTTACGGCAAAGGATTCAAATTTAATTCTGAACTTTATAGATATTTAAGTCAACACATCATACAGTCTTTATGATGGTGGATTTTTGTATTTAATCCCTTCGAACACTTACAATCGAATAGAACTTAGGAATGTTATTGCCCTTAATGTTATATCACTGTTCAAGGGTTTCTTTGGTATTGAATTTTCTTTATAAACTCAATTTAACTTTGTGTATTTAAGTAACATATTAGTTAATGTGACTTTTGATGGATTTTACGATAATACAAATGAATTCCAAGAATTAAGTGAGAATGAAATCTCCTATATTAATAACGATAATGGATATTTTTATTTGGATTACTGGTATTAAGTATATTTTAGTTAGCAACCTAACGATTAGTAATATCTACATGTATTTTGATATTATTAATCAACCAGCCTTCTCTCTAAGAAAAATGGAAAATTTGAAACTCTTCAAATTATATATAGAAGTAGGAGAACTATTGACAAGCTCATTGATTTTATATGAATCTTACCAAAGTATTGTATTCAAATATTTGTAGATAACATATTGAAACTTTTAAATATTGCTCATTTAAGATTAAGATAGAGCAAATTTAGAGTACCTTCAATTTATAAAAACCCATGCTTCTAGGAATTTAAAGAGGAGATGCTTTTCATAGATATACAATAGTCTAATTCATTTTAAATGAAGCAAAAGAACTGCCTAATAACATAAATACTTCTTTCAAGCTTAACTCCAGATCAATTAATATCAATTAAATTCTTAGATGAATATTAGAAATTCTAAATTCAAGATGCAATGATAAGTTAATTTAAAGAGATGTCATTTAACTTGGGTCTATTCAATATTCATTATGAGAAGTATTTCAAATCTAGATTGGAATAATTCCTTTTTCTAAATAACAGTTGTATTTCAAATAATAAACTCAATATCAGTTCAAAATAATTGGGAGGAGAATAATTGGTTCTTTTAAAAAAACATTTCTATTATAACAATTCAAATTCTTAGAATGGATAGATATCAATATCAAATCTCAACTATCAAATACAGTAATCCTTATTCATTCATAATACTGCACTACAAAAGGGTGGAGCCATTTACATTTAGAACTCTCCATTTTATATCGTAAGCTCAGTGGTATCTGAAAATCGGGCATATCAAGGAGGCGGAATATTTAATGACAAAATTTTAAAATAGGATCTTACCCACTCTTTAGAGACAACTTTATTCTTTAATAACAAAGCCACTTACAAGACAAACACTTATGGACAAGAATACTTTTAGTTGAAAATGGATACCAATCAAAAAATTAACTAATTATTTAACAAATCATATTCAAACAATTAGATTGCTAGAAGTGGAAATGCGTTGCTTCACCTGCCTAGTGGCTAATCATTATAATCTTATAGAGAATTCGACATATAGACTCTAACATTTAGTAATAATTCAATAAATCTAAAATTCAAAGTTCAAAATTACTTTTAAGAAGATTAGACATTAACAGATTTAAACGTTGTATGTGATGTTCAATAAGATTTGTTAGATGAAAACTTCAAACTTATCAAAAGTAATTTTTCCTTAACTGAGATAAAATTTAATAGTGAATAAAACTACCTTAATCTTGAAGAGATTGTTTTTATTTTAAATCCTTATAAGAATAATTACTTGTATGTAGGGATTAATTGTGATGCAATTGAAAATGTAGGTTATAAATATACCTTTTATGTTAAAACAATTAAATGTTAAATGGGCGAATATTTCTCAGAAGATTAATGTCTAGCTTGCAATTCATCAAAAGGTTATTACAGTGTTGATCCTCTAATTGGCTATTGTGAAAAATCCAATCCTTATTATATAAGAAATCACACTGAAAATCTGCTAGACTTATACCAAGGTATATGGAGATATACTTTACATTCTTCAACATTAGAGCAATGTTTCAATTAACCAAAAAATTGTCTTGGAGGGTGGAAATTTGGAGATGAGACTTGCTTAGAAGGCACGCTAGGAGCACTTTGCTAAGAATGTGATGTATACAATATCAGAGGATTTGGAAAGTACTCAAAAACAAGAGATTATACTTGCTTGCTTTGTGGCAATTAGGGTGTAGTATTATTAGAATTCTTCTTTGTCTTTATTTGGGTGTTGATTTAGATTGCTTTAACTGTCAAAAGTACCTAATTATAGAATTAAAAATTCTTATATTGCAAAGCTTAAACTAAAATGTATGATATAATTGTGCGATTATCTTAAGGTATTAATGTTTTAATTTTAGATCAATCCGGTACTGTAATTAAATTGATTAGTAATTACTTTTAGATTGTGTTAGTAGTATATACATTCTAATTGAATTTTATTTCTAATATTGAAGATGTGTTTAAATTCGTTGGAAACTCAACGTACTCTACTACCAATAATTTTGATTGCTATCTTTCAAATCTGAATATCGAATACATTTATGTCAATCTCTCCTTTATTGTTATTATCCAATTAATTCAATATATAATGTTTGTTTCACTTTCATTTATACTAGAAAAATTGCAACTGAATACCTTCACTCTGGAAACACTATATTCATCCTTTTTCTATTTATATTTATCAGGCTTTTTAAATTTAATCAAAGCGTAAACAATTTCACTTATTTTTTAGACTATCCTCTTTATTAACTCCAAAGATGTATGGGGATCAGTAATGGATCAGTGCAAATGTATCGTATTAATATTGGACACCTGTTCATTAGAAGGCAGTTTACATTCTTATATTACCTTTATTGATATTCGCTGGGTTCATACTTCCTTTAATTTTATTTGTAACTCTCAATCAAAATAAGAAGAATTTTAATAATTATTCCATTAAATAAAAGTTTGGTTATCTATTTAATGAATATTCAAGAAAATTTTATTTTTGGGAGTTAATAAGAGTAAGCCAAAGGCTATTACTTACTTTGATTATTGTATTGTTATAAGATTTTATTATAACCAAAGGGATCTTATTAATTGGTTTACTTTTTACTTACTACCTTATGTTTAACATTAGTAAACCATTTAATGTGGGAAAGTTAAATAAATTTGAGAAGGAATGTCTAATTCTATGCATAATCTCATTACTATTATGTCTAGTGTAATTTTCGATTTATGATAACTAAACAGTATTAAATTATATCCTCCAAGTTCTAATATTAATATCATTATTGTATTTATTCTATCAATGTGCAATGAAATTTATCTCTGTGCACATATCAAAATATGAAGCGTTTTTCGATATGATAAGGATGATAATCAAGAAACATATAAAAATTGAATACATGTTAAAATCTAAATATTTAGAGTTGAGTACTGAAAGAAGGGATAGAATAAGGCAATTGTTTATGAAGTTAAAAGCTTCAACAAATAAAAAGCAAACACAACCTCCTTTGTTTACACATCTAGTTTCAGAGCAAAGAATTACTTATGCTTCAGTAGACAATGAGGGAAGTCAAAAAACAAGATTAATTTGAAAATTAATATATTTAATAATAATATTATTTTATTTCTCTTTAGATATGATACGACACATATGTTATTTAATCAAAAATGTCCAAATGGAAAAAACATATTAATAAATGCCAAAAGTGCTGCAGAGATGGTTTAATCTTAATTTAGATTAAACTAAAATTAAATGATATTTATTTACCTTACCATTAATTATTTGTAATGTACTGTACAGAAACAAGCCTCCAAAGGTTAAGGCCCATAACTCTGTTGACATCCATAAAATTAGTACTGCAGTATAATCAAAAGGGTTGAATATTTAAAATATGAAGGCATAAACAAAGGGTGGAATGACAACATACTTAATTGTTCCTGGGAATATTAAATTATTTTACTAAAAAATGTTATCTTTTTATTGGTCAGAGAAAAATGAAATTGCAGAGTAATCAAAGTCAGAAAATTGCATATAATACCTATGAAAATGGCGAATCCGATTTAAACAGAGTTTTCTATGTTCCAAATATCTGAATGGTCCGCAGCGATGAGGCCACTAATCCATAAAGCATATGAAATTGTGAAGATCAAGAATATGAAAAAAGCATAGTGTTTCTTGCTATTTATATTTAAATATATACACATCTAAATGGTTTATAGAATCTGATTAACAATAATTATGAGGCAGAGATCAGAAAGAATAAGTATAATGGTGCTCGATATTTTTCCTATTCAAAATTATAAAACAAGTTATCGTAGTTAAAATCTAGGATAGTTATGACTGACATAATTATTTATATAGCTTCCTAAAATATCCAAACCCCTGTTATTTAAATAAGAAATCTCTGTTTTTGCAAATCATTCAGACTCGACAATTATTAATTATGTTGTAACAAGGGTTAATAAATTTAATCTAACTATGAGAAGGTATGACGAGGGCCATTCTCTTAATTAATTAAATTAAGAGTTGGAGTCTATGATAAATTGGCAGTCTCTATTGTGGTTGAATTCTGGGAGAAGGAGGACTCTGAATTTCCTTGGGGTGGATTATCTTCTTTTTCTCTTGTTTGCAGCAAAATATTATTTAACATAATTTATTCTTTTATGTCTTTATGAAAGATTTAATATATAATATTATAAGTGTGATATTTATACAAGATTTTCTTTTGCTCCAAAATAAGATACAAAGAATCGAGTTCTAGGTCTGTATTTTTAAAATAAGTTAATTTACTCTCATATATATTTATTGGAAATAATTCTCTTTCAAATGTATTTAGTATGGCATTTGATGATTTGCAATTGATATAAATTAATTAGAAATGAAGCAGGAATAAAATCATTTTACATTCACTACTGTGATTCACCCTCCTTTTGTAGATTAGGATAAGTAAGAAGAGCAATTCTATCCATCAATTGGGTATAATTTCGCTACAGGAGATGCAAAACGTAAATCATATTATATTCTTTAGCTGGATGGGCTTTCATAAGCAAAGATCAGCCTCCGTGTGTTCCTTATTTTTCATCCTATATCAAAAAGTAGATTGGAGCAGAATTTCTAGTTACTGGTGGTGCATATCAAGAAAATAAGGACATTTATAGCTCTGCCTTTTGCTTTAGAATTTAGCTTCATGATCACATGGAAGGACACAGAATCAAATATGAATTATGGAGATAGGGCTTAACAAGAGAGGATGAAGATGGCAATGAAATTGAGGGAGAGAAGGTGCCTGTAATACCACAAATGAATTTTGCAAGACATAATCATAAAGTTTTCGAATTATTAAAACCTGGAACGACAAATTAATATCTATATCTGGTAGTTGGAGGCCAACTCATAAATTAAGATGGTTGGGGTATCTTAAACCAATGTGAGATATATGATGAGAAGGGCCCTGTGAATCAGAATGGAGAGTAATCATGGGAAGTAGTGGACAGTATGGTTCAAGCTAGATCTGGATTTTCAGGCTTTGTTTTAAATAATAAAGTTTATGTTTATGGCGGATTGACTCTTGAGAATGAGGAAATTGTATATATTATCATAGTATTGTTATTAGAAAATACTCCATAGCAATAAGGTGGAATGCTTTGATTTAGCCACTAAGAAGTGGAAGGATTTCAAATATAGATAGGGTATTAACGTAACAAATCATTTGGGTTCATCTTGTTTGCCAATTTCAGATAAGCATATTTTAGTTTTTGGAGGGTCGAATGGGGAGAAAGTTACTGATAAGATTGCGATTATGGATATTGAGAAAAAGTCAATTGAAAATATCAAATCAAAAACAAAATTGAGTGTTCCAAGAGCAGGGTCTCAACTTTTTGTTTTGAAGCAAGTGGAAGTAGCTGGTAGATTATTGTTATTATTTTAATAGATTCAGCTCAAAAGAAGGATCTTATTGTTGTATTGGGTGGAAATTAGGACGAAGTTAGTTTTGACTATTTTGCTATAAAGGATCAGAATACTCTCGAGCTTGAGTATGTTGGTAAAAATGAGTTTAATAACGCTTTTACTGGAGCGGTCACTGGAACTTATGCTTTTGGTGGCATTAACGACATTAGGGCGTGGGTAAAAACGATGTAGTACATGCCTGTAGTGACATTAATATAATGAATATTAAAATATCACATGCCTTAATTATTAATTGTTTTTTATTATTGGGTCAACTAATATAATAAATTGTTGATTCTTTCACTTATAAGAATCTTACAATACTTGCATTGGTAATATTTACTATAATAATTATCTATTACAATTAGACTTTAGAAAAAAAATGGATAATCATGATACAAATATTGTTGACATACACTTTGCATATAGAAATTCAGATTCCTTAGTTTGGCTTTGCTCACTCTCTATTTTATGCATACTTAATGTTTAAGAACTAAGATCAATTTTGGATCCTATTCCCAAATTTACTATTTATTGGATCATATTCCTTACTCAGAATGTTCAATCATTTGGATCAAGAAATTATCTGGACTGCAATTCATTATGCAGCAGTCTATATCATATTAACAATAATGAATTATGAGACCTTTAAATAATAGTAATCTCCAAAATTAATAGAGATCTTTTAAAATTCAGAAAGATATAAGTGGAAAGAAATGAGTTAACACGAGCTCTTTTAAGAAAATTATACGAAGAATCTATGCTTTAATTAGATAAGGGAAGGTGTGATCCTTTATGAATAGGGTTATGAATAATAGCCAACTTTTGTGAATAGATCAGCTAAGTCGATGTTTTAGATTTCTGACGAAAACTAAATTTAGACTGCTTATTAAAACTACTACAAGATTGAGAAACTCGAGGCGAAGAAATCGATACAATCAATAAAGAGTATTGGAATTGATATATAAAATTCTATAAAGTAATATAGTGGATCCTTGTCCTTTAATTCAAAAAGTCAATACATTCCTTAATAAGGGGTGAAAGAAGTAACTTTATAATAAGTGCTTGATAAAATTTGGATTAAGTAAAATAAGGAGAGCTATCTATTTTATGTTTAGCAATCTAAACATCTATCTTAAGTAATCTTATGAATATCAATAGTCCTAATAAGCTCCTATACTTGAGGTGAGTGTTTACGTGAACTCTTAGGTTAAGAAAGTTATGACTATTATTTGCAGAGATCTAAGTTACAAGAAGTACATTAAATAATTGCAAAGTCATTATAATTAAAAATCTAAAATGATTTCATTTGTTTCTCATGAATTTAGAGCCCCTTTGGGTTGTATGATCACAATGTTGGAACATGTTGCAAAAGAATAAAATAATTTATATATTCAAAATTCAATCGATAACTCAAGATATCTATTAAATCTGTGTAATGATTTATTGGACTTGGCATAGATTCAAGCAAATAAATTTTAGTTAAAAATGGAAAGGTTTAATCTAAAAATGCTATGCCAAGAATGTTTATAAATGTTTAATCTCTAAGCTGAGAAAAAACAATTAAAATTAATGTTATAGTATCAGTCTGTTTGTCCTGATATTATCGAATAGGATTAAAATAGGATTAAATAAGTAATGATTAATCTAATAGGAAATGCATTCAAATTCACTTAAGAAGGATACATCTCATTGAGGGTAGATCTAGTGGAAGAGTTAGTTATTGAAATTTGCATAACTGATTCAGGAATAGGAGTGTAGGAGTAGGATAAAGAGATGTTAATGAAGGCTTTTGGGAAGATAAACTCTGAGGAGAGCAAGAAGTTAAATGCTCAAGGAGTCGGCTTAGGATTAGTGATTAGTAATAAAATAGCATAGCAATTGGGAGATGGTCTCAGATTTGATTCAATTTATCATAAGGGATCAAGTTTTTCATTTACAATCCAACTTCAAGAACTTTAGAGTCAGGAATCAGAAAAAGTTAGATCCATCAATAATAATAAGCAATCAATTTTGAGTGATAGTGAAATGATAGAGAATCTAAACGAAGATGAAGAAAGCTCAAAAGAGATCTAGATCATTGTGACCCAACCAAAAAAACAAATTAATAGTTCTGTTGAGTGTTGCTCTAAAATATTAATAGTGGATGATACTTAATTCAATATTGATGCTTTGCAAATGCTATTGTTAAGAATGTATTCCTTATTATTTTATCTAGAGGTGTTAAATAAATTGATTATTCAATTAATGGATACAAAGCCATAGAAAAAATCAAATTAAAAGAAAAATGCAATTATTGTAATTCAAATATGTATGGTTTAATATTCATGGATCTAGAAATGCTTGGAATCAATGGTATCAATGCATCTAAACATATATTTTCATATTGTGAAGAAAAAGATTTAAAATCTCCTATCATTGTGGCTTGTTCCGCCTATCAAAAGGAAATGGAATTTCCAAAGTGTTAATAAGTTGGGATGAAATTTTATTTAGAAAAACCTGTTGAAATGAAATAGCTATAATCTATTATCGATTATTACAAAAGCACAATTTGATAAAATTTCTTTTTATTAAACTATATGATATTACATTAATAATAACTAACTTATAACTTATATATATATCATAGCATTCCTCATTCCTCATCAAAAAATGGGCATACCAATAAAATTGGAAAACTAATGGCCATAGCAAAGACATCTTTTGTTTAAAATTTGTTCTAGGAAATAAGAATAAAATATTACATATCCCTTTTCAATTATCTTACTTATTATGAAAATTTATCCCACTCCAATTAGTATTACAAAAATAACCCAAATTAATAAAGGTGTATAAATATAGAAATAATCTTGACAAATTAACTCTAAAAAGTAAGTAACGACTGGGGCAGCTATTAAATATCCTAAATATTCTTGAATAGGTTTCTTCACCCCGTGACGTTTAATGGCAATTCTCACTGAAATGAATTCAACACATATTAAAAGGTAGAAGTAATAGAAATAATTTGTATTCCAAGAGAACACCTCAGCGCTGCCTGATATTGCAGTTTGAAGACCTTACATTAGCAATACGAATAAAAGAACGTGTATCCAATAATACAATTTTTGATTATTTTTCTAAAATAATAATATTATTTTACTTAGGTTACGTAAGTTGGATTTGTTAAAATGAATAAATTCAATATTATAAATAATATTAAAACTACCCATAAAGTACTATTCCATTAATAGTTATTTGTAACCAACTCCCAATTGAAAAAGGCAGAATTAGTATTAGTAAACAGTGAAATACAAATTTCTAACATAAATAGATATGTAGACCATTCATAAAAATATTTAAGTTCTAAGTTACCAGCTTTTTGAATAGATTTATGTTGTAAAGGATTTTGAATAATGTTTAAATTTTAATTAGGATTCTGTTACTAGTATTATACGTATTGTGGGAGGGGTTGAACTCCTTACTAATACACATAATTGGGTTGGTTAGGATGATTTGGAATTTATGGTATATTAATTAAGACGGCTGTGCTTTAAGGTTAATTCAAAGCTTATTGTTGAAATTATTAATAAGGATGCACCTGTACTTATTATTAGAGCTAAGGTTGTTATTATTTCTTTTAATAGATTTCTTACAGTAATTATTGGTGCAGGTAGGCAGGTTGGCTGAGAATTTGGTTATATTCTTCTTAAGATAATACAATAGGAACAAAGGTTTATGACTATTATTGTGAAGTCATTCGATAAATATATTAATAATATTGAATAACAAGCAAGTGATATAAATTATGAATATTGTTTTATGATTTTCCTCATTGTATATTATTTTTTTACTAATTGTTTTAACTCTAGGATTCTTACACCATTTCGTCACTTTTGTTCAATCCAATATCAAAGAATGGAACCAGAATTAAAAAGCCTAAGAGAACAGCTGCGTATTTGCCGTCATCGGATCTCAAGTTAAACTAAAGATATTCATAAAATAAATTAATACCTTAGTTGATTGAATCATTCTAGAAAGGATGAATTGAAGATAGAATCCAAATGCAATTGAAAAACAGATGATTCCACACAATACACCGTATTAATAATAGAGAGAAAACAGGATTCCTCCATAAGTAACTGAGGGTACCATAACATACCAGAAGGAGTCTAATGATAAAATCGATAATTTACTTCTAAAGCTTAATTGGTCTAATTCTTGCATTGCGTATGTAAATAGCGATAGAACTTCAAGATTAATGAAACTAAACACTATTATAACGATCTCATCGCCACCATTTGATTCCAAAAAGTGATAGCTGTTTCCACTTTAATAATAATAGTAATATGAATAAGTGGAGGAATACAAAGCCTAAATAAAGAAACCATATGATATTCCATAGACTGCACAAAGAATTTTGCTAGTTGAGGAGTTCTTCAATTTCTTTGAAGCTGTGTAAGAGTATAATAGTGAAAGTGCCATTATCACTGTGAAAATGTAAAATGGAACCTTGAAACTACCGTAAAGGTTATACTAGAATTCAATAAAGCCATTGCGATAAGAACTACAACACAAAACCAAAGCGAAGGCTTAGAAAAGAAGGAAAAAGGATAGAACCTGTAAGTTGAAAAACCTTCTTTCTAATTTTCCAGCCAATCTTAAGGAATCATGCTTTAAGGTTTCTTCTTACTTAAGAGGGGGAATTAATGGCTACATCATCTAAGGTTATTATTGGTATGGTAAGTATGGTTGTTATTAAGGGGGGACCAAGCGTTGCGGATGTTGAAATTGTGGATATTGGATAGGTTGAACTTGATTAAGGTTATATTATGGTCTTGGTTAGTACATCTAAGGAGCATATACAACATATGTTTATTGTGGAGGCTATTATATTTGTGGAATTTGGTTTGGAATCTACATTTGATTCTGAACTGCATTAGGCACTTGGTATTAAGGATTAATGGGTATCACTTTACTAATATCATCAGGAGTTTAAGTGTCTGCCATTTATGTACAATGTTTTATTTTCTATAATTATTTATTTTAAATAAAAGACTGCTCCTGAAGTATTTGAGCTATAATACATAATATAGAAAAAAATCAATATTCTGTAAATACATAATTTAAAGAGAAGACCTTCTTGAGGTGTTTGAATGTGGAAAATGTATTCTTCATAATCATTTTATGAATATAAATCAATATTTCAGCTTGGCATATCTCAGTAGCTTATGTGGTTTTTTTTATTTGACTTACCCAAACCTTTCGTTAACATGGTCCTCTAATTCAGTAATCAAACTAAGTTCAGATCTCCTAGCTCTTGTGGCACTGTAGTATTCTATTTCGAAAGTATTGCATAATGCAACTGCTTAATCCCATAGTTATTGGTTTCTCTCTAACTTTGTTGAGGCTGCTTAAACAATTGCTGATTAAGTTCCAATGCATTAATTTAAATGATCTAATTTATCTTGTAATCTTTCTTCTTAATTTGCTAACCTATTTAAGATAGAATTGATTCTATCTTTCTAATCATTAAATGCAGCAACTGAGGCAGCATTAGAGGCTGTAAATTCATTATAAGTATCATGGATACTCTCTCTCAATTAGAGTAACAATTATTCAACTCGCTCAATTTGACTTGGATCAACTAAATCTTATTGTGATGCTAATTATGAAAAAGCATAAAAAATTGGAGCATAATTGAAAGTTTTCTAAATATTGAATGATGTCTACAACATTGATTTACTTACACTACTTAACTCAGCAAAGCTCCTTTTGCCATTAGCAATACCTGATAAGATGTCAAGTGCTTCGTCAATAGCATGAAGAGAATCTTCATAGTCTCTTCCTCTTTTTTTGAAATATCCTTATTCGCTTTCGGCAGTTGCAAGAATTAATGTCAAATGTTCTTGATATGTGAATAATTATTATTAATTAACATCTTATTAATTAGTGGTTCTAATTTTAGAGGTCTTACACACATTCAGGTGGGCTGTTGAATCTCTGACAACATTTGAAGCATCCTCTACTTCTTTGCTTCTAAAATCAAATTCTGAGTAACATTCATTATCTTGCAGATGATAGATTTCATCGTGATTCACTTACTCAACATTAACTGCATCTTTGAATTATTTTAGAACATTCAGAATTGAATTCAATGGGGAGTTATTTTGTAGTTTAGCCTCTACCTCTGTTAAAACAGCACTTATTGATCTTTATTTTGAATAGTTCAATTTAGAATATGGTGAAATTGATGATGCAGAAACTAAGGTTACTGCAACCAGCATCAATGCTATTTTCATTTTAGAAATTAATAAAAACGAATTTCTTAATTCCCTTTAAAATACCCTTGCACCTCATACTTAAGTAATATTTAAATGAAATCAGGATAGTGAAACAAGAACTTTTATCACCTCAATGTATTATTACAAATTTACATAAAATTTATCAAATTAATTGATTCTATTTAATCATTTCTTCATCTTAGATTTGTTTAATAATACGAGTCCAAATTACTCGCATGGACTCCACATTATACCTCAGTCCATTACTTAAAAATAAATAATATATTTATCTGTTAATATATTTATATATTATTATTAAACTATGCATTAGGGATCCTTTATTTTGACTAATCAGAAATATGCAGAGTTGGATATGTTCAGAAAAGATGTTAGAGAGAAGTTTTCCTCCAAATTTGACAATCAAAAAACTGTACTTCAAAAAGCTAAGGAATCTTAATTGAATCCTCATCAATCCATTTTCAGAAATAGTTAATCACCAAAAGCATACAAAAATCAATAATAACAATCTCCTATACGAATTAAGCAATACTCCAAACACTCACCAGGTAGATTGTCATTTCAAAGATCTAGTATTGATATGGGTAATGTTAATTCTAGGTATATGAGTTGGTTTAATTATTATTTAGTCTGAATATACCCAAAAAAACTCTAAATGAAATCGTGCCTGTCGAAATAATTTAGGATTTAGCCAGAGCGTTAAAAGGATAAAGCTATGCGGCTACAGATTTATATATGTAGGAATTACGAAAGTTATCCAAAATGGTTTTAAATGAATGAATAGAATCTAGTATTGATTATAATTATTATTTGCAATAACATCCTTTCAAAATTCTTTGACATTTTACAACCTTTATGCTCTATATAGAAATATTAATTTTATTATTTTATTGCTTTTTATTTTCATTATTCTAATCTTCCTAATGTTCCACAATGCATCTAATATATGAAATATAACTTATTCCCTCAAGTGTCGTAAGACTTTTTCATGAAGAAATATTTTTATTATTTAAAGTTCTAATATACCATTGATTCTGTTTAACACTTGAAAATAAATTAAATAAAGCAGGCTTTGAAAGAATATAATTCAATTTTATTAGTTTTTATATTATAAATTTTATTATATAAATTATATGTATTCTTAAGAGTATACATTAGAACCTAAGTCTTCAAGTTTTCAATGCATTCTCATTTTTATTGGGGAAATCCAAAGACAACAGTCAATAGGTTTAATCCCGATAGATTACAACAACTTAGAATGGAGTATCTGGAAGATCCTAGAAAATGGGCTTCGAATATTAAAAATAAAACCATAGAATAAAAATAAGGAGAATAAAAAATTTACTTTTCATGATAAATTATTGAAATTAAAAGAATTTATTATGTTAAAATAACATTTGACCAAATAAGATATTTTATATTATAATTAACTTCCTGTATTAAAATTAATCAACCAATTTAAAGAACTCTTTCCGTTCCATCTAATATATAATAAATTAGGCATTAAGTTGAAATAAAAATCTGTCAGTTTAAAGAGAGAAATCGATAATTGATGCTAAAGAGGGTTAAGATATCCAATTATAAATATAAAATATTGAGAAAACCAGATATAAAAAGGATGGATTAATAGAAAAAGGCAAATGATGTAAAGAATAATTTTTTGTAAATGAGTTATAAATTATTTTAATTTATAAAATTTTTTAATAAACTTTAAAGACTCATTTATATTGACAATGAATTAATAGTCATTATAACAATTGTACAAAGTATGATTGTAAAATTCCAGTCATTTTCTATTCACTAACATATATTATGATCTGTAAAAGCTCAAACTTGAGTGATTTAAGTTATGTGACTTGATATTTATTTGAAAATAACGTGAGTATTGATAGGATTTATAGTATTTTAATCAAATATCTATTTGTTCTTACATTAGGTGATATTACTCAACTAAAACGATATAGTCCATAATAAACCTGAGGCCTGGGTGATGAAGTTTATAATATAATCAAATTTTACAAAATTCTTAAATTATATTTGATTTAATGTTTTCAAAGATCAAGAGAAATTCTATTCTTGAATTAGCAATAGAAAATTGAAGCTGCATATTTTTACTTTTTAAACCGTTATTATACAATTAGATTATAAATAAGAGAATATATTTTTGGAAAATAATTTGTTTTTAATCTAACCTTAGGTAATTTTAAGTGAACTGAGGAGTCAAGCATGCTAAATTGTACAAGGAGATACTAACCTTATTTCCCCCAGAATGAAATGCTAAAATTAAGATTGTAATAATTATGAATTGATCTGCAGAATTTTGAACTAATTTATATGTAAAACCGACTCATTCAGAGTGATTTGTCTTAAAGCATAATAATAAAGCAATTTTATTGTTTTTTGAAGTGAAAGAAGGTGTAGTTTTTTCATTTTATATTTTTTAATTAATGGAGGAATAGAATAGCTAAAATTTTTGATTTTAGTATATTTTTATGAATATTTTCTTTTAAGAAAAAATATTGTATATATATAAAAATATATTTTAAATTGCAGAGTTTTGATATTTGCAATAGAAATTTTCAATAGAGGGAAATATAATTTATTTTAATATAAATACTAATGGGATCAAGCTGTTGTTTGGCTTAAGGGGATGAAAAAGTAGAGTTAATGTTGCAACAAAAAAATAAATAAAAGAAGAGAGTTGGAAAATTATATAAAAACCCTTCTATAAGCGGTAATGATTAGAATAAGCAAAATAACAGAAAACCATCTTATTAAAATTAATTATCATATATCATAGATGATACTGGAAAGGAATATAATAGAATGGCTGCTAGCACATTAGTAATTTAGGTATTAACAGGAGATCTGGATAGAGTAAATTCAATTGAATTATCAGAAAATGCTATAAAAGACATACCAGTAAAGAATAGTTCTTATGAAATAATTTCAATAGAATCTAAAAAGACTATCTTGAAGAAAGAAACAAAATATAGTATATTTCACAACCAGGCTCATCTAAATTAGAATTAAAAGAAGGTGAGATTCGATGATGTGTGAAATTAAATAAAGTTGTAATAGTTATACTAAAAATGTAAATGTTTATGAATGTTAATATTTTTAATAATTTATCGCTGATGCATATTTTTAAATTATAATGAATATGAGTAGAATGTGAATGTAGTCAATTTAAATTAAAAGTTATTTAAGTTTTTAAATTGTATTTGATTTTGTCTTACTAAAAATATTAGCATACCTCTTAATCTTCGAAGTTAATTTTAAATATTTTACAAACATTGTAATTTTAGTTAGAACATGAAAAGATAAGAAGAACGAAAATGAATAACTCAATTTAATTTTATTTAAAAAAGAGAGTAACACGGAATATTCTTGGTAGATAAAATTTTGTTTTTGATTTATACATTTGAGAATATAATAATAATTGTTTATGTAATGTTAATAATACTCATTTATCTGTTAAATTTCTAAATGCTGACTTAATTTCATCAACAAACTTAGTGAAATAATTCATTAATTCTTATTTTGGTTATTTTGGATCCTATAATAATATAATAAAGTTAATACCTCAAATTTCATCTATGATAGCTTGACAAATTGAGGCTTAGTTTGATTCAATATGATATTCCAAGTAATTTTAGCATCTCCTGAAGATTCAAGAATGGCCTTTTTACCACATTCAAAGAAGGAAACGATGCATCTCATCATACCAATAGTTTTGTAAAGTGGACAATTGTAATCATATTTACTGAAAGCATCTTGTTATAAGAAATCTTCTCTGATAATTTTAGCAATCTAAGAAGATATTGGTAAAGTAATACTTCCAATGACAACTTTTGATCTTCTGAAAGGGAATCTCTACCTGACCAATTGGACAATTTCATTTAATTCTGATTCTTCATGTAGGATCTATTTGAACATAACTCTCAAATGAGAAAACTCTGGATCAAAGGCATTGAAATATGGTTCAAGAATCTTTTCATAATTGGAATTGGAAATGGTCCAATTGACAGATGGGAAATGCTTTCTTTGTGCTAATTTCTTATCCAATCCCCAAAAGACCTAGACAATTGTAAGAGTGGCAGTAGTAACAGGATCTGTGAAATCCTAAGGATAATAAATATATTAATACTCCTCCTGGAGGTGACACAGCACCGACAATAGTAATGGATCCTTCTCTGTCAGGTGAACCTCTGCATCTGACTCTTCCGGCTCTTTCGTAGAATTGAGCGAGTTTAGATGCCAAATAAGCAGGATAACCTTGATCTGCAGGCATTTCTGCCAATCTACCAGAGATTTCTCTCAAGGCTTCTGCCCATCTGGAAGTAGAATCAGCCATCATAGACACATTGAAACCCATATCTCTGAAATATTCTGCCAATGTAATTCCTGTGTAGATGGAGGCTTCTCTGGCAGCGACTGGCATATTGGAAGTGTTAGCAACCAAACAAGTACGTTACATAATGTTTTCTTCCTTGCCCTTCATTTGAATAGTCAATTCTGGGAATTCACTGAGCACTTCAGCCATCTCATTTCCTCTTTCTCCACATCCAACGTAAATGATACATTCAGAATTTGAATATTTAGAGAGTGCTTAAGAAATACAAGTCTTGCCACATCCAAATGCTCCTGGAATACAGCAAGTACCTCCCAAGACTGATGGATAGAGTGCATCAAGGTACTCTTTATCCAGTAAGGAGTGGTGTATTACCTTACAATTTCTCAATGATGGGTCTGGGTTGTCTGACAGGCCAGAAGTGACTCATTCCATATTGATGTTTCTTGCCATCCAATTCTACTTCTAGAACTTTGTCTTTTAGTGTGTAATTGCCCTCAGGTGCAATGTAAGTGACTCTGCCTTAGACTCTGGGGGCTGTCAAGATCTTGTGCTCATCGAAAAGATTGTTTTCAAAGACTGATCCATAGATGTCACCTCCAGAGATCATTGAACCTACTTTGACTAGTGAAGATGGTTTGAATTCCCAGATTCTATCTTGATCCAGTGCTGGAATATCAACACCTCTGGGCACAAAAATGGAAGATGATTATTCTGCTATGACTTATAATGGTCTTTAAATTCCATCGAAAATTTAGGTCAAAATACCTAGATATTTAGTCATTATTACCTGGTCCTAATTCGACTGAAAGAGGAGACTTTGTTCTCATCACAGGATCACCCACTGTCAAACCAGCTAATCATATTTACGTAATGTGAGTACATGTATCTTCATAACATTGAATAGATGCATTATCTCCTTCTAATTTAATGATTTCACCAACCAATTTGTCCCAACCTACTTTCACTAACTCAAACATCTTAGCTCCTGCCATCTTCTCTGCAACGACCACTATTAAATTAATGAACAGCGATTACATGGACCAGCCACTTTGAACACTCTACCAAAGCTACTCTCCTTCTCTTGCAATTCCTCCAATTGTGTCTTGCGTTATTTATTCATATCTTTTAATAAAATTTATATAAATGAACATCACGATTCTGAAAAATAAAGCCAGAAATTATTTTATTCTCTGTTTATATTTAATACTATGTGTTCGCTTCTCAATTTCTTAAATTATGTTAGATTTCTAAGTTTTATAATATAAAATAAAACGAATTCAACTTTTAGCAAACTCGTAGTTTGTGATCTCACCCATCTGTTTTTTATCATCTTCTATCATCTTCTTCAGCAACTCATTCTTGATCTAAGTGATCAAATAGTCCTTTTTCAACTTCGTGAAAAGGTCATTCAATTAATCGTGCAATTACTTCTTCTCCTTTTAAACAAATGTTTGTTATTCAATTTAACTCTACAACCTCTGCAATTCCTCATCTTCCTTCTACAACTTCTGCTACTATTCCAATTTCAATCGCTCCTTCTCCTTCTGTTTCTGTTATTGTCTGACCAACTCTTCCCCTGTTGCATCCCTGATCAATTTCCATTAGAATTTCTACGAACTTACACTATTCATATACATCTAAATGAAATTCGAATTTGGCATCGATGCTGTCCTCCTGCAATTGCATCTTCACACTCTGCAACGGCTGCGATCTCAAGTTTGCAATTTCAATTTTTTATTTCTTCCCACAACAAATAAACATTAATTAAAATGCAGAACTTTATGACCAGACCCTCAAGAACAAATACCAGTGAATTTGGACATCGACAGGAAGACAACTTTGACTACAACGAGTTCAAGAATCTGGCCTTAAGTTTGATCGCCAGTCAGCACCAGAAGGAATGGAATCATCAACCCAGACTCACATAGGTCCTTCTCAACCAGAATCTAACTGTGATGTTCGACGGAGTGATAATCAAAGAATAATGCACCCTGTTTCCTAATGTTCTGAAAATAGATACGCATTACATCCAGCTTTCCCAATATTAAATCAAGAGGAAACAACTGATCCACAATAATAAAAAGTGTTACCTTCTCCTCCTGGGCAATGACCTCATGCTCTTCTTCAGCAGTTTCGACGTCCAAAAACATTGGTACAATCAGATTAAGCAATTTTGTATCATGAAAAACTTACTAGTCAAATATCGTCTACAGGAACAATTATTCCAGGACTTCTACTCCATCATCAAGAAAAAAGTAACGAAATCTATGAATGCAAGAACCGACAATAGTTTTCTGCCTACATCATCAACAAATAGCAACCCTTTCTAGAGCATACTTTTGGCTTGTTGCACGAGAGCAAGAATCACTCAATACTCAAAATAAAGAGGATCTACGAGGACACCAACAACTATGTCATGATTACAGAACGGTTTGAAGGCGAACCAGTGTTTAATTTCTTATTAGAGAACATTTAATTTATGGAGGTTTAAGTTGCTACAGTATGATCCAATATATATAAATTTAGTTGATTTACTAAATCCTACTATTGTTACGCTATTTGAATGAACACTAGGCATATCACGGAAATATCAATGCATTAAATATATTAATCAATAGAGAAAGTCAGTCCTTAGAGATTGCAGTAATTGGATTTATATACTATGTATAAGAATTAATTAATTTGTTAGCCTTTCAAATAAGGAGAAGACATAAGTGAATATTTGAAATGGGTCAATCTGAACAAGTATTATTGGAGTGGTTTTGAAGAAAATTAAACCCCTGGGATACATTCTGATCTCTACCAATTAGGAGTTCTACTTTATATCATTACATTTTACACTAAAATAAACTAAGATTTGAAAGTATGCACATTAATAATAATAGCGAAAAAGTGACCCTTACAAATTGTTTTTAAGGTACATGAAGGAGTTGGTAATAAAATATGAGTTGATTGATGAAACCATCGAGGTCTTAACATGTTGAATATTAATATTTATTTAGAGATGAAGACTCCAGATTAATAGTTTGTACACGTCTTTTCATCAAGTCAATTGGATCTGATAAAAAAATTATTGTCTAATTGCTCCTTATCTGATGCTCTCACACATTAATGGTTTGTAAATGCTAAGCAGAAAGCAAGACCACACAATCAACGTTAAGGGTTACCCACACTAAAAACAATCATTGAATTGAAGGAAGCCAGTGATGGTGAAGCAAGTAAATCATAAACCAAAAGATTCAGTATTCAAAGTGACACCTACGATTCAAGTAAGTATATTCGTGATATTAAAGTGGATGAGTGTCCGACTGTCTCATATTTAATGCGCAACATCTTAGATTATGAAAAGGCGCCATGTAAAACTCATCATTCCTGATTATATTTAATTAAAATAAATATGTTACATGCAAAACCGAAGATTTAAACACAATAAGCACTTTTCTAAGATCTGAAAAGCAAGAAATCTTCAACTTCCTTCAGTCCTATTAACACACTTTTTGGAAGTAAATAAACTGTCAATCTCCCCAACAATTTATGTATTTGTCCCTAATTCACTTAGCAATTCCATTGTACAAAGGTCATTTTGTTAATTTTCATCATGAACAGATAAGAATTGATGATAATTGTTCTTTGAGTGGTATTTAAGATGGCTTTCTTTACTTTGTGGTAAAAGAAAAAACCATGCAATTCTATTTCTTTTCACCTCAACAGGACGATCTAAATTACTACTACAATACTGTAAACATTTCTATTTTATTGTAGGATGATAAGAAGTACAAATTTCCAATCAGACTCAAAGAACAATCAATTAATCACTTAGAGTATATCACAGCCGTTGGATTTCAATTGGTAGATGATGTATGGACCATGGCAATCGCTTCTGAATTCTATATATTTTTGTACACTTTTACAGGAGATTTGGACAATTTTTAAATGCTAAAATAGGGCTTCAACGTTAATGGAGAAATAATCAATTAAGTCATTTTTTATCAAGACAATTTAATTTATGGAGGCAGTTCAGGCACTCTAACCTGTAAATCTATTGATTCAGCTCAAAAATACACTACTTAATTGAAAGAAAAAATAAAAAAATAATTTAATAGGATATTCAAGGACTTGACTCCTTGGTCATCTCAACAAGGATTGATCTAATTGGAAGTGCAAGAAGAATTCAACATTTGTTATGGTTTATTCGAGAAACTTGATAAAGATGAAAACGTTGAAGACACATTCATCATCATCTACGATATTGGACTTCAAGGAGAACTCTTTTAAGAAATAATCACAATTAAACAATCCTCTCTATTTAATTCCAATCTAGAATTCAAAAATGGATATGATTATCACAATCTCCAATTTTATCATGTGTTTTTCGAAAAACAATACTAAACAAACAAAATCCTCTTGATCATAACAACCAAAGACTAACTATAACTTTATTTATAGTTTGAATTATAAGACAGAACTATTAATGAGATCAATGAATACAAATAAAGGATATCAATTTCTAATGTTGTTCAATTTTAATAATATATCAAATTAAAACCAGAATTCTAAGTTATCTAGGTCAAAAATCCCTATATGAAAATAGACACGGTGATTCCATATGGAGTCTGTTTGGATGAGAGTAGAACACAATACAAACAGAAGGAAATGTTGACAATCCAATAAAACTAAATTCTGAAATCAGTATACAAAGAGGAATAACTCTCACTGTTTCATTTAGATAACTATATCATTGCACAATTTCTTGATATGGCACATATCCAATACTTTAGAAACCTAGAACAACAGATCACCAAATACAATACATATAATTAGATATAGTATTCGATTTATAGGGATACTTCTAAGGATGCAATTGAAAAAATCGATCTTCATGGTCAAAATGGTCATGGCATTCCAAAAAGCGCTTATAATATTGGAAAGATGACTGTGAATCGATTGTTCAATCATTTTGATATTAATGAATCTTAACTTTATAATCTACCTGAACATTTCATCTGTATTGCTGATCACACAATTGAATTCATTGTCAGAATGAGACCAATCGATTGTTTCTTCACTGCCATCAAGGTTACACATTACGATTTTATCGATTAAGTAGATGCTGAATTCCCACTTGAAAAATTGGTCAGAGCATTTGGAATTGAAGAAAGTTGTGCCTAAATCTTGCAAATCATTATTCAAGAAGAATAGAATTTTTATATCAATGTTGAACTTCAACATCAATATTAATTAGATTTGCAGAAGGCATTTCAAAGAATACATTACTCAGAAAATATCCAAAAATTTTTCGATGACAATGAAAAGATTCCGAACTGGGTTACTGGTCTAGTTTATGTTCGTAAAGGGTCCATAATCAAAGAGAAAGCACTCAAAGCGTATTTTGCTTTGATTAAGCGTTCATTACTTAGTGAAGAAAGAAATCAAAAATCTAAGAAAGTATCAAGCACAACATCTTTAATTTGGAAAATCATTGCTCCTCTTACAACCAAGAAATTCATCAATGAAAAAGTGTATAACTTGGAATGCAATAAACCTATTGAGAGTTACTCACTCTTACAATTATAAACTGTATTCAAATAGATTGAAAAATTAATTAAATTATTTGAAAATGAACCTAATTACTATCAACAAGTCAAGAATCAAAGACACGATCTCTAGATTGAAGAATAAAAACAATTTCAGAATTATAAGAATGGATTCAGTAAGTACATCTATGAAACTTTCGAATAAAGTACTAGATTAGACATTTCAAGAAGCACCAATTATTCAGATTAATCATTGGCTATTAGTGTAAATGTGGATGTAGAATATGTATATATTGTATCTATTTTAGAACTAAATGAAAGTGCTCTACTCTTATAGCAAATAAATTAAATAACTGCTGCAATTTTTGATTTATTTCTTTGGAGAGTTGTAAGGCATCAGGAATATTATTAACAGCTATCAAAACAAAACTTAATTATTTGAATTATCAATTAAAAGTGTTCTTAGCGGTGACACTCTTGGAAATTTGACATTAAAATAATTAATGATCCATATTATTAAAAGTGATAAAACAAAATTCAGAGAGACTGCTTAATATATGAATTATCATTTTCCTGATTACTTTACGGATTCAGATTTTAAGATCAGTCTTGTGTCGAACCTATTTGATGAAATATTGACATTTGCTGCCTAAAAAAGTAAGAGTTCTCATTGACTAATTAGATTTGATCAAACTTAATCCAAATGAATAGATACATGAAAAAATTAAGAGGATCCTAAAATTGTCCAAGACTCCTTAAATTACTATTGACAAAGTACTTGAGAAGAAGGAGATCTTCCTCTATTATAAGGATTTGTAGCCAGAATTGCAAGACTAATTACTGGAGGCATTGAAATTGATAGAAGAAGTTACCCTCCTCATTGATCATTCCTATTTGACACAATGCTTTTAAAATTATATGTATCCTTTTGCCACTTTCAAATTCTATGTCTAATTTTTAGCTTAGAAATGTCAATAATAAGAGAAGGATCAATCAAACAATGAATATTGCAATTGCATTATGGATTTAATCTAGCAATTCACCAATCTAATTTAATACTATTTGAATCCTCCCAAGGGTTTGAGTAAGGCTTAAACGAAAGAAATTCTAATCGAATCTCTTCAACTCTTAAACCAATTTAAACTCATCAAAGCAACTGAAGCAATTGCTAACAATATTATTAAATATTAATTGAAAGAATTCATTTAATACATCGATTACAATCCAGAAATGGATTTATAATGCAATAATGACTTAGAGAAATTATAACTTTAGAAGAAACAATTCTTAGCCAAAGCTGTGAAAGGCAATCATGAAGTGCATCCATAATTGATTCAGATCCTGTTGAAACTAGCGCAATTTTCGTTAAGTTAATGTCCAGAAATGAATTTAGAGGACATACAAGCTAAGTTGCCCATTAAAAAGAGATTAAGGTATGTAAACAAGGCATAAGAGTTCATCAGAACTTTTCATAAGAATACTCAAGGAATTGATTTAAATGAAATCGAAAAGTAAGCATAAGATCTTAGCAAATAATTATTTCTGTAAGACATTATGTATGATTTCGTAATATCTAATGAAGATGAAAATCAATGTAAAAATATCTTACATTATTAGGTTATCATACAGAAAAGAGGAAAATCCTTATAGAAATTTTGGACTGCAAAATTATTCTGCAATTCTTTGAAGACAACAACATCTACTTTGGTTAATTACTATGTCTAGATTACTTGGAACACTCTAAAGGGGATTAATTATGCACACAAGAGAATGTTGAATAACTATGGGTAAATTTTCTGAAACATTCTTATGAAGAATCAGATGGATGGCCCACAGACGTGCTCAAAAGATAAGTATGAATATTTCATTGAGATATTTTAGATGAAATTGCTTTTTGAGAATCTAATCAATAGCAATAAATACATTTAATTACAGAAAATGACTTAGACAATAGAGTTAATTAATACGAAGGAGTGTCAGGAGTAAAAGATTACTCAACTGTCAACTTGGTTATTCTTTGAGATTTTGTTGAGTCATGATATCAGAGAGATTGATTTGGCAAAGATCTATGTCAAACATTATTTGGATCACATCTAAATTGTAGATAATCCCCTTTATAAAACTTTGTAAATTGAATAAATTCAGACCTATAAATTGTAATTAATACAATAGATTCTAATTTTGTTTGATGCTCTCAAAAAGCTTAAGTATGATTAGTAGTCAACCAGTTCATTAATAAATCAGTTTAGATTGGCTTTTGAAGTACTCATATCATTAATATTAATAGAACGATTATAGAAACCTGGTGGATGATGAATTGTATGACGCAAAAGTTATAGAGCAGATTAAAATGAGAATTGATTCATTATGATTAATATTATTGTTTTTAAGCTCAATTTTAGTGTGGCAATTTATTATTGTTAATATATTATATTATTTAAATTCAAATGTAGTAAGAATAGATACCGCAATAATAGAATGTCACACCAAAAAAGTATTAATTAGCGACTCCAACCAAAGACAAGAAGTAAAATAAAACTAATTAGTCTACTACAATACAATCCCCTTAGAACAACGATTTTTATTCTCCAAAAAATATGAATCCTTGGAAAACCCCTAAATCCTTATTAAAAAGCAATCACAAACAGAGCACTCCTGATCATGGTTTTCAAGCATCCCCTTACAGTGATAGATACATCCCATTAAATGTTTCAAGAAATCTATTTAATAAACAAATATAGCCATTTGAAATTGAGGAGGAGAATTAATATGAAGAACTTCTGAGTGAAAATGTCTTGGAAATTGATGAAAATAAACATGTGAGTATTTTGAATTTCAATAAATAAAAACACGACAAAGTTCAATCTGCCAAACAACTTGAAACACCTAAAAGAAAAATAGATACTCTCCCCATAAAAGTGTTAGATGCACCTGGATTAGAGGATGATTTCTATCAGGACACACTCCATTGGGGGAAAAATAATCTTATTGCAGTTGGTTTACAGAGATCTGTCTATTTGTATAATGTCGACAATTCAAAAGTATTTTAATTAGCAGAACCTATCAATAATAATGAACTATCCGCATATTATACATCTTTGTAATGGAATACAAATGGATAAATGTTGGCAATAGGCTGTTGTGATGGTTTTTTAAAATTATGGGATTACAATAAAAATTCATTCACTGGTTCTATGAATCTGTCTAATAAAAGAATCAGCACAATTAGTTGGGCTAATCCCAATATATTTGCTTATGGAAGTAAGGATAAAACAATCAACATATGTGATGTCAGAGTCCCAAACTATTCAATATTTTAATTGCTAGGACATACATAAGAAGTTTGTGGTGTCACATTTGATGGAAGTGAACTCTAGTTGGCTTCAGGGGGAAATGATAATAAAGTGTTCGTTTGGTAAATGAGAGGAGGCAACAATAACAGCAATAATTAATATATATCTTGGGAAATTAAATCTCACAAAGCAGCAATAAGGGCTTTGGCGTGGAATCCGAATTCATGTGGTATATTGGCTACTGGAGGTGGAAATCAAGATAAGACTATTAAAATTCACAGTTCACTCACTAATTAATAAGTTGCAAGCATTAACTGTGATTCGTAAGTTTGCAAATTGAGATTTTCTAAAATTGTTAATGAATTGGTTTCAACACATGGTTATGAGAAGAACTTAGTATGCTTATGGCAATATCCTACAATGAAAAGAATTCATTAATTGGAAGGACATTCTGAAAGAGTACTTTATTTGTCTGCAAGTCCAGGTATTTGATTTTGTTTGCTATTTATAGATGAATCAACGATACTGACAGGTTCAGGAGATGAGACACTCAAATTCTGGAAGATCTTTCCTACTTAGGTTTCAAACAATATGTCCTCACTGTTTTCCATGTGTGAAATTAGATGATTTAATTAATATATGTATAATCAAGATACCTTATAAATTTACTTTAGCTTTGTTTAGAGAATAATAATTATTTATTTATATGAGCGAAGAATAAATTGAATAACCAAATGATGAAAATCAAGAATAATAAAATGATCAAGACCCTTTGCCAGAATAGAATGAGGAGTAGGTCGGAGATCCTGAATAAACAGAATAACCTGAGTAGCCACCAGAAGAGGAGGCAGAAAAGCCTCCTGAACCTCCAGAGGAAGATGAAGAAACCAGACGGTTACGATTAGAGAGAGAAGAATAGGAAAGAAAGGAGAGGGAGGAAAGAGAGGAGCAGGAAAGAAAAGAAAGGGAAGAAAGGGCAGAATAAGAAAGAATTGCTAGAGAAGAATATGAGGCCAAATTGAAAGAAGACACTGCAAAATTTAATGAATTAGTTTTATAAGGAATTTCAGGATTGAACAAAACTCAAATAGCTTATGCTTATGTGAAATTAAATCTTGCAGAAAAGGACATCGATAGGCTGTTTCAGATTAATCATTTGAATCTAAGATACATTGATATCTCACAAAATAGAATTGTGGATATTACTCATCTACTGCCTTTGAAGTAATTCTATTCCTTAATCCCTTAGGTATTTGGTTTCATTAAATGCTTCTAAGAATGAGATTAATTCACTTTCATATTTTTAGGATCCTGAAGCATTTCCATACTTACAGTATTTAAATCTCTCTACAAACAAAATCAATACACTTGTCACTGTCTAATTAAAGAGATTGAGGAGATTGAATTTGATTGAGAATGAAATTACTACTGCAAATGAATTTGAAGGACATGAAAATGTTGAAATCCTAGAGTTAGGAAAAAACAAACTAAAAACTACAGATGGATTGGCAAACATGCCTTAATTAAAAGTATATTACTTATTCATTATCCTTTTTAGGAACTTTATTTATAAGGCAATGAATTAAAGGATTTTAGATCTCTAAATAATCTACCATCTTTATTAAAATTAAATATAAGAGCAAATAAGATTACAAAAATTAAAACTCCTGTTATAGAATTCCCACAATTATATTATCTTAATCTTAGAGAGAATTAATTAGCTAAATTTGATGATTTTAAAAAGATTGCAAAAATCAGAACCATAACAACTCTCAACATGTTAGCCAATCCTATTGTAGATGAGATGGGTGCAGATAATTTCAAATAAGAAATTTTAATGTTTTATTTCCATTTAGTGAGAATAAATAAAGTAGACATTACTAAAGAAGATTATGATGAAGCTGCGAAGGTGCTGTAAGAAAGAAGAGATGAAGAAGAAAGAAAAAGAATTGAAGAAGAATAAGCAAGAGAGGAAGCCAGATTGGCAGAAGAAGCGAGATTAGCAGAAGAGGAAAAATTAGCTGAAGAGGCTCGTTAAGCAGAGGCAGCTAAAGAAGGAGAGGCAGCTAAAGAAGGAGAGGGAGCTAAGGAAGGAGAGAATGCTAATGAAGGTGCTGAATGAAACATTTAATGAATATATATATCAATTATCATAAATCTTTTTACATCATATAAAATTCGTTTTTTGAGGTTTGTAATTTTATATTTTAATACGTACTAACAAATAATATAAACTGATTTTCTAATCAGCGAACAATATGAAAATAATTTGATATACAACCCTTAAATTTTGAGTTTATCATTTGATTTAATAATTTATATTGTGTTTCTATGTTACTTTTGTCTTTTTATTCAGAAATTATCATTTAGTAATACTTTTAATTTAATTATATTTTTTTTGTATTATAAAAATTAACGCAAAATCCATCACAAAGGTGCCATTCAAATATTATATCCCAATCCCATATGTTATTATTAACCAGAAAAATGTTGTATTCTTAAAATCCATATTACTACTTTCCATTCTACTAGCCTTAAGTAGTATATCCAGTGTATTATTTCTCAGCCTAAGCCTCAAATCAATAAGAACCTATAATCGAACCATCCTTGATTACAAACAATGATAACCATCCAAACCATATTCAACAATCTAATCATGATACAGAGGAACTGATAATTGAAAAGAATACCAATAGTTAGGACACAAAAAACGAGTCTAAAAGAGAAAGAGAAATAATAAATAAGAAATAGAAAAAAAATACTAAAACTCCCTAAGTCTTGGACTCAACTAATCTCCATAAGAATTTTACAAAGGCTCTTATAGCCTACGCAATCAAACAGCAATTCATAATATATAAATTATTGGGAGAAGCCAAAGGACAAGAATTTCTTGAATTGATGCACACTATCAAGAATAAGCTCTGTAACCTCACTCACATCCTCTAAATGACTAAAAACGATGAATTCTTAAAGGCTTTTAGGACTTTGGGGTATTATTTTGTTTAATTATATTTAGACTTATTTTCCTCAAAAAAGAGTCGGTTCCCTATATCTACAATTCCAAAATTCAACAAAAAACTAGTCATTTGAAGCATAAAGTCATCATAAAGAAAGCTCTGCTATAAATTTGAAGCTCATTAAAATTTATATTAACTCTCCACTTATGTATTGCCTTAATATTAAAAAAACATTAAATTTGGTTTTATATAATTTAACCATTCAATTTTATTTTATTCTAAATATTCATCTTCATGCAGAATGTATTTAATTGGCTAATACTATGTTGTGTAAATCATTCAACCAGTTCATATAGTTATTTTACTCTGAAAGAATGGCTAGTAACTCTAAATAATAAGCGTCCTGTGCCTCAAATCCAAAAGCATTTAAATACTTAACAATATTACTTTGGAATGGCTAATATGCAATAACTAAATACATCTGATAAATCTAACACATCTGCTCTATAAGAATCTGTATATTCCTCCACAATGTCTAATAATTTTGAATGCCATTCTTGTCTCAAGTTCACATTGTCAAAAACTGAAAGATCCTTAAATTCTATGCCTCCAGAACTAATCAAAAGCGTCAGAAGCATCACTTAATCTAATTACGGTGTTTAGATTGTAAGAACAACTTAAACAGGAGATTATGCAAACAAATCTAAGCCCAATGGATTCAATGTATCGAGTCTTGAATTAATTATATCTTCCCTCCTGGCTTCTTCTTCGTGTTCTAATTGAGTTTAAAAATAATAAAACTTAAAGCAGGAGCATCTAATTTATTATAAGTGAAATATTCATCAAATCTATCTAATTCATGCAGAGCAAGCACTTTTTTTTATTTTTCTCTTAATGGTTTACTTCTTGGGAATATTGTTAAGGCAAACTCCGAATCTTATACATATTTGTAGATTTGAGTCAATTGCCTATATGAACGAATATCATATTTTTTGCTTATCATAAAACCCTAACTTTTGTAATGCAGAGAATTACTTTAACTTCTTGAGTCACTTATTGTATTAATTGTATATTATTCGATTAAGAATCTAATTCTCTTTTCAATGAGAAGATTGCTTTGGCCATATACTTGATACCTGTTGATTTATTATTCTATTTCATTTATTCGCATAGTTGTTAATATTGGGAATTTTAGAATTTAGCATTCAATTGTTAGATGGGATTGATAGTACAGAATTTAGCCAGAACTTTATTAATATTAAAAATCATTATTATTTGAGTTTTTATTATAAAATTTCTAAATTTTTATTGATTTCTTCTGATAAATATTTGAGTTCTGGGTACATCTCTCCAATTTGGAACCACAAAGGGAAAACAAAAGTTTCTAAAATGTAACAATTCAATTATTACTTGAAAAAAAGATTTAGCCTCCATAATAAGCGGGTTTGTCTTTGTAAACTAAGAATCCTGTGACATCTACTCCAACTTTGGCTTCTTTGATAGTCTAAAGAGGATTATTAAAATGTTGTACTTGATCATTAAATTCTTAGGTTAAAAGGTAAGACCAATTCATGTAATTATTGAATTTCATTGTTGGATTGGATATATCACATGCATGAACCATAATATTTAAAATGAATATTCGATCCTCGAGTCTTTCATTTGAAAATCGTTACATATCTATTAATTCATTCTTTTCTCCTTATTCAAATTATTTTGTGGATTCGACTCTCTTCTAAAACTTTGCAAGCAATTTATTATGTTTACTCTAAAGATATAATTATATTGATAATAACCATATCAGTTGCTAGAATGGAGGTTATAATTAATCTTTTGGCTAGGTTTCTTTCTTCATCATTAGTCATATATTAGAAAAAGTCATGTTATCTATTTAATTAAATGATATTAAAAAAGGTTGCACAATGCATATTTTCTAAAACTGCGATCTCTGAAGTTAACACATTGAATTTTTTAGATTTCTTTATCTTGTACATGTTATTGACGCCCTCTAAAAATAATTAAATGAATAACTTTACTATGATTAAGATCATGTCCTAATCCGGCTAAAATAGCAGAAAATATTTCTAATTGATTACAAAACTTCTTCAAGTCTGATTTCATGTAACAGGAAAATAATAATTGCGATAATTAGAATGCATGGGTGAAATTATGATATGGTACTACATTATAATTCATTATGATTTCTGTTATCAAATCGTTCAAAACATTTTTAGGTACTTTGATAGTATCCAAATTTAAGAAATCAAACAATTAAAGGGAAAATTACCCCAATTCTTTTTTAGTGTAAATGTGATGAGCCATATTGGAATCCAAAAGGGTGTCTAAATCCATCCTCTGAAGCTTTTGAGCATCCAGAATCAGTTCCTTATAGAGAGGAATTAATTTGATTTATAATCTTTCAAATTTTTCAAGAGTAGCTTCGTAATCTGTTTTATCATAATATATTTTGTTCTCCAATTTCCTTGTGAATTTCTTGATGGTCTGGTAGAAAAAGCCGTAGGTCTAAAATAATGCTTCTTCTGTAATGAAGCTACTCTTTTATTTTAGGAATATCAATTACTTTATATGCTTCGTCGATGTATTTGTAGACTTTAATAAATTTCTATATGATTTAAGTGTCAGTCTCATCTGCAAATTTTAGATAATATTCTTCCAGAAATTGGATTTACTATTCGATTGAATTCAAATATTCGACAGGTGATCGATTTGTTTGCATGGAGTATGATAAATATAAATAAAAATTAAAAATTATCAAATTTCTTAAAGATTTTCGAAACTATTAGTTAATTAGCTACTTCTGTTTTCATTTAATTCATTGTTGTTTGAGAAAAAGGTTTTAGTCTTTTGAAAATCTAAGTCAGCTCTTTCCAACTTGTTCAATCTCTTTCTCATCTAATAACTATTGAACCAGTACACAAGACTGTTAAATAATCCTTGCAAGAAACTAGCACCATATTAAACAATTCTAATATATTGATAGGGTCCAGTTTGATAAATAAAATAATCCTGTTGTATTTACTCTATCCAACTATTGTTGAATACAAATATCAGAAATATTATTTGAGATGGCAGCCAGCAAATAAATATAACCGACGGGTAGAGTATTAAATTACGTGCAAACATCAATTGTATATTTATTTGTTTATTTAATAATTCGTATTGACTTTTTATTCTTTTTATCTTAAAGTACGATCTCAATATGAAGTACACAGATATTATTACAGAGCAAAGCAGTGGTAAATAGAACAATGTAAGATTAAGATATAAACTTAAACTCCTATTCTTTTCAATTGATTGATTTTCGTCATTTGAAGTAATAGAACAAATAGCAGGAACTTTAGCAGGAGTAGGTGCATAAGAATGAAAAAACAAAGGAATTGTTGCCATGAATAAGGGGATGGCAAAACCTAGTTAAAGTAAAGTATAAGAGTTACCTATGGCTAAAATGAATTTTTAATATCTTTCAAAATAAATCAACTTCTTTTGCCCACTCGTAATCGACACATATAGAAAATATGAGATTGATGTACTCCAAAGGAAGGCACAAATCCTTGCAAATTGGGTCACAGTTCCCTGTATTGTGCATCTATATATAATATGATTAAATTAACCTGGCGATATCATAACCATCAAATGTTGGCTCCACATACAAAAGCAATCCGAGAGCATAAAACAAATCCGATATTGACAGACATGCAACGATCCTTTAAGCAAATACTTTAAGGTTATCAAAAAAGAATAGATGAGTTAACATTAGTGTAGATCCTCCTATAGATAGAGAAATGCACACATAAAATAATATTAACATTAAAATAATGTATAATAATACAAGTCCAATGAGACATTAGGTCATACAAGCTCCTCCAAATAAGTCAGTATCTCCAGTGTCAAAGTTTCAAGTCATGGGAAATCTTTAACCTCCTCCCGGGATGAAAACAGTCCTCAAACCAAAAATCTATGAAGTAGTTGAAGTGCCTCTTAATCATTACACTTCGGTACCAACATTCCAACCACCTCAATAATTGCAATATGATCAGGAGTTACAAAGGAAGATTAGATAATTGGAATAGGAATCCTTTATTTGTAGATAGAAAATTGAGTAGGATCAAAAAAATGATAAATTTTAACAGCTTAATGAAAAAATCAGACAGCAGCAGCAAGAAATTGAAAGACTCAAATCAACCAATGATCCAAACCTCAGACTGCTTAAAGAATAATGCGATTATTATTTTAATCAATCATAATAGGCGGAGTTGGAGAAAAATGTAATTATCATTTATTCATCGATATCATTTAGGAGTTGATACTTAGACTCAAGTAAAATGAATAGCAGATGCAAAAGATCTAGCAATAGTAATTTCATAATAACGACAAGGATACAAAATACAATCAATTACTCAATGAGTACGAATAATTAAAACAGAAGTATCAAATTCTTGAAACCTAATCACAACAATAAATAGATCAATAAAAAAGTGAATACGACAGAATTTACAATTAACATTTCTCTTAAATTAAATAAAAGTTAAATATCCTTATTATTCCATAGTTCTGAAATTAGAAGTAAACAATTTGACGATTAGATTATGAAATTATAAGAGGAATTGGACAATGCAATAAATGAAGCGGAAGTTTGGAGATAAAAATATCATAAAGAAGAGCTGAATCAAATGAATCATACTAAACGCATCAATGAATTGGAATTGAACAGTTTTCATTAGATTAAAGAAATTGAAAGATTGTAATAATTAATTGCAATCAAATAATAAGAAAATGATTCTCTTCAGTAGAAAATTAATTACTTAGAATTCAATTATCAACAAATTTCATCCTAAGGATTAGATAGTGAAATCAAGAGACTTAAGGAACAATTAGACTCTAGATAAAGAGAAATAGATGATTTAAAGAGAAGGAATAATGAAATTGAGTAGAATGTACTTAAGTTAAAGGATCATGAAATTCAAATGGAAATTATTAAGCAGAGAGTAATGATATACAAATTATATAATAGAATTAATTATTTGAAAGTTAATTGTAGGAATCCGATAGATTCAAACATCAATACGCATCTTAACTCATTGAATTGGATGAATTACGCAATAAATAAAATAGATTAGAGAATTGTGTTAATGATTTGAGAAGGAATGAATATAGACAACAAGCTGAAATTAACAGATTGAATGACTTAGTAAGAGTAAAGGATGAGGAAATCAATAAAGTGTAAATTGAATACAAAAAAAATATGGCTCAGTTGACATAACAAATGAATTCCTTTAGGTCTTTATTGTAATCAAATAGTCTATATCATTTAGTGAACGAGACATTGATACTTAAAATTTGAATAGAAACAGATAAGATATGGAGAATAAGGAAATGATAGATTAAAGAATCTAGCAATTATGTGAGGAGTTGAATATGATCAAGAAAGATAGAGAACAATTACAAATGGCTTGTTCTTAATTGACATAGACTAAACTTGGATTGGAAAATCGAATAATTGTTTTGTAAGGGGAAATAGATCGATTAAATTAATTAGTTAAAACACAAAACAATGAAATCAATCATCATTTATAGACTCTAGAGTTGTAGAATGACTAAATTGAATAATTTAGATAGTAAAATGAAATTTACAAAAAAGAGATGGATGTAATCAATTTTTATATAAGTAGCTTTTCAAAACTAACTCGAATTCCAATTTCTTTTTATCTGGATCATAGAAAAAGTTTGATTTCATTCCAAATCAGCATTCAGACTCTAACTGGAATTGACAATTTAAAATACAATAAGAATATATATATTACTATCAATATTTCAAATTAATAATTATCATTTTTCTTAAGGAAATTAATTTTAATATCTAATCTATATTTTGTAGAAATACAGATAGAAATTTAATCGTAAGAGGAATCTAATCCATAAATTTAACGTCAGAAATGATAAGTACGTGATAGAGTATAGAGAATTAAGAGCAAATTCAAATTATTCTAAGAAATTGAATATTTTTATAATTTATATTTAATTATACCTTTAGTTAGTAGATTAGATCAAAATTAATTATGAATAATTGAACAAAAATATCTAATTTAAACCTGAGGGGTGGAAGTAGTGGAAAATAATTAAAATTCAAAAAATAAACAATTTATTTTTACAAAAATGCTTGGCTTTAAATATTAATAATTTATTGAATTGTTATATAAGGAATATAATTAATGAAAGACAAATAATTCTTGAGAGGGTTATTATTGCATAGTATAACCTTTTGTTATTCGATCTATTTTTACTCGATTCGAAGTGAAGCTACTAATTTGTTTTGCATGATAATAGCAAGCATAGTATCAATAACTCTGTTTATTTTGCGATATAAAAATTTAGAGGTGAAGATAATTGGAACTATTCTTTGCATCTAAATAGATGTGATTTGCTTGATAATTTTGAATGTTGTAAATCTCAATGTTACATCATACGCACAATTAATTTGGTGTCAGCACATCTCTAAGGAATTATAGAGATAAATGGGATCATAATAATATTATTTAATTAACCCTAAGTCTCTATACTACGCCACTATTTTGATTGTGAGTTTATTTTAGCAAGTGTACACCCACATCTAAACTAATTTCACTGCTGAGTCCCCTCAGTTAATCACCTGTTTATTAATGTCACTCGTCGATAACCTTATCATTCGCAAGAAAAAAAGATAGAGATTGTAACAATTAACAACTATGCCAATCGATACTGGAACAGTAAATAAACTAGATGGAGTTGCCAAAAGAGTGCTTTCAATTTTGGATCAACCTTCTTAGGATCAATCAAAAGATAGCTTTTAAAGAGAGTATGACGATTTTAGTAACATCTAATAACATTATATCAATCCTGAAATAATTTATAATTCTTTGGAATATTTTTCAGAAGGCTTAATAGTGTTAAATGTTCTAGATGAATTAAATCACACATATAAAATATCATACATGAATAATGCTACAAGGATTCTCTTTGGAAAAGATTAAGATGCAGATATTCTCTTCATCTTAGAAAACTTAAATTCTTTACACCTGTAAAACTAGGAATGTTTTGAAGATAATAATTCAAGAAGTGATTCCGTCCAGTAAAAACTTGGCAATCTCTCAAATTCAAAATTATGCAAATCTTTGTTTCCAATAAGAGATTTGATGTTCTGCTCATTAAAATAGCCTTTAGCTGATATTTAATACTTCGAGAGACAATAAACTATTAGCATGAAGGACCTATTAGAGAGGATGATAAAAACAAAGAAATAGGATTAGATTACTGTGAATACACACATCGACTCCTATCTATTTGAGAATTAGAAGGCAATCAAAGTGTCTCAGAATCTTGCTTATTCAAGGCAAGACAGTGATCGTTTGATGGAATTCAAGCTTACTCTTAAAACAGACAAAAATATCTTAATAATTTGTAGAGATGTAACTCATCGTTAAAAGATCCGGTACTTAAAAGAATACGACATTTAAAAATCGAAAATGCTTTCATTTGTTAGTCATGAATATAGATAGCCTTTGGGATGCATCATTTAAATGATTGAATGTGCCTTACAATAAAAGGTAATATAAAAAAATTTAGAAATCTCTGAAGATTTGCAAGCAGCTTTGGATAATTCAAAATATATGCTAAATTTATCGAATGATTTATTGGATTTGGCTCAAATAAAGAATGGAAAATTCAAAATTCAAAAGGTACCTATCAATTTGGAAAAATTGATAGCTGACTCCATTAAGATGTTTTCTCTTAAAGCTAAAATAAAGGATTTGCAGCTGTTTTGTGATTACAAAGTAACTCTTCCCAAATTCATTGTCTCTGATAAAAATAGAATCAAGCAAATAATTGTTAATCTCATAAGCAATGCATTTAAATTCACTTGTACTAGAATATCAGTGATTGTCGATCTACTGGCCAACTAAAAGCTGAGGATAGGCGTAAAAGATGATGGAATAGGAATCAGCGAGGAGGAACAGAAGGTGTTATTCAAAGCATTTTCGAAGGTAAATTCTGAAGAGAGCAAGAAACTCAATGAACAAGGCGTCGGATTAGGTTTGGTAATAAGTAATTAAATAGCCCAAAACATTGGGTGTTCAGGATTGAATATAGAATCTAACAAGGATCAAAATAATCATTTTTCTTTCTTTTACTTTGATATAATGATGGAAGAGCCAACAAATAAAAAAAAAGTGCCAAGCTTTAAGATCCCATAGATCACTCCTCGATATCAGGAGGTAGACGAAGCCACAACATTCAATTAAGATTGTTAGAAAATAACAGTAGATGTAATACCATAATGTTGCCATTATTTGATTGTAGATGATGATTGCTTTAATGGATATGCTTTTAGAAGAATTTTTATGGGATTGCAGAATAAGTAGGCTTTATCCATATTATAATTTGATGTAGAATATGTTTCATCTGGGAAGGACTCTCTTCTAAAGATCTAGGAGAAGAAGTGCAATAAGACTTGTTAGGGTTACAAAGTGATTTTTATGGACCTAGAAATGCCAGTTATGAATGGGATTCAGACAACAAAATAAATATTGAATATCAACCCAAACTAATTGATAGTCGGTTGCAGTGGATATTCAGATTTATAAGAGAAGCAGAAATGTCTAGAAGCTGGCATGGTTGATTATCTCACCAAACCAGTGACCGAAGTAACTCTCATTAAAATACTAGAGAAATATTAATGATATTATTATGATTATTTTCGATAACTTATTATTAGATATGAATTCATCTTTCATACAATTCACTTGAGCCTCCGTAACGAGCCTGGATGTCCCAAAAGATATTTTGAAGTGCTTAAGTTAGTGATAAAGGTCTGACACACAAGTCATCAATAGTCTTAGATCCTTGTTGCACTATCATGTCATCACCATGTTTCAATATATAATCAATATTGAAATACTTCCAATTGGGAATATATTAGGCTACAAATAAATATACTGACATACCTATTTTCAATAATAATTATTTATCAATATGAGCCAATTTAGGAGGTCTTTACACGATGTTGTGGAACATCTCATAGCATTCTAACAATGTATACACATGAGGTCCTCCCAATTCGTATGTCTAACCTATTGTTTCTGGCATCTTCAAAGCATTCAACATGGCTTAGGCTACATCTTAGACAAAGATCTAACTATCAAAAATATTAGTGTACAGGTTATCTTTTGGCTTGGCAATTGTCTGGAACAATGTTAAAATTGTGAAAGTATCTCTTCTACACTTACCAGTGATAAGCAAAGTCATCGTTGTCTCCAACCATAACACTTGGTCTAAAGATTGTGGCGTTGGGGAAGGCATTAAGGACCTACATATTGTAAGGTTTATTACTTCTTATTCACCAATATACTTGGTTTAGAGATCTAGGGATTCTGCATGAGGATTTGCTCCACAAGCAGAAAAATGAATTAATCTGATCACTCCTGGGGTTTTTAGCGCATGCTTCAGCTATTCTTTTTGGCACTGTGATAATTAATCCACTCGAAATCCTTTCTATTTTTCAGATGTTTTCTAAGGACCTAACAAATTTACAACCACATTTGAGTTTTTCATAGTCCACTCTATCATTTCTTTGTTATCATAATTCATATCATGTAAAAGCCAATTTTATCCTGGTCCTGATGTAGTTTTTAATTCTCTAACATGATCTTCATAATTGTATCTAAATTGATCCATTTGAATATTCTTACTGATGATTATGAGGGAATATCAATTCAGACCCAATATTACCAAGCATGCCACCCATGTATATTCCTGAGAAACTAGTACCTCCATGTATGGTTGCTCTGATTCCTGATGGAGTGTGTTTGGCACCCTTATCAAAAATGTGCAATTTAGGTCTAGACAAGACACCAAAGTGAAATCTTAAAACCTTTTGCATTTATTATTATTAATATATAAATAATTTAAAAAAAAAATAAGCACTCTGACCTTGCTATCTGTGTTTCTTAATAATAAAAAATATATGCCTTTGGTGGGGGTCGATCCCACGACCTCGAGATTATGAGACTCGCGCTCTAACCAACTGAGCTACAAGGGCATCTCTGTTCTTTCCATTCGATTACCATATATATTTATGATATATATTTTTATGATCACAATAACTCAGGATAAACAATAGGCGTAGAATGTGTGCTGTATTTGAAATGGGCAAATGTTCCACTGGCTGGCCTCTTGATTCCATCAGCCCACAATTTCAAGTACTTAACAATATCATTAAGTTTATCCTCATCAATCAAAGCTCCAACTACAAGTGTGTCAGTTTCTAAATCATCTCGCTCTCCTAAATTAGTGCATAAATGTGCAATTTGGCAATCCTTCATCACTTTGGCAGTTGGCATCTGAGATGGTAATTTTGATTCAAAATAACTTTTGGAATCTACAGTAAAACAGAGCATCCCATTTGAGGCAAGTATTTTTGTGGCTAAATGAGAAGCTATTAAAGCTCTCGTCACTTCGCTTTTATACACATTGTATGTCTCAAATTCATCTCCCTGTTTTATTTGATTATTGTCCTCCAATATTATAATTGCATCATAGTGATTACTACGTTTTTTTGCTTCTTCAACCAATTTCTATAATCCTTCTTCCTAATTTAGCAAGAAATTAGGCTGGATGGGTAATTCAGATTATAAATCCAAATGTCCAATTTGCCAATTTTGATAAAATTACTAATATAGCATTGGTGTTAAAGGATTTTGATTCCCTCCAACAAATAAGATATGTTTCTAATTCACTAACATTCTATATTCTACGAAATTTTGAACTCTGTAATAGAACCTTCTTAAATATTTAGCCACATCTATTAATTTATTATTTTTTGACATATTAATTATAAATTGTAATTATTCTTAATATATTATTCTAATTCTTCATATTCTTCATTATTAAATGCTCCTCCCCTTTTACTATGAATTTATGTTAACATAATTACATTTTCAATTATTGTATTAATGAAACTTCCATTTTCAATTTATTTATATGTATAGAACATATTCAATAAAATGTATTTGTTATGTATTTAAGAGAGATGTTGTAAAAATATTAATTAGTTGATTGAATAAATTACAATTAAATAGTAAACACTATTATTAGTTATCATTGAATTAATAAATAACTAATTATTTATAATAAAAGAATATAATTAAGATGCATAATAAGTGGAATTTTGGAAAATCAGAATCAGGGTTTAATTACATTTCTAATTCAATTTCAGTTTATTTGTTCTTACATTAATCTAGAATAAAGAAATTCCAAAAATAGAGTGATAGTTATAAAATAGTTTTTAGTAATCATATGGCTACTCTAAAATTTCATTTTAATTCATCCTCCGATAATATTTCAAGGTTATTATAACTGAAAATAAATATTTAAAAAAAAACTTTTTAACTGATTATCCTATAATAGTACCTTTTTTTTTAAAGATTATTATACAGTTGACCTTCTTTAATGAATCACTCTATGGCGTTAGGTTTGAAAATTATGGATTGTGCACGAGAGAATATTATAAAGTACTTATTTTAATTTAACACTTCTTCTAGTTTGCTAGATATCATTAAATTACGACATTAGTACTCTATAAATTATGGATATAATTAAAAATAGTTTAACTTGTCCCAATAACATTTATTGCTTCTGTGTGATTTGATTTGAAGTACTCGTTACCATCATAATAAATTACATTATTCTTTGCGTTTTTTGCCAAATTTTAACGCTATAAAGTTTGATTTCATAATGATGTTATTTACTTATTAATAATTATATAATGGGAAGTGGGGCTACAAAAGAGAAATAAGACGAAATAAATTAGACAGAACATCATTAATCATCGTTAACTTGTATTTTGGTATATCGATTTTCTTAGCAATTGGAAAAGCTGAAGGTTCTCCACAATTGTTTACCTTTAAAAATAACTCCTAATTAAGCAAAGGTACATTCCCCCTTATAAAATAGCCTTTGGACTCTTAAAGAAACAATAATATAATGAAGCAATGGAGACTTTGGATAAATTAATAGAAGCCCATCCTAATTTGGCAGACGCTTAGTACTTAAAAGGTATATTTTTTTATTAAGTATATAGGTTTAGCGTATCTTGGGCTCAACGATTTAAAGAATGCCCTCATTTATTGCTAAGCTGCTACCGATATAGATACAAAACACACCCATGCTCTTGCAGAGATAGGTATGTTTATTCTCTATAATAAAATAGGGAACATTTATACTTTAGAGAATAAGTATGACGAAGCTTTGAGCATTTTTCAAAAACTGATTGAGTATAATGAGAAATCTTTTGAAGGAAATTTTGGAATGGGCTTTATCAATTTAATGTTAAATAATTTTGAAATAGCGGATCCATATTTCTAAAATGCTTTAAAAATTAAAGGAAGAGATAAAGTAGCTTTACTTAACTATGGTAACTAGTTAATGTAATCATAGGTCATCTACTCATAAAATAACAAAAGTTTGACTAAGGCCTTCACTATTATGAAGAAGCATTAAAAGCTGATCCTAAATATACAGATGCTATTAGTGCTATTACTAATTTATATTTACGATAAAAGAAGTATGAATAACTTTTTGAATTTTTGGAGAACGCTGGAGATTAAAGAATCCCAAAAATAAAGTCGGTAGTCTTAAATTGTAAAAGTAATTAACAATTGTTATAATTTAGGTCAAGCCTATTATGGATTGAAGCAATTTGACAAATCAATGTAACTTTGTCAAGAAGTTTTGGAGTATGATCCAAAAAATATTGATTCTCTTTATGGGATTGGTATGTGTCTTTATCATAGCAACCAATTACACAAGGCTATGACATATTTTAATTAGATTATTCACGAAAATCCTTTGGATATTAAAACCTTAAAGATTATGGCTAAGATCAGCTCAACTTTATAACTCTATTACTAACTGAGTGATTGTTGTGATAAGATAATTGAATTAGGATTGGGAGATCAATCAATTCACTATTATAGAGGATTGGCCTTGATGAATCAAAAGTAGTATTCAAAGGCAATTGAAGATTTTAACAAAACTCTTAGTTTTGACAATAAGAATATTATAGCTCTTAGAAATAAAGGTATTAAAATATATTAAGAAATAGCCTTTTGTTCAATTTAAATTAAAGATTTTGATTAAGCAGTTTTGTGTTATGATACGATCATGAAATAGTTGAAAGATGCATCAGAAAAATCTGATTTGTTTTTTGAAAAAGGTACTTATTATAAAATAATACATTAGGTTATTGTCATTTACTTGGATAATAATTCTTTTCTGCTAAAACAAATTTTGATTCTGCAATGTAACTAAAGCCAAAGAATGAAGATCTAATATTAAAAATTGCTAATGCCTATCGGGATAATGGTAATTTTTAACCTGCCACACATATGTATGATCGATTGATTAAGATGAAACCTAACAATCCTATATATTATGTAGAAAAGGCTGAACTTTTAAGCAAATAATAAAATTATAAGGAAGCAAAACTACAATACGATCAAGCTATATCGTTGCAAGGTGACAATGCCTAGTACTATATTTCAAGATGTAAATATACATCATCATATTATTAGCTAAAATCAGAACATTGATTTAAGAATTTGATGAAGCCATTACAGATTTGTAATAGGCAATTAAGATTAATGACTAAGATCCTGAGTTACTTTTTGAACTTGGATAATTGTTGTACATGAAGCAGAAATTTGATCAATCAATGATTTACTTCTAGAAGGCCATTCATTTAGATGAGAATAATGAGAAATACCACTTAAAATATGCTTAAGTGTTGTAAATGCAAGATTTCGACAAGGAGGCTATCGAACATCTTAGAGACGTTATTGCTAAGCATTCTGAATTCGATAATTGTAAGAATCTTTTGGAGAATCTGAATTCAAGTCCTGCTTATTTCAGAGAATATTCTTATACATTTACTTACATAATGGTTTCAATGTTTTCTGAAGGAATGGTTAATGAGAATAGATCAATTGATGCAGCCAGGTAAGAATCACTTAGAATAATTTCGGAAAAATTGAAGAATGCATTTCCAAACATACCTAATATATTTGATATTATAAGATCTTTGATGACTACTAAATTTGAATATAATTTAATAAATAACCCAAAAGAAATGAGAAGAATATTTGGTATATTATTCAAAAGCAAGTTTGAATCATAAAGCCAAATTATTTCAGAAATAATTGAAGTAGGTAAAAGAATTGGCAAATTAAAAGAAAATGACTTAAAAAATGATGATTAAAATGTAGATCAATCATTACATGAAAAATTCTTATCATAGTGTTCAGAGTATCAGATGGGATAGTTTTAATGCAAAGCCTCTGTATTGGCTCTCTAAGATTCTGTGACCTTATTAACTGGCATAATTTTAAGTTATAATAAATTAGTTCAAACTTAACAACCATTTAAGATTTAGGTTTATGATATGATGAAGAATGGAAGTTTGAATAAATTAAAGTAAAAATGATTAAATATTTTATTTACTCTTATTTATAACAGTTTAAATAGAAATTCACACTTATTATTAAAAATAAAATAAAATAAAATTTAAGACAAACAGAATTTTCAATATTCTAATAATTTCATATCATTATAAATATCAATATGGCAACAACAGCTTACACCAAATAGGAATGGGATGTATCATCTGTATCGTCATCACTTTTTGGTTACACACACACTTCACACTTAGATGTGGATGAATTCCACTTGTATGATAAACTTGATCCCATTAAACATGTAGGCTATGTCAAAGTAGCATAATCAAATTCCATGCATTTTGAGTTTGCCCATTTGCATTAGGTAGCTACTTATTGTTTGATATCCCAAACCATGGTGCAAGCAGCTTCAACAACAATATTGTCACAAGTCCTAGTTGTACATTTGCCTGTTGTAGCATTGTAATCACAAGAAAACTTTGGGCATGCCAATAGACTTGTATTATCAAAATTACTACAAGCACTATTGCTCCAGGCTTCACAAGTTGATGAGCTTGGATTCCAATAGCAAACTTTTCCATCATTTTAAACTGTCTCTACACAACCTACTTCATCAATTCCAGCACATGAGTCAATACTGTGCATTGAGTCATTAGTTTTATCTGTGCATGGATAAACTCCAGCAGTATTCTTCTTAAAGACTGCTTAGCAAGGACCTACTCTGAAACATTTGAATCCATCAGCATATGCATAATCTGAGCATTTTGTAAAGGCCTAACATGAGTTATCCTTCCAAGCACATTTTAGATAGTCTGGTAATTGATCGCACATCTCAACTGTAAATTTATCACAAGTTTTGCGAGTGCATTTTGAAGTTGTAGCATCCCAATCACAAGTGGTAGGTACGCATTCTGTTTACACTGATGACATTTCACAAGTGCAACCACCAACCTAATTCAATTAGAGGCTTATGGCATGTATTTGAATACTCAAGCTGATTAGGATAAAGACAAATTTCATTAATTAATTGTAAAATCAACAGCAATTGCATCTAATTTTTATACACGTACAGTTTGATATTTAATGACGCATTAATTATTTCATATAGTATATATATATGTAATTTTAAGCTCAAAATTATTTTTAAGATAATATAAAATCAATAGCATTTATTTTACTCATTTCTTCCTTGGACTTTTTTTAACAATACTTTTATATTTATTCCCACAATTAATTTGAATTTAAGACTTTAAGTAAATTGAATGCTTAATTCTATGGATAAGACTCGTCATTGACGAACACCAATTATTGGCATCCTCCTAAAGATGCAGCAACCCATTAAATCAAAGCTTTTAATTGCCATTCACCTCCAAACGCTCCACAACCCCATTTGCCTGTGCATATACGAGAAATCCCATAGAATCCACTATAAGATTTAATCAATTCCCTCTTGTAATCCTTGTATTGCTGATGGTAACTGCCAGAGTATTCTCCTGCATCTATGCACTATATAAAATTTTATTAAAATTCTTACAATAAGATTGACACTTCGGATTTACTTAACAGTTCCTTTGCATTCAAATTTATCTCTATAGCCATCATACATTATAAGTCTATTGATGTTCTCAATAATAATCGATTCGTCTGGTCTGATCTCTGTGGTTATTAGTAAAGATGCCAGAGCCTCTGGATGAGTCAGAAACAATATTTCCTCTTGCACACACCCTAGATTAAGTACTCCACCTCCTATCCTCTTATTTGCAAAGTCAACTATGTAACAATCTGACACATTCTCCATTTAGCCGTATTCGCAATATATAAATTCGCATAAGGGATTACTATGTATTGTTAAATTTTGCTTTTTTCTTGTAAAGGTAATTCTTTCTTAGGGCTTGAATTCAGGTGAAAATACATGCAGGAAGTAGTACATTAGACATCTTATCTTCTAGATCTTAGTATTATTTTATGCATTATCCTCATTTTATCTGTTGAATAATTTTCCCATTATGAAAACTGGAGGTAATAATTTAAAATCAGGTTATAAGTGCATAACACATAAAAACATATTCGCCAATAATATTGCCACTTGAATTCTTTTTAATTCCACTTTCTCTAAGAGCATACTTAAATAATCCGTAAATTCTGAATCCATTTTTAGAGCCAAATCAGCTATCTATGGGACTTTGGCTAAGAATTCTTTTTTTTATGGAAATCCATCCAAAGCCAGATAAAAGTTTCTGAAATTGATTTTTGATTTAATTTGTTAAGGCTAAGTTAATTAAAAAATGTACATTTGGAAAATGCAGACAATAAATTTCTTCCAAGATTTATTAAGCATTAAAAGGTGTCATATTGCTTTAAGTTGTCTTTAATAAGGCTAGCTACTTCTTAATTTCAGGCCATAATTTCACATACAAATTAGGAGAGATGTATAAAAATTACCTATTATATAACATAAATCATTTACAAAGGATGCTATTATGGTTTGTTATTCTAATTGTCTTCCTCTTAGTCTGATAAAACTGGAGTCAGAATTTCGACAAATTTTCGATCAGATGATTAATTATTCATTTATTTTTGTAATTAAAATAATTCAATACATTAACTCTCGAAATGGCGCCAATTAATTGTCAGATCAAACCAAAGTTTTAAGTACATCAACCAAAATTTTGAAGGACAATTGTTATTGGGTCATTCCATCGCACATTCATAATTCTAATATAACTATTTGCAAAATAATGATTTTATTTAATATAATTTATATTTTATTCATTTGTGATAGTAATATCTAAGCTAATAATTATAGGTAGTGATGAATGCTCATATTATATTACAAAAAAGAAATCAAATGAAATTATTCTTATAATTCTACTAATAATCTAGATGGATTATGAGAATTTAATAAGAATCATCATAATAATTGAATACTTTTTAGAGTCAATATAAATGAACCAAATTAAGTTTATCCAAAATCACTATGATTATAACAATATTGTAAAAAGTATTAATATCAACATATTATTAATAATGATTCATTCTCCAAAAAGCATTTTCTTTGCTCTGTCCTACTATTTCTTTTTAATCTACTTCTCCTTCTCACCAATACTCTGTAATTCTTTAATTACTTCCTCATTTTAAGGATCTAATTGATTGGCCAATTTCAAGTCAGATCTATAATTTTAATATGATTTACTTAGCCCTATCAAAATCATCTATTTAAATTGAGGCCACAGCTCTTCTGTGGAGTAATTTAACATTTTCTGGTTGTGCTTATAAAACTGTAGTAGCCTATTTGATGCATAATTCGAATTATTTATTTTTCAAATGCGTAAGAGACAGATTAGATCTTAATTATCCTGATAATTCTAATTCTCTATCACAATACTCTGTTTTTATTAAATTTAATGATTCCAAATATTTATTTTGGGCTTCTAGATATTTTTATTATTTGATATCAGCATTTCCTAATCCTTTTAATTCCAATGCTTTATCATAGACCTCCTCCCCTTCTAGATGCCATGGGTTATTCTTCTTTCTCCCTATTCTTATAATCTCGATTTCATATTGATCATAAAATTCCTAAAATAACAATAGAATTACTTTGGTAGCAGGTGAATGATAAATCTTAATGAGACTGCGTTCCCCTTACTTCATTTTGCTCAGAGCTTCTTCAACTTCAGGTTACAACCATCCTCTTCCAATGATGGTTTTAGTAGCAGTGTGTTGTGAGTTGGTGAGTAATTCTCCTTTATGATTATGAGCAATAAAAAAGACTAAAATTTAAGGATGTGAAAAGTACAGAAAACTTCCTCATGCAATCTAGGAGTGTCTCCGATGCCTTCTTTGATTATTTGGATGTCAATCATATAAATTAAATTAATATTAATTAGATATGGTGTACGGTCGTCTCATCTACAACAATGTTAAGGATTACACTCCTCAATGGTTCAAGACTATACCCTACTAATAAACAGTAAAGCCTTCCTTCGGTAAGAAATGAGAATTATAGCAGTAAGAAAACCCTAGGTAGTGTCTCGTTTGAATAGTGATCCAAAAGTGAAGGCCCTCTGGAGATTTCTAGGTAGAAATGTGGCTGACAATCCTTGGGCTTGGTAGATTTACATTTTTGCAAGTAAATAATCAAATTAGAGATCTAGATTCCTTTGTGATTTTTGGCCTTTGTTATTATCCATGGCTTTGGGTTTACTAATTCAACAATAAGAAGGTAAAGATGTTAATATTTAAATTAGAGAACTATTGATTATGCCTTACAATAAGAGAAAGATTGGAAAGCCAAATAAGCAGCAGCAGAAGAATGAAAGTAATAAATTTATTGTGCAAATCATTATTATTATTATTATTATTGTGGCTTTGGACCCAAATATGTTTCAGAGACATCCTATCCATACTTCTTCTCAACTATAACTCTAGTGTTTGTTCCAATTTAATCACCAATTTTTGACAATGCTGAGCCTAGACCAGTCAAAGCAGTTCCCATTGCATCCCAACTAGCCACAAATATTTCTCGACCCTCCTTCAATCCTTAAATATTGATAGGACTATTGCTTACCTTAACTATCTGAAGTATCAATCTATTTGTTAATATCCTGCTTTATTTCTGACCCTTTTTATACAACTGGAGTGAATAACTATTTCAGATATGCCCCAGTAACATCAACTGTCTCTGAGAACTTAGACTTGGCAATCTCCACTTTAACTTTGGTTTCTGGTTTGACTTCAACATCTTCCTTTTTCTCCACTTTTGAATTGATATATTCTCCCCCTGCTGCCACTCCTTTGGCTATCTTATCCCCTAACCAACTGAAGCCTTCTTTCAAAGCCCTTAATAATATATCAGGTACAAATCTTACTCTCCTCCAGCCTTTATATAACCCACAGCCACAGTACTATTCTCCAATGGGTTGATGTCAATATCTTTGCAATGTAGTTGTATGCTTTGTTTGAATTAAGGTATTTGGATGGCATTCTCAAAGGGAATTATTTGCACTAATTGTTGAAGTGTATTTAAAAAGAAATCTCCATCTTGTCCTTTTTGAATGAAAATTCCATTCAATCCTATATAGTACTGAAACTATTACCAGCAGTGGCATTTGGGTACAGAAGGGAATACCCTTTATCAGACTTAAGTATAACCCAAGGAGTGCTAGGAAAGATGGTTTGACAATAGGTGTTGATCATCACAAAATAGATCTTAGCATCGGGCATATAACAAATTTAGATTTATCCTTCATGAACCAATTTTCTGCTATTCTACACCAATTCTAATAAACGAGCATTCTGTGCTGTTGTTACTATTTGAGCTTGTGTATTATTGTGCATTTAATTAATGAATAAGAAAATTATAACGGAGAAACAAAGTATGCTATCCTTGAATGCTATTCTCAATGATTTCGATGAACTACTGTAGAAGCAATAACCATAGGATAACAGCATGGAAGAATGCAAAACTATCGATCGTTGGGCTCGCTACACATAGTCGAGTAAACGATCATTAATGACAAGAAGATTTTCTTAAATAGAAGATAACAAACAGCAAACTGAGAATATCAAAGTGCAGTCGCAATTGTTCACTTAAGAGGATCTGAATGAAGTAAAGGCGAGAATACGATTTGAGTAAAAGACCAAGGAAATTGAGAAGAATGCCAAATTGAAGTCTAGCCATAAAGCACTTGAAATGTAATTTCATAACCATTAACTAGAGTCAACATTCATCAGATTAAGGCTGAAGTAAGATAGTAATTGGGGTCGAAGAAGAAGAAAGGTTCACCCGTTAGAGTAGTAAAAAGCAGTTTGCAAAAGGAGAATAAGGGAGGCAAATCTAAGTGTTAATAATGTATACAATTATTATCTATGGGGTTGCCTACTAAACATTGCATTAATCACTGATTTATATATAAATATTAAATGTATAAAGACATTGACATTAATGAGATTGAGAAGTTGAAAAAGGACTAAGAAATGATGTCGTTGAAGAGGGCCCCAACTAACATGAAAGTAAGGATAATTGAAATCTCTGTGATTAGGAGCGTTTTGGTTAATCCAATAAAGACTTTTTGGAAGATGAATTTAAACAAAAAACTGTTGGTCTGGTTACTCGCGAGGAATTCAAGAGGAAAAGGGAGAATATTGATAATCTTGTGATGCAGGACATGAAGCAAAAACAGGAGGAGGAAACTAAAAGAAAATTGGAACTCAAATAAAAGCGAAAAGAAGAATATCAGAAGAAGACTACATTATTGTCCTTTGATTTAGATGATGAGGGTAGTCTTCAGAAGAGCTATGGGAAAAATGAACACGTAGATACCACCTATTTACCAGACATGAACAGAGAACGGAAAATCGAAGAGATGACCAGACAATTGGCAGGTATGCAATGGATACACATAATGTTTAGAATAATACTAGAAGGAAGTCGAATCATAAAAGGATTCTCTTATTGATATTTAATTTCAATATTGGGATGCCTCAACAGGTTCAAAATCTTTGAGAATCAAAAAGAAGATGACGATCTTGGAATTCCTGGAAATGGCTAGACGAGAGATCATTAGAGATTTTGGATTTGTATGTGTTTGTCATTATGGAATATTAGCTGACTGAGTTTAGTCCAGAAGATTTGATCATAGTTGCGAATGGAATGATTCTGCCTCATAAACTCAGCTTCTATGATCTTATTGCTCATAAAGTCAAGAATAGATCTGGTACTCTAATCTTTTCATTTGATCGCAGAAAGGTATTACTTTTAAGCTTAAATTGGATTTAATTAGGTTTAAGCAAAAGGATAGGAATACGAAGTAGAGGTTGAGAATTCCACCATATGCAAAATCATTGAGAAGTTCAGATATGAAAAAATAAAACATATTTATCCATGTTCGAAATGGGAGAATGTAGAAATCAACAAATACTTATGACATTTTACAACAATTAAAACAACAAAATATAAATATTAATATGTTAAGCAGCAAAAACTCAAGCAAAACAAGCAAATCTGGTGGTATCTGCAATCAGAAAGTCTCCATTGGAATGTTCTCCAAACAGAGCTCTATCATTTCTTAATTGCTATCAACTAAAGCAAAATAAAAATTTCAACAGTACAAGGCATCTAAAACCACCTGTGAATTCCAAACCTTTAGAGCAGAAACTCCAAACTCTCCTAACAAAGCAACTCCATTTAAAACCAAATATCATTTTAATACTCTCTCTTAATTGTCTAAATTAGAAAGCAACAATGTTTCTCAAAATATTCAGTAAGCCAAATAAAAAAATCCGGATACTAGTGATGATCTCGGAGATGTGAGTATTACATTGAGAAGTCCTAGAGATGATTAAATCAAAAAAATTCTCAAAAATCTCAGATTCATTGGGGAACAAATGACCCATAAAAAATTAACATAAATTAACTCAGGCCTTTTGCAACAATGGCAAAATCAATTGAACGACAATTGCGATAATTTAATGAAAATCTTATCTTCGGAACTAAATACTTCCTCTAATAATTATCACCCTTCCATCCATGTTGATGCTTAATTGCAGAAATAGTTGGCTGAAGAGAAAAAAAATAGACTGTTAGTAGAAGAACAAACTAGTAAAATAATTTAAAGTTAAGAGTAATAAATTAAATAATATGTATTTATATCAATAAATTATTACTAGATTGAGACAATCAAATTACTTGAATAAAAATTGTTGAATTCGATGTGAACAGCCCAATTCGATTTTATTCCTTATTGATTATAATTACATAAGTGAATTGCTTATTATTATTAAAATAAATTGACAATCTTAAGTAAAATGCTCTAGGATATTTGGATATTCCTAACTAATAATTGAGTTATTATCCAAATTCGATTAATTAATATCTATATATGATGATGTCTAATTCCACTTATTTAGTCATTGTGTATAAGCCTTATATCAATTTTCCATATACATTTTTTACGATAATTTTTCAAAATATTTTAACCGTATGGATCATTCACCAAATAGACCTTCTGTGTCTCCTCTGTCAAAAACTCGTATGCAATCTGAATAGAGCCTCAAATTACAAGATCTAAAGTATAAGGAAAAACTATTGCAAATGGATAAGATAAATGCAAGTAACAATCCAGATTATAATTGTAGAATTGTAGTCCTAACTGGATGAGACCCTCTTGGAACTAGAAAAGGCAAATAAGAACCTACACCTTCAGAATCAGATGAAGGAAACACAAGACAATGAGTATCTTAGACTTTTGAAAGAAAATGAATTGCTTAAGGGAGATCTATAATTTAAACTTCAAGAGAACGAACTCAACAAGTAGAAGTTAGCCTAATAGAACAAATAATATTAATCTTCCCTTGAAAACCTCAAGTAATACATTTGCGTTTAAACTTAGAGAATAATATGAATAGCTCTAACAGTCATTAATGAATAAGTATATAATAGAAATGAATTAAAAATTACAAGATCAAAAGCAACAATACGATAACTTTAGTAAATTGCAGACTGAGAGACTGAAAGAGAATGAACATTTGGAAAAATAGACATAGGAATAACTTTTAGATTGTAAATAATAAATTTAAGAATTTTTAATTAAAATAAGCGAACAAAAGCAATAGATCGAATCACTCCACAAATAATCCAACATTGAGAAGCAGATTATAGCTGATAAAGAATTGTAAGAATAGCTCCTCCTGAAAAAAATAGAATAACTTCATATAGAACTCAGCAGAGTGACTACTGATTTAGATATTTCTAAAGAGAAATACATCAGATTGGAAAAACAATATGAGGAAAGTATTACCAACATAGTTCAAAGCAAAGATTAATAAGCTGAGGAACAAACGAGCAAATTATATTAACAACATGAGTAATCCATTCAAAATTTAACATAACAAAATCAGGATATTTGGAAATAGCTATAAGAATTAAAATCAATTAACCAAGTCTAATAGAAAGAAATTGCGAGATTGTCCCATTCAAATCAATAGCAAGAGTAGGATTTGACTGAAAAGGACAAAAAAATAAAAGACTTATCACTTAATACAAATTAATCTTCTGAATAATGTATTATCCTCTAACAACGCTTGCTTTAGACTGAGTAGGCATTACAATTATATAAGTCTTAATTAGATGATTTCAAATAAACAAGAGGGGATTTTGAACAAAGAATGATGGAAAGAAGTAAAGGAATATTGAGATAAAAAGAACAAGAATTCCAATAAGTACAATAGTTGAATGAGCAAAGGATTGCTGAATTGACTTAAGAAATTGAAAGAATGGAGAACGAGCATTAAAATTAAAGTTTTAAATAGTTATAAGAAAAACTTATGAGTGAATCTAATGTTAAATCCTTATAAGTGAAGATTGCTGGAATTGAAGAATAGAATTATGCCTTATCATAATAACTAGAAGAAACAAGATAAGAATTATTACAAAAATCAACAATGTCTGAAAATTTAAGTATTCAATTGAACAAAGAGAAAACTTATAACTAAACTACTCTTAGAATATAAAAGAATCAGATGTCTGATTTGTAACAAAAGTTAAAAGAATATTAAGTGGAAGTGGATAGACTATCAAGTGATGTTAGAGAAAGAGATGATATCTTAGAAAGCTAAAGAGTTTAATTTGTCAATGAGAAAAATGAATTAGAATAGTAAATCAAAATTATCTTTGAAAAGTTGTCATAGTAAAGATCTAGAATCCAAGAACTAGATGATCAAAGTTATTAATAATAATGCTAAATTCAGAAACTGTCTGTAGAAAGGGAAAAATTAGAAAAGGATTTGAAATCATTAACTATTACAACTACTGAATAAATAAGAAAACAATAGGAACAAATTGTTAACTTTAATAAATAAATTGAGGAGAATTAATCAACTATTCTTCAAAATGAAGAGTAATTAATGAACAATGAGACATAGATCGCAGAACTTTAAAATTAACTTGAAGATCAATATGCTTAAAATTAAAAATTAACCAAAGATGTCAATGAATTAAATGATGAATTAGAGGAAACTAGATAAGATAGAGAGGCTAAGATTTAAGAGATGGATTAGTGGAAAAGATAGTTTAAATAAAATAATGTTCCTTTGTCTGACTATGATTAAATAAAAAAGGAAGCAGAACAATATAAAAATAAATCGATGGATCAAGAATAACTAATCAATAAATTGGAAACACAATAATAAGCAAATAGTAAGGAAATCTATCACTTGTAAGATGAATTATCATCATACAAATCTAATTTTTAAGATATTCAATAATAGTTAGTAAATAAGAAGAAAGAAAATGATAATATGAGCACTGAATTAGAGAACTTGAAAAGAGAGTAACAAAGAACATTGAATTAATTAAAGGATATTGAGCAAAGAGATGCATAGAATAGTGAATTAGTCATTAAATAGAAGAGGGAAATTTAGAGATTGTAAATATTGATGTTTCATTATTAGGAATGATGATATGGAAACTAAAAATAGACAATTAGGCAATATGGAATAATAATTAAATAAAAAGTTTGATGAGGTAGCCTCTAAATAAAGAGAAATAGAGGAATTGAAGAGAAAGTCCCAATAAGATGCTCTTGGTAGGATGACTACAAGTCCATCTTAAAAATCTGTCATGATGGCTTCATAAAATGTATAAATTTAAATTTAATTAGATGGCTGCTCGCTCTACTGCCAAAGGGTTAACTACTAAAATATAGGATTAATAAAATTGAATTATATATGTTTTATTGTAAAATTCATCTAGTTATTTATAAATTTTTCACTTTCAACAATTGTTCCTTAATTATGAGCAAATATTCATGACAATATCAATTTGGTAATTCATAAGTTTATAATTTGAATAGCAAATTAAAATTAAATAACTTTATTTCTCTTGAAATTTAATATATTATCATTATGTCTAAAGAAGTAATAATGTGAAATTAACTCTAGCAAAAATTAAAAAGGTTTCATCAAGTATCTGAATCATTAGATGAGTTCGATTTAGTTGAATAGAATGAATTTGCTATTCCAAATATCTAATAGTAATAATGAATTCTAATTAGATTTTCACAAGAATGTTATGATGCTTTTTAAAAAGCATATTAATAGGAGTAACCAAGGTCAGTGGATAAAATTAGTGAAGATAATCGCAAGTTTTTGATTTTAAATAAAGACACTGGACTTTAGTTTGATTGTAGGAATTTGGAAAATTTGGAAGTTCCAGTTTTCGATTTAAAGGAAGTGGCTTGGAAAAACTATTGGAAATAGAGTAGAGAGATTAGTGATTAATTACTCTAGTGTGTGCAGCATAATGACAAGGATAAAGTCATTGAATTACTTAGTTAATCTGATGTCTACATTGATATTAACATTAAGTATAAATTGATCACATGTGTAGAGATTATGATGATTGGACTCCACTGCACTTTGCTTGTTAGTAAAACAACTTAGAGATAGTGCAATTCTTACTAAATAAAGAAGCAAACCCAAAATCGTTATCTTTAGATAAAAAATCTCCATTGCATATAGCATCTATAAAGAATAACTCTGAAATTTGCGAATTGTTGATAAATTATGGAGCTAACTTGGATGAATAAGACTCAGACTTAAACACTCCTTTACACATAGCCTCGAAGTATGGAAATGAAAAAGTTTGTTAAATTTTATTAGAGAAAAATGGCAATCATGAATCAAAGAATAACCAAAGCTTAACTCCTATAGAGTTGGCTTCAGATATTAATATAATTGAGGTGTTCAATAGATATGGAATATCTTTAAACAATTTTACTTATACTCGAACAGTAATAAAAGAATAGAATTTAATATTGCAGAATAGTAGGAGGGACCATGTTGAAAGAATATTAAAGCTAACTTAGAAGCGATCTAAGAAACCATCAGCTAACACTGCAGAACCTAATAATGATTAAAGAGTCTCGATTATTGTAAGTGACACTAGATCTGCTTGGAATAAGATTGTTAATCTAGCTGCTTCATTTTATAGAGTGCCAATCAAGGGAAACAACTTAAGTGCACTTTCAGAAATAGAATAAAATCGGATAGGACCACAATCATTCTAATTTTATTAAAAATTAGGCGAAGGGGGGTTTGGTGAAGTCTATTTAGTTGAAAAGATTGGTTAATTGCCAAAAAAATATTATGCTATGAAGATTTTAAAAAAGGAAGATATTAATACTTCTAATATTATGAAGTCGGCTCAAATTGAAAAAGATGTTTTAAAAATGATGAATCATCCATTTATAGTAAAATTAAATTGGGCTTTTTAAACTTCCGATCACTTATACCTTGTAATGGATCTATGTTCAGGAGGAGACTTAGCAACTCATTTGGAGTTATTGAATTCTTATCCTGAAGCTGTTGTTAAGATATTTGCTGCAGAAATTACTTTGGCTCTCGAAGAATTGCATTCCTAAGGAATTATATTCAGAGACCTAAAACCTGAAAATGTTGTTTTAGATGCTGATGGCCATGCTCTATTGACTGATTTCGGGCTTTCCAAATCAGGAATAGATGAGGAAATTTTGAATCAATCTTTTTGTGGGACTTTAGCCTATTTAGCACCAGAAATGTTAATGAAAAAGGGCCATGGTAGATAAGTTGATTGGTACATGTTGGGGATACTAATTTATGAATTACTAGTTGGGGCTCCTCCTTACTATGATTCTGAAAAGGAAGTGCTCAAAGAAAATATTAAGAAAGCTCCATTAAGAATTCCAAAAAGTTTAAGTTAAGAAGCCAAGGATATTATAATTAAATTATTAATTAGAGATCCTAAAAAACGTTTGGGATGTAAAGAGGATGCTAAGGAAATTAAGAATCATCCTTGGTTCAATGATATTGATTGGCAGGATTGTTATAATAAAAAATTATAACCTCCTAAACCTCTCGTTTTTCATAGGCCACAAGACCCAAGAAAAATTACTTTTAGCAAAATTAGCACCAAAAATAAACTCGAGGATTGGACTTTTTTTGAAAATTGAATATTTGTGTTTGCATTACTTATATCGATTATTTATAGATTACAATTATTAAAATCATCTCGAAGTATAAACATTCGCATCGTTGTAAATTAAAAGTTATAAATAAAATAGGATATTGTTGAATGCACTCATAGTTATAATTGAGTAAAGTTCATGAGTTTTATTTGCAAATCAAACATAATTATTTGTAAAGAAATTTTTATAATTTTTTTAATACAATGACCAAATAATTTTGGAAAGATTGGCATTTGCGAACTCAAATATGCATGATTTAATTCGTAATCTCAAGTTTTGCAATTGGTTTAATTGCCCTTTCGACTTATTCGTTTATGTATTACATTTCAGAGTTTTATATGGAAACATCAGAACATGTCTTTTAAAAGTAATTTGGAAAATGGACAAATGTAATGATGTCACATAATATACACCGTGTGAAATAAACTTTATTTAGAAGTCAATAATAGATTGTCAAGGTAAATGCCCTGTATCAAGTGACTCAGTAAATCAATCAAAGCACTTTTTAATAACCCATACCATGTCTTAATGATTTAACGTTAATGGATGATTATACTTACAGTGCTTCTTTTTGTTATATGATCTATAAAGATACAAAATCTAACAGAATCCTATACAATCTCAAAGATCTATGTGCATTTTTGACATAGTCTGTGCTTATGATAGATTAAGATTTTGATATTATGATTGCCTCTTCGAATGATATTCATTTTTTGACAGTTTGGCCTGGATTCTTTTTATCACCAGATTACAATCCTCAAGAGAGAATCTGGTATGTGCAACATTTAGAACAAGTGGCTTCGCATAATAATAATAATGATTAAACTTATTTTAGTGAACCTCATATACATTGGACTTGGAAATTATTAATGATAGCTTAAACCAAAAGCTTATTAAATATTAACAAGTCCTTGGATGGAGTGATAGCTTCTCATGTCAATTTCAGCTAATTTAATTATTCAGACGATTAGGTTAGTTTTACCATAATTAATCCTAAAGGTAGAATATTACTAAGTTCTTTAAATGTGACTGAAAATTCAAATATATATGACTAGAACATCACTAGTTTGGATTATGAAGACTTTTAGTAGATAATAAATTAGGCAGAAGGCAAAGAAACATAAAGTAATTGCAATTCTAAAGTATGGAAGGATTATGGCTATTTATGTAGAAAAACTGTTTCCGAATAAGAAGAAGAACTTATAAGCACAAAAAATATAAAAGAGGCAGGATTGATTTTGATTATGTAAAAATATACTTATAAACATTAGGCAGAGCAAACTAAGTAAATATCAAATGGAATTTGAGAATATGTTTTATACTTTCAAAGAAGAATTAAACAAAATATTTATAGCAACCATTTTAGGTTTTATTCTATATATGTTTTCATCTCTTATCATTACCTCTTGCATAGTAATTTTTCTATTCAATCCTATAATCAGGATCATTAATTACACTTCTTAGCAATTATTTAAGGAAAGTCTTAATAGAAAAAATGTACTTAAGAAAAAACATAAATTTTCAAAGTTGACAAGTTCATCTTTGCTGTGCGATTTACAATAATCATTTAACAGACTAATCCATATCACAACCAATTAAACGAAATCGACAACTTGTCATTTAATTGAAGCATTTTAATACCCACTTAATAGATGGAAATACATTAGAAAGAGCAAAAAATTTAGAAATCTCTATTTGAAGTTGTAAAATGATGTATAAATGGAAGAGTCCCTTAAGTTGTAAAACTTGATTATAAAGCAATTAGGAATACAAGATTGCTGTTTCTGAATGATTTTTTTATTTTATTCTATTCTACAAACTTAATCTTTAATAAGAAAATAATAATCACCTAAATACTTGATATTCAGCAACAAGGCAATCTTTTTATTTGTAGAACAATCAGACATTTTTGAATAAGTAGGGTTATGAGAGCAAAAAAATTTGATAATAAATGCTGTTCTATACCCTGGGTTTATGGTTCACTATTTGAAATTGATTTTATCAAGTATGTTAATCATTTAAAAATATCAAAATATTTTATGGGATAATAGAATTTGGTATTTATGTTGTGGTTTTATCAAATAAAAATATTACAAATATAAGAATGATTGATAAGAATTATCACATTAAATTAAACTTTTCCCAAGCGACGCTGAATGAATTAAGAGTTCCATATTTCCATGTAGATAATGGATGCTAATTTAATCAATCAGATCAATCAGAGATACAAGTGATGAAAGGCATTTGTCCCATCTGTAAAGCTTAAAAAAAAGAAAATTAAAGTTATGATCACATACAACAAGATGACAATCTATTAAATTAAATTGAATAAAAAAATGAGAGATAAATAGTTTATAAGGTTGATCAAAAGGCTCTTTATTTTATGAAAAGGAGGAATTATACATAAGACACTATAAGTTCAATAACTGAAGTGCATTAATTACAAAAAGACTTTTATTAAAATATGAGAGAAAAAAAACCCATTACTTTAGAGCGTATTTAAGAACTTGCTTTATAAGTATATTATAATTAATATATTAGAGAAATCAAAAATACATAAATTGCCTTTAAAATTTCTCAGAATCACAACAAATACCAATTTTAATGGCAGTGTTAAACAATAAATTAGTATTATTTTATCATTTGTACAAACTAAAAGTGGAATTAAATTTGTTGGATGTAACATTTCCTAAAATAAGATCAAAAATTTAATATAGTACTCATGGAGTTTTACAATAGATTATTTTTTTCGAGAGAGAAATATATTTCCTTTTTTTAAAGCAGAATGCATCATTACTCTTCAAAGGAGAATTTTAATAAATTTTTACTTAATAAACTAATTAGGAAACTTTATTCCAAATAAAATCACATTCTAACATCAAAATAGATGGCCCAGCTAGATTAATCGAAATCGAACATGATATTAAAGGTTAGGGTAAAATGAACGATCTTATCATGCTTGGAAGTAAGACTTGTTCATTATTGTATTTTAGATAGAGTCTATTTTTCAATTAAATAAAACTGTACTTAGGAGCATTATTTTGATCGATTATATTCTAATACATTATTTCATTATTTTGTTGATAATAGATAAGTTCTTATGGTGAATTAGGAGGAGATTAGAGATACCAATAAAAGCAATATATTATACTTTTGTTACGATCTTTCTAAACCAAGATTCATTTAAGACCCCAAAAACAGCACAGAAGTATTGCCATCGTATTAGAAATATGATAATTATTTGACTTTCGGGGATTAAATGGTATTATTCAATACATAAGAATTAAAATATGAAAAATGTAATACTTTATCCCTTACCAGTTGGTTACCCAACACTGTAAGAGCCAATCCTCTCTCCATGAATGTCAATGTATTAAATCATCAGAGTTACATGTAAACCCTCAAAATTACTTCCACACAAAAATCTATGAACAGTATCACTTGCAAATTGATTGGATTAAGATTGGCAAAGAAGTAATGAATTAAGCTATCAAATTAGGGATTTGTAATAACAAGATGAATCAGATGTCTTTCCAGCATTATTAGTGTATAATGGCTAGACATCATCATTTGAAGTTGAGCTTATTTGATTATCATCAAAATAGAGGATTAAAAATTGATATTTTTAAATAATTATTTAATTTGATTATTTTCTATGAAATAATCAAGAGGAAGACAAACCGATATTTCCCATTCAGAATCTGAAATCTATAAAAATTTGGGACTTATTCGTAATAAATCTGGGAAGGTTCAGCAATAATAAAAGCCAAAGGAGAAATCCAAAAGCTAGACTCAAAAGAAATCTCAAACAAGTCTGAAAACACAAGAAAATAAGCTCACCAAAAAAATGAAAGACTATGAAAAATAGATCTCAGAACTAAGATAATAATTATAAGATGATCAAACAAACTAATAATATATTGATACTTTCAATAATAAAGAGTAATTATTCAAATTATTGAATTTAGAGAACAATATGAAAAACTTATAGAAACCTATGAAGAGACAATTCATCAACTTAAATAAACAGAAATAAATTTATTAGAAGAATTGCAAGGTCAGAGTGAAATAGCAAGGGATGCTTTGAATAAATTATATCAATTTTAATAGGAATATAATATTTCGCATGATGAATTGAGAAAACATTATGAGTGTATAATAGTCATATCATTTAGAAATGATTAAAGATAAGGAGAAAGAATTACACTTAAAATATGAGCTTCAATTACAACAATTGGAAAATATGAATCATCGTTCACGAATATCTGAACCAAAAGGGACTTCAGAGCTTTCAAAGAAATTAAAAGATATGGCAAATAAAGAAGAATTGTATTTAGAAGAAATAGAGAGTCTGAAAAACTAGTTAAATTAAAAAAAGTCTTCTGTTAAGGAGAAAGTATTTATTAATTTAAATTATAGGAGTTAAGATAAAAATTAATTGATTTAGAATCAAAGTTGTAATTGTGGGATGATAATTTGGAGAGATCCAAATCATTAGAATATGAAAACACAACACTTAAAACTAAAATATAATAATTGGAGAAACATTTGCAGCGTAAAGAGGATAAAGAGAAAAGGTTAAAGGATGAATGGAATAAATAATATTAGGAATTATAAACAGAAGTTATGGTACAGTTTCAATATAATTAGTATTGGAAAAATCAAATGGACAAAGTCATTATGGAAAATAATCTTGTACTTTCTAAAATAACACCATCCAAGAAGAAATATTGATTATAATTAATAGATGATGGTCTAAATCTTTAGATATCTGATAGATGTATTACATATTTGTACTTTTTGAACATAAATTAATATTAATACTCAATAGTCATCTGGAGCAATAACATCATCTATTTTTAATATCATTTTCACAACTTAAGTGGCCAATTAAATCTACTATTTCTTTGAACTCAAAGTTTCATAAATTTTTTGCTCTTTCATATCACTTGTACCCTTTGAATTAAATTAAAACAATTACCAACTCCATGCAATCAATTCCAATTCTAGGGTTCTTTTCAGTCAATTGTCTAGACTTAGCCTAAGCTACAGAAGTAATTGGATTAAGACCGCAATTATCTGCTAAACAGCATGGAATACCTTCTAAAGCATCAGCAAAAGATCTTACTGCATATTATTCAACTGAAGAGACCTAAAATTATAATTATAATATACCTCATCAGCATATTGTAAGACTTAGAGAGCACAAGCCAATTCAGCGGATCCACCACCATAAACGATTCTGTTATCTTTAATTAAATTTCTGATCACACAAATAGCATCATGAATGGATCTTTTGGCTTCATCAACAATCATTTAACTGCCTCCTCTTATGAGAATGGTAACAGCTTTAGTGCATTGACAATTTTCAATGACTAGCATTCTTTCATTTGAAGTTCCAAACTAGACTTCTTTGATACATCCTGCCTTTCCTAATTTTTCAGGTGTTATTTCTTAAAATCTTGGAATGATTCTAGCTCCAGTTGCCATAGCTATTAATTCAACATCAGTGCCTGATACCCATCTAACTGCAGGGAGATCATTTTATAATAATAAATGGTTGGCTTCATCATCGAATCCCCATTAGCACAAAGCAATATTAGCACCACTATCTTTGACAAGTTTCACCATTTCAACAAAGTATTGTTATTCTTACTGATAAAGCTTCTTATAGTCTTCAGCACTGGAAATATTTATATTGTGTTTAGTTTTAGGCTTAGGAGGTTCGAAAGGACATGTTAATAAGCATATCTTAGCATCTTTAACTTCCTTCTACATTTGTGGATGACTCATATCTTTGTCAATAAGGATTCCTGAAATTAATCTGGTATCTTCAACACTGCCACCAGTCTTTGTTTGAATTTTAATTAAGTCTAAATTGACATCTTTTCTTTTGAGATCAGCAACATCTAAAACGGCAGTTACAGCTATTTTTCCTAATTCTCTTTTTCTTTTGGATACAACTTTTGACCCTAGGGCAGTGCAGGCTGCTTAGATTAAGGCCTCGTGATCATTTGCTTAAATGTCTATTTCCTCAGCTATTGACTCCAAATGCTCTAATTTTAAGATAACAATATTTACTTATGGCAACATCACAAGCTCTATCGAAACCATCACTGATTTTCAATGGATGAATTCCCTTATCCAACAATGTTAATGCTTATTCCAACAATTTGCCAGCCAAAACAACTACTCCTGTTGTTCCATCTCCTATCTCGGCATCTTATGATTATGACAACTCAACTAACAATTTTGCTGTTGGATGTTAGATTTCCTAAATAATTAATATTCAATTATTGTTACCATTTTTTCAACTATAGTGGCACCATCATTAGTGACTGAGACGTCTCCATCAGGTGAAACCAGCATCTTATCCATGCCCTTAGGACCAAGTGAAGACTGTAAAGTATTAGCTACAGCCTTTGCAGCCAAAATATTGCTCTTATAAGCCTCCAAACCCTTCATTCTTTTCTTTTATCCTTGGTCTCTCAAAATAATGTAAGGTCTGCCGTAGTCATCAAATGCCAAACTCATATTTTAAATAAATATTTTTAAATTTAATCACTGCTTCTCAATTGCCCGGAGAAATTCGATTGCTATAAAAGAAATTTATTTAATCAATTAATAGTTTATTATTATTATGTACTTTTATATTCATTTTTAATTAAAAAGTTACTTTTACCACAATAATTAATAAATATGCGAAATCGATTATCTGCAAGCTCATTCAAAAACCAAGCCCAACAACTTCCTCTCTAATCCTCTCCTATTTTCAATAGGAAGCGCTCTTGTGAATGTTTGGACTGCGGATTACACAATAAAAAAATGCTCTATGTGACAACAGTACTTCCATAATTTCAACCCTACCAACATATTATAACAAAACTCAAGGAGCAAAATGAAAAATTGCAGTAAAGAAAGCGTATGAAGATGAGGAACAAAAGACATCTGATCCAAAAAAAAACTATCATTGATATTATGCAACAATAAGAACATCAACCAAAGAAAAGACTAAATAGACATCACAATACTGTTTTTTACAATCATTAGGCTAGTATACCTAATCCTTCAAGTCTTTATCCTATAGAGGCTGCTCAAACACCTTCAAAACCCATTTCAAGATCTTCGTGCTTTTTTCATAGGTACAATTCATTATCCCCTCGAAAACACCTTACTGATAAAAAAAATTCGAAGGTCTAATCGTTCTCTTAGAGACTTAAAACATTCTATTTACCAATTACAGCACCTTTTGAATCACAACTTATATTCAGATTAGAATTAGTAGAAGATGGTAAAATCAAATTAATCAAGCAAACCGGTTCCTAAGATGATTTCAACATCAATCTCAGACTTAATAAATTTGAAGAAGACGATAAAAAGAATGAAGACTAATTTCCAGAAAATTTAGCCAATCTTCCTACTTTGCAATAAGAAGATGACGAAGAGGATGATTAGTCAGATGATGAAAACATTGTTAATATTAAATAATTAACTACTTCAAATCCAAAATAAGCATATAAAAATATTTTGAAATACAATCCTAGAACTCTTCAAAGTCTGGTTGATAAATCATAATTAGGATAGAGCAAAATTAAAGATATTAAGATTGCATGTCCAAAATATCTGTACCATAATCATGTAGAACATTTTCAAACATCAATTACAAATAATGTCTCTCCTGTCAATAACACTATTAGCAGGTGTTCACCAATATCATCAATTAAATTATTGGAAGAAAAAAGAAAAAAACCTAAAATCAAGCTTCTCCCTTTAGAAATTAAACCATTTTCACAAATCACCCTCACTAATATTTCCCCAACAACATTATCTAGAAATAAGCCAAGTCCCAAAAAAACTAATTAAAGAAATATTTTTAATGCTCCCAGAAAAAAACATTAAAAAAACATTACTTTTGGATAGTTGTTGATCAAAGTTTGATAAAACATGATTTCTCAAATTTATTCTAATTAAATTCTTCTGATTTGCTTATAAATTATATATTTTAAATAAATTTAAATAGGAATCATTAATTATTATAAATACTTCTTTAGTACTTAATTCCATACCTAAGTAATTCTATAAATGAATTTATAAATAAAGACATCTAATAAATACTTGGCATATCATATTATTATGAGAAAACTTTAAATATTTTGTGGTCAAAATTCTTTGGTAAATAATAAATGTTTTCATTTTTACAAATTAGCATATTTTATTATAATTAGAATTCAGAATTAAAATTAATATTAAAGAACAATTAAATGAATAGTTAGAATAAGTGGATATAATTATTATAAATGATAATTTGATAATGTTAATTAATACTATCAATAAAAAGGAACTAAATCTTTTACAAAATGTGATTTCTCTTTTTCGTTATTTTTTTAATTTGTCTAAAGATTTTAAAAATTTAAAGCTTATTCTTCGGGATAAATGCTTTTTTACAAGGAATATGAAAGTAGATTTTGATGTTAATTTTACATTATATTTTCTCCTTTATTCATGTGTAAAGCTTCCTTTATTAATTTAACTCTTGTCTTTAGTTTAATCTTGATATCGCCTCTTATTTTTAGATAATTTCTCAAAAAAGGGCATATTTTTAAGATTTTTGGGAATCTTTATAACAAACCTTTCCTAATACCATCTAATCTATCAGTATACTTCTGATAATATGTTGAAATTGTTTGATTGATTAAGATGTAAAAAAACATGATGAATACTATTAGTAGTAATGTTTGCAAGATGAAATCAATTGATGGTATTTGTAATATCTAAATTTGATATTTAATTCCACAAATCAGAAAAATCAAACTGGATAAGGTAATACACTTTTATTCAAATCGATTTAATGTTTCCATATTAAATGGTTTTTTGTTTAAAACAATAATGTGATATAAAAATAATATCAAAAAGGTTAAAATAACTTTAATTTCAATTTACTCTTCAAAAATGATAAGAGATAACAATAAGATTTCTCTTTCAGATACTCTAAAAATTTCCCAATAAAATGATGATTCCTTGTAATCATTAAATATGTATCCCCATATTTTCCTGACTTTTTCTTAATTAAGATTGTATCTTTTGTTATATAATATGAGGAATAATATCAGAGGGATTATGATACCGATAATAAATAAAATTGGGGTAATAAAAAATAGGACCCAAGAAATGTGAGTGTTTGTAAAGTAAAGTATTGAGACATTTCGATTTATGTATGAAATTTCAGATATATTTCTTGCAGTAATTAATTCTCCTAATTCTAGAATGATATTGGGTTGAGCATAAAAAAATAAATAAAATATGGCAGTTGCATAGATAGTTGGTGTCAATTTTAGCATCTTTTTCTATATCAAAATTAAGTATATTGTTAAAAATATAAAATAGAAAAAGATAGGCGCTAACAAGTTAATAATGAGACTTATGTATATTATCTGCAATTCCGTTTGTTAACTTAAAGTACATTCGTAAGAATAGGATTATGTGCCAATAGGATTACTTAGAGGAGTAAGTATATCAATAATATTAAAAAAAAGTTCTAAATGAAAGGACTTAATTCTTACTAAAATCTAAAAGTAATTAACAACAGTTTTAATTAAGGCAGCAGATTAGTCTAAATATAATTTATTTTTTACCTAAGCTATGATTAAATAAGATCTTATAATGTTTTGAGGTTAATTTAAATTTCAGAAAGCTTTTAAAAATGGTGTTTACACTACTTACAGTAAGTATCATTGAACCTATTGTTCTAAATAAATAATGAATATTAATACAATGATCCAAATAAAAGTGATATGAATATAGATAATCCAAATTCACTGCAAAAAACGCATTTGTTGTTCCTATTTTTAAAATATTGGCCATCCCCTTTGATGTTGTATATATCACACTCTTCACATAATGCTCCAATATAGCCTAAACTACAAGATTCATCACCAGGCTTCCAACCTCCTAGACATAAATTCTTCTATCTTGTGCATTTGTTGATAAACTTGCTTCTATAATTAGGCCTCCAAAAACCTGGTTATAACAAGATCTCACTTGCTGTGTTTGCTTGAATGATATTAGGATCCATTTTTTAACAAAAAGTTGCTCCAAGTTCAACTGAATAAAATCCTTTTGATTCGTCACATTTCATACATTGGGTAAAATAATAAAATTCTCCTATTTGACAAGGAAAAGACTTAACACTTAAATAAAACTTGTATTAAGACTCAGTAAAGCAATTACAATCAAAAACAAAAATGGTTTCAGATTTTAAATAAGGATCTAAACTTATAATTAAATTTGAAAAATCAAAAGATTAGCTCTCTAAATTAAAAGATATTATTTATTCTTGATTTGGATAAAATTGGCTTTCATTATTTAATTAATTTAATACACATTAGTATTCCTATAAGTTGATTTATTTTTCTCCTAAGTTATTGATAGCATATAATTTTGGATTTAAATTGTAGTTTTCGAAAACTTGCCTTTCTAAATCCTGAATACTATAATTACTAATTTATTGTCCACTTGGAATGTAGATGATATTCGTGTTGAGTTTATATTTTTCAAAGTTAGGTTATCCCATATTGGCTATTGATTTAGTATCCAATTCTTAATTAAATATGGATAATTTGAGTTGGGATGGGTTTTCTTTGATATTGTCTACATATCTTTTTCCTTTATTCTCTAATAAAAAAACTTTTAACAACTCCTCTGCTCTAAAATTGTGATTTTCTAAATAAATAGCTCCTCCAAAAGTTGCAGTATTTTAAATTAGATATAATTCTGATATTAATGTCTCTAATTTCATAGAAGAAGATTATGAATATAGAGCTCCACCACTTTCAGCATCATTTTACATAAACAAAATATTTTTCATCTCTATTTTACCAGCTTTTACATTGATGGCTCCTCCCTAAGTTCCAGAATTCTTAATAAACCTACTCTTTTTGAAGATAGTACTCTGATTCACATGATTAAGCATCAAACAAGACAATAAACCACAATGATTTTAGTAAAATATCAAATTACTAAGAAAAAGTTTTTTAATTTAATTGAAGCAAATCAGTCCATTTTGACAAGTCTAGCATGTATTATTCGCAATGAGAAAATCTCTTAAAATTAATTTCTTAGGAAAACTTTATTAGATTTCAAAGAATGATTCAACATGAATATAAGCATTTTTATATGTGTCTTTTATTACTAACTAACTAAGGTACATGTTAATTATCTTTGATTAATTTCCAGAATATTCGTGTATTATAATATTTAGCTTTTGTGTTGCCACTTCTATTTATTCAAAAACTAAATGATTGATCATAATTTTAGGGGTATCTTCTAGGCATAAAATTGTAATTGGAGCAAAACCAGTAAAATGCAGCCTTGAAAATATTATTGAGCTACATATATATATATGTTAATTCATACCTATTAGTAATTACAATCATTCCTTAGATATCTATTTAAGATAATTAATTGGGATTATCATCAATATAAACAAATTCATGGTACTTCCTAAAATAGCTTTTTTCTAAAGTCAAAGAAAAATCAGAAATCTCAACTGAATTATCAACATTATTTGTGCAAATCAAATCTAAAAAGTATTATTATTTAGATAAAACATTTTCTACAAAAATATTATTTAACCTGAGTTAATTTTTAATTTTGGAGGGATTAATTTTAAAGATGCCAGATGTATATCGACTTAGAATATTCGAGATTTACATATTATTGATGTCAATATTTAGATTTGAATTTGTACTGTCTATCACAAATAATGCTTCATTATAATTATTATCTAACTTGGTTGAAACTATTATACCACTAATTGTAGTATTATTGATAATCATATTACCTTCATTTTATAGATATATATTAAAGTAGGCAGTTTCTTAAACCAATGCATTTTCAAAATTTGAATTAGTAATTGCAATTTAGGAACCATATAAATGGGAGAAACCTCCAGAGTTAAAACTATTATTTGAAGACAGATATCTTGTTAAATCAAAATCAAATACATTTATACCTTTTGCCTTAATAAATTCCATTTAAATCTCTGATGATTTAATATATAATGATGAGAAACAAGAATTCACATATTCATTTTCTTTAAAAATGGCATTTTTTAATTAAGCCAAAGATTAGGTTATAATACATATGAGGCTTGGGGAGATTGTAAAGCAATCGAAAATTTGATGTATTACATAATTCTGAGTAAAAGTAATATCAGAAATAGATATAATACATTTATCTTCAAATTCTAGATAGAGTAAAGTAGTTTATGAAAAGCTTTAGGTCTTAATCAACAGATTATTTTCAAATACAATATTTGAAAACGAAAGTGATTGAGTTTTTATTTATTATTCATTCTTTGAGTTGATGTAAATAATAGATGAATCGATTAGACTCTATGATCTGATAATAATATTTGAAAAAGTAGCTGTTAGCACTTGTTTTAACTAAAGTAATCCCGAGTTTAAGGGACCTAAACTTGATTTTGTGGTGTTTTCATTCGAATCAGATGAAAATACTTGATATGAATTTAGTAGAATATCATCTATTTTGAAAAAGTTTGAGTTGTTAATACATAAAATCCAATAATTATTAATTTAATCATTCCTTAGTAGGGATAGATCTATTTTATTGCTAGATAAATCGAATATACAAATTGTACTTTTTTCTGGCATTACATTTTAAAGTGGACAATTAAAATATATTTAACTTAATGTAATTTTACTCATTTCAATTGAGGAAGTTTCATGTAGGCTCTGAGAAATTTTGATTAGGTTCATACCACAAATAAAGATATTCTCCATATATATGTCATCAATTTTATGTATGTATGCAGGCTTAATAGTTTCAGTATATAATAAGAATACTGAATTATCCAAATATGCATTAAGAAATGATATTTTCTTTAATATGCTATAAGGATTGAGTGATATCAATGTAGTTTTACTCAATTTGCAATCTTGTAAAATGATTCCACTTAGCAAGCTAAAATTTGTATTTTGAATAACCAAAAATAAACTATTGGTTAAACTAGAATTCATAATTTTGATATTTTCTAATACAAACTTTTGAACAACTATGAATTGACCTTCCAGTTTTATTAATTCAAAATTCTCAAAGGAACAATTATCTATAATTATATTATTGATTATAAATTAACCAATAGATTAAAACTTTGAAGAAAGATAAATAAAAGAACTATTTTTAAAAACACAGTTTTTCAAAACAATTTCTTGAATTACGAAAGGATAAAATTTAGTTAAATTGTCATCTTTGTTTAAATTAATGAGAGAAGCATCAGATAAAGTCAAATCATATACTTCTAATTTTGAGATTATTATGTGCGTAAAATTTTTGATTGTTAAAATTGGGCTATTTCTTACTTAATTATGTAAAGTAATGTTATGTATGTAAATATTAACACCTAATAGAGAAGAAATGATAATGTGGTTTTTAGATGAGAAAAATCTCACATTTTATAAACTAACAGTAGTTTAATTAAAGATGGAAATCTATTTTTCATGAAAGGTATCATTATATCCATCATATAAAACAGTAGAATTCAAAAGAAAAAAAAGGACTGATCTTAAGTTTACAGGGTCCTCTTTTCTAAAGGCATTATAATTGTCAATATAAGTGGTTACTTTTCGTCTTTTTAAATATTCTAAATCAATATAGCCTTAAGCATTCGATACAGGGGAATTTGGAAATACAGGTTATTGAATTGTACGTAATAATTTTTTATTGTTTGTGTCTTTTGGCATTTATTACCCAATATATTGATAAATAAAGGTTTCTTTTTGATTTAAGTTTAGCAAACACTGGTAAGTTTAGGCCTTAGAATCCGAATTAATGATAAAATAAGGATTTATTTCGTTAATTTTAGAATCAGAAATTGGAAGACAAAATCTACATGGATAGGGACAGATTTAGCATCTATTTTCAAAAAAGGATTATGCATCATTCTCTTGATCTAAATTTTAACATTTAGAACATGCACCACTACGATTCCAAACAAGACATTTAGTCTCCAACTTTGGAATACAAGTTCTTGAATAAATAGTATAATCTTTTTTGCATTCTAAAAGTTAATAATCTGTCCTATAATATAATCCTATCACCTATAGAGGAGTACTATTAGGTATAAAATTCAAGAAGAAGCTTACTAACTCATATTTCCAAGAATCGTAGGTTGAAGTTTCAATCCCGCATTTACTTGAATTTGGGAATTAACCTTCGCAAGATATACAAAGACCATTGTGATAATCTAAATAATATCCATCTATGCAAGAGATACAATACATCATCCTAAAACTATCCTAAATACAAGACATGCAATTAAGAAAATATTTCAAGCAATCATGAAATTCTGAAACTAGGTTGTTTTCTAGTTAATTGAAGATTCCTTAAGTATTAGTGCAAAGGAATTGCGAATTCTCATTTATATAACCATTAATGCAAGGATAAGTTATTTATTATAAAACGCATTCATTTATCTAAAAGTTGAATACATAACCTTAATTACAGAGAGCACATGCCATAATGTAATCTTCTTCATTTTTTGAAATTAAAACCTGAGCTATATCTGAATTTACTGAAACCTAGCTATGATCATATCGGTTATATTAGAAACAATATTTGCAATTTTTAACTTTGCATTGTCTACATTTTCTTTCCCAAGTAAAGAAATATTCAGTTGGATTTATACAATAATTGCATTCACCAAAAAAATCACATGCTCCACAATTTTCAGCGCACACTTTGAAAAAATACGGATCCGAATCAAACTTGCATTGATAAGTTTCTTCATCATATCCAAAACTACATTAAATGTAATAAGGTTGATCTAAATGTTTAAAAGGATATAAAAAACACCTATCATTATTATATTCATTTAATGTGCAACTACTACAAAATCCACATGACGATAATTCATTATCTATTAAAATAAATAATTTCTATGGATCAAATTTAGTCGACCTAAATTCTTCATACACAGCATTTTCAATTCCTGGTTGCTCAAGATATTAAGAGAAACAAAAACCAGAATAGATCCAATTATCAGGATCCATCAAGCAATTAATGCAGAAAATTATATTTTTTTATGAGGCCGCTGGACTATGATGATTTTTAATTCATACCATTAAATACACTCATCTTTGTATAAAAAATACCCAAAAGCACATGTTCTGAATTACTCATTTTCATCATATCTAGGATCATTCTTAAGATATTCTATTGTTTCTATGTATTATTTCTATTCTTATCCAATACAAGTATGATCAGCCTAATTTTCATAATACCATAGTTAGCAATTGCAGCTCTTCTTAATAGGATCATATATCCTATTCTAATAATCGGAACAACTCAAACATTAAGATCTAAATGGTCCAAAACATGTTTTACAACTATAGTGACAATATTATATTTATTGATTTTTGTCTAAACAATTTTCATATATGACAGATGCAATTTCTATTTTGTTGTTACTTATTTCATATTAATTTCCTCCAAAATAAATCTTCATTTTCGTATTTGTAAATTAATTTACATCATCAAAGATCTTTATTTTTTACACTTTTAATATGAAACTCTCCAATTAAACCATTAATTATTTGTCAAGGTATTTCACTTAAATTAAATGCCAATTAGTTATAAATTCAATTGAAATTGAATCCTAAACAAATTTTTTGTAAGGATTCTATTAAGATGGATTTGCGATTGGAAATTCATATGAATAATATTCAACATAATAAAACAAATCCTCTAACATATATTCATAATTAATAACAACACTATTGCTACCTATTTACCCTATAAATTTAGAGGATTTATTTATAGACAATCTTAAAATGTGATTCAAGGATAATTTTGAGGGTATTATTTTCATCCAAAATTATAAAAAGAATGAATTCACATACTCATTTTCAGTTTAAAATTCGGTGTATTTACCCTCTTCATTAGAAAAATAATCCGATAATTAATCATTTTATTGTGGGAAACATTTCTCGATAAAATTGATATCTTCTAAAATTGACAGATCTTCTTATAAAAAAAAAGTCAAGCTTCCTGGAAAACTACTTAAGAGAAGAGTTTAACTTAGAATTGTATCGAAGATCTACAATAAAATGATCATATACCTTCAAACTACCACCTTGAATTAAAAGAAACTAATTCTGTGTAAAATAATCAGAAGAAATTTATTTTTATTGAAATCCATTCTATTATTTAATGCCTATAATCAATTATTACCCTTTAAAGTACAAGTATTGAGCTACCCAAAGTCCTTCATAATTTTAATTGTCCACTATAAATTCTTCTTAAATTGATTGTGATAATGTTGTAATTTTTATTACATGCTTAATTTATTTATTTTGCTCATCAAATGATACATAGTGCACAAGCCTTGCATTCTAATTATCTAAGTCAAGACCTGCATAAATTAATTGAGAATTAGTTTCACTTCTAGAAATTTCGCCTACGTTTTCAAAATTATTGAAAGGTACATATTTTGAAAAGCTTCCTATTAACAAATTTTATTAATCCCAATTAACCACTAGCCTTTTGACTGCTGTAATTTAATCTATTTTATATATAACTGCACTTATTGAAAGTATTAATGTATATTGATAAAATAAAATTCTCATTTTTTATAATATTTATTTTTTTGTAAAGCGGGTTGTTTTTATGAAATCTGTATTTATTTATCATTTAAGATATTATACTCTTCATTTAAGGGTTTTGATGCAAATATTTCAGAAATATAATAGAAAAATGAAAATTTATCGAGTATTGTTAAAGAAAAAGATAAGAAAATATATTTAAAATAGCAGTTGGTGAAATCATAATATGACTTATTTCAATTTGATCTTAACCCTGAATTTATGTTTTATTATCTTTGAATCAGTTATTGGTTAGTTCTAAATTTATTGCTATTATTTTAGTAATTAAGTTCTACTTAAAAATATTGTTTTTAATTATTCTACTTTTCAATTTAATTATATCTCATTTATTAAATGTAATTTGATTTTTTCATCAAATTGTGAAATAAAGATATCTAATTTTCTGCCTAAGTTAGTTATAAAGTATAAAATTTAAATCAGGAATTTAAACCTTGCTAGAATAATTATGAGTCGACAACGTCATAATACAAAGATAATAATATATTTTATTAAGACTAAACTGATAATATTATTTATTAAGACTTTATAGGTTATATTACGCATTAATGAAAGTCACAAATATAGGAAAATTTAGGTAAGAGATCATTTTGAAAGAGCTGTTACTAGGAGAGTATACCCTTACTTAGTTGATAAGAATTTGGTTGAAATGTCGGTTCCACCTTTCTTGTAAGTAAAAAATGGGGTTTTTCTAATTTATTCAACAATGACAGTTTAGGCAAGGTGTTCATTGTTTGTACGGCTATTTGACCTACTATGTTCAATTAATTACAACAATACCTTATAGTTTAGTGATCCAAAGTAATTTTGTAGGTCTAAATAGTGTTGAATTGCTGAATTTATATTGTAGTATGAAATGTGCAGGCTTCATCATTTATGTTAAGAGATTCTTCCTAGGATAATATTCACAATTACTTATTAGATTTGATGAGTTTACAATTTAATTGCATTTTGGGATTGAGATGTTTTTTATTTTTTTGCATTTGAACAGCAGAGCATTTTATAAAATATTAAAATAAATTAATATGGTTTGTTTTAATAAAAAATTTTTTTTATTTTTATAATTAAATCAGCATGATTGCCTACTTATAAATGATTAGTTAATGAGGCTCCATAAACTATTGTGTTAAAGACAATAAACCACACCTCCTCTCTTTTATTAGGTGGTTTATCTATTCAAATCACAAAAGCATACAGTGTTTGAAGTAGCAGTTAAGCCGTATTTGGAATGATCCTTGGTGTATGAAAAGGAAAAGGCCTGATGATATTAAAAGATTGTATACTCCATGTTATCTGACTAAATTGGAATAGGATTTAGGGACTTAATCGCATACAGGATCTTAGAGACCACCAGTTCCATTACCCCAGGTTTCCATGATCAAGTCTAATCCTAGAGCAGGGGCGACAACATCAGCATAGAAGTCTTCGACTAGGTTTTCATTTTTGGAATAGGCTGTTAGTTTGAATCCTCCCTTAGAAGATATTTAGATTGAATCTTATAGGGCTGCCTGAGGAATATTATAATAAATTACTGATAAAACAGTTCCAGATTCTGTTTTATAGGTTTTGGTTCTTGAGTTAGTTTTAAGTTAATATAGTTGAGGGAAAGCTGTTGCAAAGGCAGCAGGACTGTTAGCTCTATTGGTAAGTGTTTCAGCAATGATGTATTCGGTCGCCAATCTGTTAGCTTCTGTAGTTGTAATAGACAAGCACATATAGTGTTGACCGTACACTTAGGAAGAGGAAGGCATTCCCAATACTATTTGACTAATATATTTTGAATTGAATTTTTTACTCGTATGCGTCATCAAGCATTGGGAAAGTGGGTGTGGAGTGAGAGATAAGAAATGCGTCTCCATTGATGTTGGCGCTCAAAATACCCTTTGAATGGGCTCTGTCGGAGATAGTATTCTTGTTCCAAGGTTAATCGCTCCAAAGGACGCTCATTACATTATCATCATGGAAATCTATTTAAGCTATAGTTCTTTATAATGGAGATGTCAAATCGTCCAATTGATCAGTTTGCCAATCAAAAGTACCACAATTATTGTTGGCATCGCAATACAAATAGTCCATTCCTTGAATATTAAAATTATCTTACCTCTAACACTAAAAGTTTTATCTGTTGGCATCTTGAGAATAAACCACCAATCTATAGCATTTCCGCTATGGTCTATGCAGGTCTACCCAAAAACAAGGAGTAGCAATGAGGAAAAAAGTACAAAACTTTTTAAAGACGACATTTCGACTTAAATTATGAAGAAAATATTGTATATAAATAAGAAATAATTGGCTTTTAATTAATAAATTAATACAATATATATTTTTCCCTCATAATCCTAATATTCGAAATGAATTAAATCTTAAGGAAAGCTATTTGAACCTAAGCAAGATTTAATTTATTTAACAAATATTTTAAAAATATTTTTTATATGATTATTTTTATGGTACATTTTTTTAGATAAAAAATTTTAATTATGTTTAGTTTAAAGTGATAATTAGTTTTACATAGAAGTAACATTAACTAAATAAACTAAAATTGTATCAAATATTATCAAAATTAGGCATTTTCGGTCTTAAGATTTTTACTGGATAAACCACTTGATTGCCGCTGCTTTTTTTATGTAAACTAGTTTCTTTTTAGATAATTAAGGACTTTTTTGAATTCTATCCTGAAGGAGGGAGTGCTTGTATATTTTTGGGGGGAATCTTCTAAGTTTGATTGGTAATTTGATTCTATAGATTTTGAGGGGGAAGTTGAGATTAATTAATGAACTGAGAGGCAATTAAGGGTTACTGTAATTATTTAGGATTGCTGGTGCTTCTTTGTGTAGACCTCTATGAAGGAGTGTTTTTCCTTTGAGGTACACTTTCAGGGATGTTTTCTTTATTTACAGAAAATGATTTAAGTGCAAGTTTTCTATTTCCTCCATCCTTTGTAAAAACAGCATTGGATCCCTAAATAGAGAGATTCTAATACTTTGAGAATTGATTTAAATTAATTAAGAGGATTGTGTTTTTATTGAACATGTTATTCTGTCCAACCTATAATGGAAATATAGGACTTATTGTTCATTTTTTAGAACTCTGTTGGTTAAATATAAATTTAATCTATCTATTATGATTGAGCATTGAAAAATGTATTGGTGATGATGATTTCTTCTGGAGTTGTGTTGGGTTGTCTAAAAATTAATAAATTATGAATTTAACATTTCCCATTTTTTAGAGAGAGTTTCTGGATTAAGCAATTTCTCAATTTGGTTGAGAACAGTGAAAAAGGATGTTTTGATTTCTAAATCACTTCTCCGAGAGTTCAAATATTCTAGTGTTTTATAAAGTGACCATTTGAATCTTAAGTTAATAATTAACAATCATACTTATTCATTAAATAAATTGTAACCAAGGAGCAAGCTCTGCTCTATCCATGCAAGGAAGTTATCAAACAACTCTAACCCAAAGTAACGCTTTCCTCTATAAACTCATGAACTTTATTTACAAAGTCTTTTGATACAACTATCTTGATTAAAATAAAAACTTTTACTTCTGGTTAATCCTCTGGCCATTAAAATGAGAAATACATAATTCCGATGTTTTCTAAGAGATTTTCAATAGAGTCAGAGGAACAATTAACAATGTAGCCAATTTTGTTTGCCACAATAAATTCTATGTCCTACATTATTAAATTTAAAATATATTACTTTAGCAGCATATTCATCACCTATGTACAATCCATCCTTAACTTTGCAAGCACCAAATATTATTTATTGCTGTGGTTATGCACTCATTAATTATATTTTATATTTTATAATCTAATTATCAATGAATTTTAAATAATTTTTGAATATTCTGATTGTTAAAATAATATTAACTAATAAATAGACTTAAAACTATGAATAATAAGACTATAGCATTTATATTGTTATAAATATTACATTCTATCGATTTCCCTCCTGCAATGTTGATTTTAATTATTACCATAAGTTGTAGGATAATTTTGTCCATTGAAACCGACTTATTATAATTAAATCTTTATGAGGTTATTTTTAATACCAATTTATTTAGAAATGAATGAGACTGACAAAAAGGAAAAAGAAAAGAAATTATCTAGAAATCAGACAACAGTTTTTGTTATAATTGGAAATTACAAGCTTGTTTAATATTCAGTTTTTAATCAAGAAATGGATCTATAAGCCAAAATTTTTGACTATTATCCTGGTCTTTGAAGAATTCCCAGGAGATGAAATATAATTATTTCCGAGCTTTTTATATTATGAGAATATATATGAAAGTTCCTCAGCTTTAATTCAAATATGTATAATAATCATATTCATGCATGAGCTTCCCCTTTATTAGAGTTCTCACTGTTAATTTGACTTTGCTGTTATCCGATAATTATTTGAATCCAGCCGATTTAGGTGGTCGATGTCTCAAAGTATAGAGTATAGTTTTTGCAGTCGAGTAATTTAAATTACAAATTATAGCAGCCTATGGATGGGTTACTATATATATATACATCTTTGATTCTCAGCTTTTTATCGAGGACTAAGGAAATTAATTAATTCTTTCTTTCAGGAGAAATGTGGCAGTACTTTCTTTTGGACTTTTAGATGGAATGTTATATGCCCTTGAGTTGTTATCGAGTCTTTACTCTATAAGTATGAAGTGAAGATAAAGAAGCATCATCGAAATTCATTACAATCTCGTAATTTATATGTGTTAAAAAAAGATTTTTTAAATAATTTCCAAATGAATTTATTTTGCTTTCAAATCAGATAACGAGATTAATTATCGTTTTCCTACTTAGTGAAAATATTAAAGACTTTTTTAAATAATTATTCCTTATAGATATCAAAAAAACTGAATTGATTAATTGAATTTTAATTATTAATAATAATAAATTAATGACAATTTTGGGTTTCCATTTTTTAACATCTCAAATACTTTCTACAATCAAATACAACTCTCTAAATTGATTTCAATTCATCATTTTGGTGAATCAGCAAATATACTGTCTAGTTATTTTGCCACCTTTTTACATTATATAAATAAGTTAAAATTTTATGATATTAATATCAACTTCCATTTGGACTTTCTACAGCAATTAGCTGTGTTGAACCAATATAAGCATCACTTCCCCTACCATTCCAAATTTTGTATGTTATTTTAGGAATTGGTACCACAACTGGATACAACCTAAATTATATGAATTAATAAATTTGGAGTACCAGAATTTTCTATTCTTCAATTCTCTGTCCTAACAAACTTATAACATACCCATAATTTAATCATATAAGCTAACCTCTTTATTAAAAATTTTTTTACCCCCACTAACTACCTTTGAGCTCCTCTCTTAAATTAATCAAAATGAATGGTTTTCCTTCTCCATTACTAAAATAGGACAAGGTACTCTGAATTTAGAGGCTTAAAAATTATGAGATGTTTTCTTTTGAAAACCTCCTATGTCTTTGCCAATCCAAATTTGAAAAAAAATAAAATAGACTCATCTGGACGTTCGATTTATCGTTTTACTACTTGACGATACAATTGGTATTTATTTTTTTTACAGTCCTCTTAAATTAGCTAAAAGTAATTTTAATCTTTACTTTTTTACAACCATTTTACATTTGATTCTTAGACTTACATTTTTCAATACAAAACGAATCATTACATTTTAATCAAACTTCTAGACCCACTAAAGCCGATCAGATTCTTTAAGCCAAAACTGAAAGTAAAAAAGAAACTGAATTTACTATTGATCTTAACAATGATTTACATTTTGTAATTGGGACTAAAAAGCTCTTAATCTCAACATCTATAACGATCAAGTCATTCGATTTTGTCCAGTCAATAATTCTGAAGCATCAATATTTGCTACAAAAATATAAGTAATCATTATTTCATGAGTCTTGAATTTAGAAAAAAAATATTATCTATAAATTTTCTTTATCAATTGTTTCAAGATTTTCCTTAAAATTATTTAATTTCAAAGGAACTCTTCCAATACTCAAAAATTTAAATTAATGGATAATTCTTTTCTTTGTAAGTTGTATAAATTAATCTAATGAGTATCCGAAAGTGTCTGGACAAACTACCATAGGTACTGGTATGACACTGTTTAATCGAGGCTCTCATGTAATAGAGCTCTGCCACAAAGTGATATTATTATTTTTGATTTTTGCATCTTTACAACCAAACTCTTCAACCTGTAGCAAGGAGATTTTAGAAAATACTTATTTTTTAAATATATTTATATTAATCAACAAGTTACCAGCAAATTCTTTAAGCATTTAATAAATGTTAATATAACATTTCAAGATATAAGGTTGAATAATTGATGACCTAATTGCTTTTAATCATAATTTATTAAAGAATTAAATATTTAGTATAAATTTTGGATAAAAAAATTGAAATTACAAAATCCTTATTCATTCTTATTTTTCTTAAAAAAATTAAACATTTAGATCTTCTTTTAGAGCATCATTCTCCTCATCATTTTATTCAATTTCATAATTATTTTTAAACTGTATTTAATTAAGCTTGTTTTTAACTTGACTCTCTATATTATTATCATACATAATCTAATTTAAGACCTTGAAATCATTCTGTTTTGGCTTTCCATAAATTTCTAAGACTGTTTAAAATATATTTAATTGCTTAATAAACCCAACGTTTGGTTAGGCCTAGAAATGATGTTATTTGACATGTTGAAATGCTTATTCATATGAGACGTGCAGTGAAAACATAACATAAGCGATTACGACAGAGACTGATCTAGATTTACCTCCTAAACAATGCACTAAAATGGCAGCATTTTCTATAAAGTTACTTTTACAATGTACTTATGTTTTAATTTATGAACTCTAAGGATTCTGGCAAATATGTGATTATCAAAGTACAAGGATTATCTGAAATGTTGAGTTGCTTATATTAGACTTTATTAGGATAATATTATTGTATTCCTTTAGCACAAATAAGGATGTATTTTATGTTTTTTTCTTTAATAAACTTAATATCCTTGGCGATATTCACTCCTCCTAAGTAAAGATTTTAAAGAATCAAAGACATGAATTGTTTATTTAATATTATTAAAGAAAATATTGGAATAGTATATAAATGTGCATATTTTTTATTAATATTTCAAAAAGCTGATCAATTGTACTGAATTATGGTTAAATATTTACCTTATGGAAACCAATCAATTCATAATTTTCTCTAAAACATCTTCTGCAGACATTCATACCATATTTTCTGATCAAACCTTATCTAGCAGCACATACTCTGCACTCTAAGAATTTAAGATGCGAATTACCTCTGGAATCTTTTCCATAAGTTCTTGGGTGTGTTCTGAATAAGTGATTTGGCATGCCTTGTTTTATTTTATTTAAATATTTATTAAAATCATATTAAATTACCAGAATTTAGTTGTAATAACATCAAGACTTATCAATTCATTAGCCAAAAACTAAGTTCTCTGAGATCAGCAACGATTGAATGTAACTTAAGTTCTTAAGTACAATTATAAAAATGGATGAATAGATTTGTATATTTCTGAATACAGAAACTGATTATGCCAATTTAAGAGAATTTTAAATAAATATTTGGAAAGGATAAGAAGACATTAATTTATTCTTGTGAATTAAATCAATATAATATATAATGTCATTTATTCATAGCCAGAATGTATATCATTTTTACCTTTTCCTCTCCACTCCACTTCAGTTCAAGAAATGATATTATAATTCTAAAGAATATTATTTAAGATAAGTTCCATAATGGTAGGGAATATGGATAGAATGAAAACAATTAAGAAAGTATAAAAGTTCAGATTTAAAATCAATATAGATCCTTGAATATCGAAAGGTTAGGAAGAGAAGATTCCATTTTATTAAATATATAATAAGAAATTAAAATTATTTTTAGTAATTGATTTATATAATACAAACAAAATTAGATATTTTAGTAAGCAAATCATTGTTTTGCCCATTCCTCTAAAAAATCTGATTCACAACTATCATGAATATCTGATTCAGATTTTGTTAAGTCAGTCTACTTTGATTGCAGATAGTACTTTTGATCAAAACTGATTATTAATGGAGTTTGCTTAATTGGAAGCTCTTAACTTGATCTGTTTGATGAATACATCTTATCACTACAAGTAGAGGCACTCATTTCTGAATGATGGGGTTCGATTTATTTTTAGTAATCCTTTATTGTAATTGATTAATTAAGGAGGTGCTTAATCACATCTTGATGACTAGCTGTCCACTCTTCTATTATAATTAATGTTATTTTGGTTGACAAGAGTTCTTTCTTATAGTTTTAGGCCATTTATATTTATTGATCAAACTGGGTGAGGATATTCTAAAAAGTTTCTTCATCTACTTCTGATAAAATTTCTTATCTATTACTCAATATGTCATTCTGGATATTGAAGACCACTGACTAGATTTAGGTGACTTCATCTCTTAGGTTTTTGAATGTTTTATCTAATTCCATTTCATGATTATTTAATTAAGTGATTAATTCTTTTCTTTTTTATTCCAATAATGTCTGGATGTATTTAAATTGATGATCAATCCTGCATTTTTGTTAGGCATAGTGTTTTTTAATAGTTTATAATTTTGAATTCAAACTTTTGATACTATTTTAATCTTCATTTGCTATGTGATTACAAACTTATAAAAACTCTTCAAGTATTTCATCTTTGTTCAATTGTGAACATAAACTTTCTTATAAACTTTGATGAACTTGCCAGGATTTGGACATCTTAATAATTTATATATATATTATTAATTATATTAACTGCTTATTGTAATACTTTAATGTTTTAATTTCACTCATCATCTGAATCAGTTTAATTAATAGAATTATTGTTACCCTCTTCAGTATCATTATCAGGATCTGATTAGTGTTCAAATGCCATTTCTTAATTATTATTCGTGTATCCTATAGAAATCAATGATATATAATACCTGGAATTTTATTGTTGGATGACAATGTATTAAAGGGGGCGAGTCTTTCATTGTCTAATTCTATGTCGATATTTTAAGGAGTCATTTTGCCACTGAAGGTCAAATGTACATAGTCACCCATAACTCTACCGACAGTTGCAGTAAGCCATTAATTTTAATCACTAAAAGATATTAATAATAGTTTTACTAGTAATCTATTTTATCATCTACTTTGACAACCTTTTCTGTCAGATCATCATCAGTATCAAAATCTTCGTTTTGTTTGAATGGTTCCTTGACCAGATTCAAGAATTGTTATTTCTTCCAACTCAACAATTTAGCATAAGCTTAGGTTGTAATTGGCAGGTATATGTTATGCAATCTGTGATTACATTTTTATGAATTAGAGTTATTTGATATAAGTTTCTCATTTGGATTTGATTGAGTATTGTTTGTCTCAATAATCCATTGCCATGTCCTATGATTCTTAACCATCCATTGATAGACAGCATGGTTCCTAAAGACCATCTAATATATTAATAGATATATATAGATACTCTGAGAATATATTATTAACACACATCTGTTTCAAAGAAATATTGAGATTGCTTTTACATTACTTCCAATAATCTACTCATTCCTTAGTGAATCTAATTAAATAATATTATTATATATTTACTCTCATTTATTGTTGAGAATCCTTCAACATGAATAGTCTCTTCAAAACAACCACATATTTTCTGTATTCTTTGTATTCTTTATCCATAATTTATTTAATAATCGCTGTAATAATCATTTCAGTTTATTTTTAATTATCTTAGGATAGAACTGAAAGAATGTCAGATATCATCCTAATTGCTAATTTACAATCGCCTTCCTCCAAAATGGCCATTAAGGTAGAATTGTCAAATTACAAGAGATTTTATTCTTCAGTGCTCAAAGCGTTCTTACCTTCAGTTTTGAGTAAGAAGGCAATTAGTCTCCACATATAAACTCTACTTGTAGATGGACCAGAATTCATAGACTTTTCGAATTTCTTTTCAAGAAGTTCATCATAATAATTAGAGGCCACATCTACATTTTAAATGTTTTGTTATCCTAAGAAATTGTTTTGATCTTCTGTAAATTAAATTACTTTTAGATCATCCAATTTCCTAGCAATTTCTTTATTTGGTATTTGTATTTTGCTTACATTGATTTATAATGCATCCATAAACAGATCCAAGAATTTCCCCACTATTTTCTTGGAAATCAAATACTAGGAATTCTACTAACTTAATTTGGCGAATCTATAAAATAGATCATAATATTCTATTGAATTTTTGAGACTCTTCTTTAGATCTGGAATCATCCTAATCCAAGAATTAATTAAAGAGGCAACCAAAGATTTAGGTTTATCATCTGTATATTCTTATAAGACGTTGTACCCTTCCAATTTTTACACAGTCTCTATTGCTGTCACTATCAATGAAATGACATACTTTCTCACCATTTTCTTTGAACAATCAAACTAGAATTCTCTTATGTATTGGTATTAATTAAAACATTTCAATAGCCATTCACATGTACTAGGAGCTCTTCTTAATAACTCTTAAATATCCTAAATATTATTGGAAATGAAGGTTTTGTCGTTTTCTCTTACTGCACAAGTGAGATAAAAGAAAACTAAGGTTTTAACAATCTGTTCTGAAACTTGGTTTTATTGCAATTCAAATTTTATTAAATTCTGAATAAAGATGAAATATTCAGGACTGAAAATAAATCTCTAAATCTAGAACTTTCGATTTTCATCTCTTATTTCATCTAAAAATTGGGATGTCTTCTAATCTAATTCGATGTCCATCAATTCCTCTTTATTATTTAATGGTTTAACCCTCTCATAAAATAACATATAGGCACTTTTTGACTTATCCTTAAACTAACCTGGATATTTGGTTTTCAGCATTCTATCCACTCCTCCGAAACCATCATTCTTGACATCCTTGATATCTGCAGGTGAAACATTTATATCATTAAATTCATACCATTTGTTGAAATCAACTCTATCTTAAATGAATGAGTAATAATGTCCGCAATCAGCTGAACCTATGTGAATAACAACTCCAGTTAATCTATATTGGTAATATTCTGATGGATTATCCTATCCATTCTCAGGATTAACTCTATTCTCCTACTGTCTGAGTCCTTATTATGAATAAGGCAAAAGATCTAATTCAAATGGAAATTCTATTCTTTCATTTATCTTAGCCTTTGCCATCAAGTCAAAATCGAAATTGAATCTTTTCAAAACTAAAATCAGATGATCAGGTAACTTTTTAATACAAGTTCTCTTTAAAGCACTAACCTTTTTGTTGCACTATTCACAACTATAAGCATTTTCTCCTTCAAGTAAATCCCCATGAACCAAAGTCTATAGACATTCTTCTAGATTCTTCTTATTAGCCACTGGTAATGAAATAGCAAAGAAGGGTTCCTCTCTTTCTGAGTAATGTGGACATGTCTTTCCTATAATTTCATTAGATATCACTCCTCCAAAATTTCTTTTAACTAAATCTTCATCAGAAGTTGATTTGATGCTTAACTCTATTCTATCCATCAACAAATTGCAAAATTCATCAACATCCATTTATTCAAATATATTTGTTGGATGTCCATCCAAATCTTTGAAGGCATGACATAATTTCTTAGGATTGTGATATTATTTCTATGAATGCTTAAGAGCCAAAAATAAGCACTTTAATTAATGCAATAAATTCTCTTCTAATGCTCCTGTGCTTTTGTCTTCTATTTATAACAATTTTTCACGAAAAGCAGGAACCATATATAACTATTGAAGTAAGGAATTCATATAACAAATACATCCTAAATTATAGAGACCAACATATCCAGTTGACGATTTCTCATGAAATTTGCTTTGAATATTCCAATCATTGAAATTCTTTGTTCTCCAAGTATGAGTATAATGTAGAGGGGACACTACATCTAAGAATTTTTGCATATTTTTAGTAGATTTCAATAGAGTAAAGAAGCAATGGAACCCGGCTGTTCTAGATTATTGTGACTTGCATTTGCATCTGGTTTCTCCTTCATTTTCAAACAAATAACTAAGTATTTATTCGAATAACCCTTGGTGAGTTGAGAGTGACTGAATTCTATCGATTAATGCATTTAACAATTTAAGTAGGCCAATCAAAATTTTATCCTAATCCTTAACAGTGTTTTCATTGCATGGTAATTATTCCAAGTTTTACCTTATGTAGACTAATAATTCTTCAAAATTCAGATTTCGAATATTCAAGTTTTTCTCTTGATATATTAAATTACAACAGAATTCAAAGAAATGATCACACTTTTATTTGTTATTTGATATTACATTCTTTAAAACATCCTCCAATATTATTTTAATTAATAGCTAACTTTCTGGAGTGTTCTTCATGTTTAGTAATTATAAACTATATTCTCTCTTCAGTTCTTAATTTTCATGTTCGACAAAGAAGGCATAAAGTTATTAATTTAATTCAGAATTCTTAATGTATTATCTGCAGCCATCATCATCCAATTACAAAAAGCATTTCCTGAGAAGACGAGATTCAATTTCATTCATTTCCTTTTGTTAAGGGGATTTCCTTTATCCAGATTCTAGTTTTTTTTTGGTCTTGATGTATTGACATAATTGTTGGATAACTTCAATAATTTTTGATTTAATTTAATCAACTAATTGAGATTCTTTCATCTTAATTTATGGATGACTCAATATTTCCAAATAAGTCAAACAACATTTGATTTCAAGAGGACGTTATTAAAATTATAGTTGTTATCCTAGGAATTTTTAAGTAATTAAATCTACACCATCAAAATTGTTAAATTATTCACTCCATTATTCATTATCCAATAATTTTAATATGATTTGTAAGACATAAAACATATCAAAAAATTGATGATCTAAGTATTATTTCCAATCTTTACAAGTTTCTACTTACCTTTTTTTGATAATATTGATGGGTAATCTATTTATTAGATCCCAGACTTAACTCAAAAATTCAATGCTTTCTTATTTGTCTAGTAATTTAAATAGAATCTCAAATGTCCTTTATTCTTAAGAAAGGTAGTTTTTAGGGTGATTCTTGTTGTTAATCTTCACCTTCACAGTGGCTAATTGATAAAAGGCTTAGCAGACGAAGGTTTCAACAATATCGTATTATTATTCAATGGGTTTATTTTCTATAGTGATGTCCAATTGTAAGTATGCTACCTGTAATTCTTCAGCCAATTTTTATTTCCATTGATTGATTGTGGTGGTATCACCTTCTTTTTATTCAACAGACTTAACCAAATTATTGGGGTACTATATCTACACTTTGAATTGAGTATAATTAATTGGTTTAGTTGATTTCTTAGAAGGAGGACCACTTTAGAAGTAGTTGAACAATTGCAATAAGAGATTGATTGATCTAGTGGTTAGGCTTGGACATTGCTGTTAAATCAAATCTAAGCATTTGTCCATCATTTCTTAATAGATCTTATCGCATTATTGATCAAGATTAGAATTTAGTTACGTGTACAAGTTAATAATAAAGTAGGAGATTTATTCTAATAATTATTGATCCTTGACTTTAGCAAAGATGTTCCAAATGGCAGATTTCCCTTCGAAATTGTGATCATTAACTAAGAATCTGGAAGAGTTGTTAAAATATTTCAAAGTTTGATGAGATTGATTATATGATCTAAAGAAGACTTGGAACAATTCAAAATCCTCAATGGTGTAACTAATAATAAATGAGAATGATATTACTTTTCATAGTCATTTCTGTCTGGATTACATAAGACCTACTTGAAGAACTTTTATTCGCCTTCTTTATCGAAATAGATGGGGCAAATTCTAAAGGAGTTGACATCTATTTAGTAATTGGTTATTAGGATCTTATTCAATTCTTTCTTTTGGATGCCCCCTTTGGTTTTGGCAGAGAGTGCATCCCACAATCTGACAGTTTATTCATAAGTGATCTTAAGATGTGTTTATGAAAGGAGATAATTCAACATTTATAATCTGAAGAATACATTCTAACTAAACTTTTAGACTCCATTGATGACGATGTCTTGGGGGATGTCATTCTTAAAATATTGTCTGACCTTTTCCATATAGACTTCAATATCTTTAACAAAGAGTTCAATGATATTATATTTGTCATCTGTGGATTGAATCAATTCCCTTTTACCAATGATATCATCTTTGAATTATTTATCGAGGAAATAATGGACAAGACTAATAGCTTAGTAGACAGATTGATGAGCACCAATCAATTCGAAGCACTTACCAAAATATTATGAGATGAATTATTTGGTTTATTGAATCTAGGAGATGATCATTCTGGCAGCTGAAAAACACTATTCTTGAATGACACTATTAGTTAATTGATCGTCCCTATCTTACAACAATTCCCACAACTAATTAAAAGTCATGAACCTCTTTTCTGGTTTCAATTGCAATTGTTATTCGTGGAATTTCTAAGACAATGCTGACTCAGTGAATGTTTTAATCATGCTTACAATATTTTCATTGTATTTAGAGTATGGAATAGTGGAGATATGATTATACAGTTTTTCGATTCCTTGGAAACTTAAATAGGGAGACACAATCTTGAAGAATTCATACAAAGCTAATTGAGTAGTCTCATGTTTATCATGATTGTTTTTCCATATTTTGTCTATGTAATCAATTTGGAATGCTTGATTCCGACATAAAAACACTGCTACATCACTTGATCTTTTGATTAATTCCGGATGAACTGAATCTCCAAGTAAAGTGTAGTCTAGAATTCTATTTTGTGATATCCATCTAATCAAATCATCTTTGGAAATGGAACTCCTGAATTTAAGACTTGTCTATTGTTCATATTTGGATCTCTCAGTGAAATCTTTAATCTCACTTATGCCTTTCACTCTCTTTTCCAAAAAGGAAGACTTCAAGAATTTCAATGCTAATTGTAATTAGATTTCATCAGTCAATTTATTTAGTTGATCTTCTGTGAATCCTTTCAGAAAGTAATATTGATAATCTGACGTAAGTTCTTTGACTTAATCAATGTCAGTGTCCTTGATATCTTAGACTGTCAAATTGTTAACTCTATTTTATAACCACTCGAATGTTTTCTTGGCCATTTGAGCCTAATCAGACAATTGGAAGTAGGAGGACAAGTATTGTTGTGTTATTACTATCCTGTTCATGGCCTTAAGAGGGATGTAATTATATTCTCCGTTTTCTTAGGGTTTCAATAATCCTTCCCAAGCTTGAAGTCCACCTATTGACTTGAAGAAAGACATAGTTCTCAAATAAAATGGCCATGTCTTCTTGATGCATTTGACGATATCTGATGCGCCTTAATATAGTTTCCAGTCATCGATATTCGGATTCACAACGAAGCCTTATTAACTGGAAGGGGGAAAGAATTTATCGAATTGCTGTTACAAATTGTCGCAGTTTAGCTTAAATTTAATTTGAATAGGCGTACGTAGAAAAAAGAGTTTTCTTATTTCAGGACTCGCCATATGGAACCAAATAGCATGCAGAAGGCTTCACAGACTTCCTAAAGACAAGCTGCTATTGAGACTCGTTCGTCTAGGATGTACAATTCTTAGTTGTTTTGGAATCTCATATACTGAGTTAGTGAGAATATTAGCTTACATCTGCAAAGTACTTTGGGAACTACTCGAAATACCACTTAATGAAGTTGTAGTAGGTTTTAATGTATTCCAATGCTACAGGCAATTCTTTTGATGGGAATTCGCTAGAGAGCACCATGTCCAACCATATGAATTGTCTCACACGCACAGATAAACATATTTCAATTGGAGAGAGACCTTGGAAATTATTTTACATTATTGAATTCAATTCCTTGATATTCTTCTCGCAATCCTCTCTCGAGTATTTCAGGTAATCCCGTGAAGTCTTGCTTTATCGGAAATCCTCTCCAGTGTAGTCTTTAAGTAAATAATTTGCTTACTTTGGGTGAATCTACGAGCAAAGTTGATCTTGTTTTGCGATAATTTGATTATCTAGAATTCTTAGGGGACATACATCATACCTCATTATCCTTCTTAGATAACCCATCATATGTGATTTCGATTTCTTTTTCATTTTTTTACAAAATGTACGCCAACTTATGTTACTTGCTTCCTTGATGGAAAACATCAATGTAATTGCCAACAAATAACTGTTCATTCAATTCTGGTTTCTTTTTACTCTTCTTCACGTCCATATTTTTATTTAAATTAATATTTATGAAAACACAATAGGATACCACCATTTTTATTAATTCAGATTTAATACATCATGTTCTGTGCATTTACATCCATTCCCCAAAGTAGGGGAACATTTTAAATGAAAAGCAACTCCGCTGCTATCTATACATAATATATAATTTTATAATCAGAGATTAGTATATTTGCTTTGTCCATTCATTTAGTTTTCTAAACTACACATGAATAACAATTAAAGGTTTTGGTCCAATTAAATCTGTAAATTAAATAATATTTAATAAATGAACATTGATTTTTCAAGAATCTTCAATCTCTTAAGCGAAATACCCTCCCACGTTTTCAAGCAGAGTTGTCTAACCAATTTGCCTGAAAAACAAATGGATGAAATCAACAAAACCCCCCCCATCCTGGAATCGCATTTAACAATATATTCCAGCATTCAAGAAAGCTTCATCAACATTACTGTCCTCTTCATACCCAATTTGCTTGTGATTGCTGATCAATACCTGGTGCTCTCTAATTGTAAAATAGCCAAGTTGAAACAATGCTCCAAATTCGATGCATATGCAATATAACTATCAAGTTCAACTGGACATCTCCTGGTGTTCTTTAACAATAAATAGCAATATTTGGAATGGGTGCCTAAAATGAAATCCTTTTGCAGACTAACCGATTTCTCAAACAAGTTTAACCTGTTGGAATAGATCATCAAAGATTATGCTGTAATTCAGCACAAAAAAACCAAAAAATATTATACCTCCTATGTTCATTCTATTAAATCCACATCACCAGTCGATGTTTTGCAAAGTGAAATTCAGACCTTGAGGAGCATAAAACACCCATCCCTCTTGGACTTGAAATGGGTGTATGAAGACACCCATTGCATCTACTTGATATTTGAATATTTTAGATGTGAGAAACTGCTCGATCTCCTTAATTAAGGATTGATTTTGGATCAAACACAATTAGCATCTGTAATTCTGCCTTACTTAATTTTAGATAATTCTGTAATTACTGTAATCTATCAAATTTTTAAGGAAGAACAACATTTATCATGGCAACATCACTCCAAATAACATCCTCATCAATACTCAATCCTCCTTTCTTTAAGTATTCCTGGTCAATATGGTATTTATCAGTAGAATTGACTCTGAACCACTTGATCATTACTTCTCAAATGTGCATGAGAGCTATATAGCTCCTGAAATTAAATAAGGTATTGCCAAACCTTCAATTGATAGCGATCTATATTAAATAGGAGTTGTATTTTATTTTTTGACATTCTTTATTCATCAAAAAAGGAAGGATGAAAGAGTTGATCGAATTTAAATGGAACTAATTGATAAGGCTGAAGAGCATTTGTCATTACTTGACAAAAATGCATAATGTATTAGCTTTTTAACTTAAGATAAGTATAAAATGGTATATTGTGCCTCTCAATTAGACTTGTTGAGGAGATTGCTAGACAAGAAAGGGAATAGAATAAGATTAGAGGATGCAATCAAACATCATTGGTTCATCAATATAAAGTAGAAATTAAAGCCAAAGGTGGAAAGAAGGAAGTAGCATCTGCCATCCTTAAAAACGATCATTGAATTATGTGAATAAAATGAATTTTCAAAAAAGTTTGAGAAATAACAAAAAATAATAGACGAAGATTCTGGTAATTCTATTTACATATATTGATTAGTGCTTGATGAGAATAATTTTATTTAAGATCTGATGATATAATTAGAGAAGAACTAGCAAACCAAGAGACCTTCAAAAGAAAATCATGAGAAATTGAAAATGTTTGAGCAATTCAAAACTCAAATAGAGTGTGAAAAGACGAGCCAAGATAAATAGTTTGTATTTTCCAAAAGCATTATGTGATGAACATCTTATTAAGTTTATACTATATAAAAATCAATAACATCCCTATCTGTAAGTAGAAAAGTGCAAAGGATTCTATCCATATGGCACACTGTAATTTCTTACATATGGTGAATAATGTTAAGGCATATAGGGATAATGCATTTGTCTAATACTAATAGTCTCAATGATTACCTTGAGTTAAGTCTGTCATAATTTTACTGGGATTGTCTCATTAAATCTGAAGCACTCTAATATTGACGTTGAGGTTGATATGGCTGATGGACAGAATTGTAGCCTTCAGAAGAATTCTAAATGTATTGGCTCTTGCGAAGATTGTTTTGTGAATGTTGTCTCTCCTTCTGCTTCACAGTTGAAGCTCTAAGAGAATTAGAACTCTACAATTTCGACTCATATTGTTTCAGTTGTCTCATGAATCCAGGATTTGGATTCACGATGCGTCGCTAATTCTGAACATGTTTAAATGCTTATTCCAACGACATATTTTAAGTTTTCATTAAATAAGCAATAACAATGGTAGCAGATCTTGATACTCCTGCATGGCAATGTACCAATACACTGGTTTACTATCGATTGACATCAATAAAATCGATAGCCTCCTCAAAATGCTTACTTAAATTGACAAAGTCAGCATCATCAACTCTAATAAACTACTCTATAAACACTATTCCATACCTTATGAGCAACATGTGCATCATACGTGTAGTCCTTGGTGCTCATTACAGCCAATATTGCACCAATGTCATGATGGCCTAATAGTTTACCATTACCAGCACTCTCGATATTACCTAAATATAACCCTCCTTTTCCATTCTAACCCTAAATTATACAATTCATGGGGTCTATCATATTATTGAATAACCAATACCTCCTAAGTTTGGCATTAAATATTAGTGGAACATTTGCAAACAGATAAATTAAAAATAATATTCATTTAACGAAGAATTATGTTAAATTTTTATATTCAAAGTATCACTTTATTAATTGCGTAATTCTCATCATCCTCATCTAACCAAATAATCAATATTCCCAATCAAATTTCTAGAAGATCTTTAGATTTCATATTATAATTTTCTATTTCAATTTATAGTAATTATAAATATCTAATGGAAAAATTTAGAGGATTTCTAATTTGTTGTTTAAATGCAAACTTCTTTTGAATGATATGTTCCAGTTTAATTTAAATAATAAATAGCCATATCCAATATACTATTTACAATTTGATAGCCTGTTTGGTAAGAACTCGCAAAACACGAAGAATATTTAATGTATTCTGCTTAAATATTATATGAATGGTTCTCTTAAAATGAAGCACATACGATGTTTATTCTTTGCTTAGTCATAATAATTACATAGTAAATAGGTATTTATTCTAAAGCATCTAATCATTGATTGATTTATTCTTTATATTAAATAATCAAAAGGATTTTTTCATATAAATGAAAGTCTCCAAAGAATATGCTCCTAATCTAATGTAAATTAGATTACCATTAGGATTAATTAAAAGAATTAATTTATTTCCCTTAGATGAAATTGAACATCTAGAAGATAACTTTATATAACTAGATAATCGTTTATTTATTTAAAATTTGAAGAGAAACAATAATTTGAAATCGTATCCTTCTTTAATAATTTTAAGCCTATACCAAATCAATTATGATCATTTAAATACTTTGGAAATTCTAATTTTATTGCAAATTATCATAAAATAATTGAATTATTTTGAAATTAAAATGAAATGAATCATGCTCTAGGAATGTAGCTACCTCCATAATTATTATATCCAGAAAGGATCAAATCCTTTTTGAGATTTGATAAAATAAAGGAGCACTTTTGGTTAAATATTTTTATCTAATTATGATATAAAATAGATTAAAATAAGTACTAACATCTCTATTTTATTATATAAAGAATTATTTAATTATCTCCTCAAATTTATATTAAAAGTTCTAATTTGTTATGGGATGCTAATTAGTATTTTGGTATTTACATGTTGCAATTGAGTATAAATTAATATGAATTAATTCTTTATGATACGATTTAATTAAAATAAATGGGAAACAAATAATCTTAGGAATCTTTGGCAAGTTCAAAGTCAGATATTAGACCCTTAGACGTTAAGAAATGCATTAGTATAAAACGAGACCCTGTTACTGGAAAATTGATTGGGGTTCCAAAGGAATGGGCCTCTCATCTTGATGCTGATCAATAATAAATCGTAGAGACGAATAGACTGCCTGAAGAAGTTAGAACTCATAAATTACCAGAGTGTATATAAGAAATCCAGAATTCCACTTAGAACTAAAAGAATTTGTAACAAGAGTTAAAAATCGACACAAACGCGGATTTATGTCTGGCAGGCCTTAATGTTGAAATTGAAAAAGAGATATATAATAGTGGCATAAGTAGGAATGAAATTTAAAAGGACACCTTGAACTTCATATCAATACTTGAAATATATGATGGTAAAGAATTATCATTTAAATAAAACTTTAATGAGGTGACGTAAACTGAATTTTTGATTGAAAATCCTGCTTAAAAATATATATTTAATGAATAAATAGAAAGAGGAGTAAATTGTAAACTTTATAAAATCATTGATAGACAACTAAATAAGGTTTTGGTTGCTAAAGTATTTAAATTTCATGAAAATTTTAATTGTTATAGATTGAAGAGAGAAATATCTTTAATTCAACACTTAGATTGTCCTTGTATTGTGAAATACCATGAGGCTTATCTTTATAGTGGATGTTTGTAAGAAATAATTATTATGGTAGCTTCATAGTATAGGAATATATGAAATTTGGGAACCTCAGAAAATTGATTAGAGTTTTTGATAAGAAAATTGATGAGTCAATCATTGGATATATACTTTATCAAATAATGTTAGGCTTAAAGTATTTGCATTTTAAAGGTAAGATCCACAAACATTTAAACTCCAAGAAGGTTTTAATTAACGAAAAAGGAGAAGTCAAATTATTAATTATGGATTACAAAATCGAATTCAAAAAAGACAAAGATCCTTATTGGATTGCCCCAGAAACATTGGAATAATAAATAATAGAAGAGATCTCTGACATTTGGTGCTTGGGAATTATAGGGTATGAACTCTCAGAAGGAGATCCTCCATATTTTGATTAGCATCCGATTAGAGTGATGTATAACATAATAAATTTACCACCTCCCAAGATTAACAAATAAAGAAGCAAAATATTTCAGGATTTCACTCAATTATGTTTGATTAAAGTATCGAGTCTTAATAAATTTAGGATCATGAAAAAAGAACTTCATTAAAAGAATTAATGAAACACGAGTTTATCATTTAAAATAAGGAAAGTGGTAGATAGAGGTTGATCGAATTAATTAAGAGAATGAGTTAAGATTAAAGATCCAAATTGAAAAAAAGCACTAGTTTAAAATGAAATTATTGAATTTTCATTATTACTTAAATTTTGGTTTAAATATCAAAGATTTGACTATTAAAAACGATGATGAGAGATAGCTAATAATATGATCAACCTTAATCAGTCTTTATTACAGAATCATTGTTCATTTTAAGTGAATTAACTAAATCTCAGTTAAGGATTCAATTCTTAAACTTAATATTATAGATGACATCAATACTTTCAAGAAATTTGTTATAACTTTTGAAAAATGATTATTCTCTAAATTTAACATTGGGTCTTTTCTTTTTCAATCCTTAACCTTAAAGATTATGAACTTTAGTCCTGCACTTAGAGCTCCATAGATTACTAAATTGAATCTCCAGAACAACCTCAGGAATAAATAATTGCTAAAGGGTAATACAACAATTTAAAAGCATTTTATTTGATGACTAAAAAATCCATTGTAAATCATTTATCAATTTGATAATTTTGATTGATTGAATATTTATCCCAAAAGAAGACATTAATTGTAAATGCTAGATAAAATAGGACTGCACTGGACAAATATAAACTAAATACAATGCAGTAGTTAATATAAATAACATATTAAATTGTCTACCTCTCTGTGATAGAAAAGCAGGAGTCATTACTTAATTTGATTATCATTAGAAAAACTTTTAACAATTAGATAATTTCATAGAATAGTATAAAATTAAAGATTAAATCTATTCAATTTTATAATCTTGTTAATAATATTAGATAATTTACAATAATTATTTGCATATTAATATACTATGGAAGACTAGCTTTGATATTTGAATATAAATAGATGTGCTTGTGATGGATTAGAAATATTAAATTATTTGGAAATTTTGACTATAATTAAATTTTATATTTATTAATATAGATGCAATAACAAATACCTCCTTCATTTTTTGTTAGCAATTTGAGTTGTATGTCTTCCAAATTCAGTCCATTTGATATTGACAAGATTGCGATCACCTGTGCTGATAATTTTGGTATTTAAGGTAAAGGACGTATTATAATTGGATAAATCCAACCAAATTAGCCAATTAAGATATTGTTTTAAGTAGAAGAAAGTGATGCAGTTTTTGATTGTAGTTGGAGTGAGGCTGATCCAAATGTAATAGCCATAGGATGCGGAAATGGCCTTGTAAAAGTCTTGAATGTAGGAACATAATAAATTCTCACTTAATATCTAGAATCAAAGGAAGAAATCTAAAGTGTTGAATTCGGACACAAAAATCCAAATTGGTTATTAGCATCTAATTTGATTGGAATAACAAGATTATTTGATATTACAGCTTAGAAACCTGTAGCATATTTCTAAACTCACAAAGGTTGTGCCTATACATGCACTTGGCATCCAATTTAATAAAACATGTTTGCTACAACAGGAAACGATGGTGCAATGAGACTTTGGGATTTGAACAGTCCTTCAAATAAGAACATAGCATCCATCAAGGCTCATATGTCAGATACTTTGAGTTGTGACTTCAACAAGTACGAAGAGCTAATTGCTACTTCCTCAGCTGATAAAACAATCAAGTTATGGGATCTCAGAAATCTGAAGTACAATCATCATAGATTATCAATAGAGCCCCTATTTAAACATTATTAGGACATAGACACCCTGTAAGAAAGGTTAAATTTTCTCCTCATGAAGCAATTATTTTGGGGTCTGCTTCATATGACATGAGTGTTATGATTTGGAACATTCAAGAACCATCAAATCCTTTGATGTAATATCTAATGTTTATAGTGATAGCAAAAATCATCCAAAACATACAGAGTTTGTAGTGGGACTTGATTTTTCAATTCATACAGAGAAACAGATCTGCTCAGCAAGTTGGGATGGAAAGGCAATGATTTGGTAATGGGATCAGGAATAGCCAACAGTGTGAGTTTAGTGGTGAAGAGAATGATCTTTAATTTTTATAAAACATATGTGGTGTATATTTACATATACTACTCAATTCCTTTGATCTGTTGTTAAGAACTTAGCATATAATAATGTATCCTTTTAAATATCCATGGTGACCATAGCATAAATAATACCAATCAACACAATTACAAAGAAAACTCCAAACCACACATAAATCTAATAAGTCGTTGCATCCATTACGTAGCTTGAAGAATTAGTTTGCTAGATAACATAATACATTTAAAATACAGTGACTTAATTAAGCATTCTGGTTCTTGTTTCCATCAATATTCTCTATACTTTGGCAGATTCTTTGGTTGTGGTTAATTAAGGATTCTTCTCTTCTTCAATTAATATCAAACCGAATAAATCTTCACTTTCAAAAGTGTTTCTGAAGTTTTTTGAGAGCTAGAAGATGATAATACTTATTGATTACTTTTTTATGGGCAATCCTCATCATATCATAGACCAAATCAATTTCTTATTCATTTAGAGTCTTCTCTAATTTGGAAATAGATTTATTGATGATTGATAACATATTTGGAGAATTGTCTAAAATTTCATTAGAAATGGTTTATACTCTTCTTGAAGATTGTTGAAAGCTTGTTCATGGCACAGATGTCCTTCAAAAATCCCAGAATTTGATCTTCGTTTTCCTTTCTGATCTCCAACATCTCATTTGTATTGTATTTATAGATTTTATTGTCTTGTGGAGCATAATCAAAAGTTGTTCCGAAGAAGTTATCAACGCACTTTTCCAATGAGGAATCAATCTTGTACGACTTGTCTTTATTTGGTTCATAGAAATAAACTTCGTTCTATAATTTTACTATCATTTACATTTTTGCCTAGATAAAGTGTTACTGTCCATTTCAAATAATTGATATCCAAATCATCCTCGTTTTGATATATTTTGAAACCTAAATTGTTGTTATTAAATAAAGCATTAGCTTTTTAAATGAGCGAGTCAGCTATTGAATTTACATAATACAGAATACCTTATGGTCCAAACAATGTTTCCATCATAGATCTTTATTCTCTCTCCAACACCTTGAAACTTTAAGCGTATCCTTCAGTAACTCTCTATTACTTCACATCTTGTCCCTAGTACAATTTGTCACTCTCTATAAGAATCAAATAATTCATTTCTGTAGGTGTCAACACATTGCCCTTACCAAAGGATCTATGATATGAATCTCATAGTTTACATTATCAATTGCTCAAATGCCTTTTACTAATCTTATTGGACATGTTCAACCATACCAATATTGTATTTGATCAATTGCGCAATTTACTTCTAATTAAGCCCTTCCAAATCCTTTACGCTATTTTCATTGAAGGGATATATGTATGCATGAGAGGCAAGTGTACACACAACTAAACCAAATTAATTAAAAATCAAAGTACCACAAATGATGAACACCAAAGTTTTCATATTATTATTTAATAAAATTTATGAATGATTGCTTTTAATATAACATATGAGTGTGAAAATTTTTATTCTTATTTCTAATTCATATAAATAATAAATATTTATTTTCTATCCCTTATGAATTATGATCTATCCTCCTCCTTTATGGAATTTAGAAGGTAGATTTCTTCTAAAATTAAGAATTCCCCTCTTAAAAACAAGGATAGAATTATGACACCTTTATAAAAATCCCCTAATCCAGTTGGTCTCCTCAAACAATCTGTCACTAATAATCTGACACGCTTAAAACTTAAATCGACTATTTGCAGTAAAACATACAATAATCAATAGATATAGGATTAACACCTAAGAGGAATTCGGATATACAGTAATTACAAAATAATTTTATTAAGGGATAAGGTTAAACTGTTAAAATTCCTTAACCCTCTTTATATCAGAGCGCTTCTAATTGCTAATAATCACAACTTTATTAATTATAAGAACTCAGTACTTTTGGGAAGAAGGACTATTTTGAGTAATAAAACGAAATTAAATAATACTCTTCAAAGTACTCAAAAATAATGAATGAGGAATAAGGTCTTTATTACGGTAAATTATAAGCTAAACTGGACTAGTTATCAAATGCTATAGGTGATAAGATAGATAGATAATCAAATTTAGGATAAATAGACAATCTTATTAATTTTTCACAAAAAATTAAAGAACAATCAAAAATAGATAAGTATATAGATATTCTGCAATTTGAAAGTAAAGTTTTGCAAAATGATATACTTAGTATTAGATCGAAGCAATCAAGATTTTCACATTCAAATGAAAATTGAAATTATTCTATATTTATATTAAGTTATATAGAAAAATCATTAAATTTGTGATAAACACCATTGCAATAGTTACATAGTTTCTGACCATCTATCTTCTTAGTTTCTGCATCCCAAAATTACAATTGTAAAAGATCTGTTAGCAGTTTAATAGTAACTAGCTAAACAAGGGCCAGCAACAGAAGTATTCCCAGTTTTGATTCCTTTGAAGCCTTAATACAACAATTTATTTGTGTTTTCCCATATAACATCTCTAGTAAATCCTTATTATAAATCTATTTAGTGTTATACCTTCTTCATCTTAAATTGTAGAAAAATGAACTTTAGTATTTACTACTTTACGAAAGAATTCATCCTTTAATAATTAATTACACAGCTTAGCTACATCATAAGCTGATGAAACATTATTTTTATTATTTAAACCATGAGGATTAGCATAAGTGGTTTGACTCATTCGCAACTCTCTAGCCTTGTTATTCATTTCTTGAATAAAATAAATTAAAGGATTCTTTCCTTTAATTTTATTTTAATACATAGCATATATGCCAAAATTTTCAGCTAATGCCATTGCAGCGTCATTTCCTGATGGTAACATCAAACCATAAAATAAATCTTCGATAGAAACAACATCTCCTTTGAGTAGATCTGCAGTAGTGCCACCCACTGAACTGGCTTAAAAACTGACTTCAGCATATGTATTATTAGTTTGCACATTCATAGTGCGACACATGTTAAGTACAACATAAAATGTCATGATTTTAGTGATTGAGGCTATTTCCCTCTTTTGATTCTCATTGAAGGAATACAAAACATCGCCAGATTATGAATCTACAATAATCCATGATTTTGCTGTTATTCGAGGTGCCAAGTTTTTTTCATCTGCTCCAATTAAATATGTATTTTTCACTTGTTATATTCTTTATGCAAAACGCTCCTCTTCCGATTTAGGTTTTTATCTAAGATGATGAGATCTCATTTAAATATAATAATATTTAATTTATGATAACAAAAATCATTAACAAGTTTGTTAAGTTTTAAGCATACCAAAAATGGCAAATAAACCCTGGATAAAACTTAAGAAATTGATCAAAATTGCATATGGTTGTTTTAGTTCTCTTCTTCATAAAGAGAAACATTAAATTTTGTCAATTAAATTAAATTCTACAGGAATATAGAACCTCATTCTTTCTAATTTTGGTAAATTGCAAAGCAGAAACACAGTTATTTGTTGTAATAATAATATATGATTCATATGAGCAATAAAGGAAATTTAAGAATTAAGGTTCAAAAATATAAGACATCATTGTCATATTCTTAAAAAAGTCGAAATATTTAAGAATCAGAAATTGGATTATAATTAATAGATTTACGCATTGATATATATACATGCTAATAAAATTTTGAATGCTTTGGTTACAAAGGTATATATTTTCAGAAATAATCAAAATTTAATGGATGTTTTATTAAATATCGGGAGTCAGGAATCATCTATATTTATATAGAGAGGTTAATTGGGCATGGTTCTAATGCTATTAATGTTAAGGAATAATTTATTTAATTTTTATAAATTTGGCCAATTGCTTAGAATTATGTGATTTTGATTAAAAAAACAGGATAATTAAATCTCAATTTAGGCAATTGATTAATTGCTTAAAAAATTTGAATTCTTGAAAGTATTAAAGGATTTCTGAAATGTTTTCAAGTTTACTGGAAATTATTCAAAAAGAATGGTTATTGACAATTTAAAAGAACTTAAATAATTAATATGGGGATTAGAATGTAGAGGTTTTATGATTTCATCTAATGAATTTGATGGATATAATAAAATTGGAATTAAAAATTATTTATTATCACATATTTTATTATATTTTTTTTGAATATTCTAATCTTGATGGGATCACAATGTACTAATTGCAGATGCGTCAATACTAAAAATGAGGTACTTAAAACTGTAAGCAATATCAATTTATTTTGATAGTAGGATAATGTGACTTTAGCAACTTCTGATTCTTCCTCTGTACATCAAAAAAAAATAAAAAAAGCTATCGTTATTTAATCGTATTGGAGAGGATATATAATTCGTAAAAAGTTGAAATAAATGAGACTCAAGAAACGCGAAACTTTGAATAGTTACAATTCTAGAGTGGATGCTAACGAGTTTTTCTTTTCGTCTGGTGTTACTTTGAATCAGGATGAATTTCCATAGGAAGATAGAGGACCTCATAAGTATAAAGATGTCTTATAAGATTTAAAGGAGGAGCTATATATACGGGACAATGGAAGGGTAAGGCAAGAGATGGTTATGGAATATAAATTTGGCCTGATGGAGCAAAGTATGAGGGCATGTGGAAATACAATAAGGCTCATGGAAAAGGCAAATTTCAGCATGCAAATGGTGATGTTTTTGATGGAGAATGGGAAAATGATACAGCTAATGGTTATGGAATTTATCAGCATTTTAATGGTCCAAAGTATGAAGGATAATGGTTTTGTGATTAGCAACATGGTTATGGTGTAGAAACTTGGTCTGATGGATCATAGTTTTAAGGGTTTTTTTAAAAAGGATTGAAGCATGGAAAAGGGAGGTATAAGTGGGCAGATGGATAAGTTTACGACGGAGATTGGTATAAAAATAAAATACATGGTAGAGGAATTCTTTAATGGCCAGATGGTAGAAGATATGAAGGTGAATTTTAAAATAATAATATGCATGGAAGAGGTATTTATTTATGGCCAGATGGAAGAAAATATGAGGGCCATTATTTTAACGATCAAAAACATGGTTATGGAATATATTAATGGAGTGATGGTAGAAAGTATGAAGGGGAATGGGAAAATGGAAAGTAGCATGGCAAAGGTGTATATATAAATGGAGAAATTGAAAAGGCTGGCGAATGGTATTAGGGTAAAAGAATTAAATGGGATTCAGATAGTAATGCATGAAAAATATATTTATCTTGTGAACTATAATTAATTTAAATATTCAAACAAATAAATATTTATTTCGAAACTTATTTACATGCAATCAGTAAATAATAACCAATTATAATCATAAAACCAATGATGAATCAAATAGAGAATCAAATTAAATAGAAAACAAAGTTCAATAAATAATTAAATAGTTATAATCAGTTATTAAGATAAAATATAGGAACCACTCTTTATATAGCTTGTTTGTTGTTATTTTTAATTTTTAGACTCAAGATACATTAGTAATTATGATTACTATATTGGATAATAATATATACAAACTGTTCAATCTAGAAATATTTCTGTGTAGATCTGAATAGATATCTCACTGTTATTCTCTTTGATTTAACATAAGCTGGTTTCCTAGCTTATTGTTATATGTTTGATATTTAGAGGAAGCCTAAATTGAGTTTGAGTTTTGATTCAAATTTTAGCTTTTTAGTTTTTAATATAATTTTTCTATTGAAATGCCTTTGAGTTTTTGTTTTGTTGTTTTAAAATTACAGTAAAATTTATTCATTTCCTTGTTTTGCTATCCCATCCCGATTTTCTTTTTGTCTCATATCGATTCGACCTATGCTTTCTTTCATAATATTTTCTGTTATATAATTAATTATATATTTTAACTTAGAACTTTCACTTGAACTGTGTCTTCTCCTCCTTGATTGTGATCTAGACCTTCTAATGTTGTTTCTACTCTCATCTACAAGATTAAAAGCAAACTTATTACATTTATTATTGTAATAATGATGGCTATGATTTGTTTTTTCATTTTATTTTTCTGATCGTTCAAACTATTTACTACTATTAAGTTCTACAGTGCTAATTATAATATCTTAATTGTATTTTTCTTTCGTTATTATTAAAGATACTTTTTTCACTATGTTATTTTTCCTTCTCTTTTTCTTTCTCCTTCTCCTTCTCCTTTTCTTATTTTTCTTTTTCATATTTTTCCTGCTTTTCCAATTTTTCTAATTTTTCCTATTTTTCTATTCTCTCTTATTTCTCTTAGATCTCCTTATCAATTTCTTATTGCAATATTTATCTCATCACTTTTTACGTATCGTAACTCATTTAAAAGAAATTTTAATATTCTTATCGATTAGATACTGAAGATATGCTTTTTCCCTCTTCATTGATTGCAATTATTTCTGGCTAAGAGATTTTCCTCTCAAAGAAATACCTATTTATCTATAATGTGTTAATGTTACTTATTCAGCAGATCAACAATTTATTATGAAGATTTTAAATCATCACAGTAAATAATTCCATATTTGCATCCTTCAACTAAAAATAGAGTTTAGTTATTACATTCAAATAACTCTTCTACTCTCAGTTATCTAAAATCAATCTAATATTTTTCATATCTTCTTTCGTAGATAATGCTCTCTACTTTCTCTTTGACGAAATAAATCGGTAAGAATCTCATTATCACTCTGTATGAAACTTATATGTCTCTGATCTTTCTTAATATCCCCACCTTAATGATAAAATCCTACTGCATACTTAAAAATTCTCCCCTATGTATTTCTTGTGTTTTGGTTGATTCTTACTCATATTGTAATAAAAGAATTGAGCGGATTTATCTTCATTTATTTTTATAATGTATGCTTATTCTCCCGCCAAATAAATCTTTTGAACTTCTTCAATTGTGATAAATAGGTACTCTTTGAATCTATTTAATAATAATATTTAATTATATAAACTTACTTTTCTTTTAAATACTTCTTTATGGAATGTTTATCTTAACAAACTTCAAGGGTTGGATCATAATTAAAAAGTATGATATCTCTTTGATTTTACCATTCCTGTGGGATTCTAAGTAGATATAAAAAAGATAAACTTTTCATATTTTCCTGTTTTTGTAGGTTCAAAAATCCGAATTTCATAGCAATTAGAATTGAGAACAGAATTGCATATTTCACGAATCGATAATTTTGTACCTATGAATTCTATTTTAGCTTAATATTGATCATCATCGCAAGGACTAGAATCACCAGAGGAAAATTCACACATCGCTTTCGATGGTGATGGTGGTTGACTCGGAGACCAAACTACGCGCAGCTCTTTCTCATGAGTATTCAGATGTTTCCAATCGTAAGTTGAGAGTTTTTACCTATTATAAACAATCGCCTGACATGTTATAGTATAAAGTATATAATCAATATTTTTCAATATATCCGAATAATTCAAACCTGCTTATAGTTTTCCAATCATGAAAATTTAAACGCTTTATCAAACACTTGCTTAATTCCAAACTTGTTACTCCCTTTTCTTTAATCTCAATCATTTTAATTATATTTAAATATTTATATATATACAATTAGGATATTAAAATTCTTACTAATATTTCCTTCATAAAATTATTTGTATGAAATCATTTTATTTAATATACTGTTCGTCTATCTCCCTACACTAACATTAATTAAGTCTTTAGAGATTCAATTTCAGATGTGTATTAATTTAATTTCTCCTTAAAGGCTTACTGCAAACCTTTCAAATGAGATATCTCCTCATCTCTCATCTGGCAAACAGATTTCCATTTGTCAATCTAAAGGATATAGTCTTAAATGTTTGATTCAAAGTTGTAATCATTTTCTATCTAGTATCTTATCTCTTATTCAATTGATATCCTCAACTCCTTTTCTAATCTCATTCTAATCTCCTATTCAAATTATAACTTCTATTCATTAAATCTTTACTCCAATTACACTCTCATCTGATATTGCTCTTTTCTCAACAATTCAATTTGTTAATCTTTTGTGACAACTTATTCGTACCTACTTTTCATTTCAGATTCTATTTTTAGTTTATCTTATCTTTCAATTTAAATCTATCTTCTTAATTCATTTAATTCACTGTTAAATTTCTCATTTAAAACTCTAATTTCTTGTTCAACCCTTATCTTCACGTTCTTCTCCAATTAATACTTTTATTCATTAATTTCTTATCTCTCATATTCATACTGTTTGTCTTTTGAAGCTAATTGCTTCTTCAATTCATATATTTCATACATCAAAGCATCCACATCTATGCTTTTTTGTTTGTTCAACAAATTTTCATACTCTCTCATGATTTCAGAATATTTGAATTAACTTTCCTAAATTTATTACTACAAGTTGAATTGATCCTTCTTAAAAACATCAATTTACTTAATCAGCATCTCAATTTCTCTTTTCATTACTAGCTCTTATGATTAATATTGACTAATTTGAGAATTCAATTGATCCATTTACATTTTATAACCACTAAAATTACTTTGACTACTCTAATACTACATTCTTAATTAGTTTTTTTCCTTTTCACTTTCTTCAATTTTATATAATAGTTAAGATTTCTCCTGTTCAATAAATATTATTTATTATTTTAGTTACTAAAATGAAATCAATTATTGTCTTAAACCTTCAATTTCGTTGCGCAATTGCAGATTTTCCTTTTCTAATTCTTATAATTTGAACCCTAGAGAATCATACTCCTTCCTGATCTAATCATACTAAACTCTTTATTATTAGAAAACTATTAATTGTTATCTTAGATTGTCTCTTTCCTTTTCAGCATTTTCAATTTTTAGTCTTGAATTTGATATCTCTCTTTCAAGTTCTGTAATTCTGAATCTGAATTTCTCATACTCTTAAATATTTTATCTTAATTAAATTCTTTCTCTATCTGCATCAGCGAACTTAATTTACCATGTTTCTAAATCCTACTTTAACATATCTGATTCCTACTCTATGTCCTTATAATCAGTGATAGTAGATCTTAAAAAAGTGATCTCACTTTCATAAGTTTTACATTTAATAATCCATGTTTGCATCTCTGATTTCAATGCTTCCAATTCACTATTCGTTTAGATATTAATCTACTTTTTAGATTATATAAATTATGTGTTAATTTCATCATATTTATATCTTAATATTTCATAATCCTTTCTTAAACTTTCATATTCTTAACCAAAATTGTTATATTTACTTTATAGATCCAAAAATTGTGTTTTATACATAGTTAATTCCGCTAATTATTTTTCTAATTGAATGATGCGATATTCAAAATCCTTCTTCTCCTTTTCTATCAAGATATATGAATCTCTTTATTTCCCAAATTAATCCAAATTTATTTGTAATTCTTAAATTATCTAATCCCTTTTATTTAATTCCATTTCTAAATATTGAATTTAATCCAATAGTTCTTTTATCTTAACTCTTAACTAGTTACTCTCATTCAAAGCATATTATTATTTTTCAGTCAATGCTTAATGTGCTTATAAATCATTTTAAGCTTAGCTTAAAATAACAATTTATGATTGAAGTTTTCCTTCTAATTACTTATTTCTATTCTTTAGTTCGTTCAATTCATCAATCAATTATTGATTTTGTTGTCTTAATTTTTCAACTTCATAATTAGCCTATTAACTTTGTTTGTTTTCAATGATTATCAATTATTATTTATATTTATCTAAGTCTTGCTTATTCTTCATATCTAATTGTTTATAATATTCCAAATCTTATAGTAATGCCTCTAATTCCTGTCTTAACTCATCTGCTTCTGATAATTACTTTTAGGAATTCCTAAAAGTAATTTACAGGGCTGCGTAATTTTCATTCATTTACTGCAGTTATGATCTTAATCTTTACATATCAGCCAATTGATCTTATAATTCTCTAATTTATCTTTCCATGTTCATGATCTTTTAATTCTCATTATCCTAATTGGAATTCAATTACCCATTCAATTAATCAACCTAATACTTCTTCTATTCATATTGACCCAATAAGTTATTGTATTTATTAGTTAAATCATATAATTGTCTTTGTAATTAATCAACTTACAATTGTAATTCATCGATTTTTCTCACATATTAATCAGTTCTCATTTTGTCTTTCTCAGATTATTGCAATTGCATCTACAGATCTCTCAATTTATTCTAAAGTTAATTGTTTGCCTATTCCAATTCAACAACAAACTGCTAATTCTTATTTGCTTCATCTTCCAACAGCTACCTTTTCCTAGTAACTTGCAATTCATTCTATGCCAACTGTTACTTCAATAACTAAATTTCATGAAGCAAGGCCTCTCTTTCATCCATCCACTTTTATTAGTCTCTTAACAATTAATCCTTTATTTAGACATTTATTGTGTTTTTTTATTCGGAAATCAATCTATCATGATCAAATCTTGCTTCGTCCAATTGCTTTTAATATTGTTTTTGCATCAATAGCAATTATTAATTCAATTGAGCTATCTGATCCTTCAGTAGTTAATTTTCTGAATTTGTTCCTTGAGTTGCTCTTGTGATTTGGAGTTGATAGTTATCTTCCTTAGACATCAAGTCTCTTATCTACAACTCTAATTATCGTATTCTTGCTAAATTGGCTTAATTCTCTTATTAATAACGGTTTGATTCATCTTAGATATATCTGGATTTATCGTTAATTGATTTTAATCTATAAATTTCTTATTACAAACTTCTTAGATCATTATTCAGCGAATCAATTGTAGATTTCATTCTCTGATTGTCTTACAAAAGAGATTGTTCCTATGACAATCCTCTTTGTTTGATATCATTCAAAGCTTAAAGTAACTATTCATTATCTCTCTTTGATTTGTCTAAATCAAAATTTAATCTGTCTATAACCTACTTTTATCTCTAAATTTCTTCCTCTTCTTCTTTTATTTATTAATTCATTTGATCTAAAGTTTTCTTCATCTACTAATTGTCTCTGAGCAATTGCTGGAATTCAGGAACTATAGTTATATATTAACCTGTGTGTTACCTTTAGAGTTAGCAAAAGATTGCAACTTGGCAATTTCAGCTTTCAACATTTCGTTTTCTCTTTCAATCTAATTACAATCATGGATAGAAGGTTATTGTTACTCTTTCTTGTTCTTACAATATGAGCATGGACACGCAAATTAACTTAAGAAAATTAAGATTATGTTTACTGCTACTACATCTAAGTTGTTATGATTATTCGTAAATAAATTATATTTATTAAGAATCGAATTAAAAACTAAGTTAAAGGATATTCAACTCAATGATGATTAATAAGATATCCAATTTTAGACCTTACAAATTAATACAAGACGAACCTTCGATCAATAAGAAAATTAAGATTGAAGACTAATCCATCACGTTGCCATTGAACATTTTCTAATAATTGGTCGAGAAGGCAAAAGAGGAAAATTAAAAAAAGGAGGACACAAAGAATCTCCTTAGAAACTTTGGTAATGCTCTAAATAGATTTATTTTGAATAATGAACAAGCCTGTAAAATAATAAAACAATACATTCCAGAAAGTAGCGTCCCTCATTTCAAGAAGTGGGTTACAAATTAAAAATTAGAAAACTTTGAGCAATTTAAACGGATTTGGACTGTTGATGACGATATCTACAAAAAAATATTCTCAGAATTATCATTTGAGTTCTATTCCAAATATGCTTATTCCTATGTAATGCATTCATAGATGAGATCAGAATCCACAAAATTAACTCATTTAAAGTACATTACTAGATTCTTGGAAGGAATTGTCTCTCCAGACACCTTTTATTATTTTAAAAAGTGAACATTATTATGCTAAAATCATTTTATATTATTTTTATCAAATGTTAAACAACGACTACTAAAGCAAAATATTCTTAAAACCGAAACCAAATGAATTTAGCATTTTTGATGATTTTGTATAAAAAGCGAGAAAGATTTGTCGAACTTCATAAAAATCTGTTTCCAAGTATAAGGATAGCTCACTCAGTATCTCAAAATAACACAAAACTGAAATAAATTATAATACTATTGAGGCAATAAGAAAATCTATTTAAAATCCAAAAGCTCATATGGATAATTATTTGGATTAATAAATCCATATATCTCCTTTTCGATTTTAATTACCCGTACGATTAGAAAAATCATAGCATTTTCTGATAGAGAAAAAAAGAATTCCAACTTACCTAACTTCAAGAAAATTAAAATCTAATTTGGATGGATAAATCAATAAGTCTCTATAACTATCCCATTTTAGAATTATTTAATAATAAAAACCAGAAACTCCAAATCCTAATTAATAACAAGAGACTAAAGTTCTCATAACAAAATACTTTTTATAGAAACCTTTAGTATGTGTTAAGTCTAATAAAAAGAACATCTAAAAACCCATTTAAATAGAATTATCGTGAAATTTATTTATATATTGAAAATATAACTAATATGCAATCCTCTGTATATTTTAATAACAATCATTGAATTACATATGTATTAAAATTTAAACATAGCTATAGTCACGAATAATTCATATGATTTTGAACTGTTTCCAAGTTTATTTAAAAATAAAATATTTTATGTAATTTTAGTATAAATTAATAATATTCAATTTAATAAATATTTATTTAATATATTGATACATTCAATCAAATTTAATATTATGTGTAAAATACTCTAATATTTCTTTCAAAATTGTCATCTAATAGGACTGTTGAGGAGGGTAATAATAGCATAAATCTTCTCACTAATTAGTATTCATGTGTGTAATATCTATGCAAGATAAAAAATTGAAGAAGGAATATTAAAATTTAAAATACTAAAAGAAATACACTTAACCCTATAATTTAATCCATGTGCGAACTTGTGGCTTGAAGTAAAGCCTCCTTTAATAAGCTTACTAGTTCAATCAATCCCTTAACAATTATATACATTCCCTCTGCTTCATACTTATAGTATTTGACTATGGAAGTAAAATTGTTTAATTCATACAATGTTGTAAATGAATTTGCTATATAAATAAGAGCTTATGTAATTCCCATTGTCAAAGCTCCTTCATATGATCGATTGCAGTAAAAAGAGTAATCCTCTTATATTGTTTGGTTAAAGAAGTTGCAAACCGGTTTCTAAGTTAAATTGTTTAAAGAATCAACAAAAGTTTCAGTGGTTAAGTAGGTTTCTTAATTAAAATATTGCATCGTAGTATCAAATTTCCTACAACTTTCGATTCCATCAAAGAGTCGAGTCGTCATTCTAGGTTTATCATTATCATTTGGGTAATATAAAAACCACCAATATAAGAATTACCTCTAAGAAAACAATCCTGGTATTTGAAAACATAGATCTCCAATATATTTATAGATGTCTGCTGTATTAGTATATCTATCAAGATAATCATTAGTCTACATTTGAATTATTAAAGATGAAACAAAAAATACTGAGAATAAAGCAGAGAGACAAATCAATCCAATCAATGTAGGTATTTAATGATAATCTTTATAGCTTTTCTTCTTCTTACTTTCATGAAGTCCTTGATTTTCCAATTTATATCTCTCTGCCATCATATATTTTTCTTTTTGCTCTAAATCAAATTGATATTTGAACATCACATCAGAATTCTTATTTAAAATGTTAATTAAAATTTTATACCTCTCCATATCTCTATTGATCCAAATAGTTTCAGCATATTTAAATAGATTCAAAAAGTTTTCATATATTTGCATATAGCTTTTATAAAATTGATAGCAACCGAAAATTAACAGAAAATCAATAATAAGAAAAGGTATCCAAATCCAAGTCCAATTCTGCTAAACTGCTTCTGTCCTATTTTTCGTATATTCAAGGATATTCGTTGTCAAAAAATCAAACTTATCGTGCAGATTTAAATAGTTTGCATAAGGATATGCTGAAAACGCTTAAGAAACCAAAGAAGTTTTCTGTTCATATGCAATCTTAAATTAATATTGATATTGTAATAAAACATTTAAGGATTCTCTAAAGGAAATTGTTTTCTATTCCATGTCTGAAGAGTTCTTTTTCATAAAGAGCACATCAAAATTTTCATCTGTAAAAAACTCTAAAATATATGGATTAGAAAATTGTTCTAAGAAATTTCCCTTCATCACGTCGTAACCTTCGCCTAAATGGCTGGCTAACCAATTCCCAAATTAGATATTTTCAGAAGGTTTAATTTCACCTACAAACGTCCCAAAAGAGTAATAAACAGTTGCAAACCTCAGAGACAAGAATATATCAAAAGGAGTCATAAAGCTATAGCTAAATAGGAGCATATCTACTTCTTAAATAAATCTATTAAAATCATCGTTAAGATTCGTTAATATGATGAGGCAGAAGATAATAACTATTATTTAAGATAGAAATAGCAGTAAATTGCAGTATCTATAGGAACTCGGTCTTAAATTACTTTCCATTAATCTATTTATAAGTTCATACTTTTTATAAAATAGAGATTTTTTCAATCCTATTAGAGATGAAACTTGAGAAGCAGCATCATCCATTTGTTAATTGGCTTAATTTTTTTAATCAAGTTCAAGCTATAATTAAAGTCTGATGTTTTCTCTCATTTCTTTATCAATTTTATTAAGATCCACATCATACATTTGGTTGACATCTTTCATTTAGTTTTAGATAGCATCACTTATTTTACTATTTGATTAATCCAAATCTTAGATTTCTAAATTAAAAAACCTTTATTAAGCAAAAGATTTGCTTGTGTCCATTAATTTTCGAATACTTTGATTAGGATTTACATCACCTAAATTCTGTTTTTCATTATTTTTAGCATCCTCTAAATTATATTCTTAATATTAATAATTTGGATTCTATTAAATTAACTTCGATGCAGTCGTCCCTCTATCTTATTAGATTTCCTATCCATGAAGAATAGCCTATAATTATTGATGGGAAAATGCATTTTCTTAATCTTGCTCTGATACAGATGATGATAATGCAAAAATATTTAATGATTGAGGTTTATTTATCCCTGCCTCAGAACCAGAAACAACCAAATCACTAACTTCAATGTCGTTATTTGTATTTTCAACCTCATTCAATTAAATAGTAAAAGCCTTGCCTTAAGTGCCCATTTGAGATAAAGTTTAAGATAATCTAATGTCCTCTATTTCTATGATATAATAGTAATAACCGCACAACTCCCTTGGTTATAGTATAATAGTTCCACTTAAACTAATTAAATTTCCCATATTCTTCCAAGAATCGTGAGCGAAAACGAGAGATTTCTATTGAAAAGTAGTGATGGATTTCTTTGTTAATAGATTTATTGGAGTGTTGTAAAACTTTTATTCCTTTTGGGAAAGCTTTAATTCGTTGAAGTTAGGAATTATTTAATTTATGTTAACTTAAAAAGCATGATTGATTTATTCAGAATACTGTTTAATTTCGTTTTGTTTCCATCCTAATTTCTCTAATAAATTTTAGGTGATACCTCCACATTAGTCATTTACATCAACTAATATATAACAATTAGTTATGGAAACCTCTTCAAAAAATGCCACAAAAGATAAATTGTTAGTCTAATTCATAATTATGTCTACAATCAAATTAAATGGTTTAACAAGTCCATTCAATTATTAGATAAAGCTCAAGCTAATATTTCTGAAATACTTACTCGTTCCTTGTATTATAAACCTTTAAACTAACAAATGATGCTCATTTAGCATTGCTTGAGGTAATAAATTATCAATTGTCTTATACACTTTCATACATTCCTCATAGCTGATTTACAAAAAATCATAGGCATTATTGCTAAATTGATAAATGTTCATTGTCTACATGCCTTCATTTAAATTCATCAACATGTATACAACATTCTTTCCGAATAAATTGATTTTAATGTTTTTTCTCATATTTAATAACTTTTCATCTGCTATTGTGCTGAAATTGGCCAGCTTATATGCGGTCAAATAATTATTTAGTAATTCTGATTGGAAAAAACAATTTATCGATTATATTTTCTAGCTTGGAAATTGTGAATATTATTATAGTAGCTTTTTTTCTAATTTAAGAAATGAATTTGATAAGATTTTTGCATTGCGAAAGAGTTCATGAGATCTTTAGCTTTTGTTGTTTATTATAAAATTATAAAACTATAATTTTTATTACAAACATCTTAATACTTAATGTTTAACAGCTTAATTTTGTTGCTCACTAAATAAATATAACTATATTGCTTCAGCTGTTTCTTCCTATTATTTACTCTATATTTTTAAGAAATTGTTTTATAACTCTAATCTTATATCTTTACTAATTAATTCTAATTTCATCTATGATAACAAAGTGAGTGTTTAGTTTCTAATGCTTAACTTTAGATTTGACTTCAATTCAAGTGAATTCATTGATAATTTTGCCTATGTTTTTCGAGGTAACTAGGATCCACTTTATTGAGAAGGTAGACTTTACTACTGGTGATTTTATGATGAAGAATTTATTTCATTCTGATATGTAAAACCACGATTCATAGAATTTTGTAATGATAATAATCTATTACATTCTTGAAATGCAAGAGACGTGAGGCCATAATGATTTAAAGTACTAATGTAATAAATCCAATGTTAATCTGAGTGATCTGATCTTTTCTTTTTCAACTCTTTATTCCATTGTTTTATTTTGCTAATTACAAATTTCTTCTGGATAAGGTCTGAAACATAAAGGACTTTTAATGGTTCATCTGTTTTGTCAGAAATTAAATTACAGTAGCATCCAGCATCATTGCATTTCCTTCTGTGAAAATTTAATAGTATGGAGTGTGAGATCTAGTCTATTGTTGAATTGTGATTGGAATGATTATTAATTTGATATGAAATGTATTAAATGATTTTGGAGATGCACTTAATTTCAGAGATACTTGTAGTTAATCTAAAAATATCTTGGTTTCTATAGCTAAATCCAACAAAAATTAGAATGGGAATCAATAGTAATCCTAATTGCCAAAAATCCAAGAGGGAAGTTGAGATCAAGGATAACAAACAAATTTGAGTTACTAAGGTTAATTTTATGTAGCTTTCAACAACGATTGTTTTATCGGCAAAAATATTGATTATATATGAGAGACTTACTAAAATTGATAATAGGCCTTATGCTATTTAAGCCCTTCCAACATCTTCAATGATACCATATAATATGACTTATATTAAGATAACTATTTCTCTGAGAAAATCTATTTTTGTAAAATGCAATCTTTCGTAGCCTGTAATGCATAGGTCCATTGTGGTGTTGCTAACATTCAATTTCAACAACTAGAAAAAAATGTTAGATATCACTGTAATTATACTTAAGATAAGAATTTCAAAATCTTCCATGGCGTCAGAATAGGCAAAAGATGTAAATGGTAATACTTGAGCAGGTATGTACAAATAAACAATAAACAGTTGTGAGTATAATGATTTCAAATTGATGATCAATTTTTATATGGAACTTTTAATGATTATTTGTTAATGCTGATTTTGAGAAAGCTTTTTATTCTGATATTCAATAAGCACTTGCCCTTGTAAAATTAATACATCAAAAACGATTATGCTTAAAAGTGGGATTATAAAGAGGTATTTGTTTTCAATATCAATCATAACATTATCAATTAAAAGCAAATCAGGTCTTATGAGATATATCAGTATGAACTTGTTAAACATTTTAAGAGAAGAGAGGTAGCATGGAAATAGATAGAAAAAAGAGCTTTGCAATTATCCTAAAAAGAGGAAAATATATTTCAGCATAGAGTATATTCTTAAACTTTTTTAATGAACGACTAAGAGAATTCTCAAATTCGTTAGGATGTATTTTCTTAATAAGTTTTGATTTGTTTAATCTTTCATTCTCAATTAATAGCTATATAATTTTGAAATTGAATTATTTAAAACAAAATAAAGGATCAATAATAAATACACTAAAGTTTGTGTGCGATTAAACAATTATAAAATATTGGGATGACAATTTAATCATAAAAAATACTTAATAAAATAGTTGTAAAATATTTTCAGTTATTAATTTGAAATCAATGTATTCGAAATAAAAGAATCAAAAGGGAAAGCCTGAGTGGGTCTCATCATTTGCAGATTAGGACCGTTACAAGCTATCCTAGGCTGAATTGATGTAAAAGAAAATTAGTTTAATGTCGAAACATCGTATGGAAGCCAAAGATTAGTGGTAATAAGTATAGGAAAAGTTGAAAAATAATGTTATGGATGATGATACCTAAAAAGTTTTGATTTATCTCTACAATAGATCTATCTTACAGCTTTGCATTCTAAGGGTTTAAATAACTCAACTTCAAAAAGAAGGAATTTAACATAAATGATTGAATGGGAAAAATCAGAGAGAGCCCATTCTTAAAGTTAATTCAAACCAGATATTCTTGAATAAGCTAAGATGTTACTATTAGAAAGTGAAAGAGGACAGCAAAACTAAGATCCAAACTTTCTTAGTAAAATCAAACAAGACCTAGAAGAGACAAAATCATTTGTTGCAAAAGTATAGTGTATAAATATTTAAACTAGGCTTAAAGACTGAAGAAACCAGAAAAAATATTAAAAGCAGAATAGGAAAAATCGATTGATAAGGGCAAATAAGAAACAAAAAAATCAATTACCAAATAAAATTAGGTTGCCGAAGGAAAATGCTAGACCTAAGAGAATTATGGGTTTAATGGCATGAAAAACTTGGATAATGTTATTTCATTTTTAGAAAATACTTTGCATTCATAGGAAGTTTAGATTTCATCATTGAAAGAAGAGAACCCTTTTCGTAATGCAGCTTTGACTGATACAAAGACAGTTTACTCTGAGATTCCTAATTTTTCTGTTAATAATACCTAAAACAAATTTTATTAAAAAGAGGAGAATTGCTTTGCTTAATAAAATATTGAAAATATGAATTAAGAAGTGAAAGAATAAAATGTGTAATATTAAAATAAAGAGAATGATTTTACGAATTCTAGGATTCAAAAGGATGATTTTAGCAATTTAAATCAATCCGAGATTCCTAAAAATGACATACCTAAATATGAGTAATTCAAAAAAGACATAATGAAAATAGAAGAATAGCAACCTACTCATTTTGTGTAGCAACGTTTGAATTTTGATAAGGTGTGCTTTACTACAAAAAATGAATTATCTTTTGATGATAATATTGATTAATTAAGATAATTGCTTGAATAAACAAGGCAAGAATTAAATTAGATGAACTTGTAAGACTCTACTATTATGGAATATAATAATAGTCAAAGAGAGATCAATGTTTAATTAAATTAAACTGAACCCTTGCAGCAAAAGCATATCAATTATTAAAAGATCCATAGAAAGTACAAGAATTGTGATACTTTTGACATTAATGACCATTTAATGTGATTAATTAATAAATAATTTATGATTGTTTATTTAATAAACAAAAATTTATTAAACAGAAATAAAAATTTATTATTAATTTAATGTCAGAGAATATCTAAAATAGAGTGTCCTCAATCTTTGAAAAGCTAAACAACATCTCTACTAGTGTTTAGGATGAGTAAGATATAAATAATACAAAATAGGAAAAACAATCGTTTTCATGCTATAAGTTAATTGATTATGGCCTTTGAAGCGTAACTGTAACATTAATCTGACTTAAAGGAAGAAAAATTTGCTTATATTGCATAAAAAGTTAGACAAATAACAGAATTTTTAGAATAGGAATAAGAGGAGTATAAGTTTAATTGATAATTGGTAGTCGTGAAAGGCAAGAGAGTGAGACTTTTAAATTGATAACTGATTTGGAAAGACATGCAAGAAGATTGATTGAGCAAAATTCTAAGGATAGAGTAGAATAAGAGAAAAAAATAGTATATTCAATAGGACATTAAATTGAGAGTTTACAATAGGAAGTTGTAAAAGAAGGACTTGTAATAATTGAGTTTTATAAGTAGGCCCAATCTACATCTCATGAATATATTGATTCTTATTTGAATGAAGATTTGCCTAAAATTGCTGATGAACTGTAAAATGAAATCACAGAAAGAAAGGATGTTGAGGAGAAGATATATCATTAGTTTGTAGAACAATTAAATGATCTAAGGGAATTATTTGAAAGGTTTATATGGATTTAATAATTTAGAGAAAAGAAGGAAAGAGAAGCAAAGGAAGAAGAAATCGTTGAAAGTTTGAGAGAGATTTCAGGAAGAATATAGGAATAATTAAGAAAAACTAGAGGAGAAAGAGAGAAAACTGAAGAAACATTGGTGCAGTTGGTTGAGAAGGTCATTGAAAAATTGAAGAGAGAAATGCTGGAAATGAATTTATGATATTCATTGATATAAATAATTATAATTAATTTCAAGATCCTTTAATGAATTAAGCATAAGTAGCTTTTGAAAAAAAAGACGTTGATTTATCTAAGAAAGCACATACAAATGAAGAATAATAATAATTAAAGGAGGATCATGAAGAAAAACATTAGAGTGGAGGAGAACATATTAAAAGTGCGGTTTATGGAGGTTTAGATGGGATGGTCACAACATTTTCAGTTGTTGCTGGAGTGGCAGGAGTATTTATTGTAATAAATTATAGGCTGGATTATCTACAGGGGTAGTACTAGGAATGGGAATTGCTAATTTGATTGGTGACGGAATATCAATGGCCTTGGGAGATTACATATCTACAAGGAGTGAAGCTGAGTTCACAATAAATGAAAGAAATAGAGAATAATGGGAAGTTGAAACCAATCCTGAAGGCGAGAAAAAAGAAATGGTTGAAATCTACAAAGTAAATTTTTAGAAATATTCTTAAGTCCAAAGGTATAGATCATGACGAAGCTGTAATTATTGCAGAAACTTTAGCAAAAAATAAAAAAGTTTGGGTTGACGTCATGATGGTTGAAGAACTTGGATTAATGAGTATAGACGAGCATCCTATTAAAGATGCCATAGTCACATTCTTTTCGTTTGGATTATTCGGATTGATGCCATGTAATTACTGTTATATATATAATAATAGTATTACCATTTATTGTTGGAAGTATTGCTGGATTGTCAGATAATTTATTTGAAACATCAATTGCATTAACAGGTTTCTTCTTATTTATACTTGGTGTTTCTAAATCATTTTTTTCCTATCAAAAATGGTATTGGGCTGGATTAGAAACTTTAATCATCGGAAGTGCAGCAGCTAGTGCAAGTTATATAATTGGTTTAGCATTTGAAGGGGTTGATGTTTGACATTAATAATTTTATATTTCGATATATTGATTAATTATTAACTAGATTGGCAATTATTGTATATTTAAAATAATCTATTTATTTAATTAAGCAATAACATTAAAATATAAAATCAACGTTGATATTATCAAATTCGATATCATTTTGGCTTAAGAATCATAATAATTATAGCTTATAACTAATAGATTTTAAGCGTAGTTCTAAGCTTTCACTTGAGAATAAGGAATCAAATGGGATCAAATAAACTGATCTTTTAAGTACTTTAAAAAGCTTTTATAAATAAGGACGATATATTAGTTGCATCATAAGTAAGACTATTATGATATAAACTATAAAACCTAAGGATAAAATCTAATATGATATGAATAATTTATAATACCTTAATTAGCTAGATAGAAAAGTCAGCCTATGAAGCAGCACTTTTGCTAAATTGATTGGAAAGTGAGAAAAAGACTCTGGTCACTATTTGTGATCCTTCCTATTCATATAAGCTAACTTCTACTCTTTTCGTAAAATTGTTAACAGCCTTTTGAGTTTAGATGGAATGTAATAAGTGATTTAATGTAGATATCATTCCAGACTTTAAGGATCCATCAAAGGATAAATTGCAATATTTTGAAGTTAGATTTTAAAATTTCTACTTTTTAATTATTAAATTACTTTATCAATGAATTAACACAGATTATCTTGACTAACTAAACTATATAATTAATCAAATTCATCATCAATAATCTAAGAATTTACATAAAAGGCGTTAGTATTTTCTAAATAACTATTGATAGATTATTCTGCTTTATCAACCAGAGAATATAACTCTTGTTAATTTTCCTCAGTTAAAAATGTAAAATTTGACCACCTAAAAAAGATTTCTCTATATAAAAATAGGCTACCTGGTCGTAATTTTAGATCTTGCAAAATTTTATAGAATTGTAAGTTGCCTTCATATTTTTATAAATAAGTATTTGTATTACTAAAAATGAGAATAAAATAAATAGATAGTAATGCACATAATGAAAAGAGCATAGAATAATTTATCAATTTTGGTTAATTTTTTGTCTTAATTTTTACTTTTATATATTACTACCCTAAATTTCTTTGATAATTTTCAATCTAATTACAATATCTATCGATTGGATCATAATCAAGTAAAATATATCGATCTAATTTGTAGTTATTGATGTATTCGTGAAATTTATCAATCTCCTTTTAAACAATATCAAATGTTAATGTATTTATTAATTCGTACATTTAGTCCAGTTAGACAAAAAAATATATTTAATAACTTTAAATTATTAGGTAAAATAGAATTAAGGAAGAAAAGCCTACAAAAGTAATAATCGACCATTTTCTATGAATATAGTTTTTATTTTCTATAGAGTAGATTGTGATTTCATTAGATAACTACTCACATTTAGAATGAAGCATGAAATAATTGGCAAACAATGAAATCTAAAATGGTTTACCTGATGTGCTTTGCCGATAGTAAAAAGTCATCATTTAAGAATATTGATATTAGAGTATGACTAATAAAGCATCTCTGAAGGTAAGGTTCAGTGGGTATATTGACTTTTCATCATCCTTCATGAAATACATTGTCACATTGATATCATTCAAGAATTCCTATAGATATTTATTATTAAGTTATTCATAAAAACTATCCCTTAATTCAGTAAATCCTAATTCAATATGATCGTAATAGGGATTAGTTAATTCTGTCACTTATTTCTGAGTAAGGAATCCTTCTCTTTGCATTTATTGATAAGCAGTTATAGTAACTCTCATAGAAAAGAAAAGATCATGAGGTGCCATGATTGCTGCATAAAAAGTTACCATTTCAAGATGCGACTTCACTTATTGAATGTCTTCTTACAAAGAGACAAAGAAGATGGTGACAAAAATAATAAAGATGGAATGCCAAATTAACATAAGAACTACAAATTTCTAAAGATATTTTGGTGTTTTCACTGACAAAATAGACTCAATTAAAGAATACATTTTATCAATTTAAACGTTGTCAATATTTGATTCTTTATGAATTTTCTAGATAAAAGTTTTCTTATGGATATCAATGTGTTCTTCTTTTACAGTTGAAAACAAGGCCTCCATCTTTTCTCCACTAGTCTAGTTGTCATGAAAATTCTCTTCATTATTCTATCCATTTTCTACATTTATAGACTATTATTAAAAGATTTTTTTATTCAGAACTGAGGTGGTTTAAGTTTCAACTATCTTAATAACATTTATTAGATAATACTCATAGTTATCGATAGTTTGTTTGATTATTATTAGATCGCACTAGGTTTTTACATAATTTAAGAATAATTGTGAGTTTTCGGAAAATAAGGATCTCTAAGTTTAAAGATTGTCTTAGATTTTAGGCAAAATTAAAGTACAATAGTTAACTTTGAATAGTTTCTCTTAATTTGATTTAATCATTCTAACAAAGCTGGGGAATATTTTATTAATATCAAATTCATTTAAGTTTTCTTATTTGCTTAAACATTGGATTTCTATTTCAGTCCATCCAATCAAAATCAATAGATTCTCTGTAAATGTACATTTCAAACTTGCACTATCTATAAGAATATATGCTTAATCATAAGAGGTATCTTAAAAGAATGCAGCAAAAGTAACATTTTAATTAAGGAATTTATTTGTAATTGAAAGACACATATTAATTGGTGTTAAGAGCATATTTGAATTTCTAATAAAACTAAGATCAAACTATTAGTAATATTTGGCCACTCCTGTCTCAAAAAATCTTTTAACATAAGTGCAATGATGCTTAACCAAATATTTTGGTAGCAAATCATTAAATTAATGGGTTTAATTAGCACTTTTAGTGGTCCCAAAATTTTTATAAAATTTATTGGAATATGATTATATTGTAAAAGATTCCATGTCATCTTTTGCTTCTAGGATTAAATAGTAAACGTGTTTCGAATTAATATTAAAATTCTTAATTTATTTAAATTATAGTATTGGAGCCTCAAAGAATTCTGAATTTTTATAAAAGTTTATTGATCTTCTATATTCACCCAAAACTTCTCCTAAGAAAAAACTAATTACTCTGTGCAAATGGAAACAAGGGCTTTACAAATAGGCCTTTTTTAATTATTTATCTAAAGCATAAAAATAATGGCATAATCTATGCACTTAATTGTGAAAATGAAGTATACTTTATTTGATTGAGGATGTTTAAACTAATTATTAGTAAAGATCAACCTTTGCTTAAATTACCTTTAATACACTTTATTCTTAAATATTGACTTAAAGATCTTTCTCGATAACCTGTTCTGTGTAATTAGTAATGTAATTTTGTTATGTTGCCTCACTTGAAGTTCCTAAAGATTTATTTATATTGGCTTTGGCATTATTAAATACAAATTTCAATTTTATCTAATCTATCATTGAGTATTTCTTAGATTACTGATGTTAAAGAATTTAAATAAGTTTAGAATCTTATGAGGTTTTTGTTAAATTACACAACAAATCGTAATTTTCTTAAGAAGTTTTTGGCTTTAAGGTAATCAACTCAAAATGACTTAATTAATGATTATCATCTTGATACTGGGAAAAAGATTAAAGTTTAGAGATATCTTAATTTTAATGATATTCTTGTAAAAAACAAAGAATTTTTATGGATTTCATAATCATCCCACAATCATATAAAGCAAATGCGTACTATAAAAGCCCATTATTATCTGATGACTATTAAAAAAAAGTGTTTGATGTCAGAAATTATTGCAATTTCTCCATTAAAAAATCATTATAGATATGTTTTGTGATACCACTTGTATAAGTTGGATTGATTATTTTTGAATGAGAACAAAATACACAGCTTAAATCCATGCAGACTTACCTATGTTAAGAAGCAATCAAAGACTTAAAAATGACTTCTTAACTAATGTTTGGGATATCATTATTTAATAATTTGATTAACCAATACTTTAATTACCAATAAACCTATACTTTTGAATCAAATAGTATTTTTAGAGTAGTTTAATCAAAATGTCTCGAGTAGTTTCGAATTATTTAATAGATCAACATTTAGTTTACAAACAAAGGTAAAAGATATGATTATAAGGAAATGTTGATATGAATTAATGCAATTATATGAAATGAAATATTAAATGATACGCCTAAGGCAATAGATTATCGTTGATAATCCAAAGAGTAGACTACACTATGGTATTGATCAATTAACAAAGTTATTTGAGAAAAAATGGCTAAAAATGATTAAATTTAAATATAGTATTTCATGTTCCCTAAAAGAATCATGGAAACTTAAATTATTATTAGTATCTAATAGAGTGCTCTCAAATAAGTAAATCTGGTTCTTTCTATATCTCTTTATTGATGGGTTATAGACGATTCATAAAAATATAAAATGAATGTTGATTCTATGAGCAACAAAAGAATTGTGATGATATTGGTAATTAGATGAAGTTAGAACAAATTATCTTGATTTTACTATATAAATTATATCTTAAAGCTAGCCATGCAAAGCAAACCAAAAATTATTAGTAAAATTGTACTAATTAATTTTATGTATATTGTAAAAAATATTCCCAAGACTTTCAAAAATATTTTTTTAGAAATTAATCTAACAAATCTATCCTAAGTTTTTGATAATAAATAATAATATAGTAAAATGATGGCACTTAATTTATGAAGTACGAACAATATCAAAGGTATAAGGTAAAGCAAGGAGCTAATGTTATTCATTTATTATTGTACCTTTAATATAGTAAATCAGGCCGAAAGCCAAAAAATAAAATTGAGTGCATCGAGTTTTACTTTAGAGAATCAAAGCTTGATTATTCCAAAGTAATAAATATGGGATATATTGTAGTAACAAATAATATAATAGACGAAATGTTCTTAGGAATTTAGAAGTCGAATTTTAACATGTATAAAAGTGTTAAATAACGCTGAAAGAGCTATATTATTTCTTTTCTATCTGCTGGTCTCTACAATTTTTGAAAATTAAAATCCATATTAATATAATTAATTATACAGCTGAAGATTAAACATTAGGCTTAATTAAAATGATAATTATTCAATAAATAAAAATAATTCTTAATTGTTCATAATATATTTTTATATTTTTCTTAAATTTATACTGAAAATAAATCTGTTCTAAATCTTAGATTTTATACATATTTGATTAATGCATTAAATTTGTACTACATTTTCACGCTTTGCTATTGTTTTTAGTTGAACCAAACTCTTTTTGGATACATTTTACTTAAAATCCTTTAGATTGATGAAACATAGGAGCATTATCATAGAAGATGTATTCTCTTAGAGTTTAGAAAATAATTATTAGATTTTTTTTTTTCTCTGTTTTAAGTCAATTATTTGTATTTAAAATTGCTCTATTATGTATGGCTAGTAAATATTTTATTGATGTTGATTTTGAAAACATCCTTTAATCTTGAAATACAATTTTTTTATATAATTTAATTTCAAAGAATTTAATAAGTAAAATAAATAAATCACTTATGTTTATAATTTTAATGATGTTTGCCAAAATTAGTTCTCAATAATACTATGATTTAAAGGACCTTAATTATTTGAACTTTCCTTAGATAAGTTTATAAAAAGAATAGGTTATTGGAAGTATTTCCAAATATTTGTTTTTGAGCAATATTTATAATTAAGAAAAATTTGAGGAAACAGATTATAATGCTTATTTAATATATATGGCAAAACAAGTAAAAACAAAAGAGCTACGATTTGTGTATTATGTCGAATTTCTAGTTATTCCTTAGAAAATTATTCATTATTTTATTGTTCAAGCTTGTTCAAATAATATAGAAGTCTAATTTGAAATGGACAACTTAAACTATGAAGGTTTATGGTGTTTTCACTATTTGTACTTCACTGATGAAACGGAATTAGTAGTAGGATTAGAATGTCCAAATTAGCTTTAGACTAAAATATTTTAAAGCGATCTTAATTGTTTTTAAGACTTGATACTAATTCATGGATAGAATACTTAAGTAATTTTTGTGATTTATATTAGATGTTGAAGGGTAGCACGAAAAAAAATTTAATGTTGAATACTTATCCTGGCAAGGTGAAATTATATTAAATAACTAATATATTGCTTTTAACAGAATACAAAGATGATTTTTTTTAAGGAATAAATGAAAAACTCAGTATCAACCCATTAATTTCATATCTAAAATACTCACCCTTTATCAAAAATAATATTATTAGTTAATTTTATTATAATAGAAGCTATGATATTAAGTTTTGGTCCAAAATAAACATTAAAGAGGTTAATCAATAATAAATAGGTATTCTAAAGATTAAACCTCATAATTTCTAATAGAATCTCAATATCTTTTTATTAAATTATATAAAGGATTAAGAATAATGGTCTTATTCAATTGAATACTACACTTATAATTACCCTTTTGTACGTAATGAAAATTTAATAAAAACATTTTTAAAAAGTTTCACTTAGAACATAGAAGTAGAACTTATTACATAATGGCATCTCATAGAAATAACTTATGTACTGAATATTTTAGTTTTTAAACTAACTAGTTTTATGACAAACCAAAAATACAATATCGAATTCAAAGAAATTTATTAATTTTCAGATATACTTTTAGAGTTTTAATTTGGAGCTAGTGATAGTTAAAAAGTAAGTTATGAAGGGGAAATAGCATAATTCAATTATTTCAATTATATAAGTCCTATCAATCAGATGAATGAATTAGGAAGACAATAAAATTGCCATTACTCATGTTAAAATTGTTGGGGTCCTTTTAATAATTAATGTTTATCTTGTCTAGATTCAGATAATCGGATTTACGATTAGAAAACAAATTCCTGTCAATGTAAATTATGGTATGTGGAAGATAATTAGTCGAAATGTTATGGATCTGCTGATATGAACCTTAAATAAACATTCAATTATTTACCTGATAACAATTAATATGAATCCGAAGATACAGAAATAATTTGTGCTTTTGGTTATTTTAAGTATAAAGAATCTTGTATATAATGGTATTAATTGTTAATGTAACTTAGTCCTTCGGCTTCGTAAAAGGGAATGTTAAATTGTTTAGAATGTATATAAAATCCTGATTTATGGGTATATAAAGGTAGTTGTTAAGAATAGTATCATCAATTTTAAGGTTCTTAGAATAACGTGTATTATAGCACTCTAAATGAAAAAGCATAGACAACTTAATTTTTTGTTGTCAACGAAGAAGTGGTTGGTTGTGATGGATGCGATCGTTGTACAGATCAAGATATTTAGGAAAGGTATATTGATTGCATCTTATATCCTGATAAACACTTGGATTAAGATGTATATATCACTTGCTATTTTGGTGTTTACTAGTAAGATGTAAAAAAATGTCTTGAGGTTTAATAAGAAAGTCACAATGGTAAGTCTTAATGCTCAAAAACGTGTGGATATTGCTTGTTTAAATAATGTTTGTATTGTAAAGATTCTTAACGATATTTCATGGATGTTTAAGGCATTTGTAGAACATGTGATCTTACAAACTGCAAATATTGCTTCTAATATAATATATTTGACAAAAACTAAGTTTCAATTCAATTAGAAGATATTTCATACAATCTAGAAGACTATGTTATTGCTTGTTCATTATGTTTTCCAGGCTATATATTTAATTTTTCAATCAATTAATGTGTTGAATATACTACAAGTAATTAATGCGTGAATGGTTTCATTTCAGAAGAAAACCAATTTGTTTGTACTTCTACTCTCTTGTCTAAAGATGAGATCTAAAGGAACATAGCTATACAGTTTATTAATTGTCAGCATTATTATTCAAATTGCTTAAAATGCCTTTAAGACTTTAATGGAAATATCCAATGTGTAGAATGTGTTTATGGATACTTCTTGAATTTTTTAAATGGGATCTGCTAATAATGTTCTGCTCAATTTGAACACTCAGAAGTGTGTGTTATGACGACTTCTTAATAAGATAATTGGAAATATCAAGTCTAAAGTTTTTATATAAATTTCAAACCTAATAAGATTCCTATTCTAATCTAAGGAATTTATTATATATAATGGTATGATATATTGAAATGCGCTGATGGATACATAAAATTTGGTATGACTTGTAATAAACTTATAAATTAAGATTGTCTTCAATATGATACACCCAGCTCAATTTGTATTACTTGTGAAAATAGTTCTGATGTTAATCCTATTTTATCCTACTTTGATAATTAATGTTAATAATGTCCATATCCATGTTAAATATGTTAACCAATCTCATTAGATCAAATATAAACTATTAACCCTTACTTTATAGTAAATGAACAATCTATAAAATAAACGTACTTTTGTGTATTCAATTACAAAGAGGATTTAACATACATTGAATCCCACACAGGATAAACTAAAGGAAAGGATTCATCTAAACGAAGATATAAACTTCAATTAGAACCTGAGACTTTTACAACTCTTCAAAATCCTATTAAATAAGTTGATGACCTAACAAATTATTTATAAAAAGTCAAACCTGACTTATATATTTATAAGTATAATAGTCAAAGTAATTCATCCCCTATTAATCATAGAGAACAAGTATTTTCTTTGAAAAATCAGACATTTCTTTACGATGGATATAATGATAGTTTACATCAAAAGTAATTCGAAATTGCCAATTAATCTACTGTTAATATATAGAATCTTAGAATTTTTTATTAATCTAATATTTTCTTTGTGCATTCCACATTTGGGGTTTCAATATTTTTTAGGAATATCTCTATTTCCAATTTGGAGTTAGAAAAAACAATTTTTTCAATTGAATAAGCAACTAATGTTTATATTAATACAATTTTGTTATCTAATGTAACTCTATTAAATTCACACTTATTTTCGTTTAAACATTATCAAAGATAATCAACCCAAAACATTTACATCCATATAGAAAATATTATATTGGTTGATAGTAATTTAACAAATTCATCAATCATATCCTTTTATACACTTACTGATTCAGAATTTGCATTCCTAAAATTAAATTAGATCACAGTTATCAACACTTACCTCTTAAATTCTTCAATTATAACAATCGATTCTATAACTTTTAATTCTTACTATTCAGCCGAAAGGATCATATTTAAAAATTCAACAATCTAAAAATGTATTCTATTTAGAATTCCAATTTCTAAAACAGTATTTATTAGCAAATTTGACATTATTGAATGTAAAATCTCTAATAGCATTTTCATAAAAATCGTTTCATCTTTTTCAATATAAAATATTATCATTGATAATAGTGCATTTGTAAAAAGTAATTTAATCATATACACCCAATAATTTGTAAAAAATGGATATAGTCATTCAATTTCTAATTTAACATTAAATGCCTTAGATTTTTGCGGAGGAGATTTCATTTCTATTAAGAATGATAAAGATCAAAAGGGATTTATAAAATTGTAAAATTTGGAGATAAAAAATATATCATCTTCTTGCTAAAACGCATGCAATACAAGTTAATGTTTATTTACATATAGCAGCCATACTATTGTAATTGAAAATGTACAAATTAAGAATATACATGCGTAATGGTATTTTTGCCTTTAAAAATTTACTCAAATAACAATTAATAATTTAATTATTTAAGGAAATAATTTGTTTACTTATTCCTTAATGTGGTCTTAGATTAAATAGCTCAAATCATCAATAAATACAAGGGTGCAAAGTTGCGGAGTATTCTATATTCAAGATTTTGTGAATATTAAAGTAAATAATGTATAAATCAAAAATCATTTTATTGTAAATTCAGCGCTAATTTTGTTGATTTCAAAAGGCCAAGCCCTAAACAATTAGAAAATAAATATAAACTCTTTGTAACTTCATAACAACTATTTGATTAAAACAGAAAGTACTTAGTTTGCCAGTCTTTTATATATATATTCAGAGTATTTTTGTGAGACAGTTATTAATGAATCTTCATTTAAAAATAACTTGATCATTCATTTTTTAGAAGATTATTCATTTATATCTCCTGGACTCATTTATATTTAAGTTTGTTAATAAAATATATATATGGATAACAACATCATTTACTAAAATACTATTTTAAACACAACTAATTCTCTTATTTATTTGAATTCCAATTAAGTGAAAATAAAGGAGATAAAAGTATAAAATATTAATTATGATCCAAATCAATTAAATTAAGATATTTATAGTAAATCGATTGGTGGGGTAATATATGCTAAAACAGAATTATTTGTAATTGATAATTCTGTTTTCTAAAACTTGTACGGTTATTAGGCATCTTGTTTGTTTTTGGAATTAATTCGATTAGGAAATGTAGATATGAATAATATTTATATTGAGAATGCAATAAGTTGGTCAAATGAATAGGATTATGCAGTTGGAGGTTGTTTGGGTGTTAATTCAATTAACTCAAAGTTAAATTTAAATTTAAATAGAATAAAAATATATAATTGTAAAAGCAAAAATTAAAATGGCTTTTTGTATTTGATCTCATCGACAATTAGTAATGATGTAGTGTTTGATAACATAATATTTACAAATGTGTTTTCTTAGAGTAAAGTCATGTTTGAGTTTGATTTTTCAGGTAATAATTAGCTCAATAACGTAAAATTATCAAATATCATTATTAACCTTGATGAAACTCTGCATTAATAGAGCTTTGGTAAAATTCTTGAATAGACTAACTAAACCAGAAATGGGATTATATCAATTTTTAATAGGTAATCCTTTATTCTTAATTAGTAATATATAAATTAAAAATCTATATTTTGAGGGGATTGCCACTCAAAAGATCTTGAATCTTCAATTTTCTAATTCAATTTTGTTAAGTAATCTGTACTTAAATTAAGTAAATGCCAAGAGTGATGAGCTTATTACAATATCAAATAGAGGACTCATCCTCTCTGAAAATTCTTTCTTGAAAGAGATATTAAAAATAGCTATAACAAATATAACTATTTATAGATCTTCTTTTTCAGGGAGGAGTATTGATAATTTTGTAAGTAATGCCTTTTTAAGCATAATTATCGCAAATATCTATTAAAATTAAAAAATAAAGTTATTTTTGACTAAAATATACTTAATTCAAAATTAATGCGAAACATGTTAATAGGGATTAATTTATATACAATTAGATTAAAATGTTGAAAAGTGTAAAATATCAGACTTTGTTCTATATGATAATAATTGTGGATAATCTAATTGTTTATTTGTAAATTAAAGTGTGAATCTTGAAATGAGAACTAGTATGTTAATTTAAAATATTGGTAAAAGCAATGGGACAATGAAATTAGATATCGATTCTTTTGCAGGTAAGAATCTATTGTATTTAAATAATATTGGTACTTTTGGAGGTGGACTTTATTATAAATCAACTAATGAGTTAACAAATCTTAAAAATATCTAATTCATAAATAATTCAGCTGAGTTGGGAGGAGCTGTTTACATTGAAAATACTAGAATATCTCCTGTTACTTTATCAAAGATATTTTTTATTGATAATATGGCAAGAAATCTAATCTCAAACGTAAGAGAATAACCTAGTCATTTATAATTATCGTTATTTGGATAGAAGATAATGACAATAAGGGATATAAATTCAGGATAACCAAATTTTACAAAATATGATATTGATAATTTTATATAAATTCCAAGTGGATAGAAGATTGGAAATTATGAATTATAGATTTCAAATGAGGTAACTTTGAATAAGTTTTATAATATATAACTCAAGATTTTGCCAATCAACACTTTAAACGAAGTTTAAATTGAAAATGAAAATGCTGTATGTATGCTTGACTTGTCAAATTAGATGAACAAAGACAATATAGTTATTTATAAGGATATTTAACAACAAGAATAAATAGCATACAATATCAGTAGTCAATCTTTTGATCTTTCAAATCATTCAATAGTATTGGATCCTTATTCAAAAGAAATAGAGTTTTAGAGATTTAAGGTCAAATGTGACTGTATAAGAAATATGAATTACACTTTTTAATTTAATGCAAAGAGTTTTACATGCAAGATGGGAGAATATTATTTTGAATCTTAATGTTTATTATGCGACTATAAGAAAGGATTTTATTCAGTAGAATTAAAAGCGTAGAATTGCTAGAAGGTGGATCCAAAGTTAATCAAATCCAATACGATAAATACTATTGAATTGTATCCTGGATATTGGAGACCAAATATTAGAAGCCATTATATTTCAAAATGTTAGAGCAAAATTAACAATTGTTTAGGTGGTTGGTAGACCGGAGATATTTCTTGTCAAGATGGATCTATTGGAGCTTTATGTGAAGAATGCGATATATATAATTTTAGAGGATTTGGATAATATTTTAAAAATAAGAATATTCAATGTGAAATTTGTAGTGAATAAGCATGGGAAATCTTGTTTTCACTCTTCATAAATTCTATGTAAATAATATGAATTAATTTTAGCGCTATTGTTTCAATATATTTGACTGTCATTAGTGTAAATAGTGTCTTTAAAAGTTTTAAATTACTGAAATAAACTACTAAATATTATAAGATAATCTTTTGCAGTAATTTAGGTAACAGTAATTCTGATTTATTAGATCAATCTGCGGCTCTTATTAAAATGATCGTAAACTATTGTTAAATACTGGTTAGTATTAAATCGTTTCAATCAGATTTGTATTTCAATATCATTGATATTTTAATGCCCATAAGCAATCCAATAGGAAGCTCCACTTTTTCTTTTTAATGCTACATTACTAGCTCTTCAAGTATACAAATAATCTATCTTACTTAAATCATGTATTTAATGTTGCCAGCAATCTATTATCTATTTTTTTTAACAAGTTATTTGATATTAGTGATTGGGCATAAGATGATTCTATCTTCAACCATTTACTTTACAGCTTTAATCTACTTGTTTTTTTATACTCAACCTAACATAATAAAGTAATTTGGAGGATTGATTGCATATAGAACAATATCGATGATCGATTACATCAATATAAACACCTCATATTTATATTATACTTAAGAGCATTAAAATTGGGTACGATTTTTTATTGGGCCAGTCTTAGTGATTTTCGGAGGAATAATACCTCTGGTTCTATTGGCAATACTCTACAGATTCAGAAAATATTTTCATTTTGAACGAACTCGGAAAATATGGGGATATTTATTTAATGATTACAAAGAAAATAGTTATTATTGGGAAATAATTAAGATATTTTAGCGAGAAGTAATAATGTTATCGTTAATAATCAATGAGGAGAGAGTAATCTTGAAGAGCGTCATAACGCTTCTGGTTTTGATCCTATATTTCTTTAGTTTCCTTTACTTCCAGCCTTACAATCTTTAAGCTTTAAATCGATTTGAATAAGAAAGTATTCTATTATGTGGAATCATCATTATTTTAAGTTCTCTTCATTATTAATCTACCCTTGCTGAATAGGGAAACCTTGATATACCCCTTCAGATCCTATAAATTATTTTTTCGTTGTACTTTATTTACACTATCATAAAAAAAGTAGTTCTTGTCTATTATACTAAATACGATGAAAGACTTGATTCAATAAGAAAGTAGATTTTATAGAAGTACCCACAAATAAAATACATGTGTCCAGGATTGAAAACTATTTTAGTTTTAAGGAGTGAAAGAAAGAAAATTGCACTTTCTCGATTTCAATTGATTAAAAAAGCGTTAATTTAGAAAAGAATAAACACAAAATCAAGAATGATCCATAGCACAAAGGTTTCTTAACCAAGTCCTTTATCAGTTGAAATTTGGTGAATGGTAGAAATTGATTGTGACACTGCCATCTATTTAATAAATACGTGTACTATTAAGGAAAATATAGAGAATTATATATATATAAATCATATCAAATATATATAATTCACAAATTAAATAATTTATTAGCATATACATTAAATAAGTTGTTAGTATATTACATTAAGCTAATAAGATATCAATTATTTAAAATGTCAAATATACTTAGTGAATATTGACAATGATAGTTTCATTGGGTATCTGTAATGGAGGATGAGGAGGAATATACAATTTATTTATAATTAATTAGGCTTAGAATTGTAGCAATATATTTAAACATATGGCATCAAAATCACGGATAGTCATTTTCATCATCTTATAAGTAATTAGTTTTTAATAGTTCTTTGAACTCTCCAAACTCTATTACTCCTGATCCATCGGTATCAACTTCTTTAATTAATCCTTCAATATCGATCGTTAATTCAAATTCATTCTTTATTATTCGAATCAACTTTTCTGCATCAACATTTCCTGATGTGTCCTCATTCCCTCCCATAGCTACAAATGCATCGATCATATCTTGATCATCATCTTGTAACCCAGCATATTTAAGTCTGGCATAGAGACCCAAAAACTCCTTAAATTTTATGCGTCCACGATTGCCATCATCAATCTCACTTATTAATTTGTGAACCTTATGAGGTTTCTACTTCAATCCCACCATCTCTAAGGCAATCTCCAAATCATCAGCCATGATCTCTCCCTCTCCTCTCTATCATAAACTATAAACACACAAAGTTACATCATCTAAATCATTAAACGCTCTCTAGCACTGCTCAATATCTTCTTCAGATAAATTCATTATATATTATTTATTATTTTTATATTTGGATTCAATTCAATTTATACATTAAAATGCAGTAAGAAACAACTTTCGCTTTAATTTTTTGCAAACTTATGAAATTATCATACTTTAATATGCTACCCTAAACTCTTATAAGTTTCTCCATCTAAAAGCATTAAAAAACTTTGCAAGATTTCTTTTGATTTAATAAAAATTCAGTATAAAATGGATATTAATTTCATTAAAACTTTTATCTGTGTTACGGAACATCGCTATCAGACAGATCTTAGTTTAGGTCTTTGAAGATATCTTTAGTAACTTAACCTCTCTACTACATATTCAATTACTGTATTACCTTATTGCCTTTGCCTTCATTTATAGATACTTATCCCTCACTCTTATGACCATATGAGTCATCTAGTCTAAATATACTTCCAGCATAGGATGTTCCACTTTTATTTTGAGACACTTGGGAGTTATCACTTAAAGCGAATTGATTCAAATAATTTTTCATATCATTCACACCTTTTTGTCCTCCTTCCTTTGGTTGCTGAAATTGCTATTGAGTTTATTGTTATTATTATTATTATTATTATTATTATGAGAAAGTCGATGCAAAAGTATACTATTGTAAGACTTAAGTATTTTAAAAGGGAGCTGGTCTGTTTGGTTTCTATTTGGATCCTGAGATTTGATTATCTAATAATTTCTCTTGTTTTTAATGGTATTCCTAATTTTATCTTGCTTCTTCTTCTTCAGTATCTGTGTATTCGCTTGATTCAAGTTGTTACTAGATCTTAATCAGTTACCTTGCTTATTAGGCAGCATTTCCTGAAATCCCATCATTAACTTAATTTAAGGTCTAGTTGAAAGCAGTCAAAAGACCTTAGAAAAATGCTTGTGCTCCCATAGCTATTTGATCTTACAAATTGGGTTAATCCGGCTAGATTTGAATAGATTGATTCTTTAAGATCTTATCCTTATTGATCATATCTTGTGCTTGGACATTTAGTTATTTTTGTTAAACTAATTTATCCTTAACAATGTCTCTAGATAAGAGCTCTATCAATTCAAATTCATTTTTTGGATTTTCTTATTTCATTCCTAGTCTTTCCAATAATGCTCCACTTTTTTATTCCTAAGAAGTAAAATTGTTTGTTTATTGAACTTCATAGATTAAATCGTCGTAATTAATAAATTTAGGATCATTTACTTGTTCTTAGTAATTGTATTTAACTTCTTGATAATTGTAAACATCCTTGTAGTCTTGAGGTTTATTTATATAAACATTATTTTCCTGAATCCTTTCTGCTTCTTCTACTTGTTATTTTAATGGAGATATTAATTATTAATTTTATTTTTGTCTCGTTTTATTATCATAGTTATTGTTAATCTCTTGATTGTCCTTCTTTTTGTAAGAAATCTAATATTTTGGTTCTTCAAAGGATTAGTCATTTTGCAAATACTCAATTACTCCATACTTCTTGGATTCATCCTCAACCTATTTAGGTTTTTATCTGAATTCTGCTTTCTCCATATTGAAAGGTTTTTATTTCTGACTTTTCTAACCAGATTGCTATTATTATTTTGGAGGTTCTTTGAATATAGGCTTGTAATCCTGAGGAGTTTGTTATTTTTCAAATTTTATATCTTTTGGAGGTTCAATTGGTTTGGTAGGTAGATTAACTAAATGATTAGGTTTGAGTGTCTTTTTTTACATTTCTCCTAAAGGTTGAATAGGTTAAACTACAGGGGCTTATTAAACTTATTTTGGTTTAGGTGGAGGTGGTTTATTAGTGATTCCTAAGGCTGCTTTCATTTCATCAAGAATAGAACTTGGTTTATTGTTGAGGGCCTCAATATCTGAAGAATCAAATTAATATTCTGGAATATACATTTCATAATCTAATCCCTTGTCAATGAATGAGGAGTACACAATAGATGCTTCAGCAGTTAAATCGGATATATCTTAAGAGAATTACTCATAATCAAAGAATCCTCCTAACTTTTGGTTGATGTATTGTTAAGATTTTTCATAATTGATAGAATTAATTTGTTTCTCCAATTATTGGATTGTTTCTTCTTCATATTAGGACACCTTTTAAATTTTCCTAACCATATGTGCATCATTTAATTATTTGTATTTTACATGTAATTCTTGTTCACTTGTTGCTGCTTCGTTTTACAAGGCATAAATTTAATTTTACAAATTATTAATTGTATCCTAATATAACTATAAATTAAAGTTAGTAAAGTTTTATAGTGTCTATAAGTTCTCTGGTCTCAAGAATTATAAATTGTGTTGAGTAGTATCTAAGAGTTATTTGAGTTGGTTATTTTGTGAATCATATTATTAAAAATTAATGTTGCTGTTTTACTATTGCAATTGTTATCTAATTTCTGTTTAAGATTGCTATGTCTGTTGATATAGTTGTTTGATCTCTTGTAATTATTGATTTATTGGTGTTAGGAGATTCATCATCATTTGTTACTCACCTTAATTGTTTGAATTCTGCTTGTTATTATTACTATTTGTATTATTTTACTACGTAAATTATTGCATTTGCTATTGATTACGCATTAGGATTTCCTATTATTATTTCATCAACTCTTGTTAACTGACCAGCATTCCCATAGTTACTTGCTCTATTCAAATAATGTTGTAATATTACTTTAAGCTACTTATTTAAAATCATTCTCCAAATTTTTATAGAATTAATCTATTTATTCATTAGATGGTGCATTGTAAGCAGTCTCGAATCCATCCTTTTATTATTACTATGGAATTTGTAACTATTATTAATTGGATTGAGATGGCCTCTTTTATTCCTTCTAAGGTTTGTCCTTTGTACTAAATTATGTCATAAACTTTACGGTGGAGATGATTATTATGGCGGTAATCCATAAAATCTGTTTTTTGCTTCTTATTCTTTTTAGGATAACGATGATCTTTTGAATGCTATTGCCATAATTGGTTGTTAATTAAAAAATTAATCAAATTTTATATTAAAAACTCATTTTAGACCTATAAAGTCTTTATAGTTTTCTAGTTTTTACACAAATTTTTGTTGTTGAATCGAAAAATGTCTTGCTTAAAGCGATAATTTAAGACTCCTCTATTTATCTTATTATAATTGCTATTTGAGATATAAAACAGGATTTCTATCGAAAAAGGTTTCTTCCTAGAGCTTGTACTTTTCGGCTTTCCGATTAGGCCTTTCCAAGTTATATTGAGTTGAGTCTATGATTTATTGACAAAGGTAATGGTGAAGTCTAATATTCATTCTGGAATATTTGGATAACTGTACTTTAATTGCTTTTCTTCCTTTTACTTCTTTGTCTCTTCCGATTAAGCTCGCTTAACAATATTGCTAAATCTCATGCGATATTTAGTAGTAAAGTTGGATATTTCTTAGTTGAAGCTGGCATTTGAATCCTTCAGTTATTCACATTCTGTAATTATATTGTAAAGTTTAGACTTAAATTTTTGTTACATAAAATAAGCAAATACTTAAATTAATAATGGACATCGACAGACACATTTCATAGCTGCTAAGAGGAGGATGTCTAACAGAAAGAGATCTCAAACTTGTTTGTGAACGAGCAAAAGAAATCTTCCTAGAAGAATCTAATGTGTAACCTGTCAGAGCACCAGTCAATGTTTGTGGTGATATTCATGGTAAAAACAAATAATTAATGAATTTAGGCCAATTTTACGATTTGTAGGCTTTGATGAAAGAAGGTGGAGACATTTCCGATCACAATTACATTTTTATAGGCGACTTTGTTGATAGAGGATACAATAGTGTTGAAACCATGGAGTATTTGTTGTGTCTGAAAGGTAAGAGCAGATTGAAATGATTAATAGTGAAATATCCAGGAAACATTGTGCTATTAAGAGGTAATCATGAATCGAGACAGTGCACTTAAGTTTATGGCTTTTATGAGGAGATTTTGAGAAAATATGGAAATAGCTGTCCATGGAGATTATTTATGGATGTTTTTGATTGTTTACCATTAGCTGCTTTAATAGAGGGTTAAATATTATGTGTTCATGGAGGATTGTCTCCAGATATGAGAACAGTTGATCAAATAAGAACAATAGACAGAAAAGTATCAAATCATTTGTATTAGAGGTTGAAATACCTCATGAGGGTCCATTTTGCGATTTGATGTGGTCGGATCCAGAAGAAGTTGACTATTGGGCACTTAATTCAAGAGGAGCTGGATACTTATTTGGTGCTAAAGTAACAAAAGAGTTCTGTAGATTGAATGATCTTAGTTTAATTTGCAGAGCTCATCAATTAGTAATGGAAGGATATAAATATTGGTTCCCTGTAACATTCATATAAATAATCTAGGATCAAAACTTGGTTACTGTGTGGTCAGCTCCAAACTATTGTTATAGGTGTGGAAATATCGCTTCCATTCTTAGTTTAGATAGTTCTTTGTAATCTAATTGGAAAACATTCAGAGAAGTTCCTGAAAGTAGTAAAAGCATTAATCCAAAGAATGTTCTTCCTTATTTCTTATGAAGTATTATTGTATTAATATAAATGTATAAATATTGTTGAGTTGATAATTATCCATTTTATGTTTTAGCTAAGTCGATATTGCTTGTTGTATTTCAGTCTGAATATAGATAAAAAGTTAATTAATTTTATATTTTATTTAATTTAATTCATCAATTAAGATGTGTAAACTCGGATGATATGTTTGAAAAAGAGCGTTATATAAAATTAATGATAAGATGCTAGAAATTGATAGAATATTAGTTCTAAATGTTCATAAGATGTTTTTAAGTAGCTATAATTAACTCACTGTAATCAACTGATTTAAGTAATCAACTTGATTATATTCTCTTTAGAGACAAGTGTAATAGATTTGAGATGGTTAAGTAGAAAATTATTTGGCTTTAGTATAAAAGTATTAAATATAAATAGTAAACATATAAATTACATTATTTTAATTTATTAATATTAAATGAATAAAGAGCAACCAGTTATAATTGATAATCGATATCTGCTTGCATCTGTCCATTACTAAGGTCGTCATTCCAATTTTTACAATGCTGTAGATATTTAATAGGAACAAAAATAAATCTTAATATAAATTGTATTATGATGAGTTTATCATTATTTAGATAACAGATTAACTATGTATCTGCAAACTATTTAAAAGATTAGAGCAATGTAAGATATATTTTGATATAGGGTAGTAATTGATGGCAGAGATAAATCTAATGATCGTCATAATCGAATGTCCAGATTCATACCAATACCAAGGATTTATAGAATGGGCACCTTAGTAGTCCAAGATATTACCCATCATTACATCGCATGGCAGAAGAGTGGACCATCTTTGAAATTGTGCTTTAAGTTGATGAAATAGAAATTTTCTCTTAAAACTATTTGTTTGGTGGGATTAAAAATGGTAATTATATAATAACAATAAGCACTCAAGATTACTAATTTATAGTAAATTCATAGTTTGAACATTTTACACAGGAGTCTAAAATTATCAAGTATCATGACCACTAACCATTCAAATTTACTTATAACCAACTTCGATTACTACGTAGAATTCCTTAACAAAGATGGCAAAATATCAAGCAAAGCCAAATAATTTCCCATAAAAACCAATAAGTTCAGTAGTATTGGATAACATCTACAACAACGTAAATTCTACTTTCAATTTAGAACCCTGCCCCAGAGATGATCTAGAATCACTTGGCTATCTCCTGTTGTATCTGCTATCACAAGGGAAACTACCTCATAAATGCTAATCCTAGGATTAAAACATCAGAGACAAATATTATATGGAATTCAAAAGACAATTCTTACCAGAAAAGGAATTGAAACAATACCCAGAGGTATTCTTACAATACTTTCAAAATGTGTTTAAATTGGGGATCAAAGAAATTCCTAATTATGAAATACTTAAATAGCCCCTTATTCAATATCTAGGAAGATAAGAATAAGACTATAATTTTGATTGGTCTGAGGTGTTCAAGCCTCTTGTCGAATAAACGGCAACATCAGAAGTATCTGTTAGAGACAAAGCATGTTCTTTTGAAACTATAGCTATCAATAATTTTAAGAAGGAGCTTCAAAAAGACAATTAATCTGCTCCAACAAGTCCAACTAGTCAATAAAATTAGAATAGGGCCTTAAAATCATAAAGATTCACTCTGGCACCTATTTTGGAGAAAAATGAATCGCTATTGACAACCTTCAACAATTGTGATTCAAATGCGGTATCTCCGAGATTCCATCATCAAATTGCAAATCTAAAATTCGATTATTGTCAATATGATTCTTCTTCGGGGGAGATTAGTCCAAGCGATGAACCAACTGTGGATTAGCTTCCTACTTTTGAACAGCATCAACATGATATTATGTGATATTGTGTGAATATTGTTTTATTAATTTTATAATTAAATTTATAACATTTAATTTTTATTTTGTTTCAAATACTTTAACAGCTCATAATGGACACTACTAAAAAGGTTTCTTTTAATACTACAATGTTAACGTAATCGTTATATACTACCACTAATTTAATGCAGGATGATAACAAATTAGTAAAAGATATTTAAAATAAAATTCATTAAATTTTAAAAGGAGGAAATGCAGATAATGAATATTCACATCGATTAAAGTGCAAGGTTCCTCTCTTATAAACAGTTGATTGTTAAAAGTTATGCAATAAATTAGTCAAATTTAATGAGCACTACAAAATCGATGAAAATGACCAGAATTCAATCACCATCAATAACAAAGTTCTGAAGTCATATAAATTTAATTCTGTTATATCCAAAAGAAGATTAACAAAAAGTCAATAATAAAGGAACAATTCTCAAATTAACAACTCTGGACACTAAAGAGGGGACAAATACAATAAAATATTCAATACAGAATGGTCAGAATATCAGAATATATATGATTTGCACAATCTCCTATCTCCTAATTCTTTAGACATGAGTCCTGCATATGCCGAAGTTGAGTTTATTAAATCCAAAATTAAGAAACATCATCGTGATGACATCATCATTTCTAAAAGTAGATGGATCAAAAATAATGAAACCAAAAACTATATTGATCCTGACTAAGTTTATTGTGTTCAACCTAATAGGATATCGACCAGCAGAGTAATCTTGAAATCTAATCACAACAAGGAATCAATAACTTATAGAAAACATCAATCCTTTAAAAATTGAAATCAACTTAGCATTGTGAATAGAATTAATATAATTTATGAATAAAAATATCATGCCGCTTTAAATTAATCTAATTCAAAGTAATCTATCCTACTTCCATCCTTATTTACAGCATAAACATATTGCTACCCATTATCATAGTTATACACCCAAAAATGAGCCTGTCTACTCGATTTCTCTACTATTTAATGCTCAACCTTATTGGCAGACTAAATTCCCATCGCCCCATTTCCAACGTAATAAGTATTCCCTGGAAAAACTTTAATCTTATTATCAGATTTAAGAACTTAAATTTTCTTAGTTCTTTTAAAGTTATGTTTATGATGCTCAAAAACCAAAGCAGCTCTATTTAAATCCTCCCCCAAATTCCATAAAAAGTTTTCATCCTCTACCTACAGAGGAACAACTGGTACATGATAACTAACTAAATTAACTTTATTTTTCTCGATTGAATTTTTTAAGAACTCTTTTTGGCTCTCAGAACTAAATTTATATTTGAATATACTTTGTCATGTACCCGCTATCAATTGTTATAAAATTAATATGCCCTATTCTATGAACAAAATACGAAGTTCTATCACTAATCTAAGGGATTTGTTTACTGATCAATTATTATGGAAACATTTGTATTATATTGGGTACATTTGAGTTTATTTAATTATCGTATAACAATGAAGGATTAGTGACTCTTCCAACGTCGTGGTTGCCGATTGAAAGTATTAAGGGTATCAGTTTCCCTTTGGATTTACATACACTCTCATATAATGACAAGAATCTATCCCAACAGGTTGTGCATTGGACAAATCCATTATCATATGCCACATCTCCTCCTATATTGATTACATCGATTTTTGGTTCAGCCTAGATATGTTTCCAAATTTGAATGGATGTTTCTGTGTAACCTGAATCACCCCCATCTATTATTGTTATATTAGTCGAATTGAAATCAAAGTAATAATATTCGCCTATCATTTTTTAACCATCATAAATCTGTATTTGATTTGACTTCTTATCTATCTGAATGACGCTGTGATAAACATATCGATCATATAGTTTTGAATGTGTAATGCGCTATTAAACTGAGTTGCAATAGACTGCATAATTAGATTAATCTTAAATTTAGAAGTTGAAAATGATTGCATTATGATATTGCGTCAAAGTTACATACGGATGAAATTTCCTATTCTCTTAAAACAGCCTAGTGAATTAAGTACTGAAAGCAGCACCATCGACACTAAAGATGAACCCTTGATTAATGTTATGCATTGCAAAACAAACATCGTATGTGAGCAAATACAATATTACAACTATTGTGATCCTTGAGAGTGACCTTCTATTGTAAACAATTAGAACAACCAATGACAGGTACTTAAAATCTCCAAACCAAGAGAAAGACAAAATAGCTAAATTAATAGTAATGGGTTGGAGGCTCTTGAATTTTTACTTATAGAAAATCAATCCAAAAATTAACAAATTGACTAATACTATTATTTGTAAATATTATTCAGCTGTGAAATACTTTCCTTTTAAAATAGGCATCCATTCAAACATTTGTTAAGTATATATAATAATATATATATTAAATTTTGTACATATTGAAATCATCTTTTAAACTATTTTGTGGATGGTGGAAAAATTGCAATTTAAATCATTTCTCAAGAATTTGTAGTCAGAAGAATAAACAAAAATTAATATCTCAAATTCGCATAAGATTACTAAATGCTTAGACTTTTGCTCTAACTCTAAATCGAGCATATCTTATAAGAATTTATTTTTGGTAGATTCTTGTACTTGAGTAGCATTGTTTGTGAGAGAGTCAAGATGAATATTATGTGATATATTATATTTAATATTACTTTAACTTTTACACTATCAAATAATTGCAGATATATTCACTTTCTTTTTAAAATTATTAATCATATCCTTAGCTATTCGGACTCTCTTTTTGAAAACTATTCTAAATTAATTACATTGAAAATTAACTAAATTATTTTTATATCTCAAAAGTATAATGATTATTGTATTTTGTAAGTACTTGTATTTATTTTTAAAAGACTCTAATGAAAGTAGAATGATAGGAACAAAATATAATATTATTCATAGTTTTGGGGATTTTTTCGGCATGAAAAAATAATAGTCTTTTAGTTGCCCATCTATTTCTAACCGTTAGGGATCTAAACTAAAAAATTAGAGGTCGAATTTATCAGATTTATTAAATTGAATTAAGGATTCCATCAACCTGCTTTAAACCATTCCAAATTTATTATTTTAATAAAACTAAATTATTTAGTTGAAAGTTATACTTCTTGCAAATGATTCAAATCAACCCACTTGAAATTCTTAATCTCTTATTCTTGTATTTTAATAGCTTAATTATTATTTAGTAATCTCATTAAAATTACAAAATATATGTCTCCTTAATATTGATTACAAATAGGTAAATCCCTAATTAAGAAGCAATCATAAGGTTCAACATCTAAGCCTGCTTCTTCTTTAACTTCTCTCGTGGCTGCTTCAACGATTAATTCTTCATCATTCACTAAACCCCCAGGTATTGTCCATTCATCTTTATATTAACCATTTTTCTCTTGAATTAATAAAATTTAATTATTATGAAGGATTAAACCACCAGCACCAATTGAATGAGTAGTATAATTTGGTAACTGGCTTTTCACGCTTTCAACAATCCATTGAGCAAATAACAAATAATTTTCTGTACAATGATGCATGTAGAATCCTTATTCAATTAGTTTTTCAGCAAGTACTAATTAATTTTAATTCAATTAAATCCAAATTGCTTTCATTTATTTAGATTTACAATCCTTTATGGTTTGAACTAGATTAGTTGTAAATAACTCTGGGTCACTAATAAATGAGTCAAGATATTATCCTTTTTAGATATGGAAACTTTAGTACACATCTTCATTTCCAAATAAAGTTTAAGATCCACAAAACTTTGCAGTGTGAAAGGTTTTAGTGAAATTATAGGTAAGTGAACGAATAATTTTCATAATAAAATATTAATTGAAAATTTTAATTAAAATGTAAGAGAATAGATATTAGGAAACTTTTAAAACTTATAGATTTTGATAATAAATTACGAGATAAATTTCTTGTACTTTAAATTTAAATGTTATTTGCTTCATTATTATATTGGGTTCAGACCTAATGATTTACATGCTTTTTGATAGGCCAATTCTGCTATTTCTATTTTACGATTAGTATTTCTAATCTTATAGACTAATTCTTCTTCTTTTCTTTTCTGCAAAACGTATGTCATGGCCTATGTATTTATAAAAATAAATACCTTAGGGATGTCTTCATTGGTTGCATTATTCACTTATTCAAGTTGGATTGCAAATTTTTTCTTCTTTTCAGTTAAGGAAGCTATTTAAGTTTTGACTTTTTTTGTTTGCTCTTGAGTTTTAGCTATTTTTTTGTTTTTGTCATCGATTTCTTATATCAGTGTATTGCATTGATCTATTTCATTTTAGAGTTGATTTCTTTCCTCGATTAACACTGAGGATATTTTACCAGTGGCTATTTTTAATCCAAGTAATTTCTTATTCTTCTCATCTATTTACTTAACATACTTTTTATTTTCAATTTATAATTGATGAAAGTCAATAAACTTTAAATCATCTCCCATTTCTTCTTTCTTTTAAATTTAATTGCTAGTTTTAGTAATTTATTATTCTATATTGGCTTTTTTTTATTTATATTTTTCAATTTAAGCATCCTATTTTTTAATTTCAATTCTTAGTTACTTTTTATGCTAATTTCTCTTTAAAATACTTTTCTATTCTCTCTGCCTCTATTTTACCAGTCCTAGTATTTTCACCTGCAAACAATATTTCTCTTTGGAAATCAAAGGCATCCTTTCTAATTTCAGTAATAGCTTTATCTGTTTCTTCCAATATTGCCTAAATACCTCAAAATTATAAATTACTCTCAATGTTTCTAAGATTTAATCTGATCTGATTCTGCCTTCTTCAATATTCTTCTTGAGAGTGTCACTCTCAAATTGAGCAATTTCGTATTTTTCTTCATTGGTCAATTACATTGTCTATTACAATCAAAATTGGTTTACTTTTTTATCAACTGGTTAATTTTTCTTTCTAGTTTTCTTATTTTTGTCTTCAGCTTCGTCTTCTCTCTGTAAATCTTTGGAGTTTCGCATAATATAAGATTCAAATAACAGATTCTCTCTCCTTATTTATTCCATGTCCTTATACAAGCCTTCCAATTTTTAAGACAATTCTTCAATGAGGATGAGTTCTTTCTCCTCCTCTGTTATTCCCTATTATTATTCAGGAATCATTTTAATTAAAATAATTATATTAGAATTTAACGATGAGGAAAGACGGTCCAAATATATCTAAAGTAGCTTCAGATTTAATTCTGGCTTATAAATAATTGACTGGGTATTCTAATGACATAGTCATATCTCCCAGATATGAGAAAACCGCCTTGTATTTTCCTTAATCACGTAAATTCTTATGTTAAATTTTACAGCCATAGAAGAATAAATAGAAGAAGAAAATCAAATTGATAGTCCCAGAAAAACAGTCACTGAGAACGAAGATGATTACTTGAAAGAAATTAGTGAATTAAGATAGATTGTAGAATAAAGTATAATTTTTGAATAATAAAGTGAGAATGAAATACATGAACATACCAGAAAGGTATTTAGCATAACCACTAAATTCAAATAATCAAAATAACCAGAATTAGAATCAGAATCAGAACAAAAATGAACTCAAAAAGAAAGCCAAAAAGCAAATAGTAATTACTAAATACTAAACAGATTTCCTTAGACAATAGTATGGGAAAATTTAATGACTAGGTGTTGTTACTTTTATATTCTTATTTTTGCTTCTTTATTTTATAAATAATCATTATTATTATTATGAGTTCTTTGCTAACAGAATCCATAGCAAGTGCAATATCGGGGATAATAGGGAAATTTTTATGCTATCCCTTGGACACTGTTAAGGCCTAGTTTTATGTAAATTTGTCATAATCATCCATCTCAGATTGAAAGAAAGCCTATTTAAATGAATTTAGGAGATGTTCAAAAAACCTTCAAATAAGTGTACTAACAAGGAGGGATAAAGCACTTTTATAAAGGAGGTTTGATAGCTATAGTATGAGTATCATTAATGAAGATTGGAAGTGGCCCGGCATTTTCTTTATACTTGACATCCTATAAATATTTCAAGATGCAATTAGGCAATAAAATAGAATCAAAACTCCTATTGCATCTAAGTTGCGGCTTATTGGCTGAAACTGTAAGTGGGGTTTTGTGGTTACCTATTGATGTAGTAAAGGAAAGATTACAGGTTTAAAAAAGATTTGGGTATCATAATTACAGTGGATCAATTGATGCAGTCTTATAAATAGTCAAAAAGGAGGGGGTTTTAGGGCTATACAGAGGTTAGATTAATTTGCAAATAAATAGGATTTGGAGCCACCTTAGGATTTTTTGGCCCATACAGTGCTTTATATTTTGCCAGTTTTGAATATTTGAAAGGTATTCCTATGGTTTTGAATTAAAGAGTAGACTAACAATAATGCTCTACTGTCTTCTTTAGGGGCTTTCATTTTCTCGTCTATTTTGACATAGCCACTTTCAGTTAGTAAAATGAGGATATAAATTTAATCTCGAAAGATGCTGGAAAATCAAACAGGGGAGGGTTTGTTTAATTACAAGAATTAATTGCATGGAATTTGGAGAATTCTTATAGATGAAGGGATTTAAGCATTATTTAGAGGCTATGTTATGAGATGCTTGTATGCAGGTTCTTTAACCATTTTTAATATGACGTTTGCTGAATTATTAAAAAACTATGCAAACAATAAGATTTGAGGAATGTTCTAAATTCTTATAAAATAAATATTTATGTTATATGCTTTCATCCATTTTTGTATTATTATTTTAATATCCACACATCACTATGAGTAACACACTAACACTTTACTACAATCCCCTATCTATGCCTTCTAGAGCAGTGCTTACTTTGTTAACCTTGGGAAACATTCCTCACACAGCCAAAGTTGTGGATTTACAAAAATAAGAAAACCTTACCCCAGAATTCACAGCTATTAACCCATGCCAAGGTCTCCCAGCTTTGGATGATGACGGATTCAAATTGTTCGAGAGTCATGCAATTCTTAGATACATTGTCAATAAATATCAGTTGCATGATTTTTATCCCAAAGTAACTTAACATGATGATTCCCTTTTTAGGATCCATAAGAAATTGCCAAAGTTGAATGTTATTTAGATTGGCATCATACCGGCACTAAATTGGTTTCCAAATTTGTGTTTGATCACATTATTGGACCAAAAATGATGGGAAAACCTGCTCCACCTGATTTTGAAGCAAAAGAGAAGGAGATGGAATCAATCCTTTAATTTATAGAATATGTATTTTTAGGCCAAGGCAAATTTAAATATGTGTAAAATTAACCTAAAATGACAATTGCCGATTTAGCGTATCTGAATTATTTTATTTTAGTTTAATCTTTGAACTCTAGATGCTTTTCGGTTTCAATTACTCCTTTGACAAATTCCCAGGATTGAAAAATTATGTTCAACACATGTCCTAAGTACCTCAAATCAAGTAGGCTAATCAAGCATTCTACGGCATGATTAAAAATGCTCCATTGAATGACTTCGTTAAGGCATTGGTATAATGATACATTATTAATCATTCATTAACCAAATTTATACAAATTGTTATTTATCCTAAAATTATATAAATTAATTATAAACTAGTTCTTTAAACAGAAAAGAATAAAATTTTGGATTATATTATTATATGAATTTCTATTTCTTACCCAGAGTTGTAAGAATATATTTTTAGATTTGAATTGCCAACTTTTTGCCAGCATTCATAATTTAATTGTATTAATGATTTTATCACAATACTTATAGTGGAGGATCTAGAATTAGAACAATTTTTTCCCTTTTAGTTAATAAAATAATTACATTCACAAACTAAACAATTCCCATACATTATGATTACTGATAGAAAAATTATGTAATACTGTAATTGGGAGAGATAGAATATTTTATCTGATTTTAATATAAAAATAGTCTTTAAAATTTTCATATTTATTATTTAATATTTTCGCTCTCAGTCAATTTTAATGTTAATTAAGGCAAATTTCTTGAATTTTCTCAAAATTGTGAAATATTTGACAACCTCTCAATGCCAATTTTCAAAACAAATATTTTTTAAGATCCTATCTTATGATTATCAACCAGAAAATAATGAACCAAACAAAATCGATACGAATCATCCTATCTTATAGATATATCCAATTTCATTCGGTATATTTTTTACATCTTTTGTATTTAATCATAATTTCGATTTACTAATATTTAAGAGAATAGGATAAAATAAGCAGAATCAAGTTAAATCCGATTAGAATAATTTACAAACCATTGGGTGAATAATTTCAAAGAATTAAATTTTTGATTTCAATATATATAAAAACAAAAAAGTTCTTTAAAAAAAGATAATAAAAAGAGAAGAATATTATTTTTGATTTTAATGTATATTTTGCTAATTATTTATTCAATAATTTATACTAAAAGTATTTACTCCATATCCCTGTCCAGGCTCTTAGTATTGCTAATATTAATTCCCTTGTTCTTAATCTCCTCCTGCTATTTTAAATGGGAACTTCCTTAGCTCAAACTATTAATTAGTCCTTAGCTCAATTTCCTCATCCTTTTCCTCCTAGCTTTCCTAATTTTCACTGCTGGATTCCAAAGTAGTAATAGTATGCTCCTTATCTTCATTCTCTGCCTAATCTTATAGGCGTAGCTTCTTCTTTTTTATTTAATATCTCTTTCTCTTCTCAAATCCTTTCGTCTATTTTTACATTTATTTTAATAGATCTTCCAAATCATCTACTTCATCCAAGTCCTCAAATTAATCCAATAACTTTAGCCTTTCCTTTTCAATCACTTGTGGATCAAATTAAGTTCTTCTTAAATAGTATCTATTCAGCAGCATTTCAGTTACTAAACTATTAAACTCTTAATATCTATATTCGTATTATTCAAATTTAGTTAAACCTCTTAAATTACTTTCTTAAAAGGAAACCCCAGATGGATTTTTAGAATGCATCCCCTTCAACTTTGAAGTAGCACTAGAGAAGTTCTTTGTGTGACCAAAATTTTCTCTGACTTAATCATCCTCTTCTAATATTATTTCCTCTCTTGGGGAGTCATCAGAAGCATATTCAATTCCACCATTGGATCTACGAAATTAATGATTTGATCCACGAACCTAAGATTAGATATAAAGTTAAGATTAGGGTTTAAAACTTGTATTGCTTGGGATTCTGAGATCTTTTTTAGATGTTTACAATGATCTTTAACTTTTGAACACTTTGGATTATGCTTGTTAAGCCTCAATTTATGTTTTTAATAATTTTTCCTATTCGCTCTTCAAATTTAATTATTCATTAATTCCTTCTTCAAGATTATCCAACCATTCACTTGCATATTATTCTTTTTCAGTCTATGAATTTAATTAATTCAATAGTGTCTCCAATTTATTTACTTTTTCAATATAAACCTTCTCAATCTACCGCATTTTTTCATTTGACACAAGTTCTTAATTTCTTTCTAAAATGATAATTTATAAATACCTGCAGCTGCCAACATCCCACATTTTAAGTCCTCCTTCTATAATTCCAATTGTTTTCTTTGTTGTTTTGCTTAGTACATGTACATTAATTATTATTGTAATTCCTTCTGAATTGCTATTATTTGTGGAGTTATGTTAGGTGGCTCTTTGTGGATCTCCATGTGTCTATCCAAAAGAATGGTGTTGCTGAATTCGAGACTACAATGCAAACATCCATAAACTTTTTATGGTTTCAATTTTAATTGCTTTTTTAATTCCTCTTTGTAGATTTTGCATTTTTGGTAGCGTCTTTTGCTCTTTAATAATCTCTCTTCTTTTTGCTGAATTTCTTAATCAATTTTTTCGATATCCAAATCTAATTAAGATGAAGTTTCTTTAATCTTAAAATTGCAATACTCATTATAAAAAATAATCATTTACAACAGGTTAACCAACTTTAGATAATTTTTGCGATTACTTTCCGTTAATTAGGCTTAATAGATGTTGTTCATTTGAAATTAAAGTTCCTCAAAAGTGACCCTTTTTATATCAAATGATTATATATATTCCCATTTTATATTTATCATTAAAATGATAATTTAATTATTCTAAAATTGAAAACCCTCAGCATTTTATTATAAACAGGTGTTAAATCCAAATAAATCATAATCCTTTATCTTACTCATTTATTAAGGCATATATACATTCCCCTTGTTGTAAAAGTCAAAAAGTAAGTTTACACAATAAAATGATTAACTAAAATTGTAATTCTTATTAAATTAATATACAATGCCTATTTTAAATACTGTAGTTTCTTAGAGTGAGTTGAATAATATCTGTAGATTTAAGGAATAATAATTGATTTAAGTTTATACTAGATTTAAATCATTAAAATTTTAGCCAAATAATTATCTAATGAGAAAGAATATTTTTTTTGATTTTAATATAAAAATTTTTCTTTAACAAGTATTGTTAAAAATATAATTGTATGAAATTTCTTCCAATACTAAACCTGATTAAATTTGAGAATATTGTCCTAGATTTGATATACATGACTAATAATTAAGATATGTTTAAGGAAGCAATAAAATAATTAATATTTATTATGTAACATTTAATTAAATTTTATAATATATCTCTACGTGGGAATAAGAGAAATTCCAACACATTTTTAATCTGAAATAATTGTCAAATAATTAATTAATTATTAATGTCAATTTAATTATATTTTAATCCCCTCTCCCAACCTGCAAGAGCCGTCCATGCAATATTGGTAATTGGTAAAATCCCACACGATTTACATAATATTGATTTTATGAAATAAGAGCAAAACACACCAGAATACAAAAAGATATCCCCAAGTGGTAATGTGCCCTCAATCGTTGATGGAGATATCGCCTTGTTTGAATCGCATACAATCTTGAAATATTTGGCTAAGAAATTCAAGCTTGAAAAATTATATCCATCTGATATTGTTGAACAAGCCAGACTTGATTAATATCTTGATTGGCATCACACAGGAACAAGAAATATTACATTGGTAGCAAGAGATTTTGTATTCTATCCTAAATTCCTTGGAAAACCAGCTCCAGAAAATAAAGACGAAAGATTTAAAGAATTAGAATGGTATCTAACGACCTTTGAAGAAATCTTCTTGGGAAATGGAAAGCATAAACATATCTTGGGATTTGATGAACCAACCATAGCTGATTTAAGGTAAATATTCAAAATAAATGCCTTAGTGCCGTCTGTGAGTTGGTCACATTATTTATGTTGAATATTGATCTTGCTCCTCATCCACATCTTCATCAATACTTGAAACATATGCTTTCAATTCCTGAAGTTAATTAAGTTCATCAACCAGTGTTTGGATTTACATAAAAATTCGGAGAGAACTTAAGATAAGAGTACATCGATCTTATGAAATGAGTTCTATATAGATAACAATATATTCATAAAATATGCATATTCAATTTTCTTTAGAATTTAAATTTTTTAATAATGTCACCAATATAATCATGATATTTCAATAACTAATCTCATTTATTTCAATGAATGACAAATCTATAACTTAACAATATAAAATTGATATGATTAAAAAATACGTTATTCGTTAGAATTTATTATATATATTCTTTAATAAATAATAGGGATATTAGTCTGAATATTTTTATATGTTGAGGATGTTAAAATCATCATTTTGCATCCTATTTCTTTCGTTGTCTTCTTTGTTCAACTTACTTCTTTCTTTCCTCTTCAATTAGATCCTTTCTTCCAGCATGCCAATTTGGACCCTTTCTCTTTTGTTATGGTCCTTATGTGGATGCTGCTGAACCAAATCTAATGAATATTATAGGTAGTTATCTAACCTTCTATTAAAGCAAATTCTTTTGTAGGCTCTACCTTTTGGAATCTTGTGTCTTCTGACTTATTTTTCAATTTTTGGAGTCTATTTTCTCACTTTACCAGCTTTTGCTAATGTTCCGTGTAGTTTTCCCATGCAAGAGTGAAATTAATAATCTTAATAATAAGTAATTCTTTATTAAAATTTAGACAAATTAATACTTTTATATCATCATTTATATATTAATATACCCAATTTAGTCAGAATTTGAACTTGTTCATCATTGGTAATTTGATTACCTTACATATAGATCTGTTATAAAGAGTTATATTTCTGATCTTCATAAATTTGGATTAAATATCTCAAAGACTCATTAGTGAGTTTATTGTTTTTAATTCTTAAAGTTTTGATAGTTTTATTTGTCCAGAGTGCATCTATTAGATATTTAAACCCTAAATCAGTAATTTAATTTTTTGATAACACTATCACTCTTATATTTGAGATAGTTGTTGACAATGCTTCAGACAACACTTTGATGTCATCATCTGTTAGGCTTCTAGATTTTAAGTTAATTACATCAAGGTTTTATGACCTATTCATTTATTTGATAATTTTCTTTAATTCATTCATTTTTTCTTATGACAATGCTGGACGAATATAAATTTATTTCAATTCCTCAAATATCTTTTTTGGTGGAGATCTCTATCTATTTGTTTCAACAGAATCTTTATTAGAAAAAGTTAGAAACTATTCCTTCGATTAAGGATTGTTTAGTTGAATATCGCTGTATAATTCTTCTCTCAAGATACCATATCTTGGGATCAACACATCCATTTAAAATTAAAAGTCAACTTGTAAAACACAAAATGGTGATTATTCATATTTCATGTCTATTTGACTGAATAGCTCCATTTTTCTGATTTCCAATCTTGTTATGAGATCATTGAACTTGTTTTCTATTCTCTGTATTAATTCATCTCTTTGTTTTTAGCAATCGGAAATAGTATTTTACAAGGAGATGGGAGTTATTTAAGAATCTTAAAATTTGTTTTTAGAAATTGTAGAATCGGAAGAGGAATTATCATTGCATAGACTCAGCTATGGAGTTTCAAAAAGATCATTCAATTTTGGTTTTTATTTTAATTAGATCAATTTAAATAAAGTTGTATTGATTGGAAAACCGTCGATCGAATATTCATAAAGTGTTCTGGAATGGTAAAAATGAACATTACTCATCTGCAGGACACCTGAAATGCCCTTCTTATTATTTTATGCACTTTTCGCAGACCGTGTGTCCGCAATCATTTAACAGTCTTGGTAAATGGATGACCTAGTCAAATTCTATTGAGCACAATCTACAATTGAGAAATTGATCACTCATTTTTGCAATTAATTGATTATTATAATTTCTAATATTAAATAATTAAGAGCATTCCAATAAAAATATAGAGTAATTATGTATCTTTTATTACTTTTCAGTTAATTGTACGATTTTAGAGAGTTCCGTACAAAAAGTAGATTTAAGTTAAATAAATATAACAGTAAAAAATAAATTAAAAATAATATTCAAAATTAAAAAGAAATGAATGATGAAAGAATATAGTTTCTAGAATGGAAAAATGAAAAAGCCATTTTGCAATAGAAAATTCAAATTTAGGAGATGTATATATAGGAAGCCAAAGAAAGAGAAGAAAACTTAAGAAAGATGAACGAAATCTTTATAAATACATTGAACTCACAATAGAATGAGAATGTTGTTCAGAAGTTTTAGAAGTCGTATGATTAGAATGAGATAGAAAAATAATAAGATATTATAAATGCCTAATAAATAGAAATAAAATTGTTAGAAACTAAATTAGCTGAAAAAGAGAATCAAATTAAATTAATTTAAAAAAGCAATGAGAAAGAGATTGAAAAACTGTAAAAAAGGATAGTAGAATTAGAATATCTATCTTGCAATAAAGAAAACATTAATTATCAAAATATCATTGAATATTAGGTAAATTAATAGTAAGATATTGATAAATCTCTGCAGCACCAAAAGAGAAATTAAAGTCCATCGCATCCTACAACTAGGATTAGAGTGAATCAATAATCATAGCAAATTTCGAACAATAAATTTGATGAGTCTACTTGCACAAATCAAGACTAGAATGACATTGCGAGTTTCTTAAATAAAATCAATCCTAACTTATAACGACAAATGAAAGACATACAAAGTAAATTATATAATACGAAGAAGAAATTGACAACAACAACCGAATAAGAGAGCTCTTTTATACGTTAATCAATTTAAAAAATAAAAAATGTAAATAATGCAATTTATGTTTAGCGATCTCGGAACCATTCAATTTCCATAAATGAGAATACATATTGTGAATAAAGATCGACGTGGGATGATTAGGTTGAGTATAGAACCAATCAAACAAATCAGACTAACCAATCTTTAATATGCAATGGGTTCAGATTTTCTTGAATAAACTTATAATTAATATGATATACACTATAGTCTTGATCATTTTGGATAGGTCTAATTCCAGATTCTTAGTCTGATCGGACGATTTCAATTATTCAGACTTTACCTTATTGTTAAATATTATTAATCATAATTCATATACAATGTATTAGACTGAAACCAAGTCATCCCTTTATGCATCGAAATTAATCTAATAAACAAATTATTCGGCTCTATCCTCATTGCCAAAAACGTATATTAGATAGGTATAAGCAGAAGGTAAGATAGATTTCGATAATCGTTTAGGGGAAATATTTATGGCAGCTCCTTAGAAATGTGCTAAATTGTGGAAGGAGTTTAGGAGAAACGATTTTACATAAGTTTAAATACCATATAAGACAGCAATTTCAGTTTTTGATGCTTGCAAGGAAGACTTATAAATGATGTTAAAGATCTCTAATGGAAAGGATTTCTTCGATTTGTTTGATTAAGACAATGATGGGTAATTAGATCATGATTATTTTTAGGTATCTAAATGAAGATGAGTAAATTTTAGTGTTTAGCATCATAAAAGAAAAAATGCAATAAGTTGCAAATCTATTGTTATAAATATAATAATATGTTCCCTTCAAATAATTGATGAAGGCCATTAGAACTTTAGAACAAAACATTTGCGAATATTAGGACATTCTAAGATAAAAGATCTATAAATCAGAGATTTCCACCTACAAAGAGATAGGTCTCGAAAAATTGGATGATTTTTATGAGAAATACTATAATTATTTCATGTAGTTCGAGAATCAGAAAAAAATAAGAATGTATATAAACCTATAATACTTTTGATTAGATAAATCCAGATCTAGAAATAGCTAGAAGAAATGGGGTAATTGGAAGATAAATTATCAAAAAACACAGAGTTTTTGAAAGTAAAGCCTAAGAGGAAACTAAAAGATTTATAAACTTAAGAGAAATTGGTTTCTTTAGATGAGAGAGTAGAAGAAGCAATGGATTTCCGTAGAGAATTAAAAAATATGGAGAAAAAAGAATAAGAAAGAGTGGCTTCAGAATAGGAAAAGCGTGTGGAAAGTTAAAAAGACGAGTTATAACGTAAACATTAAAAGCAGATGGAACAACTCAAAGCTAAATTGGAAGAGTAAGAACATAAACTGATTATATAACTCAAAAAGGAATACAATGTTTTACTAAAGTAAATAGGCTTGCATAGTAATGAGATTGAGAGAATTCAATCATCTGCAACTCAAAATGCTGTTAGAAAAGGAGAATAGGAAGGAGAACTTAAAAGAATGAAAGAGAGAGCCAGAATACAAAACTTTATCATTGGAGATACAAAGAGAACTATGACACCTAAACCATAATAATAAAACACTTCAACTTATGAGGAATCCATGAGTTCATCTCCAAGATCCCCAGCTGTAGTTACTAAATATGATAGAGCTGCTCATGAAATTAAACACTTGATTCATAAATAAAATTACACCTAGTTTTACATTAAAAAAAAATATGGAGCTGTATTAATATTAAGTTGATTGAATTAGGATCTACCTGTCAACTATAAACCAGAGCCATATAAAGTATAAGGTGACAATCACGAAAGAATTGAAAAGATTTTATCAGTTAAAAAAAAGAATCCCCATGATATATTACCCTCATTAACTGAATTGTATGATGAAAATCTCAAAGAATTAGTATATATATAATTGATTTTATAGGATAAAGGCAGCACTCAAAAATCAGAATAGGAACTAACATAGGAAAGATTAAAAAAGAAATAATTTATTTTAGAAAAACTAGAAGAATCAACTCATTGAATTTTAATTTATAAATACATCATATTGCTTTCAATAACCATTCTTCTAATTCTGATGATAGTTCATTCTATTATGGGAATATTATTCTCATTTCATTAAATATTTGTTTTATCCCATCAAAATCGTATTTCTTGTTAAGAATTACTTAATTCATTTTAGTAACGTAATCTGGATAAAGACAATCAGTAAAAACTCTACCGTCCTTTATAATGCTTGATTCAACTTAAAGATAAACATCAAACATTCCAAATTTTAGTTTCTCTTCTAAATTAACTGTGAACTGAGGAGTATATTGATATAGCCATTCCCAAGATGAGAGCCTTTCCGATTCTTTCTTGACTTCTTCAATATTCAGCAGCTAATCAGAATTGAATTCCTTAAATTCAACATCATTGTATTTCTTGATAAACTCTTTAATCAATTCATCTTCATATTATTTAACTGTGATCGTGCTATTTATTTCTTTCAGATTAGTAACTCTAGATTTAACAGAATCGATTCCTTTGCTTTCCAATTTCTTCTTTGAAGGTGTCAAGTATTATGATAAGGCATTCTAATCAACATCGATCAACATAGTTCCATGATGTAATGCAATCTTATTTGGATTAACCTTTGTTCCTAAAGACAGCTGATAAGCAGATCCTGAAACTTTCTTTTCTCCAACCACTATATCATTTCTTCCAGATGCCTAGGCTTCAATGCCTAAATTTAGTAATGCATTTATGAGGATGTCATTGTTAATAGTTTTTGGATCCTCATTAGTAAAAGTGTTTAAAAAAGTAAAACAATGATTTCCTAAGTCTTAATATACAGCTCCACCTCCACTTGATCTTCTTTACAACCAAACAGAGTTTTTTTACATTAACTATAAATTGCATTCTTTCCAGGGATTCTGATGTCTGCCAATCACTATGGTTTTGTCGTTCTACCATAAATACAGAATCGGAGACTAAATAAAGGAGTTGGAGAATAAGTACGATTCCAATCCTAAATTCATATGAATTTTGTGACAATTTGATTTGATTATTGTTGGTTTAAGAATTTACATAAATATATTTGTTATATTAGAAACTTATTCTTTGGAATATAAAAATATGAGTTCAATAATCCTGTCCTGCAATTAGAATTCTTACATGTCTATCAAATTGATCATCCAGGAATAACACAGTTGATGGTATTAACAAAATAAATCTCCTGGCTAAATTCAACTCAATCCTTAATTTTTGCAATAAAATGAATAGTAAATAAGACATCAATAGTAATGAATAAACAATAAAGATAATTGATATTGTGTTGCATATAGTAATTTATTATTCTGTAACATTGACCATTCCTATCTTAAATTATTTGCTCATCAGTTAAAATGCTCTCAGCACTATAATACTACCTTCATTCTCATACTTATTAAACTCCACTCTCTTAGTAAAATTATTAATCATCATTTGATTGGAGATTTAGTTAGATATAAATTTTAAAGTAGGAAACAGTCCTAACAATAATGAACCTTACAATGACTTTTCACAATATTATTTTAAGAACCCCAAATTTTCATCCCCCAATACTATGCAAATATTTTATTCCTATAAGGATTGAAAGAATTTAAAGAAATCCTCAGAAGTCTAATATTGACTAGAATCGAAAGTGTAAGAGAATTGTAAGAATTTAGATATTGTTTCTAAACCTGTATTAATGGTGTAATAAAACTTTTCTGTGTCAAAAGGCCTCAAGTAAGGGTAATTTGCAAAAGCTAATCCAAAATCTCTGTTTCTATAAAGTGTTCCAGCATACAAGGACATATCTTAAATCAATTTATATGCATCGGCAGTAGCTGAGTACTTGTTTAAATATTCACCGATTTGAATATTAGAAACTAAACTCAAAGCAAAAAAGATCATCCATCCAAGAATTACAACAATAAATTTGATGCCAAACGATATCTTTTTGAACTATTACTAAATCTTTATATCCTTAACTTTTTGTTATTCATGCTCCTGCCTTAACTTGAATATATCCTCTTCCTTTTATTCGATATTAAATTAGTAATTAAATAATAGATCGCTATTCTTGTTCAGCACTTTTAAAATGTACTTTAATCTTTCTAACTCCAATTCCATTCTATATGATGAACAATATTTAAAAAGACTTACCAATTGATCGAATTTCGAATTGAATAACCTATAATAAAATAAACTAGCAAACAATGGACAAATATTCACCATCAGATAAATGATCCAAATCATATTCCACTTGTTGCTGATATCTATACTTCTATTCTTTGAATATTAGTAAACTTCCATTGTCACGTCTTCTAACCAGAAATGAAAGTTATAAATATTGGCAAATTGATAGACCTAATAGGTTTGATTAGCAGTACTCAACCTTGCCTCAAATCTCAATTTGAAATCATAATAATATGACAAGGTAGCCATCAATGCTTCTCTAATATTTTGAGTAATCGGATAAGTCTTAGATCCATTATACAACATGTAGTACACTGTTATATTTTTATCCTTTAAAAAAGGAGTCAAGTACTCATTACCTAACCAATATATAAATCCTTCTTTGAATTCGTAATATCCAATACCCACATTCTCATACAAGGGATCAGTAAGTTCTTTGAATTCTGCCTGAGTGATTTTACCTGCAACTAAAAAGGAATTATATGTGATAATTGGTTGTCTAATCTGCAAATACAAATCATGAGGATTCATTATTCCTGCATGCAACTAGATCATGTCTATTTCACCTATGAATCTATTTAAATCTACTTATGCACTCCCAAGTATAATAATAAAATATGTTAACGCAATTATGTAAGTGAGTTCTTAAAACATTATGAACAGTTTTAAGGTAGTTGGAGTGATAGGCCCAATCAACTGAAAAATAGTTTCATATTTTTTATAAAAGATTGACTTCTTAATCCCCTTCAATGCATTATTAGATGAAGATTATTCTTTTTCTCCTACCACATCCTTGTTTTATCTGGCAGCAACCTTTTACTTTTCAATTCTACTTTTGAATTCATCTTCTAATTCTTCCAATTTGATATTTTTTGATTAGTACAAAGAAAATGATTTATCATCGCTATTGTCCTTATGAAAGTAGTCCTGTTACATGCTTTGTTGTATTTGTAGTGGTATTTGAGATTGATCCTACCAAGGAGCATTACTAAAATTAGGACTAAGAATATTCTACTAGAAAGAGATTTCTTATTTCTATTATGATTATTCTAATTATTATTATTTATCTGCTTTTTATTTCTCTTCCAATTCTTATGCTATTTTTGCTATCATTTTATTCTCATCCATGTTTTCATCATAACAAATTTTGAACTTATTTTGCTGCCTCGATATTTTAGGAGATTAAGCTACAGCTTCAACTTCTGACAATTCAGATAACTCAAAAAACTCTTCTAATCCCTCCACTTTTTTATTTCTACTTGAAACTTACGATCTTTTCGAATTTATTAATTGTTTTACATCTTTAATTTCTATAATGAAGTAATTATAACCAAATATATCATGGTATTGTATGCATATTTCAGCTTCAAAAATGTATGTCTAATCAAGATTGGACCAGTGAGTCGAAGTTAATGACTATTATCGAGTTTGATTCCTAAGTTTCTCTCCATAACTTTCCAATAGGTAGGCTTCCTTCAAGAATCTCAATTCAGTGATTGTATTTTATTATTTAGATTCGATTAACTTTTTAAAGTTAGGGATTAGATAATCAATTTGTAATTGTGTTGATTCCTACATATTAAATTAATTATAATATTCTTCATTTAATCCTAATTTTTCAAAGAAACTCTCTGTTATTCCTCCTAATTTTTGATTGATATCAACCAACAAATAAGCAGATTGATTTATGCTCTCTGAAAAAAAAGCAGAAAACTTATAATGATTTATGTTATCAAAATGAATGTCAAATAGAAGTTAGCATGACTTTATTAGCAAGTTATTTAATTTAAAAAAGGTTTAACTTGAATTTAAGTAAAATTTTGATTTGCTTGTTTATGTAAATCGTTAAACTAATAAGCTGTGCTCATTTTTTATAGCCAAAGGAAGGAGATAATCAACATTAGTAAAATGCTTTTAGTCTTCTTAAGATATCTAAAAAAATTTCAACGAATTTTCAGACTTGCTGGTAATTAATAAATTTTAATTATATTCCAGCTAAATATTTAAATAAACAACTTTCTTCGAAAAAAAGGCTGTCTTAATACTAACATCCATGTTGATTAATTGTTCTTCTGGCATTGATGTCAAATTCTTATATTTATGAGCTTCAATGAAATTATTCAAGATTTCCCCTTGATAAAATACTAAGATGGATTAGATTTTTAAACTTGGGAATTATTAATATCTTATAAACAGCTTATCTTCTAGACTTTATTATATTTTACTAAGTTTGATTGCTTTATTATATAATTAGTCTGCATCAATAGCTTTTTTGGTTGTAAATTACAAAGTAAAGGATACTTTTTCATTAATCAATTTAATCATTGTATTTTTTAATCCCTAATTTCTTTTCTCATTCTTCAGAAACAATTCAACTCCTTATTTCATATCATTTAACTAAGATTTAGTATTATTATTCTCATAAAATCTGAACTACAAATTCTCTTTTATCTGATTCTTCAAAAACAATGCCCTAGCAGTATTGAGAGATGACAATTAATAATTCCCAATCATCAATAGTTTACTCTTTTTAAACTAGGCTCTTTTCGCCATATCATTAATTTCATCTGTATTAGATCTCAATGACTTACTGGAAACTGATTGATGAGCTGCATATTTTTAGGAACTATCTAAAATGCTACTTGGAGCATCACCATCTCCCAAGAAACCTTTATATTTTGTTTAAATTAATTATTTATTTATTAATGAGTTTATCTAAATTAAAGCTATATTTGAAAAGCCAAAACTATACAATAAGGCTACATAATGTAAATCAATTCCTTTAATCTAAGAAATGCACTTTACATATTGTTTTAGTTTTTTTTAAACAAAGACATCTAAATTTTAAGATGTTAAAATAGTAATATCAGTTTATTTAACTTCTGAATCATTTGAGTGTTATTCGAAGATCTTACTCATCTGATGTAATAAAATTGAATGATTTATTCTCTTTTCACTTTTTGATAGGTCATCAGTCACCAGTCTGGATAAATAATATTTGATGATCTTATGTTATTTGATTAATAAAATATTGTTTTGTATGCTCTCTTCCCTTTAGCTATAAAATATCAATAAGAGTTTGCTTAAGGTTATGTATACCATTATAATTCCAGTATTTGTAAATTTATAAATTAAATCCTATTGGAGATTTTAAATTAGACTATATATTGATGCAACACAGCCAAATGATGAAATCATCAAACTAAATTTGGTCCTCAGAACATCCGTGTATTCAAATTAAAAGACCTACACAATGTTGATGAAGGACATCGTGAGAACTAAGACACCTTATAAAGTTTATCCATTAATTTCACTCTTGATGATGCCATAAACAAAAATTTATAATATCTAGAGGATTACCTATAGATAATCCAGAAACGTTTAATTAAATTTTTAGAATCGATTTACTTTTAAATCAATTGTTTCTCTGTTAAGCACAAGGTTGATGATTAGGATGATGAAGGTTAACAAGAGGGAAAATGTTGCAAAAATTAAATGGAAAATAGATTAATTTTGGCTGAGAGTAATAAGTAATGTTTAAGTACATAACACTGTAAATGGCACATATAAGTAGGTTACAAACGTTTAAAAAAAGATTGAACTAATCTTGATGTAAAAGTTGACTATGGTAAGTTTTAGTATTCTTTCCCTCTTTTATTGATATATCAATATAAGTAAGGGTATAAAAAACAACAAAATTTGAATCAAAAGTGGAATCAAATAATACTGTAATGATGCATTAAATTGAAAATTAATCAACTCATCGATCCTGCTTAGGTATATGATAAATGACTCATAATTAATTTTATTTTAAAAAAATGTTAATTTCTAGGATTCAAAAATAGGAACCCATAAAAATGTAATGCCTTAGAAATCACCTAAAATGCTAATAAAATAAAACATCATTTTTTAAAGACTTACAAAATACTGTAAATGAAGTAATCGTTCCAGGATGAACACTTTCAAATTGATTTAGCCTTTCCTGTTGAATTGTGTAATCATATTTTGTAATTATTTTTAATATATTTCATACCAAATAAAAATTTGAAAAAAAATACAATTATTTGTACAATTTTAGAATAAACAAAAAATTTGGTCTTAAGATAATCACATCTAACAAATTAGAAATAAATCTATAAATAAATAAAGCATTCATTCTCTATTAATAATTAAGAAGTTTTAGGAATGGGTAAAATGGGATAAGGAATGTTTATCATGAATTGTAACATAAAATAGATAGCAATTCAGAAATCATCATCACGATTTTGTTTCATATAATCTGCTACAAACTTAATAGGATTTTGAGGTCTATTATGGTATTTGATTGCTTACTTCTATTTTGACACAAGCAACAAGGCTTTTTACAGAAGCGAGAATAGTTTAGGATCATAAGAAAACATGGTGGATTAACTGTCTTGGCTTTATTGACTTTGATCAGCTTAATTCATTATAAATTATATAATATGATTAAATGATGGAATTATAACTAATCGATTATGTCATAATTAATTTTATGAAAAAGAGCTATCAATTTAGAGCTCTATTTTATAAGAATGCTTCAATTCAATCGCGATAGATAGGAACTAATATTTGCTAGATTTTGACACCCTTAATATGCTTGGTGCTAGTCTATATCATACAAGAAATAATTTTTGATAAATTTTCAGGATGGACATTTTAATTAGATTTCCCATATCTATTGAATATTCCATTTATATATTCGCAAATTCCAATGTTCAGCAATGTATCGTGTCTCTAATGGTAACAAAGTGTTGAAAATTAGGTATTTTTACGATGTTTCGTAATTAAGTCACAGCGAATAAAACTTTATTGGTTGGAATGATGGTTAAATTGGAAAAAATATGTAAAATTAAATAATAAATGATTATATTAGGTCATCTGGACTTTTGTAAAATATTCTTTAAAAGCCAGGATGTAAATCAAACAACTTAAGCGAATTGAGAAATATCCCATTTTTAGAATAACCGGATATATCTATAAATGAGGATATTTATGAAAGGATATAATATCTCAATACATAGCCATTTTATAGGGGGAGAGATCTTGATGATATTTGGATGATACCGGATGGAGCATTTACATTCCATAATGCTAATGAAGAATATTTAAACGTCACAATCTAAGTGAATGATCTGCGTATTCCAGAATATCATAGAGCAAATGGAATCACTAAGGTATTTTTTAAAGTAGCAGAAAATAAAACTAATAATTTGATGTTAGTAGCAGAAGCATAAGTGGGATTGATTGATTTGATTACAAGAGCGTACTTACATTAATTGAATCCAAAAATTTGGCTGATTTCAGGAATCTAATATATGCCATTAATAGGAGAAGATAGGAACTTGGTACAAAAAGCGATTAATTTAATGGGGGCTCTATTGTTCCCGCTCTCATTGTCACTATTATTACCGGTGTTTCTTTATGCAATAGTGTTAGATAAGGAGGAAAGATTATTATAAATGATGAAAATGAATGGAATGAGAATGATTGACTATTGGATAGTGCAATATCTCTTCAATTCTATCCTCACATTTATCACTTATATACTGTTTTATTTTGTTGCCCTGTATGGAATAGAAATATAAGTGTTTAAATATACAGATTCTAATTTGATTGTACAAATTCTTAACATTTTAGTTACTAATATTAATCGGTTGGGGATTAACATAAATTTCATTATCATTCTTCTTTTAAGTATTCTTGAATAAATCAAGAACAGCAACTATCATTGGATACTTGATCTCTGTTTGGGGCACTATCATGGCATCGACTATAAATCTGGCCATCTATCCTGATCCTTTGGAGTTGCCTTGGTATCTCTAAATAGTACCATAGATAGCATTTGGTCGACTGTTCTATATCTTGTCATTTGGTATATGATTGATCTTTAACAATAAGCTTGTGTATCTTAGCATGGATGTTATTCGTCATTGGAATTAATAAGTCCAGAGATACAAGGATGTTTATTCTCATTATATTTTAATACTGTTTTCTTTGCGATTATGGGGATCTATCTCCATGAAATCATCCCTCAAGAGTTCGGAGTTGCATCAGAGCCTTGGATTTGCAAATTCTTCAAAAAAACTGATTACATGGAGTTTTATGAGGAGGATCAATTGGGATTGAATGTTAACTAATTGGAAGAAGACACAGATGTACTGGAAGAGAGAGAGAAAGTTTACAAGTTAAAGAATCTTGAAGATTATCCATTAGTTTGTAAGGACGTAAGGAAAATGTATTAGAATACGGTTGCTGTTAAGAGTTTTAGTTTGTGTGTTGAGAAAGGAGAGATATTTGGTTTGTTGGGTCCAAATGGAGCTGGGAAGACATCCATTATATCTACTATTACAGGATTATATGGGTGTTCTGATGGTACAGCATTCGTAGGAGGTTACTCAATTAAATAACAGATGAAGGAGGTTTAGATGAGAATTGGAGTTTGCCCTTAATTTGATTTGCTCTGGCCAGAATTAACAGTGGAAGAACACCTACTCTTTTATGCAAGATTGAAAGGAGTTCATAGAGATATGGAGAGAGTTAGAGCATAATAGAGCATGGCTGAAGTTAAATTAGAACCTTATTTTAATTATTAAACCTAATAACTTTCAGGGGGAATGAAACGAAGATTGTCAATAGCTATTGCGTTAGTCGGAGAGCCTTTGATCGTATTTTTGGATGAACCATCAACAGGTTTGGATCCTGATAATCGAAGATAATTGTGGGAGATCATTTAGCAATGCAGAGAAAGAAGAGCCATGGTGTTAACCACGCATTCCATGGAGGAAGCAGATGTTTTATGTAATAGAATAGGTATGACATACAATCCTATTAGCAGGGATTATGAGTCAAGGAGTACTTAAGTGTCTCGGAACTCCTTAGAGATTGAAGAATATCTATGGTGGTGGATATCACTTATCTCTTTAAATTCATAGAGATAAATACTTGTAGTCTATCCATAATCAATAACAGTATTTTAATTATTGAATTAGGTCATAATTCTACATTAATAAGGTTAAAGATTTCATCAGAGATATTCTACCTTAATCCATAATGATATCTGAATTCAATGGCAATTTGATTTATTAAATATCAGAAAAGAGTTGTAAAGTATCTGATATATTTTGGCAAATTGAAAAAGAAAAAGAATATTTATAAATATCTGGTAATTCTACCTTCTTATTTTTAGATTGGGGAATAAGCCAAACTAATTTAGAAGATGTGTTTATGAAAATAGTAGGTTAATTTTGATTATATTTAAATTTATGTAACAATTTCATTCCAGTAATTTTTATTTAATATTTTTCATATTCTCGTATGCCTTTTGAAGGTATGGATCATTTTTATCTAATTTCTTTTCGAATATTCTAATTGCCTCTTGAACCTTCTCCAAGGCCTTCTAATATTATTTTAATTCTGACAGGACAGTTCCTATATTATTGATTGTCTAAGCCACTATCTGAGATTCTTATCCATACACCTTCTTCTATCCATCCAAAACTTCCTCAAATATTTTCAAAGATTCCTCAAATTAATTTTTTTAAAATAATGCTGAGGCCAATTGTATTGCTGTATGCTGAGTTGATTTATGGAATATTTTCAATTCCTAAGCTTTGTATTTATAGGCATCTCTGAAATACTGGATGCAAGGGTCTAAATTATGCAATGCTCTATAGCATTCAGCAATACTATGCATTGTATTGCTCTTTTACAAAGCAGCATCTCCAGCATTTGGATCGCTAAACACTCCTGGCTCATTATACATTTATAAAGCTTATTTGAAATAATCAATTGCTTCCTCGTGTGATTATTTATTTTACAAAGTCATACCTATGTTATTTATGGTACTTGCTAAGCTCTTGGAGGGTTGCACTTGCAGTTCTGCTTTCTTTATGCTTAAGGCTTTGTTGAACATCTCCAAAGCTTTATCATATTGCTTATCACTCCTGTAAGCTTCACCTAAATTATTTAAACGATTCCCAACGCTTATATGGCCTTTCCCGTAAATACTCTCGTAAACCTCTATTGTTTTTTAAAAGTTTTAGATGGCTTTCTTTACCTCTCCTTTTTGATAGTATATCATCCCTACATTATTTAGTAAGTGTCCTAATAACTATTTGGATTGTTGTTCTAATTTTTCTTATTCATTCTGTTGTTCCAAAATGCTTATTGCTGAATCCCAATAGGAGGTAGCTTTATTATTTTGTTTTTTGTCATAATAAATTTAACCAACAGTGTTATACATGTATATTAATTCATTTTGGAATTGTTATTACTATGATTGACCTTGTATGTACTTGATAGACTTCTCCCATACATTTAAAGCATCATCATATTATTTTAAGAAATGATAGGCATTTCCTAATTGAATCTAGAATTCATTATATTATTACATTTAACTAGATGGTTGTATCCTTTTCTTCGTAATAGTTGTTTAGTTCTTGTGCCTTCTAATACAAAGCCAAAGCCTCCTTAAAATTTTATTGGTTTGCTTCCTGTTGTCCATTTTCAATAAGTTATTTAATTTTTTCTTTCAGAAATTACGAAAATTAAGATGTAAATTATTTTCTTATTTTCTCATCCACTTTACATAGCAGTTCAATAGCTTTATCTTAGGCCTCAGGTTGTTTGGCATTTGCAAGTTCAATCTAAGATTAATTACTATTTTTCTACATATAACTAAATCAAGATAGTCTGATTCTTGACTCCTTTCTAGTTATAGATTTGTAGTAACTCTTAAACCTCACTCAACCTAGTTTACGGATCCTGACTCAATTGCTTGATCTTTTATTAAATCATGGTCACTATATCTACAGTTACTTATGGTATCAATTCTTGCCTTTAGCATTTCTTAACTAACAAAGTAACAGTCTATTTTGCTTTCAATTAAGCCTTGATCCAGTCAACACATAATTAAATTTCATCATCTGTAGAGGTATGTGTTAATTAAAAGACATCGATTTAAGATGGCATTTTAATTTATAGTTATATAATTATAGATTTATTATCATTCACTCATCCTTAAATTTAACAGGAGCCTTAAATAAACTAGCTGGCTCAAAAGAAGACTGCTTATTCTGCTATTCCTTCTCCTTATTTATCATCAACTCATCATCGTCCACTTTGTCCAAATCCAAATCATTAAACTCTGACAGTAGTTGTTATCTATACATAATAATGGACACTTCATACCTCTGCACTTTTAATTGTTAGACTTTCTACTCGTATTAAGCAATTTGGGAATTCAGTTTTTGAATTGCAGACTTCTTGCTTCTCACAATATTCTACAAATGCTATCCAAATGGATATTCAGTCATCAAAGGAGTAGCTGAAGCCTTTTGATTTTAGACACTAATAAGCTTCTAAACAAATTAACTAGCACTTTGTTTGTCATGGAATCTGTACTTTCTAGTGTTGTTAAGGACTTACAACTAGACGACTAAAGGGAATTCAGTCAATAAATACCGTTCTCGTCCCTACTGAAGGCCAAGTATTCCTTCTTTAAAGGGATGACTTAAATGATTTAGCGCAAGTCTTCATCTCTAGAGACAAGCATTTGTGATTTCCCAATAGTGAAATGAACAGTCTTGGATTATCCCAAACTTGCTAATTTTTAGGCAGATGTTTTGAGTAAGGAATGTGGTGGAATATATGAATCATTCCATAAGAAATAATTTTTTGTTGATACTTAATCAAAAAACAAGTTGGTTACTTTTGAACTTACGGTTTTACTATTTTCTCCAATTGAGTAATGTTGCACTTTAAATAAATTCAAATCTTGTTTTGTGTTGGGATTATGAAATTCAAGGGTAGGCTTAGTTTCTTCAAAGATCTCTTTAGCAAAAATAGCCAGTTTAACAAGTTGGTCTCTTTGATTTTGAAATTTAGCTTTGTAATTTTAAGACAGTATTTTGCCATTTTCAATAAAATTAATTATGAATTCATCATCTTTTTTGGAATACAAGGCTGACTTAAAATAATCGGCAATATTGATACTGAAATGTTTGAAAACATATAACTTTTTGTCCTTACATCCTTTTTTTATTCCGTTAAGGTTTGGGCTGAGAAATTGAACTGCATAATCTCACTTGTGGATTTCCCTTCTTTAATCACTTCAAATATAAAAAAAGGCCACAATTTATCACCTAATCAATAGACGACCATACTTTGTTTATTTGGCAAAATCAAATCGAAAGGTTGGCTTAAGTAACATCTAATCATTAATTTGTGCATATAGGATTCTCTGGCCTGTTGTATAATAGAAATTTACTTACCTTCTCGTCCTTGATTATTTTGTAGGCTTCATTGGTTTTATTGAGATTTTCCTAGCTGTCTCCTTGCTGATATTCTTTGTCAGTGTAAAACTTTATTAGAGTGTTATAATTTCTTAAGTTAAATATCAATATCAACCTATCAATTTATTGTTCAGACGATGTAAACTTAACTGCTAAAATTGTAAAATATCCATATGATCCCTCGTTTTCCATTTTCTTCTATTCATCTCCATCAATCATTTTATTTAAATATATTTAATATAAATTTCATAATGAATAAAATCTAATAATATATCATGGGCCGATCATATTTAAGATTCTATCAACTGCAGCCTCAACATTCCCCCCAGTGGCGATCAAAGCCTCCAAATTCACTTATTTATTAGTAAAGCCTAATTCTTGCAATTATTATAATTAAGTAGCATATTTCTACTCAGCAGCCTCAGGTGTTTATTGAGCACCACCCAAGCCACCCATGCCTCCTATTTTAATTTAATTCACTACTCATACCTCCCATCAAATTCATTAAATTCTGTATATCAAAACCTGCCATGGGATTCTAAGCGTTTTAACTACCTGGTGGAGGCACTTATGCATTATTAGGATTTGGAGGATTCTGCTGATCTCCAACTCCTCCTAAACCACCTAGGCCTCCCATTCCTCCGAGGCCACCCATGCCTCCCATGCCTCCCATTCCACCCATTTATTATAGGGCCATCTAAATTACCTAAGGATTCAGGAACATTTAAAAGAGTTAAGGATTATCAAATATTTATTAAATTTAAGGGTTAGACTAAATCATTTAAGCCATCATAGGGTGTTACATTAATTGTTATCTTATTTGTGGATTTTACAATGCCTAACATATATAAGAAAAGATAAATACTTGTGAAATTTATGCTTGGTACATTGGGTTGGATAGAAGTTACATCATCATTTATGGATCCATTCCCATACCACCCATTCCTCCCATTCCTCCGAGGCCACCGAGTCCTCCCATTCCACCCATTCCGCCGAGACCTCCCATTCCACCGAGACCTCCCATTCCACCGAAGCCTCCCATGCCACCTGCACCGCCTGCACCTCCTAATCCTTAACCTTATTATTATCCTCCTACGGGTTATTAGGCCTATTATTATTATTATTATTAAGGTGGAACTTATTAAGGAGGTTAGGTTTGTTCTAGTTTAGTTTATTTAAATACATTTTGTAACAACTAGATGCATGGTAGAATCAGTCTTCACATTCACGTTTGAAAGGATGTCATTGTCTTTTAGTATTTTACCTTGAAATATAATCTTCATTTAAGAAGGCTCTGAGTTAAATTTGGGAGTGAGTTTCTCCTTTAATTCTTTCACTGTGACATTAGGGTCGATTTCTATAACTTCGATTTGATCTGTTCCATGTTTGATTTTGATTGAAATGGTTGTCATGAAATTTAATTTATGATTTAAATCTAGAACAATTCATACTCTTCTATAATTTAAATAGTTTATTTCGATGAATAGATAATAGTAATAAAGACATTCACGTTAAAATTGCTAAATTTGCCATAAGTCAATCCAAGCAGATCGTTTGGTACTAAATAAATCTAGTCAAGGTTGCACATTAAACACAATGCTTAATGTAATAAAGAGAGAGAAGAGCGTAGCAATAACAATAATAATAACTAAGGCAATAATATTATTAGCAATAAAGATAGCCTTAATAAAGAACAAATAATTCACACAATTATAATAGAAATATCAATATCCAATAAAGTCAAGATAGTTCTGATAGCGATTAAGACGGAATGGTTCCATTTCCAAATTTTAATTGTAATTCAATTTAAAAACTCTAGAAATTTTTGGGCCTAATTCTTAATTTCAGAGATAAATGGACAATATGAGACATTAAATGAATGAGGCTTTCACTTTTAAGTAAAAATTTACGAGTATTCTAGTGTAAATTTTGGTTCCGATTCAATTTAATTTAATCTACAAACCAATGGAAGCTAGAGATAACATATACAAATCCAAAATATAGGGCCATCAATCAGAGTCTAACAATATTGTAATATGCCAAATGTTTAATTCTATACTGCCGATGATGACGATGATGAGGAAGATGAAAACTATTAAGAAAATTACTTTTACCAAGATGAAGAGCCAGAAGTCGAAGAAAGAAGACAAGCACAACCCATGAGTTCAAGTGAAATTAAATAGATACCAACATAGAAATACATACCTAACTAGAAAAATTTAAATTGTGTTGTTTGCATGATTGATTTTAAAAAATCTGATTAAGTCAAGTATAGTGTTATACTCATAAAATTATAGAATCTTGGAGTGTTTGCACTAGTTTCATTCTAAATGCATTGATTAATGGCTAAAATAGAAAGGAGAATGCCCTGTATGTAGACACTAATTAAATTGAATAATATGCACTATATATTTAATTGCATCAATCAATTAAGTTTATTAGTTCTTCAAAAATGTCCTTTAATAATTATTTATCCTTCTTATGTAGAATATTATTTGTAATTCAAACCCTTTATTTTTCAGGAAAATATATTAATTTATAAGAAAAACTATTAAATGAAAGATGAGATATTTGGATTTTATCGACTATCCTCTTTCTAATAAATACAAATTAACAATATATATAATATTTAATAAAATTTAATTTTCTGATTCAGAAGATTAAATAGAAATTTGTGATAATAGATATTTTAATCTAATTTATTTTAAGATTAGATAACTATTAGTATAATCTAGCTCCACATCAAATACATCTATGTTACAAAGAATTTCTCAATAAAATATCTTATATCTCTCTTAATTCTTAAATATAAATAAAACCCAAATTACATCTAATGTACATTTATTTTTAAATTTATTCATTCTATTTGTTGATTTTCTTTTCTAAATTAAAATCCATTCTTAGCTACAATCATTATTACATTATCATCTGATTTCTTCATTACAAATAAAGCCATTTCATTTAAAAATAATTATATAGTTATTCAGTAAGTTATGAATATTGAATAAGATTATTATACAAGTAACTATTTATGAATCAAGACTTACGTTGTATTTTATTTTATTAATAACAAAGAGTAGTTTGATGCATCTATAGAGATTACTTAAATAGATACTAGATAAATTGCAATAATTAATAAAAATAATTTATTATATATTAATTTATTGAGAATATTTAATTCTTTCATTGAATTTATTGCTATTGCATAAAAAATATATAATTATATTTTTATTATAAATGAACAATTTCCTTATTTAAGTTGATAAATTTGTAACATACCATTGCAGAGATTAGATGAACACGAATATACATTCTGTCTGTTTTCATTTCAGTAGTTAAAAGTTCTCTATCTATTGAAACTAATCTTTAATAATATTAGAACGTGTTCTTATTTTTTATTTCTAAGCTAATATATAAAACTCTAATGTTATTAAGTATTTGTTTGATTTATCAAATCCCACGACTGACTATTGGATTTTGCTGTGTTTAAAGTGAAAACTGAAATATGGTCTCACAAATGATATTTGATATCCAATTTTAATCTAATTCAATCACAATGCAATTAATGATTCATATAATTCACAGAACTCTTCATCTTTATTTCTAGTCATTAATGTTTAAGACTGTTGATGGGTAATGTTAAATTATATTCTGTAACAAATTATATAGAAAATTCATTTCTAAAATTGGCAGTTCTTACAGCAAATGTCGGCGTTTTCTTAATTAATAAATCCACATTATTCGCAAATCCAGTTATAGTGATTTTTATCATTGCTCATTTTTATTCCTTTTCCTTCAAAAGGTTTAAATGATTTTTTTTGAGTTTGAGTTTATTTTGGTTACCTTGTTTGCTTAGTTTATTTCTTCTAAGCCTTTTCTAGGACGTAATAGCCTCCCTTGTTTTAAAGTTTGGTGTTCATAAAAATATGAGCGATGTTTAATTTTTTGATAAATTAATTAATAATAGATGATAGAATAATGATCATCTTATTAAAATTCTGTTAAATAATGATATATTTTATTAGAGTATTATTTATTTACACTAATTAGAATTACAATAGCATTTTATTATATCAATAGAAATTCTGGAGAAATTTATTTGAAATTTACATGATTGGACAGCATATTCAAACCTTATGTTGTAAGATTAATCAAACTCGTATAATAAAAGAGTAAAAATAATATAATGGATTTTCCAAATAATTCTAAATATATCATAATAATATTATGGAAAATAATTGATTCTGTATTGATGTATGATAAATAAAATATAAATCTAAAGAGGAGAGATACAATCGTTTATAGTTAAACATTTAATTCATAATTTTACTAATTAATAGTTTGTTGCAATTTCTAATATACAATTGTATAAACTAAGTACTAATAAATTTTAAATATGCAACATAATTAGATTTATGAAATTGAATGTTCTATTTATAATGCAATTTGAGTATCGAATCAACGATAAAATGGTATATTACACAATTTTGAGGTCACTCACACGACTCTAAAATGAAGTCAAAATTGATCAAAAATAAATGTAAAATAAATTGAATTAAATATTTTAACAACAATATACAATTACTATACACAATAATGTTTTTGTTTTCAAAAACTCTCTGAAGTCTTTCTGGTCCATGCTGTAATTTCCTACTACTAAATACTCATATTTTTGGTTTTAATATTACTGAAATCAATGGATTTTTTTTTTTGTGAATGTCTGTCTAATGAATAAATACGTTCTCTTGAAATTTATTTCATTACGTTGAGTGAATTTGGCTGAGTAGTAATTTTATAATGTTGAATTTATAGAAAATAAGGATACTATTCCTAAAAATTTTCTCTACATTTCTATTGATTATTTCGATTGGTCGCAGGTCTGTTGAATTAGTTTAATATTACTCTCTTCATTCTTGTCAAATTGGCTGGATTTTTAATGCTTCTTTGAGGTTGTTATTTTTAAACAATGTCTTGTTCAATTTTATTATTTATTCTATAATTCCTCAAAATCTATTCAATATCTATTTCATTAGGAAGTACATTTATTATTCTTCTCTATTTGTTTAAGGCAAGAGGAGTATTGAAATTGAATAATTATGAATCACACATATTAATAATATTATTAAATTTAATTGATACTATAAAACTTTTCTTAAAATTATTCACAATGTATGTTTGATTTTTCTATATTGGGTAATTCACATCTGACCAGTTTCTAATTCTAGCCGATTTCTCATATGAGAATAATATTTTATATTTATATACTTAATTTAGAGTTTTTATTCTAAGGTTGAATACTTATTTATACAATAATAAAAACATATTAATTTGTATGTGTTAAATAAATTTTTTAATCAAATTGATTTAATTATAATAATTTCTCATTTAACTGTTAAATAATAGCTACTGTTTGAATCTATTTTGAGTATTATTTTGGGTATAGAAGGAGAAAATGATAATAAGTTTAACTAGATGTGCTGATTTACTTTTAATATTTAAATGGGTCTTTTCAATTCTTAATTTAGTATTAAATTATTTTAAAGATAAATATAATTTAGAGCAAAAACAAAGGGATTGAATTGCTATAAGAAACACTAGCCATACTGAAGTTGTAAATTAAACCAATATTTTTTAAAGATTTGATTAAGAATATACTATATACACAAATCAATCAAATTTAAACTTCATCTGAACTCTCTACAGTCCATTTTTTTGGGGTACAATTTCTTAAAAATCGTCTAAGTTGTAGGTTTTCAATCCTTTCTTGTTTTTTGGATGATTCAGGAATACTTGTAGGGACTTTTAGGGATATTCTTTTATTAATGGTATGATTTTATGTTTGTAAAGGTTACAACAAATAGGGTAAAACATCTGGTTCTATTTCATCGAAAGTTTTTTAATTATTTGGGTTTGATTTAGGTTTCACATGCTTTGGTTTTATTGAGACATCCAAAAAGTGATTAGGTCGTAACTCAAGCGTCCTTGCTGGTTAAGGGGATTTGTGAACAATTTTGTGAATAAGAGCCTTTTCAATTTATAAATATTCTTTTTCTTTTAATCTTATTTGTTCTCTTATTTTTTCAATAAATCTTTGTATGCCAACTTCGTAATTATTCATTTCTTTATTAATTGATTAATTTAAAATAAATGCAGATCATAAATACTATGATCAACAAATATTGCATCACTGTAATATAATCATAAATTCTTAATTATTAATTACATCATTCAATCATTTATAACTCAAATTAAACATATATTAATTAATATTATGATACCAAGGCTTCCTTTAGAATATATTACATAGGTTCTTGTTGCGAAAATATTCCCATTTACTGGAACTTATCTTCCTTAAATTGATAAAGATCTTAGTTTTTATTTTTAATGGACTGTGATCTCCACAAATTATCTAAAATATTATCAGTTGCAACTTGGATGACACTCTTTTTTTCTACTTTGTGGAATGAGATTCATTAGGAAACAATGGCCCAGCAACATTAAGTGTCTATAGGTATTATAAGCATAATACTGAATTCTCTAAATATCCTTTTTAAATGGAAAATGAGACTCATAAGATAAAATGTATATATGTATACTAATAGCTTATACAAATAATCAAAAATAATCATTGTTAATTTATTCATAATTTAGATTAAAAATGAGTAATAATAATAAAGCCAATATATATTAAAATCAATTTTTTGTTTATCTTTCATTTTGTTTAGTCGTCAACTTTGGTTTTCCTTGTTGCTTTTTAGTGATTTTTGTTTCTACAATTGTTTTCAACTTTAGAATTTCCTTCTAAAATCTATCAATTTGTTTGTTAAATTTGATATTTTCTTAACCATCTTTAAACACCTTATTATATAAATCTTAGGTTTCTTATTCATTGCATTGATTTGATTTTAGCTTTTAATTTTCCATAAGCAATTTTATTTTCTCTTGCTCAGCCAAATCCAATTATTTTTAAAGGAAATCCACTTGCTGCTGATATTCCTCTCTCATTTTTAAATGCATTTGCCTATAATTTGAATTAAGTCATACTTTAATTATTCCAATTCAATTTGAATTATTTCAGCTTTTTCTTGCTCTAATCTCTTAATTTATTCTTCTCTTTGAATTTCGTCATATGATGAAAGCAATTCTTTTAACTCTTGTTCTAAGCTGACATTTTTTTATCTCAGAGTTTCCAATTCATTCAATAAGCCAGCTTTATCCTGAAATAGAATTGTAGATTAATCAAAAGAACTAGGTTGTTGGGATTTCCTTTTTTCCATGTATTAATGAATCCGAGAATCTACTTCATCGATGTTCTTCATCAATTTATAAATATTGAATTTTGAATTGATAAAAATTCTAAGTTAATAAATAAATAACGAAATGCAATTAACTAAGAATTTCAGACTAAAAATAGTAAATTACATCTCTTTCAATAGCTCTTGTTTTCAAAGCAGTACTGATTGTTTATAAATTCAATAATAGAAAATATTTATACATATAAAAATTAGATATGAAATGTTAGTATCAAGTAATTTATGATCTCTTTTTATGAGGACTTTCCTATTTAATTTTCAGAGTAGTTATTCTTATGGCTGAACTAATGATTTTTTCTGATCTTGCTCTAAATTCATTGAAATACTCCTAAAATAAATCATTCCATTATTCCACATCTAAATTAATGTCAAAGATTGGTCTTGATGATCTCATCAATTGTTCAACTACTTTAAATGTTAATCCTGGATAAGGATATTAATCTTCATTAAGTTAATTAATTTGTTGAATCTAACCTTGTTTATATTTTAGAACAAATTTTGAAGTTTTTTCTATGTTAGATGTCAATTTACATTTTTATCTTGCATTTAATTATCTTTATAGATATATTTGTTTTTCGATTTAGTCTAGTTCTTTCAAAAATTAAATTTCCTAAGGTGTCAATTTAGAAAATGTCTTGATTCTTGCAGATCCAATGAGAGCCTTATTCTTCTCTTTAAATTCTAATAAATCAGAAAAGAACTAATTGAAAATATCTAAATACCTTTTACATTTGTAAAACATACTTTCTTCTCTCTTTTAATAAATGCGAAAATAGAACATCTTTTTTCAATTTGCATTCCAACAAAGTTAATTCTTCCATTAGATTGAGCTATTAAATTTATGAGAAGTTTAACTTAATCCTGTATTAATTAGGCAATTATATTTTTTCAATATATCTAGTATAAGGTAGTAAAACCTAGTTTGATTGTTTAAATTATTTTTTTTATTTTCTTTCATTTTCTTACTTTATTGCAATTTATTTACTAACATAATCTCGCAGCATACGACCATGAAGTAGAATGTGTTTTGGGAATTTTCTAATTTAAATAAAATTTATACAATAATTTTGAAATTTAATCCTGATTTAGCAATTGATTAGTTAAATATGAAAACTCATCTTAAATATATTTAGTAAAGTTTGATTGGCAAGCTTTTAATTCCTCCTTATCTTAATTTAGGTTGACACATTTAAACTATTTTAGTAAATGCTCATCCCAATAATAATTAAGAACACTCAATTGAATTGAAATACTGTTATTAAACCAAGCACAAAATTGCTATGTAACTATTGCAGCCTTTTTTACACTTGCAAGTCCTATGATCACCTTAAGTCTAACTTAATGTCTAAGCTGAAATATATGAAGTTTTCTAATTCTTTATTATTTTCTTTTTATTCTGAGTTTAATTTTATATCTGACAATGAAAGCCGTAAGAATCTTTCTGGCAGTTGCATTTAATTAATTCATAATTTTAACAAGAATGTACTTTTTTCTAAAGTAATGTTATATTTTCTTAGCGGAAATATTTTGTAACAATTCACTCCTCCTATGATCTATAACATTGCGACTAGTTTACAAAAATATTTATCCAATATTTTAAATATTCAGAAAAGTTAATAATTCTTTGAATAAATTTTATCTATATTGCTTTTCTAGTTACAACTATTTTTGTTTCTATTTAAATTCTTATGACTTTTCATAAACAACTTAGGTAAAATAATTGGCTCTTTCTACTTGAATTTCTTCTTTTTTAAGAGTTACTAGTTTTGCTTTTTATTGATTTTCCTATGCTTTTGTTTTTATGGATTCCAATATTTATTCTTTATTTAAAATTGGCTTGATTGATTGTAAACTGATCTAACTTATCCTTTCAAATTCTTACTCCCTTTATCTTTTTTTCTATAAGACTTTCTAGGCTCTTTCCTAATGAAGTAACTATATCTATTCTTTTGTAGCTTAAATAATGCTTCTATCAAATTGATCATATTTATCGTGATAAACAGGTTTCGTAATTTTGAATTTGTTTCTAAATTAATTAATTTGCACCCTCTCTGGCATTTTCAAATGCAAATCTTATTTCTTCTCCTCAGCTTAATTCAATATCGATAACAAAAGCCCTTCCTCGTCTTTCTCCTTTGCCAATTGTATATATTCGTATTTCAATTAATCGTTATCAGTTTATATTACACAATCTAACTCAATAAATTCTTGCGATGGATTCTTAGCCACTCTATCAGTATTTGAATATTGAATTGGTATATACAATTGGCTTTCTTATTCCATTTTTTACATTTCCGCATGTACACCATCAAATAAAATAGGAAATTTAATTTAACTGTTTAATTTTTAATTTATAGATGTTGAACTATGAAATATCGATGATGAACTCCCCTTAAGGGATTTATTTTTACGAATTAATTTATTTAAATCTAATGGTTCCTACCTTTGAATAATTGGTGATGTGGCTTCGCTTTTTTTCTTCTCATACTCTATAGCATTCTTCTTATTCACATAGGTTTGAATGAGTGAAGCCTCTTCTGAAATCACTTTATACTATTCAGTTTTGAAATGTTCAAAATTCAATAATGGCAAATTAACCCTATTTTCTCCTTATATAATTAATCCAGTGTTGTAAGGGCCCATGTCGAAATCAATAATTTTTAATTAGATTTCTAATGGAACAGGAGGGTAAACTTCTTCAGGGAAATTGAAAATACTGTCCTTTTTATTGCTTCCCCAAACATAAAGTTGACCAGAACTATTTAAAGCTCCAAAATGATCAAGACCTGCAGCCACTTTAATAAATGGACTTTTTTTCTTTATTATTTTACTTGGCATAGTAGCCTTTGATAGATCCATCTTAAAAGGGCCTTTGCCCCAAGTATATACATCACCTTTAACATCAAGTGCTATGCTGTAATTGGCTCCACAAACACATTAAATTGCCTTTGCTTTAAAATCAATGATTAATTTAGGTTCTTTCTACTCAGATACATCGAATCTCATGTATCCAAGCTTTCCATCTTAAAATTCACCCCAACTCCACACATTTCCATTTTCTTCCCAAGCTAAAGTGTGAAATGGACCACATGATATTCCACAGAATTGAATTTAGGTTTCTAATTATTTTCCAAATGAATGCAGCACTAGATTTTTTGTAAGAATATAAAGAGCGTTGTTATATGTGGAATAATCTTGGATATCAACAATGTATTTAACATTTAGTTTAGAATTCCTTCTTGTCGAATGCAAAGATGGAGGGTTGCTTTTTTCATCAATAATTACTTGTTAATTGAAATATCTTGTTATATTTAATCCTTTGATCTCGAAAGATTTTCCTTAGAAGTCCTTTGAATATGAAATCTTCTCTGTTTTCAATAATTAAGTAAATTTCAAACCTGGAATATTTCCCCAAATATATAACTACTTTGTAGTCGTATAAGCAATAACAAAATCAATGCCTCCACCTATTTTTAAAAACTAAACATTCATTAATTTTGATAAATTGATTGGCGTTTTAATAGATGAAACCCTTTCCGCTAATTGTCCATATAATGATTCTCCAAAACCCCATAAATTTTGATTGACTAATTTTGTCACAATATTTACTATCAATCATGTATGTATTCTATTAGCAACATTTAATGTAAACAAATTTAATGCTTATTTCTTTATCTTTGATCTTGGGGAACACAACTCTGTTTAGCCAAATTCCATTGTTATTCATGGCTACAGTCTCTAGATTGAAATCACTTGGTCCACTGACAATCACTAATACTTGTAATTCATTTTACCATGAGTCATCTTCTATAATATTAATAAAATAATATATCAGATCTTGCAATAAATTTTTTTATAGAATAATTTAATTGACTCATGTTCATACTCCTTCTTTCTCATTTCTAAATTTTTAGTGTCTGAATTTAATTTTTTTGTATTGCCATACAAATTATCCAGCATCAATTCAGTGTGAGAAGCCAAGGAAGAATCTAGAATATATTTCACAATTTACTGTCATCTTCTAAACATATGTTATCTTACGAATTTACTTTGATTGAATTAGAGGTGTTTTTAGTTTGCAAAAATATTCCATTTCGAGCAAGACTAAAATTTTTCATAATAACCTTACATTTAACTTGAAACCTTAGTTATTTTAAGTAATTTGGTGTTCATTTTAGGATCCACTTAATCCATTTCCGTTTAGAGAGCATTGATATCCGTTTTTAAGAGAGTGTTCATATTTGATTTCGAATATTGAGAATATGATCTGCTTTAAGTTTATTTTTTTGACTTACTTTTTTCCAGATCGGATTCATTTTATAAAAGAGGATTTTATTTCTTATTATCTTAAAATAAATATTCTAAAGTCCTTCTAGGTTTCATTATATCGCCTTGAGATGATTCCTTAGATACATTTAATTCAATAACTTTGGAGCTTCCCCTAAATTATTGTCTTATATTACATTTTGTTATTCTTGTTAAATGTCCTATTTACTATAGGACTCGATTCTTCTTCATGTTTAGATCTTTTATTAAGGTTCATTTGCACTTTTTCGGCTAAATTTAATTCTGAAACCATTCTTAACATATTTAATGGTTTTTAGATTGGCTTAAATTTTAAGAAAAATGTTTCAGGATCTTTGCATCTAATTAAAGAAAGAAATTTCTTTTTGCTTCTATCTAATAAATATGATTTTTATTAGATAACTTATTTTTCATGAATGATGTTATCTAATTCTCTTTAACGTGCAACTTTTTTAATATATACATTTCTTTCTTGTGTTGTTTTTAAATTTCTAATTTGCCAATAAAACAATACTTTAAAGAAGAAGAAATTCTATGCAGCTGTTTAAACCACTTTTCATCCTATTGACTTTGAGTTCTCTACAATCTTTAATTAGGAGTTTTTTCTAATTAATTCATTTATTTTATTATCCTTTATAATGCAAAATAATTCATTCCACTTTTCCCCCATTATTCTAAACAAACTAATAAATACTCTATTGTAGAATTCATATAACATTTTTTTATAAACGTCTCTTTTTTTGAAAACTAAATACACCTCATAATTTACATCTTTAAAAGTAAATAGGAACAATAATACAAGAACTTATAGATAAATAAAAATATAATTATGAAAATGATATAAATGTAGAGTTGTTAACAATAAAGTATGAAATGATAAATATTTGAAATAATACATAAACATTCTCAATTTTCTTATTAGGATTATTGGTATAATTATAGGGTTGGGAATTGTCTATTTCCTCTTTTCGTCGAGTTGAATTAATTGATTTATATTTTTGATGATTTAATCACGTATTACCAATTTTATTTTTCTTATCATAATTAAAAAGCCTGTTTTAACAATATGAATTCAGAATTAGGATCTTTTACAGAGCGTGCACCACTCAAGACTTAACCTTCAATACCAAAACAACCACAAAGGCCTGCTTTCTTAAAAACAGTGAATCTAAAAACTTTGCAAAATCATAATATAGTTTCCTTTCAAAATAAAATTTGGAGAGAAAAAGCACTAGTAGTCCTAATTTAAGTACTTCGGTTTATTTCCCTAATAACTCGGAGTCCGTTTGCATCCAAGTTTTCATTGTTGGATGGAAATATGTTCAGAATCATAGGTGATAAAGCAGCTGACTTCAATTACTATTTGTTACATGATTACTTTAAATATATGGTAGTATAATTAAATAACTTAAGAAACCTTAACCATCATCTAGACTAAAGTACTTTATTTAAAAACATCTTTACTAATGCTGTTAAATGAAAGGAATTTTGGACTCAATTATCAATTTAAAGATCACTTTAGAACCAGAATCTATATTTCTCATTGTTTGGAATGTAATTCTGCTCATCCATATCAATCTCAACACTCTTTACATTACAGTGAGGTTTTCATTTGATTTTGAAAATTATCCTCCTGAGAGATTTTAAATTTGCGAAGTCTTTTTATTTAAAGTTCCTTTTTACCTCTATCTATTTGACATACTCATAAAAATGAATACATGTTATTACGAGTTAGGATATCTTGTAAGAGATCGAAATAAAATCATGGCCAATTTCTATAAACACCGTAATATCCCAATAATTATTAGATTTTTTGATGAATCTTCTGATTATTGTTCCATCATTGATATATTTGATTGGTGTAACTGAATTACCTTTATATTTATTTTTGGTAATAAAAGGATTTTCTATTCCCGAGATAATGGAATCCATTATCGATAGAATGGAATTAACTACTAATTATTGGGTAATATACGATCTGCTTCGATTGATTTATGTGATACTATATTAATCCCATTTATGCTGTTGTGGATTATATTATGTAGGCCTATTAGATAAAGAAACCTCATGGTTATTAACAAACAATTTGATAAACGAAACATGGATTATTAAATACGTATAAATTTAGAGTGAATAAAATAGTTTAGCACATATTATTGGAGCATTATTACCATGACCACTATAGGATATGGGGATGTGACTCCGTAAAATTTGATGGAAAAGGTTTATCTAATTTTTGTTGCCATAGTTTCTTGCTGCACTTTTGGTTATTCAATTAATAGTATAGGATAAATACTGGGATAATTATAATCAAAAAATCATTAAATAAGAGTTGATTTAAATGATCTTAAGTAATTTCTAAGAGTTAGAGGTTATAATCATAAATTGCAAATTAAAATTCTGAGATTTTTTGAGTTTTTGTGGAAGGATTAAAGCAATGAAAACAAACTAGATCTTAATAAATTTAATTAGTAGCTTCCATCTCATCTATATAATGTATTACAATCCAACTATTTTCTAGGAAATGATGATAGATCTGAATATGAAGAGTATTTCAAAGATTCCCTTTTTTAAAGAGAACTTCAACGAAGACTTTATTTCAGCACTTGCCTCAAAATTTGTGGAAGAAAAATTAGTTCCTTTTAACACTATATTTTAAAAGAATGATCCCAGCAATTTTTTATATATACTATGCGACGGTGAAATTGAATACTTTGTTGAAATTCCTGAGGGATCTGCAAATATTTTAGGCATCCAAATCGTTTCTGGATAAGATTAGATATTTGGATAACAAGAATTTCTATTGGATTAAAATTATGAAATTGGATGTAGATCATTGACATCCTCTAGAATTTTGAAAATCTCTAAAAACGATTTCTAAACTATCGCAAAAAAATATGGATATGTATAAATTATTTGAAATGTTTAGGAAAAATATTGTTAATTGAAAGATCTTGTCAAATTTTCTGGTCGATTTGATGAATTTCATCTGCATTGTGTTGGATGCAATAAATCAACACATATGCTTTATCAATGTCCTATGTTAACGGGTTTTCCCAACAAGACAAAAATAATCATCTAATATCGAAAAAATAAAATTCAAGAAAGAAATTACTATTGCAGATAAAATGCTAATAGAAGACTATCATCCTTAATTTTTGAGGCTTAGATATCAGACACTGTTCTGTATTATTTAATGCAAGATCCAAAATTGTCTTAATAAATAAGTTCAAAGTACTTTATCTAATCACTGAAATAATAACAACATTAAAAAGAGTAAAATAAAGAAACTTAGAAAGATCCTAATTTATAATATGATACAAATTATACTAACAGAAAACTGTCAGTTTTAAATATAAAGGGTAGAAAATAGTCACAGTATATAAAAAGGCTGCCAGGATTTTTGAATAATTCTCTTTTAAATTTTAAAAACACACAGGAGGACAAACTTAAGGCTGCTTTGGAATCATTTTCAAAGAATGTTTCAGGGTGTAATTCAGAATAATAAACGCCTCAACTTAAAGAATTAAAAAAATTTAAGACCCATTTAGATAAGAATCAAGATGAGATAAACCCATTAGAACATAATAAGATAACTTAGGATATAGGAAAATCTCTACTTTTTAAATCTATTAATCAATCTACAAATTAATGTTAATCTAATGAACCAGACACAATAAGTGAGATGGAAAATTCTTCTGATTCTGAAATTAGTGAATCTTCTTCATCGGAATTGAAGGAAATCAGTCCAGCAATTAATTATTTAAATTAATAACATATGGGAACTTACAAAGATATTTATGAGGAATTTGATAAATGCTAAGATTTTCAAAATTATATGTCTCATATGAATTCTCATAAAATTTTAGAATAATTAAATCAAAATAAAGATTGCTAGAACTTCACAGATTTCATGATTGTTAATTTTGTTAGAAAACGTAGATCCAAAAGAGCAAAACTAATAATCAAAATTGATGATTGAAAAATGGACTATATGAGCAAATATGGTTATAATCTATTAAATTATTATTTTATATTCAATTGAAATTTAAAGCAAATAAAAATAAGATAAATAATTTAATAGAGAGATAAATGAGAAATGTGAATATATTTCTTGCAGTTTGACTAAATTTCCCATCAATCCACAAACATCTTAGCATCATAATTATCTTCAACTATATTCCATCCACCAATCCCCCAATCGTTCCTGTTAAATGTAAATGTAGGTTCTGACTTTTTTGTCTTTTTTTCAATACTAGGTTAGCTTTTTAATATGTTAGTAATTGTTTGTTTCGCACTAGTTTGGCTTCTGCATATAGCAGGAGCAGTTTCGACCCTTAGTTATTCATCAGGAACATTATTTTATTATTTTAATCCCAATTTTAGTTTCAGTTTCTTAAATGCAGGACATTTACTATGTATACGATCAGTCTAAAATGAAGCCAATGTTTAGGTTGGTAAAATTTTAAATGCACATATAGGAAGTGATATGTCTTTCTCCTTTGAATATTTTCTTGATGAGAATAAAGATTTGATAAGTAAAGGATTCTTTATTTAAACTGGTTGTCTAACTCCATATTTTGAGGATTGCGCATGATAAAATTAAGGTGATGGTTTCTTAGTCAAAATATCATTTTAAGCCTTCCTTGTTGAAGAAAGATGATATTTGATGACATCTTTATTGTAGAGACAATCAATTAATAATTCTTTATCCATAATTAATAATAATTATATTTTCTCTACTTTTTCTTAATATTATTTTCTAATCCAATTAAAATATGATTCTTAGATATACTAGCTTTGATCAAGCAATCAATTGAATTAGAACAAACGAAAAAATTTGATAATTTCTAATATAAAAATGAGATTAACTAATATTTAATGTTTAGAAATTAATATAGAATTCTGGAATTTAGTTGATTAAAATTATAGAAGACAAAGCAATTCAAATCATTAATTAAAATTCTCATAAAATTAGAATCTGTGATTAGATTCTGTGTAGGAAGAAATATTTGAAACCTTCTCCCTAATATCCTGGTTCAATTTAGTGTGATGCTTTTGTTAAGTCTGACTCTGGTCTTATCGTTGACTTTGATGCTGTTAGTTTTCATGTTATTAATTATTCTATTGTTATTGATTTGCTGACTAATTTTATTTACCTTCCTCTTATGAAACATTACTCATGAAGTTTGTAATCAGAAATCCGAAAAGCAATACAATCCCTATGATAAAAATAGAGTTGAGATTTAAGAAGCTATCTTATTTTTGATTAGGAAATTCTGTGTATGAGTTATAAGTTCTTCTGAATGGATCATCAGTAAATGTATATGTTCTGGTATATGATTAAGAATATCGCCTATTGTTGAAAAGCATATCATCATCTTCTTTATCTGCATTACCATCTATTATTTCTTAATAAGCATGAGTTATTTTTTAATACTTTTCATGAGCTCCAGGAGAATGATTCTTATCAGGATGATATTTCAAAGATAATTTCCTAAATTATTTTTTTACGCTATCCAAATCAGCTCCTTTTTTTAATCCTAAGATTTTATAATAATCTTCTTTGGCTAATGTTAATGCCAATAAAATGAGAATCAAAATTTTCATTAATTTAAATTATATTCAAAACTTTTACATTCATTAAAATTTAAGCTTCATATTATAGACATGTTAAATCATTAAATGTAAAGTTGAAACATATGTCATTATATAACTTCATGATTTTGATTGTTCAATCTCAGGTTTAATATTGTCTATTGTTTTTTTCATTTGTTAGTATTTAAAAACTAAAAATTAATTGAATAAACATACTTCTTCCTTTTTGGTAAAACTTTGATTTAAGTTCTCTAAATGCTTTTGTTTCCTTATCTTCTTCTTCATCTGGATGTACAACTACAGGTGCTGCTCTTTTTGGTTTTCCTTGAATAATGGTTTAAATGTATTGATCTCTTTTTAAATCCTCCATTTATGCTAGCTTTTAAGCTTCCTCTCTAAATTATAAGATAATAATATTACTCAAGAGATAAATTGACTTGGATAATACCACCGACATAGAAGGATGGGTCCTTTTCTTCATTTTTCGATAAAAATTTGGCTTAAGTCTTAAAAGAGATAGAAGCAAATAATATACCTCACGAATTTCTTCTAAGAGTTCAGCGTCTCTTTATTATTCATCTTGAACATTCTCAACCTGACCACAAAATGCTAAGGGATCTACACTCTTAATTTTTTCTTAGACGTATTTTTCCATGAGTTTATCTGGCTTTTCAGTTTTTTGCTTAATGTAGTTTATGCTCGTTAATCCTCGAGCGGAATCTTGATTAAGGAAATTTCTTTCTCTTTCATTATTAGTGGCTGACTTTTTTTGAGAGATCTATTTTTCTTTGGCCAATTATTAAACATTGATTCCAACTCTTTTTTATTTCTAAATTGATTTATCTATTTATGGATGTTGATTAAGATTAGAATATTATAATTAATCATCGTCTTTATCATTGTCAATCAACTTAATTTCTTATTTCTTAATTTTCTTAGAAAACATAATTTACAATAATTATTAAATAATAATGAAATATACTATTAATAATATTTTAATATCCTAAATCAAGATAATGTTGCGGTTTCTCTTCTCTTCTATCTACTACTTTTATTTGATTCCAAATATATCGGAAACTAATAAAATAAATTAATTCAGTACCTCTTTTCTTTATTCAACTGGAACATAATTTCTTTTCTCAGGACCAACATAATTCTATCTTGGTCTGACGATGTTATTTTCTTTGTCATTCAAATATTCCTTCCAATGTGCTAACCATCCTGCCACTCTTGGAATTGTGAATAACACTGGGAACATATCAGTTGGGAATCCCAATGCCCTATAGATAACTCCACTATAGAAATCAACATTTGGATATAATTTTCTTTAAATGAAATATGGATCTGAAAGAGCAATCTTCTCTAATTCAATTGCTATTTCGATCAAGGGTTCTTTGCCAGTAATTTCAAAGACTTAATAAGCTATCTATTTGACTATTTTAGCTCTTGGATCATAGTTTTTATAAACTCTATGTCCAAAACCCATCAACAGTTTTTTTCTATCTTTGACATCCTTTATGAACTATGGGATATTCTTGAGATCACCAATCTCTTCCAACATTCTAAGAACGGCTTCATTGGCTCCTCCATGTTTGGGTCCATAGAGTGCTCCAGCAGCACCAGCTATGGCAGTGTAGATATCAACTCCACTTGAACTCAAATGTCGAACGAATGCAGTAGAGCAATTCAATTCATGCTCTGCGTGCAAAATAAATAAGACTTCCAAAGCCCTGGTAATTTTAGGATGTGGTTTGTATTCTTTTTCATTCAATTTATCGAGCATGTATAAGAAATTCTCAACATAACTCATATTCTCATGAGGCATATTGTGTTCTCTACCAATTCTATTTCTAAAACTATTGGATGCAATAGTAGGTAATGATCCCAAAATACGATAAATCTATTTATTCACAATATCTTTATTCTTGTAAACTCCTTCTCCTGCTAAAGCTGGATTAACTTCAGGATGAAAAGTTGAAATAGCAGCCAGAGTTGAGATTAACATACCCATTGGATGGGCATCGTATCTAAAGCTCTTCATCATTTGGGATGCATCTGTGTGGATGAATGTATGCTTCCTAAGCTTTTCATCCCATTCCTACAATTAACTCTTGCTTGGTAATTCTCCGTTAATCAGCAAGTAAGCCACTTCAACAAATGTTGATTTCTCTGCTAATTCCTCTATTGGTATTCCTCTATATTCCAAAATTCCCTTGTCTCCATCGATGTAGGATATTTTAGATGTCTAATAACATTCAGAATTATTTCTTACGCAGCATATTGTGTTCATATAACCTGGATCATAAACTCTCAAAGGCTGACCTTGATATTGAAGAGCACCCAATTTTGTCGCATGGATAAAATCGCTTTCTCTAGATGTACTGATTGGAACTTCGATAGTTTTGCCTGTTCTATTGTCAGTGATTGTCAAGTGATGAGCCAACTAATTAGCGTAGAGAGCCAACCTATTCATTATATTTAATAATATTGACTCATACTTAAAACACTGACGTCTTATATAAATATATATTAAATTATTAATGGAATAATTATATCATCGAGATCCCACATATTAAGAATAGGAAAAAAAAAGAGAGCAACTCCTAAATAAGTTGCCACAACCCAATTTAAGTGCAAATTTAGACGAATTGATTAACAACTCAATTCAGCTCTCATCAAAAGGAAGTTCAGATTTTTTTATCAGTAAAAAACTCAAAAGCGCTAGAGAAAAACCTGACAGCGAAGTATTCATCCATTAATCATTCTTAAGGAACTTATGCAAAAATTATTGAGGAAATTTGAAATTGAAGAGTATGGCACCAATTTTACCAAAGATGTCTATGACCCAAAGAAGATAGGCGATGACTCTGTGGTGGATGATAAAAAAGTACTTAGATATACTGTTCCTAATGTAATTATATTCTGTATATTAATTTCTAGAGTTTTACACATTCAAATAGATGAATAGGATGTAAATAAATATATTAATCAATATTATAATTATCTATAAACTCAATGTTAGTTTAAATTTCATCGCTTTACTAATAACGATTTTGCCATTTAAACAGCTGTGTGCTAGTCTACCAATAATTCAACCAAAGCCAATGCGAATTCTATGGCAGTTCCTGGAGATCTTGATGTAATAAACTTGTTGCTGACATGAACTCGATCCTCTGAAAATTATCCTTTATAATCCTAAACATGAGCTGGATGACAGGTTCCTGTTGAATTAATCATAAAACCATTCTTGTCCAAAACCAACTAGGGAGAAGCACAAATGGCAGCTATCCATTTCCCTTCCTCCTATTGTTATCTTAATCGATCCAACTATGATCAAATTAAATTTCTATCTTACCAAAGGCTAATGTGTTCCTAAAGATTACGCATTTGACAGTCCCCCTGGAAGAGCTATTAGATCAAATTGCTATTTTAAAACTGCCTCTGTTAAATATGTATCACATATAAAAGATATTCCAGATCTACCCACTATCACAGGAGCTTTTTCATCTTCAACAGGCTTTATCGATGCAAATGTAACATCGATATTTGCTCTTCGTAATATATCGATTATAGCCACAGTTTCAATTTCTTCGCATCCATCACCAACTGGAACAAGCACTTACTTATTCTAATTTTACATATTTATATTATGATTTTTAAATTCAGTTCATTCATCAATAAGAATAATTGACATGCATAATAAATCATCAATCATTCATTCCAATCCCTATGTCATAATGCTCATCTGAACAAAGTAAGTGTATTTATCTATCATCATCTTAACCATAAATTTTGATCTCTACTTAGCCTTTCAATTTATTAATACTGTATTCGTGAATTTAACTAAATATAAACTAAAATTGTACATTCTCAGTCTGTCAGCTAACAATTCAAAAATTTTATTCGCATCGCTTAAATCACTTTCCCAATACAAAATCTCTTCTGCTTCTTGATGTTCACTAGGAGCTTAATTATTTAATAATAATGATATTAAATTTCTAAAGTAAATAATAGAAAGTCCATAAAATTGGCTTTGTCTATCATTCATTAATAGTTCCAATTAAGTTATTGGATACTCTGTCTAATAGATTTCTAATAGTTTTTATAAAAAGTAGACTTGATGATTCTAAAACATTTTCTCATCAATCAAAAATGACCTACTCTTGATGACTAGGTTCATGGTTTTAATCCAACTCATTTCATTTTCTAATTGATTCAAGTTTGGGGATTTTAAAGCATTTTCCAAAAATGAAAAAGATAAGGCGGCAAAAAGACTGTTAGGATCTTGCTTTACTTTTCTATATCCAATTAAGTTTTCCCTTAACTTCATTGAAAATCTCTAATTATTCACTCCCAATTCTTTTTCTATTTAATTTTAGTTTAATATTTAGCTTATAAAAACATCATCTGGATTGTAGTTATCATGAATATTGTATAAACTTAAAATCCAATTCCTAACATCATCTTATTAATTCTTAGCTAGTTTGGGCATAATTGGATTTAACACCAACTTACTTTCTTCTTATGATTAAATAAATAGTTAATAATTTTCATTTTAAATTTAGTTTTCAAATGGTTTTCTGAATTAAGTTGTTTGAATTTGTATGTCTTCAATCAAGAATTTCTCACTCTTTTTATTTACTATTTACTTTTCTTATTTTGAATTTTTATCAAAATTTGGTTGTTCTTAATTGCTTTGATTTAAATTACTTATAGGAGTTGAAATTTTGTTCAGAGAAAATATTGTTTTTTATTAATTGTCATTGCAATCCTCTTCATTTTAGATTGTGTTTTCTTAAATTAATTCCTGTTCTTATTGAATCTCTTTAAGATTCTGCCTCTTTTGAAGTTCATTTGTATTAAAAATTTTATAAGTTTAATCCTTGCTTGATTCTTATTCCATCATATATGAATCGATAGCGTATTTGATAATAATAGCAATGAAAAATGCTATTATTACCAAGACAATCATTGATAAAATTTCATTAATCATAATTATTAATTTAACTAATATTCTAGAGGAAAATAATTTATTTAATTCTTATACACATAATTGCATTAGATCTTTTACTTCGAAAAAGGATTTCTTGTCAATCTATTCCCAGCAACAAGAGTAGTGAAGTAACCTCACAATTCCTCTTATTTGAGATAATTTTGAAAGATTAATCGAATCTATTCCATATATCAATTAAATGAATTAATCAATATTTTTGTCTTTAACTCTAACTTATAATAAAATCCTGTTTCCCTATTAATAAGTATATAATTACTATAGAAATTAAATTATTCAGAACTAATAACTCTGACATAGGATTACATCCTCGTTAATAATAGAGTTTTAGATTATTTATTTACACCTACCTAATCAGTTTTAATTAAGAGTACTTAAAAGATATGATAGAAATAAATAATATGCAATTTTATCTCTAAACTCTAACACATAATTCTCATACCATATTATTAGAGTCCGAATTTGCTTGATTATGTATCTCTTAAATAGTATTTTGTTAGAAATTTACAATTAAGTACAATTTTTCTATTAATCAACTTGGTGTATTTAATTATTAATTTATATAAAAATGTAGGATACTTGGTTAACCAAACAAGTAACAAAATATATCGTTATTAATGAAAAACTGAGTTGTGAAGCATTTGGTTGTTTATATAAGGGTTTCTACAAAGAGGATGAAACCAAACTAATCGCTGTTAAGATGGTCAAAATAGCCGTAACTTTATCATAAGCAAGACCTTCTAGGTGTTTGGGGAAAATCCAAAGCTTCTTGAATTGTTTAAATAAGAAATTGCAATACTTTAAAAAATCAATCATCCAAATATTATAAGAATGCTTGATATCATTCGTACCATTAATTATGTGTACATTATCCTTGAATATTGTGCAGACGGTAACCTCAAAAAATACATTGCGAAAAAGAAAGAAAATAGACTTAGTGAAGTGAAACTTTAATTTATTATAGGTTGAAGCAATACTCTTTCTCAATCATATTGTTGAAGGCTTTAAAGTTTTGTATTAGAATAAAATAATACATCGTAATATTAAGCCAGGCAACATATTGTTACATTAAGGAATAGCCAAGATTACTGATTTTAGCATAGCTTGTGTGATAGATTCGGATATGAATGGTTTTCATTTTCGTATTTTATTTCCTTAGCTCCAACATAACTTACAAAAATGGGAACACCCCTATACATGGCCCCACAAATTCTATAAGGAAAGCCATTTTCATCGAAATCAGACATCTGGTCTTTGGGAGTAACATTTTATGAAATCCTCTATGGTCGAGTACCTTGGGAAGCCAAAGATTTTGAATCATTTTTTGAAAATGTCCAAAAATAAGTATCCCAAGTGTATAATATAGCCCATATCCTTTCCGAATAAGCCTGTCAGATCAAACGGAGTGAAGGATCTTATAACGAAAATGTTACAACTTGAAGAGAGCGATAGAATATCCTGGGAGGAAGTATTTGAAAGTCAAATTCTAAGAAAATAAGAATAGTTTATCCAACCAGACTTCATAAATTTATTTTAAGAAAAAGGTTTATAAAAATAATATAATTAAGATGAACTCGGCTAATCAATTTTAATTAATAAGTGCTATCTTGATCAATATTTAGTGGCTCGATATTTAATTTAGGATCATATTGTCATTCTTGAAAAGTAAAAGGAAATAGCTTTAAAGACTTTTGGTGAAGTTAGATCCAAATCAATAAATTATGAATAAGACGTTAATGTAAGTTTTTGTTCTGTAAAAAATAGAATGAAATTCTTTTACGTAATTAACAATGTGAAATTAAAAGAAAAACTGCGATGCTTAAATATTATAATTACTTTTTATTTGAGAGAAATGTGGCCTTTTTCTTTAATTTTGTTGTCCAATAAATTATTTAATTGTAATAAAAATTAAAGTTGCCAAATGATAATTATTATGGATTACTTTTTTTTATTGCTAAAAATTAGTTAATCCATTTAGAAAGAGTGAATGAATAATTTACGAAAAAGGTTCATGAAAAGTTTAACTAAGAAACATGGGAAAGATTTTTATAATCTGAAGTATTAACAACATCATTTTCTAGGAATTTAGGAAATTAACATAATTAATCTAAAAAGATTTGAAATAATCTTTAGATTTCTTTTAACAAATTTCCAAAGCCTTTAATAAGACTGTAGATATTGAACTATTAAAGGGATAAATATCTAATAAGACGAAAGATTTAATTTTAGAAATCGAAAATTTTTATGACAATTCAATTAAAGTTAATGAAGGCTTTTATCATTTATATCACGAAATTATTGGAGATAATATTAAACAAATCATCAATCTTAAAAGTTAAGAAATAGATATCAATTTACTCATATTATATCTTTCAATTTGTTTAAATCCTTATGAAGAATTCAAAGAGATTAATTTTGATTTCGACATATTTTATGAATAGACAGTGTAACACAAACTTAATGATATTTATGGAAGATTATAGTAAAAAGGGGTTAAGTTAATAATTGTAATATGATTTTGTTTTATTGTTATTATATTATAAGACCTGTTTATTTTTATAAATATTTTGCTAATCGAATTTTCGAAATTTGTTTAAATTTAGTAGAAATATTTTGTGCTAATTATATTTTGTTTTCAATCAATAATTTATGCAAATTGAAATTCTAAAAACAAATAATTTATTAAATTGTATGTCTGATAATTATAATAATATCTATTATTATTATTAAATCGTCATTAACAAAATTAATAGATCTCATTTATTATATGTTATTTTTCAGAAAACCCTTACTTATATTGAAAATTATTGAAAATGCAATATCTTCATCTTCAAATTTGCTAGCTTTTAATTGATTATTGTAATACTTACATTAGCACCAAAAATTTGAATTATAATTAATCACATAATAAAGATATAATTCAAACAAAATTAATCCGTGATTGATTTATAGAGAAACTTTTCTAATCAAATTTTGCTCTAATTAATTAATTGATATATTGACTGGATCAAATAAGAGACCTTTCTTACTTTACATTTCCCTTTGGTTCTTCTGGAATATAGCTAACCGCATAAAAGCCTGATGCATCCAGGATCGAATGTTTCTTTGATTTATTTATCTTTAAAAGCTGAATCATCTACATATATTTTCTGATTGCGTTTATAAGTAATGTTACAACTAAGCTCTTAAGAATGTTAATATCTTAAAAATTGAAGAATAACTCTGATAATATTCAATTTTAATAGGACAACTAATTTCCACATATTAATCAACTAGGAATCATTAGATTGTATAAAATATTTCCGCAAATAGAAAATAATTCTTATTTAAATCTAATGTAAATAATGGGAAAACTGTTCATAGAATCTGTAATTAATGAAAATTAATATTAATAAGTGTTAAGAACAATTTATTTTTAAAGTGACAATAAATTGCAACATAGATGAATTTATAACTGAAAATACATATTTTTTTTAAGAAGAATTTAACTGAACTTGTTTAGATAACTTGACCTTCAATTAATTTCATCATTATTATTATATCTTTTAATATGATATTTTTTATACTTTTCATATCTTTCTAATACCGTTAGTAAAACCTAATATTTGAATTCATGTTTACTGCACTTTATACTTCCCTCTAAGGTTTCTGACATTTCGCATACACCATCCTTGAGCCCTTTTTTATCATACTTCCCTAGTTCAGCACACTGGCCTCGGGCTCTGTTAAAAATCTTCCATGTGCCTTATTTCATACCTTCAGAATATGATCCTTCGAGTGTAATTTTGTTTAAACTTTGTAACAATTAATGATATACTCAGAAAAGTAATGATGTAATTCTGTCCAATCTCCTGTTTTCATGCCACTTTCATCATACTGTCCATTTCCACTAAATAATTATAAACTGTACACTTCAAAAATTTGATTATTATAGTCGAAATATCTAGCTTTCCATACTCCACTTTTCCTTCCAGAACAATAATTTCCTTCATATCGCACTTTGCGATTTCTATCAACATTTTTTATAACAAATACAAAAAATAATTTATATCTAATTCTATCCAAGATCCATTTTTTCTTCCTAAATCATCAAATTTCCCTCCACCGCTAGATAGAATGTGATTTTAATTATACATTTTGTTATTGGTTTTGGTCTCCAAGATATGCCATTCGGATACTCGAATTCCGTTTTAATACTATCCTTTAAATAATATTCTACTATCCCTGCAAGAATATCATCAAAATATTTACTTGCAGCCATCATAAATTTCAACCCATATTCCATTCTTAAGTTATTTATCATTGTAGAAACCTCCGCCAATTATATTTTGATTGCCATTCACTAAACCATCATAAATACTCCATTCTCCAAATTTTAATCCTTATGAGTTATACCCACCTTTTAATAAGATTATGGATCTATGTTTTTAATTTTTTTAAATACTAATCAAAATTCTCATCTAATTCAATCCAACAACCTTCCTTCCTTCCATTGTCATAAGTTCCTCCACCACTAAAATTTATAATTTTTTAAACATCATTTCTGCATTTCTAATAATCTTCCAATCACCAATTCGAAAACCCCTTTAGTATTCACCTTTTGCAACAATTTATTCATTTCTATTATAATAAATAAGGATAATATTATTACTCATTAAAATTTGTTGATAATTCTGTCCAATTGCCATGTTTTAGCCCTTCAATATATTCACCTTGGGGTTCTCTTGTAATTTTAGTATAATATTACTATCTTTTATCAAATTAAAAAGTCCATAACCCTTATTTCTAGCCCCTCTCATAAGATCCTTTAAAATATGCTCCATAAGATATTTATAACGCACTAGAATTTTAGAAATTGCCTGATATTTCTGTCCATTACCCTTATTTATTACCATCTCTATATTCTCCTCCTCCACTTTTTATAATTCCTATTTAAATACATTGTTTCATCATTATCTTTAATTATCCATCTTCCAATTTTCTTTCCTTCATTGTATCTACCACTATAAAATACACGACTATATCTTGTTGAATAGTAAAATAAATCTTACACATTATAACATTCATGCAATTCAATCCATTTGTCAATCTTATCGCCCTTTTAATTATACTTTCCTCCTCCACTAAATTTGTATCAGCATTTACATTTTTTAATTTTTGAAACTAACATCCCACTATTCAAATTTTTTGCCCATTTTATAATTTCCTTTTTCTATAATTTATAGATCTCTACAAAATTTTTCATGGATTTCCTTCCAATTTCCCACTTTCTCTCCATTTTAAAACTCTCCTCCTCCACTATTCTTAAATATTCTAATCTTACATTATTTCTTCATCAAAGATTATTTGTTATTGGCCTATTTGACAGCCATTTTTATATTTTTTTAGACATATAACTTGTGAATTGCTAAAATAAATTAGTATTCCTAATACTCTTAATAATTATCATGCACTTCTTTCCAACAACCATCTTTATTTCCCTACTCATCATATATACCTCCAGAATTCAAGCATTCTCCTTTCCAATAATATAACCACAAGCCACTCTTCTTATTCTATTTAACATATCCTTTTTCTTCAAAATATTTTAACTATTCAATGTTTTCTATAATCTTCGAGTCTTAATAGTAAGGAAGTCTGCTGCAAGAAAAAACACATACATTTTTAAAATAACTCCATCCTTCATATACTTCATTAGATAATGCTCGTATAGTATTTGAAAATTCGAATCTTTCCTAGGTTATTGTTTCCCAAATATACTCCACACTCCTCTTGGATTATTGGCAAAATAACTTCCTGCCTTTTTTGATATAAAAATAGTTTACTAATTCAATAGAACCATTTATAATATAATTTTATTCTCCATATTTTATTCCGCAAACCTCTTTCACCTCCATCGATCTTTAGCTTTAAATAAATTAAAATCATGGTTACTCTTTTACTTCTTTGCAAACTTTTATGATTTTGGAAAAATCATCTAATCCATATGCTAATCTATCTATCGTTTTTTATATCTCATTTACACAATCTTTTTACCATACTTACCATTACTAAATTACATTATTTTCAAGTATATGTGCTAAAATTCTGAGCCTTTCCCCATAAATATCTGAAAATGGGGAATCGCTATCAAGTTAGAATAATTTTTCAAAATCTGTATTCTACTGCTCAAACTCCCTCAATATTGTTAAAATCTTGGAAAATTTTTCCTCAATTTATTTTTATTTCATCTAGATTGATTCTCTCAAATCAATTAGAGATTACGTTTTAAAATTATTTTTTCGTTGTAATTCCAATCTATCTAAAAAAGATTAAAATGGTAATATAGAGAAATTTATGTTGTTGATTTAGCTAGAAATGATTTTGAGAGGTATTTCATTTAAGATAAATTGCATCTCCTGTACTTAATCTTATGTTCTTATTTCAATTTCCCGGAAAGAATAATAGAAATCTCGGCACATGTTACATAAATAAGTACCCTATAAGGGACCGTTTGAGGTATTTATCCAACCTAATTATTAGTTTTAATGAAATCTGCATTCCATAATTATTAATAATAAATCACTAAAAATAATATATAAATTATAGATACTAATTGGAAAGTTTAAATGTTTATAAATAACTTGGTATCAGTATTAAAGAATTAAGATATTTATTTGTGATTTGAAAAATTCTATCCCTATATGAGCTTATGCTTACAAATCCAGTTTTGCATCTTGTAAGATACTATTTGTATTCATGATAAAATTGCCTAAGGTTTCTATTCGGATTGAATTCTAAAATATATTAATGATTAAGTTTTGTTATTGAGTAGATTTTTATTTAGACATAAGATTTATCTTATTTCATATAAATAATTAAAGTTTGTATTAATTTAAAACAGCATTATAAAAATAATTCTATATCAATCATATCAGAAAAGATCGATATAATTTTATGGGTGTAATATATTAGGAATTTACTTTTTTATTTAAATATATATTGAGCAAATTTTATAGTGTCTCATTTTCACCTTCTCTATTTTTTAGATTATTATTAATGCAATTTATAGGCTCGATTATAATAATTTCCTTTTGATTCATTGATGAATGACTTTTAAGAGGAGTAGTCTCAAAAAATAATTAAATTAAAATTATCAGCTTAATAAATACCATAGCAAATTTTAATTACACACTATGATAAATTAAATGAATGTTAGATTAGTGACTGAAATTAAAAACTATTAATTCAGGTATCAATTTTTATATTTAGATGGTAAGATATAAGAATAGATTAATTAAAAAATTCTGCATTTTTAAAATGAAAAATGGTTTCAATTTAATTTTCGAGGATAATGGATAATCAATATTTTTGAACGAATTAATAGATAGATAACTTATGAAAGAACACATAATTGAATAAGTGTTTATTGCTGTTATTACAATTGTATTTTGAAGTTGGTCATAAAGGAAAAGTTAAGAACAAATTTATGCTAAAATATTGAATTGTTTTTAAGTAATCCTTAAGTTACATAAAGAGTCATTTTAATTATCTGATGTAGATTTAGGTAGATTTTAGTAAAATAATTAATTAATTTACGATTTAATATTTATGAATAGATAATTCAGAAAATATTACAACAATAGTAACCTTCATCTGGGCCATTGGAATAACTTTATGGAAGATGAGGACGAGGAGGAGGAGAATTCTAAATTCTATTTTCCAATTGCGGTTTCGTAATAATATTTACTTGATTATTGAATGTAATTCCCAAAACTAAATCATTCTCTCCAAGATTATCTAAAAATCCACTGACTGCACCACAAACTTTTGGCCAATTATTTTCCATTGAACCAGAAATATCTAATGTGAAAATCACAATATAATTATTAACTGTGATTTATACCACAGGTCTATATTTCTCTTACATTAATCCAATTGTCATGTGCTCATTTTTCATTACCAGACCTCTTTGTTACACTTCAATTCCTATCTACATTTGTATCTTTTAAAATATTTCATTTATTCCATTGCTATTAATTGAATAATATTAAGCTGATTCACAACTGCAGTCAATAATTTGTTTCATTTATTGTCTCACAGTTGAATTATTTTCTAAATTTACACCAATATAAAATGTTTTTAACATTTATGGAGGAAGCTAGCTATATAAATAAAGTTGATATTTTAAGAAGTCTTAATGGCTTGTTTGTGAGGCACAATCATCACCGTCTGTAAGTACAACGTGAACAATTTAAAATTTATCATGTAGTCCTTCTTTTACAAACAATGAGAAAAGCTTCAACATTAGTTCGTTACCTTGTATAACTGCATCTCTAAAAGCAGTCGAACCAGAGCATTAAATTCTTGGTAGAAGATATCTTAATTTAGAAGTTCTGGCTGTTTCAAAACCTAGCAAACCCATTAACAAAGCTAAATCCATTTATTTTATTAAATTTAAAATAAAAAATGTATAATAATAGTATCTTTTTCATTAAATATAGAGTCCCAAAATAATTAATGAATGTGTGTTATTGCTGTAGTTCATTTAACATTCGATTAGGAAGTAAATTTTCAAAATACTAATCCTAAGGAAACTTTGTATTAGATATCCCATTTACCATTTTTAGCAGTAGTAGCAGAAGCTGAAGTGTAGTCTCCATCCAATTATGCGATATTTTAGGAATATCGCCCCTACTCTACTATCGTGATGGAATTCTAAATCTCACATCTATCTATTCAAATATTATATATGTTTCCATTCTATTCTTTACTCGACTCTCTGTTAATTTATCTAAATTTCTACTGAGTCAAAATGATGAAAAGACAATAAGTAAAAGAGTTGAGACTTCAATTAAATTATTCACTTAGTCTCTTTATAATATTATATAATCTAAGGTGATATTAAAATTAGAACATTAAATTATATTTGTAACTTATTCACTCAAATTTCTTAACAGTTTTCTCATAAATAGTAGATTTATATTTAGAGCTATTATTAAACTGATCATATTAGATTAAATAATCTTATAAATTAATATATTTTAAATAACTATGAATCAATGTTTATGAGGAATAATTCTGCAACAAATTTCACAGCATTGTCCCATAAAAACACAGCATTTTCCAAAAGGAGCCAATATGCAACCAATAAAATAAAAAATCATGAAGGTTATATCTAAGTACAAGTAGAGAGCTCCGGAAACATACTAATTTGTTCTCAGTGAGAACTTTCATAGTTAAATTAATACTTTTCCTTAAGTTATCAATTTTATATCAATAACAAGAAGGCATCCATAGAGTACATGGCAAGCAAAACTCGCTACTAATAGGCCAAGATAATAAGGAGCAGTCAAAAGAAATATAAATAACAGAAATATCATCACACCAACAACTGAGAATATAATTACTTATTATATTACAAACTAATACTATAGGGTTTTTATGGAGTTTATCTACAAAATGTGAAAATTATTATGCATAAATAAGTTCCTAAAGTCATAGTAGATAAATATAGTAGTATTATCCAATCTTAGCCTGAATAGTACCCACCTTATAAGATCAATGATAGAGGCTAACCAAATACATAGGCTGCACCTGAAGTGAAAAAAAGATAACAAAAAATATTTAAGGGAAACTAATTAAATTTATCATTTATACCTTTCTAGAACTTTCACTAAAATAAGCCCACCTTCCCATTAATATAGTAATTACACAGCTTAATATATAAATAATAAAATGATATTGAACAATTTCGCCATTTTTTATTATTTGTACCTTTTTAACCAAAAAAATAAAAGCCATCACATAAAAAGTAGTGAGCATTAACGCCAATAAGACAAAGACTTTAACAAAAAATATCATGATTTCATTGTAAGTTGCTAATTTTTAATGCTCTTCATCAAAGGAAGCCTAATTCCAACCCACACTCTTCATTTTGGCAAAAAAGGAATCAAGTTCACCATTATCTTCTTAAAACGCCACAATGGGAGAATCTCCAGAGGATTGATATTACAGTTAAGACATTATATAGATTTATTAATATTTATGAATTTTTTTATGGAAAATTAAAGTTTATAGTGAGATGGAATATTAAAATAAAGATCCATTATCAATTTTACACAATCATCTATTTTTCTATGAGAAACTAATTATTTTGAAGTATTTCCAATCTATTCCATAAAGATTTGATAATATAGACTGATAAAATTTATATGAGAATCTAACCAAATTTATATCATTCAACATATTAGAAAGAATTAACTAAATGAAGTAGACAATTTTATGTTATAAGAGAAATTTCTTCTGGTACCTTTTTAAAGTAGATCGATGACTAACTATTTAATTTTAATTAATTTATTTGAAACGAATTAAAATTAATAATAATTAAATTTTAGAACAAATGACTCAATTCATTTTATTAATAATGTATTCATTCAATCTCATCATAATTAGTCAATTTTTTAAAATTATTTTATCATTAATTTTAAAAGAATTATTTAGTCGTTAAATGTTACACAGTTTCAAAAATTGCTCTTCGAAAATAATTTATTTGAATTTAAGAATTAAACAGTGTAATATTGAGTAATTATTTTAAATAACAATATAAATGATTATAATCATTAATGTAAATACTTCTAAAAGTTTCACATTATTGAATTTTATAAATTCAGGATATTGGTATAGATTATATATAAAAATTATCATAATTTCTAAATAAATTAATAAAGATTTTTAGAGAAATTTTCTTCTCAATTTCGAAGTCTTGCTCATTTATTTTCAAATCCTAATTCCAATTTGATTGCATTACCATCTTTTCGAAAACTTACATCTAAGAATTAATCTTAAATTGGTTTGAATGGAATTTGTGTAAATTCAACTGTATTCGAAAATATAATCCTTTCTAAATTTAACCACCTACCATTATAGATTTGAATGGACAATGAACAAACGTGTTTGTATCCTTTAATTATTAAATGTTCATTTAGATTTGATAAAGTCATTTAACCAAAAAATATTAATATGACAAGTTTTGATAAGCCTTTAGTTAAGATGAAAGTTTTGGTCAGGCAGATTTTCAAAAGAGGTTTGTAGATTTGGTGGAACCAAATTTTATAGTACGCCTGAGGTAATTAAAAGCTTTATTCGCACAACTAATTATGAAATTCTTGGCACAGGGGTAGCTCTTTATGATTGATAACAAATACTCGAAACTAAAAGCGTATATATTCTTTAAGTGCTTGAGCTAAACAATTAGAAATAGATTTCGCAGTAATAGATCCAGTCACATAAATCCTGCTCCTGGTCCATATAAATGTTAGATTTAGGTGAATATTTAGATCAAAATTTCTTTATGGATGAATAACCCTATAAGGGATCGATTATTTTCACATTTTAAATTTTCCAGACTCAAAAATAATCAATTTTTTTGTGTACTAACAGTTACTAGAATTAAATTGTCACAAATTTATAGAAATCTCTTTTCTTTTTCAAATTAAGCTTTTATTTTGGAAATCATCTTCAATGTGGATGATATATTTTATGTTTATGATGAGAGTTGCTAAAGTAATGGAGTAAAGTAATCGAGCGAGGAATTAAATCAGTAAAATACGAATTAACCTATTGATTAAATTGATTATTCTGCAATTTAGGGATGTGTGGTTTAGCTTAGAAAGTAGTTATATTTTTAATGAATGTCTATAACATAACATTGCTGAATATACTTAAGAAGAATAAGTGTGTGGAGATAAGATTATGGAAAAGGGAGAAGACTGTGATGATGGCAATCAGATTGAATATGATGGAATGCAAATATTACATATTTACCTCCCCAGCAAATATATAAATTTGTTATATTAATATAATAACAACCTTGTATGTATTTAATTGTAAAAAGGAAATTTAGAGCATATATTGCATTCATAGCATTTCTAAATTTAGTTACCTCACCCTTAATCTCAACTTTAATTGTGCTTGACTAGACGCAACAGTGAAAATCGAGAACTTTTTGTTCAGTCTCTGTTTCCCTAATATTAAATCATATGAATAAATTTCCAATATATCTTAGTTTTGCAATGGTAATGTTACTGTTACTTACATGAAAAGGATTCTTTACACCTATAAAGTGTTGTTATTCTCCTAATATCACCTTATGATAATTGCTTAATACTCGCATAACTTAACTCTGCAAAACCCATATTAGCAGTTAAGAGTGAGATAATGTAATCTTGATTTATGTCTAGTACTGTAATGCTAATAAAAAACAGACTTTGTTGTTAGAACTACACTCCATGCACAAGTAGAAAGTACAAATTTTCTGATTCATAATTAAATTGAGGTATCTGGTCTTGTAATTATTGAGGAGTGTGGAGCATATTAAACTCTCTACATTATTCTTTTACAAAAAAAAATTAATACTATATCTAATTACTTAGTACAAAATTTACAGCATAATCTAAATCTATCTTGGAAGATGCTTTCTCAAAAGATAATGAAATCTTAGTATCTGAAGGAGTCTATAATTAGCTTAAATTTCGGAAAGCTTAAGACTTTACTAATGTTTAATTTCTTTATTATCTTGATTAATAAGGGAGCCTATTGTAAGTATGGTATTCGTATGATGGAAAAATGCTAGCAACAAGATCCTAATCATCAATTAATTTGTACAAGCTGTTAGTATAATGGAGCCTTTTTAATTTATTCCTCAATCTCATTTTGAGATAATTGAGAAATCTTCAGATTGTAAACTTTAGGTTTTGCAGAAAAGTAAACATCTTATTCAAATAAAATTATAGCTAAAATAAATGTATGGGATGCATAAATCCATTAGAATTATGATATTTTACACTTAAGTTTATCTAAAAAATATAACCAATTCATAATTAGATATAAAGTTGTATTCAAAAAAAACAAAATGCATGCAAGTTTAAATAAAATAAATTGCTAAAAGAACAAAAAACCTTATAAATATAGAATGTGAAGCATTCAAAGACAAACAAAAAGTGATGCTTACATCAACATTAATATTATTATTCTTATTTATTAATTCTCAGAAGATTAAAACGGTTTTGTAACATGATTGACATATGAAAATATGGATTTAAAGTACCAAGTGATGGTAAACATCTCTCACCGGTTTTATAAGCAGAACAATATTAGCACTTAAGAATATCTCCAGACCTCTAAGCTATAAGATAGTTATCAAACACAAATAAACATGAAAGGAACTAAATCGGTATTTTCTGAATACTCATAGATTATTGCTTTATTCTAACAGAATAACACCTATTCAAAGTATTGAAGTGGCGATGCTATATATTCTTGAAGTCTCGGATGGCATAACGCTTCATTTCCATTAAGTATGATCATTTTAGGTTCTTTAACTGATTGACAACAAGGGTTAAATTCTAAATCCACATTATCACATTACAAGTACAAGGATGAGGATGCATTCCAGGTGCATGAGAATGTCCTCCTCCTCTACATTCAATCAGTTAACCAGCCTTATCATAATTACTTTTTGTATTTGTTTGCCTGGATATTTTGATGATGGAATCTCTCCTGATTGTCAGAAGTGCTAAATTTCATGTTTAACTTGTTAAAACACTGCAATTTATTGTACATCCTGTGAATCAACGAGACATTTTGAAGGATTTTGTTGCAAAATTAGGTGTTCAATAAATTAGATTGTAAACCAATTCTGGTCGTTTTCCCACTATTTTTTGGGTTTCAAAACCTACATATTATATCTTTGAACCTATTGTTTTGGAATTTAAAATTAAAAAAAAGACTTGTTCCGATATGAATGCTACTTAAGTTGATAACTCTTAATTTTCTTTATCATTAGTTGAAGTGCATAGAAATGATTCCAATTCCAGGTCATCAAGAGTAAATTATTCAGAAATCACAAGTCAACATAGTTTTATTGTTACTATTGAAAGATATACTTTGACTCCAATGGTTGCATACACTTTTGAATAAACAACAAGTGATATAATAGTAAACTTTTCAACTAAGAGAAATATTACAATTGAAGTTAGCTCAGGAGGTATTATTTGTCAATTTAATGGTACCAAAAAGATTCAGAATCATAGAAAAGATACTTAAATATTCATCTCATGTAAAGATTTAGATACTTAATACAATTGGAATTAGGATTCATCCATAGCGATTAATTCTTCTCATTGATTAGAGCTCCCCTTCGTGAAATTACCATCTCTGCATTCGCTGGTAAAATATCAATGCTAATGACATTATGCGATTTCATTGAAGTTAGTCAAATGATTTTCTTGTCGACATAATTGTTAACTGAGCCTATTGTTAATCTATAGATTTGATGCTAATTATTTTAGATAATATAAAATTCTTCCTTTATAGTCACATGAGTATATTGATCATCTAAATATCATGAAGTAATTTGTCCGCAATATTAAATTGACTCATTAGATCATAATGGAATTAGAGACCCTCAATAAAAGTGATTAAATTCATCAATTTAAAGATAACTAACTGGTTTAAAATTTTCATATGGTAAGCTTAATTCGATTGAACTTATGCTAATGAAAATAACATTTCTGCTATTTTTATTGTAATTTTTACATTCTTAAACACATTCTAAACAATTATTATAATTTTTGATTACTCATTCGTCAGTATCATCAATTAATGACAATATATCATAAGGTTTAAGTTTCAGAATTCGAACTGTGATATCATTAATTATAAGTTTATCTGCTAGCATTCTCTGAAAATTAATAAATTTAAATTGGTTGGAAATTCAACTAAATGAGCCACTTGTGTAGTAGTGTTGTGTGAAAGTGTAAATTTCTATCGATCTTTTAATTAGCTAATGGCTTCATTGTTATATAAAACTACCTTATTCATATAACTTATGTTGCAAAGTGACAATTAAGTGTTTTTATGTATTGCTAGCACAAAGCTGCATTTAATTCGTTTTCTTAATAGTGTCAACCTTTATATAAATCTATGTGGATGGCAAAATATTTTTCATCTTTGAGCCTTGCAAATTATATTATAACTTAGTAATAGGGCAATCATCTAAATGCTTTATATTAACTATCGTATACTCCAAATATAATAAAAAATTTCAGTTATGCTATCAAATTATTATTATATATCAAATTCTTTTTGTCTTTGATATTTCTCAGTGAGTTAAACAAGTAAATTAGTACTAATCATTTATCTAATTTTGATAGCCCCCAATTGTTTATTATATCTCTAAGTCTTGAGATGTTTGGTGCAGCATATGATCTAGTGCAAAATGGATTGATAACACTATTACTAGCGGAAGCCGAAGCCACAAAAAGTTGTAATATGGCTCTCTTTTATCAACATAAAAACTATTTCTAAAAAGATCGAAAACCACCATTGTGTATTATTTGCAAACGATTTTATCAGCTTGTTACTGTTAGGGTTGGATAGGATAAATATTGATCCATTTTTGTAATCAGTTTTACTTTGGCTTTATGTTAAAATCTCATTTTAAATAGTACTATTTACTATTTATTGCATACCTTTTGTGCAAAATGTTCCTAAGCCTACTTAACAGTAAGCTTGAATACTTTTCGAACTTAAGCACAGGCTCAATATTCAGTATTAAATTTAGGAGTAACGATTTCAAGCAAGTAATGGGTAAATAAAGAGAGAATACCAAATGAATTAAAATATAAATAGGCAAACAGTATGTGAAAAGTCAACTTATGATTTTATAGTTCATATTTTTGTGATGTTAATTAGAACTGCTTCTATGCATTATGTACTGATAATTAAACTGAATCAGGATCTTCATTAATTAGTGCCTAACATATAATGTTTCTACATTCATTACATCTTGTTCAACCTTAGACAGCAATTCTAATATCAGTTGTGAAAATATCGTCCTGTTATTACAAGCTAAGCTCTTTTATTAATACTTGCTTTCAGCTAATTATCTCATAATACTACTGTTGGTAATAATAAAGATAAACTAATTATTCCAACTCCTTGCCCCACCCTATGAATGTTTGAGCCTACTTGCGATGATGGATTTTATCGAAATCCAAATCTATATATATAGTAGGTTTGTTGAGATTGCTTAAAAATACTATTTGTAGGTTATTTAAGGCTTTTTAATTATTTACCTTTAGCTTCGCCTATTATGGAATGTGTTGTTAATACTGGCAAAATTTAAATGTTGCATTCGTAAATATAATGACAAAAAACCAGAAAATACTATTGACAATAAGTTAAAGGGCACTGTAATTACAAACATTAATGGCTTCAAAGTAATATAAAAGCAGAAATGTACATGAATATTTGATCCACAAGTATTCATGTTATTTTCATTACTTATTACTCTCAAATCTTATAAATACATATTTCCTATCCCATAAACATTTGTTGTCAATGTGTATATCTGGATGTAAGTTCAATGTAAACACTTATAGGAAATACATTTCTCTATATGCTGTATGTTATTGGTACTGATTGCACTCAATATTGAACTATTTGTAAGATAATCTCTACAACTGTTGAAATTAGTTCTCGATGCTGGCTTAATGACTCGACAAGCTTGTAATGCATTTTAAACAATCTGTTAAAAAAATATGCTAATTATTCTTTCTGTACTTCAAGCTTCATCTCAACTTCTAAGAGTTGCAGAGAATCTAGAATTGCTTGTTCTTAATGACTATCTCAATAAACTATATGTTATGATCTAAGAATTTACACAACTTTCACCCTTGAATATTCTTTTAAGAATAGCTATACTTTCTGACTTTACAACATTGTCAATAACAGTACAGTACATTATTAAGTGTACAAGCAACTATAATTGTGTGTACTAATGATAAATTCAAGATGCAATCTGGATATTGTTTAATTTTGCAACCTTGTAATAATTATAATCGGCTATTGAATGTACTGATTATAATGGTTTTCTTGTTAATGCTTCAATTAATTCTTTGAATTGTTATTTATTTTTGTGCGCTAGTAGTTGATCTAGCTACAATATTGGCTGCTCCTTGCACATTTTACCCTGTGTTTGTTTGCTCTATAATATGTGCTTCTTGTTTTTTTCGTTGTTGTGAGGTAATAATAGTAACATTGCTTTAAATTATGCAAATTAAGTTTGAAACAAACTTTTAAAATTATTCATAATATCATAGTTGTTGCATTAATTGTACTTGGTCATACGTCTAGTGTATCTGAATGTTGTTTATATATTCAAATACAATATTAGAATTGTAGTTTAGCTTGTATACTTAGGAAATTGCGTAATTTTTTTCCTAATATTCTTCTTGTGTATTAGGACATAAGTGTAATGACAGCAGTTAATGTACTAATTCTTGCTTCTATTGTTGACCCATTAAAATAAGTCTAAATCATACAACATGATGTGAATCTGTCTTATACCTCCATGTCCTACTGATCAAAATATATATAGTTCAAGCACTCCTCTATAATTTCTTTGTTAGAGCTTTCATATTTTTCAGCACAATTCTGTGCTAAATTTTATTGAAATTTGACGGCCTGTTTTAGCAATTCTTTAAATATATCTGGACAATGTTTTTGAGACTTCCCTATTACATAGCGTTAAACATCTGCCGTATTTCATTTTTTTAAAATATGGAGAAGTTCTGGGATCTTGCAGTCATTTGTCATGAGTGAATAATTATGTCCAAATTCTTTTATATTTCCAGTTTAGGATGACTAAAGTTTTGACAGCAGCAAACCATTTATAGCTTGTTGCAACTATTTGGTTACATGTGTTTAGATTGTATTCAATTTAAGTTGCATTTATTGATATTGTCCTACAGAATTATAAAGATAACCTACTAGCTGCAATGATCATAATATTCATGACTTTTTATCTCTATGTATAATTTTGTTGTTAGTTATTTTTCCTGCTGAAATTAGATTAAAAGCAATAGAATTGTCTTTGTGGTAAAATGTAATTGTTTAGCTACAAATTGTGCAATAATATTTAGGCTGTATTCCTAGATATTTGATATCTGGTCTTTACTGAACAGTTAATTTTTACAAGCAGAAAATTTAGGTCTTGTATCACATTTACAATGAAGATTTAAAATAGGGCTTTTGTTTCAAATGCTCAGGAAATGCAATTGTAAATTCATAACGTCTTGATGGCTATGATGTTGACAATAGTAACTGTTTCTTTTATCTTGAAAAATCTGTACTTATATTACTTCAATACTCTACTAAATATTCTGATAAGCGTTGATCATGTAATTCTAGCAACGATTACTCGTGATGCATATATGAAGCTCTTGAAATTAATGGACTTTAATATTCTGCATCTTCTAGTTTTCATTGTAGAAATCAAAACTCTCAGTTCTCAAATTAATTATTATATCCAGCATATGAAAGATAATGCACTCTATATGTATTTGTAGATGGATAAACTACTACTTTGAAAAATATGATGCTGACAGAAACTGTAGGAGGAATTTATGATAGCTGCCTAATATGATGCACATATAATGATTAAGGCTCATTTTCTAAAACTGTACTGGAAATTTTATCAAAAAAAATACATTATGTGCTTATGCTTAGATTTAAAGACTCTTAAGATTAACATGCAAAAGGATGAGCTGATCCTGAATATGATGAATATCTTTCTGTTTCTCTGGATTATATTAAGGAGCATAGCTTGCTTATTGAAATAGCTAGACAAACATAGACTTGAGATGTTCTGACGCCTCAAAAACTTCATGAAATCCTTTTTAATACATAACTTGAAAGTGTAATTTAAAATAAGTTTTAAAGATTTCTCCATTTGAAAAGCTCGACAATTACTTATAGTCATCCTACATTTGATGCATGGAAGAAGACCTTAAAAGAATATTTGGAGAGTTTAAAATTTATGCTTCAAAATAAGCTTTACAAATTCTATTAGTAAAATAAGAGGATGAGCATTATTATTAACATTATCTAATAAAATATAATGGCATCAACCCAAAAAACACATCAACTAGGATTGCAAGCTTTGCTTCGAAATTGTAGATGTAAACTAAGCTTTTATACCTGATGCAATAAACGGGGCAGTTCTTTAAAATGTTTATGAGGGTTCTATCTGGATGATTCAAATTCATGTTAAACATGTGAATATATTTGCAATAAATTTAATGCTAAGCAAAATATTAGTCTTTATTAATAGTTGCTCGTCAGTAGCTATTTATGATGTCGATTAAGAGAGTTTCTTATATTCACCAAGAAAACTGGAAAATGGAATTTAAAACTAATAGCTATTAAAGGAGGTATAAACTAACCCAGTTACTACTAGAACTGAAAGAAGAAAGACTCTTTGAGAATAGGTACAATCATCACTAAGTATTATTGTATTATTTGAAAGATCAATTTGAAATTAGCAAAACTAAAAATTAACTCCTATTTCATTTAGCAATATAGAGTTAGCATAGATGACATCAAATTGATTTAAGAGTAAATTTACAGAGCATGACTGTGAAACAATATTAGGATGGAGCTTATTAGTATTATAATTTACAGTGCAACTCTAAGTCATTGGATAACAAGGCCATGGGATGTTTAAACAACAAGGTAAAACAGTCTCATTAGATTAATTTCATAGAGCCTGAGCCATGGTGTCAATGTATATCTAATGTAATTGAAGCTTTGATGTTACTCTCCTTGATAAAATAATAACATCTATTTGTCTTAAGCGAGAATAATTTGTAGAAATTTGATGAAATGCATATACAAAAAATCAACATTAAATTACTTCTAAATGTATTTAATATTTATTTAGGCAACTAAAGTTGTATCCTTGGATATTAAATGTATTATGGCAGTTGTGCATTTTTGCTTACAATTTTGATATTTATCTAATCTCCAGATGAAAATTTTAGCTTGATATTGTCTTTGTATGATGCCTACTAGTATTCCACTCTAAAAGGAACTAGCAACTATCTAGGTTTGGGTATCTGTATATATTCTGTTATTGCTATTTTCAAATAATGTACAAACTCTTTTAATATTATACTATTAATATGATAACCCAAAAAAGGGTTTGTACTTACAGAAATAAACATGGAGATAAGAAAAATTGAGTGAGACTAATGATTTATAATTGCAGATCTTTTTAAGATGTTCTTTTATTTGAGAATAGTTTCAGACTTAAGTGTTTTTCTAAGGAGAGGAAAATCAAAATATTCAAAGTTTATCATTTCTTTTAGCTACAAAAACAATTAGTTTCTTATGGAATATTTAAGATAAATATTCTTACATCTTAGGATAAAATTAGTTCTAATTAAGAATATGTAGACAAGGATTATCATTTGTTCTTTAAATTTATTTTCAGTGTTTCTTTACAAATTATTAATTTGGAAAGTAGATGAAAGCACGTTTAGTTGATTTAGAACTTTTTTTTATCGGCAATTATTATATAGTTTATGATTTGATAATTTGAACATTTAGTAACTCAACTTAATTTCAAAACACAACCTTTAAGAAGAGTAAATGAGAATTTAAAAATTTCATTCAATTGAATAAAGCTCTAAATTAAACAGTATAATAATTAATTAATTGAAATCAATCTTTCTTTTCAAATTTAAACTACAATTTAATGTTACTATTGATGAGATTAATAAATTTATAATTAAGATATCGATTTAGAGATTATATTTCAAGAGCTTATGTCAGAAAATGATGTAAACTTAGATTGTGTTAAATTAAACTTACTAAAAGTGCATTGTTGAAAATTTGGTTGGTAGAACAATTATTTAGATAATTAAAATAGAAATTCTAGACATCAAAATGATCAGCTTCATTTTATTCAATTCTCTTAATATTTAAATAAAATGTTATTTACTTAAAAAATTTCAGAGACCTAAAAATAAACATCATTAATTTGAAAGATCATCATTTTTTTTCTAAAAAGTACAGTGAATTTTTA